CATGAGAACGTCAAACTTTTGTTCCACGCTATCAAGATTTCTTCAATCAAGCCTTTAATTTCACAATTAGTTTGTGAAAACGGAGGCAAGGATTGCTACTACAGGAGATGTGCTCAGTGTAAAGGATCCACAACAAGATTCAAAACAACTTTAGGAGAAAATGAAGTACTCAAGAACAACGAGTCAATATCGTACCGAAGATGGCTAACAACCGATGGGACCCAATACGTGACTCAAGAAAAGGATACCGAAGAATTCTTGGACTTTGCAACTTTAGAATTGGAGAAGATGATGAAACATCACTACATCAGCAAAGCTCAGCATGAATTTCTGGTGGATCTTCGCCAGAATCTCAAACCAGGTGAGATTGTCATATGGGGCGATTTTTCTGAAAATTATTCACCTGTCATCCAAAATGCTGTCCAGTCTGAGTATTTTTCCCATAAACAAATCACTCTCCACCCCTTCACGATATATTGGAACGTGAATCAAGAAGTCAAGATGAAGAGCATAACTGTCATTAGTGATTGTACCACTCATGACACAAACTCTTTCTACGCATTCCAGACCAAACTCGTACCAAAACTTGTTGCTGAGTTTGCTGCTGCCCAAATCAAGATTACCAAGATCTACTACGTTTCGGATGGATCTGCAGCCCAATATAAGAACCGAAAAAACTTCTGTAACTTATACCATCATCTAAAGGACTACGGAATTATAGCTGAATGGAACTATGGAGCAACTGCTCATATGAAGGGACCTCAAGATGCTCAAGGAGGAATTGCGAAACGTCGAGCAAGAACTGCATCCCTACAAGGCACCAAGATTACAACAGCCTTAGAATTCTATAACTGGTGCAGTTCAAATATCAAAGGAATAGAATACATCTTCATCTCGGATTCCGAAATTCAGGAGATTATTGATGAAAAGGATTTAACTTCCCGGTACGAGACAATAAAAACAATTGCGGGGACTCAACAAGCTCATCGTATTGAAATTGCATCGGGAAAAATTCACCTTTACGAAGTTTCTCGGGACACCACGGTGATGGCTACGAAAATAATGGAATCCGAAGGCCAACCTCCCCTGGTCATCATCGATGAATGCTCTGTCAGCGATTGGGTTGTTTGTGTCTACGAGAAACAATGGTATGTCGCAATCATCGACGAAGTGGACCTCGCGGAACAGGAGGTGAAGGTGACATTTTGGAAACCCAACACCTCCAAATCCAAATCTGGAACTTCGTATATTTCTGAAAACGCTTCTTGTTACATCAAGATTGGACAGATTATTAAGAAGATTTTCCCATCAAGAGCATCAAGACGTGGAAGGACCATCAACATCTCTATGGAGGAGCAGGAAGAAATAGGAAGACTCTTTCAACAATTTCAACGATAAATGTATAAACTTGTAAATAGTGTATATATGTAAATAGTAGGTTAATTTCTTCGTTTAGACCTTTATTTTATGCGGTGCTAGTATTAAGAAGTGATACCTCCTAGTCTCAAGAAAGAAGAAGGACGTGGTGGCGAAGATGGACTTCGAATGGTGGTATTGGTGGCTGACCTAATAATATTTTTTAATAAATTTATTTATTAAATCATATTATTAAATACTTTAAATTAATTATTCAAATTTACCCGATTCTTCGAATTTAAAATCATTTGGTAATTTAGTCATGATCGCAGATCGCATAATATAACTTTCATATGGCTTTCAATGACTGTTTTTAATTGGTAAGAATGTTAGTTTAATTATCCCGCGATAATTAAATTAACATCACCTTGGGTAAGGGTCCGAGGTTGTTGCTACCTCGCTGATGACTGGATTTTCCAGCAGGAAGTATTTGTAAGCAAATAATTCTTGGACTAAGCATAGTCGAAACCCTAAAATTGCTGATAGTGTCTAACAAACACTATTAGCTTATGAAATTTTACACAATCATGGTGATCCATGATTATGAACAAATAATTTCAGATAAGCTTAAGTTTTAAATTTGGAGTGATTTGGATAAACTTAATGTGCTTATCTGAAAAATTGATAAGTACACTGATAACCCCCGGAGCGCTAATTTTCGAGTGCATTACGTCATTATAAATTCAGATAAGCTTAAGTTTTAAATTTGGAGCGATTTGGATAAACTTAATGTGCTTATCTGAAAAATTGATAAGTACACTGATAACCCCCGGAGCGCTAATTTTCGAGTGCATAACGTCATTATAAATTCAGATAAGCTTAAGTTTTAAATTTGGAGCGATTTGGATAAACTTAATGTGCTTATCTGAAAAATTGATAAGTACACTGATAACCCCCGGAGCGCTAATTTTCGAGTGCATAACGTCATTATAAATTCAGATAAGCTTAAGTTTTAAATTTGGAGCGATTTGGATAAACTTAATGTGCTTATCTGAAAAATTGATAAGTACACTGATAACCCCCGAAGCGCTAATTTTCGAGTGCATAACGTCATTATAAATTCAGATAAGCTCAAGTTTTAAATTTGGGGCGATTTTATGACTTCATGCAATACAAGTGCATTTTCATGCAATTCTGCATGCCTGAAATGCATGATTCATAAGCGTCATATATATTCATAAGTTTGTTACGGCCTTTACCATACAAGATGGCCCCCACGGAAACTTTGACCTCAAAAAAGTCATGGTTCCAGTCATTTCCCTTCCGACAACAAAAGCTGAGAATATAGCTCTTTTGACGTAGACAAATCTGGCATCAGGTTGTCAGAAGGGAAATGACTGGAGCTATTAGTTTTTTAACGATTTATGTGTATGTAAAAAAACCGCGAATATTCGAATTTTGAAATTTTTGATGCATCGAAATGTTCATATTCAGGGGGGGATTCGAATGTCAAATGCAAGTTGGGGCCTAATTCTTGTTGTACCGAGTGTATACTAGCTTTCTCATTTTTCCCAGTTTCTTGTCTCAATTTTTAAAGGGGGTGTGGTTACATGCAGTTCTTAAATTCCTATACTACGTGAACCCTTCCACCGAAAATTAAATTTGTAATAATTTTTATGGAAATCGGTGGGATCGATGCGAAAAAGATTTTTACGTATCCCTCATTTTCTATCTACACTAAAATTTAGCAAGCCTGTTTCTTGGTTTTCTTTAACTGAATGTTATTAATGTTAATGTTAATTATTATAAATTGTTGAAATATACTTTTGGTAAAAATTTTTCTTTCTAAATAATTTTTTATTCAAGCTGTAAAAAGTTATCCAGTTAAAAAATAGATTGGTATTTACATATGTACACTAGTAAGTAAGATATAGAGCATAAATTAAATTTAAAAATGTTCAATTAAAAGCTATAATGGTATGGGGTCATCATTGATTTGTAATATGTATTACGCAGCACACCAACACAGTCCTCCGGAAATATAGCACCAATTCGCCCAATTTGGACACCAGCAATTTGGGCACTGCAAAAATATTCATTTCTTTACTAGAAAACACGAATAACAAATTATCAACAATTTGTGTAACTATGCTCACGTTAAGGGGGCAGCACCAGTCAGCGACCTCTTCTGTTATCGTGGCATTTGTAACTCCCCCTTTGGCCACGACCTCTGCGGTAGGAAGCGCCTTTCCAGCGAAGACGGACGCCACAAAGACCAGGACGACGAGAGCAATGATGCTAAAAAACAAATACGTTAACTTGATTTGTATGTTTCTGAAAAATATTGAAAGATGAAAATAGTTTAGAAACTTACGATTTTGGAAACATTGTGATATTTCTGGATTTTATCATTGTAGTAATTGTATAAAATTCGGTAGTGATTTTGGTTTATATATCTGTTAGCTTTGTATCTGTTTGTAGTGGGATTGAACTGATGAAGATTGGACCAAAATTTCCATCCTTTTATATACCCGATTTGTTTACAATATTTCGACTATTATGTTATGATAAAATCCATTTCAGGGAAATCATTATTGACTTAAATTGATTGATAAGCACTTGAAATTGTTGTTGACAAAACTACGTACATTGTTTTAAACTTTACCCAATTTCAGCGTCACGGACGTCCGCAATTTGGGAGTGGGTTAAAACCATGGTAAAATCAACAATACGTTATACCTTGTATCCGTAGGTGCATGATAAGTTGACCATTTTAGTTTGCTTGTCAACAACAACAAGTTATATTATTACTGTCGTCCTGTTTTTTTCTCGATAAGGCAACTGCGCTGCGAAAGTTTTACATAAGTATGCGACAAACTTATCCGGGTATTTTTCATGAGCATGCAAAAAAAGCTGCAGAGAAATGATGTCAAAAGCAAAAAAATATTTGTTTCAGATATTTAAAAAAAGTCTTTGTACAAACATCGATTTTTTTGCATCATATTTGCTGTGAATTTGGTATGCATGCAAAATATTATGTTCAATTTCCTCAATAGTATTTCTTTTCATTTCTCATCAGTTTTGAAACAAGACAATATTGTTGTCAGCTTGAAATACCTTTAGTGGGGTCTTATTCCATGACATTTTTTCTTCTTAATGTTTCTTAAATTTCAAAGTACGAGTTCTTTTTTGCATAAAAAGTACCCAAAGGCGATACCTTCCTAACCCCTCTCTTTAAAATTCGGCCTCTTTTTCATGAACATTTGACATAGCGTGCATGCATATCCATATTAACAAACTAAGTACTCAATTAAAGTGAATGCCATTAATATGTTAGATTTATTCCGAAAACTAAACCTTGTTTCAAAAATGCTCCAGCAACATGTACTTGGAACTAGTACGTATATAGTTCACAAATAACTTATTAGAAATGGATAATAACCCTCCTAACGTTTTCCTCATTCATATGAACATACGTACTAAATTCCGCATTGTTCAAAGGGCATCAAAATCTTGCATTCTCCTCTTTAACCTTCTTATCAATAAGTTTACATATGCAAATGTATGTACTTGCACCTCTCTCACCCACATTTTAATATTTCTTGGAAAATTGTACCTTCACTCCTAAAAATACTCGTGTCATTCGTCCAGTCACATTAACATTTCTGCTACACATGCCCTAAAAAATTCACACTCTTCTCCAAGTCTTCACCTCATCCAGAATACCACAAACTTCTTCCCTCTGCCAAAAATGGGTTCAAATCCACTCCCAGCAAACTTTGGAGCCAATTTGGCCAAGCAAATGTAAGTAATTATCTTATCCATATCTAATAAATTTCATATTTTATCACATATAGTCTCAATAAGAAATACCACCTTATCTGACTTTTCAGCCGTGACTCTCTCCGAGTCGGGGGCATCGGTGGCGGACAACCTCGAGGTGGTCGACCTGCAGGTCAATCTAATGGTCAGGCTGCCCCTCCACCGAATTCCACTTCTAGACGACTCTCATCTGGCACTGGGACCGAAGGGGGTCATCATTTTGAACAGTGCACGGGAGACATCACCCTCACCACGCAGGTCGTCGGCAAGAAGGCACTGACTCCCGAGGAGGCGGCGAAAGCTAGGCGTGGCGCGGCCCAACTTGCACGATACGAAACGGAAGAAACTCGTGACATGACGGATGAACAGTTACAGCGTCTCATATTGTTGGAGAAGTTGAGAAAATTGAGGGGACTTGGACCGCGGGGCGTTAACGTGGAGGTAGCTCCCGAACAGGTTCGTCGTCCAGAAATGATTCCTCAAATGCCAGTAGCCCCCAACGTTCCACAGGGCGCTGGACACCCTGGCGTGGATTCCGATACAGAAGACATGCTCGGCAGTGACATTTCCGACCTTGACGACGACAGCGATGCTTAATTAATATTCTAATTTGATGTGAGTGATTGCATGTGAATTTATAAATTTTAAATGGTTTCGCATTAATTTCATGATTCAAAATTTTGACCAAATTGCTGGATTTGGATAAAAAATTACTACGTGCTGGATTAGTTACAGCAATTTTGTGGATATAAATGTTAACGAATACAATTTTTGAATGTGAATTTGACCTTATCTCCATTTTTATTTGACCATGTTTGACCATATATATTACTAAGGTGGTTAAAAAGAAATAAATCCTGAATATACCAAGGTAACAATTTTGGAAATAAATTTATGACATAATACACGAATAAATTCATAATTTAAATCTACGTTGATCACGGACCCTGTTTTGTTACATACACAAGCAAACTTTTAACATAACAGATTTTTTTAGATAGTCACATTGGTATAGCATCTGATTTATAATTAAATGAGGAGGGACAAATATCCGGATAAGTAGTGTTGAAAAGCCTTCAGAAAAATGCAATAAATAACGAATGAACTTACTATGTCACTTCATTTTCATGACATATTTGCATGTTTATACAGTATCTTCTTCCATGGTATTTGTATAAGTACATGAGCATTTGCATTTGTTCATGTAAATCACCTATGCATAGATTATGTATGTGTATATTTGTCAGTAGTCGTGATAAGTGGTGGCGAAAGAGGGTGTACTTTCGTCAAGGGCCATACCACGTTGAATGCACCAGTTCTCGTCCGATCACTGACGTTAAGCAACGTCGGGCCCGGTTAGTACTTGGATGGGTGACCGCTTGGGAATCCCGGGTGCCCTTGGCGTCTTCTTTTTTTGTGTGGATACTTTTTAAATCCTATTTTATTTGCATATGTACTTCATGTAGAATAAGTATATTTCCCGAAGTATTTTCTGAAGCTGTGTAAATTTGTTATACGCAGTACCAACCATACATATTTTTTAAAAGAAATTTATCTTTTGGACTCTTTTTTTCAGGCCGAAAGTAAAATTCTACAGTGACTTTGATTTTTCTGTGAGATTTATGTTACAGTAATAAGCTTTTAAACTGATGTACAACGCTAAATTAACTCAAGTCGCAAACATCGTATATACATATATAGTTTATTTAATCCAATCGTCTTTCGTTCGTTCTTTGAAAGTTTGGTCATAGATTTGCATGTTTGCATACTTATATATTCTAACCCACAAATCACCATGTGAAACAATCCTCCTCGTCGTCCTGAAGAAGACCCTTAGACGTCGAAACGTTGACAAATCTGGACCCCTCAAAGTACTACAAAAGTGAGCCCTTCTCCTTCCTAATTTATCCTACGTACTTATATGAATATGTATACCTACATATTATTAGACACTGAAAAAAACTTTGGTTACTTTTTTTTCGTCTGAGCCGATAGAGCGTTTAAAATTCTCCAGGGACTTCAATTACCTATATTATTTCCGGTGAAGTACATAAATACGCAAACAAGTTGCGCTTCGTCAAAGTTGGTAACTTTTTTTGTTCGTTAATTAAATAAGTATAGTTTAACAAAAAACTCTTTTGGCCACAGGACATAGGGATAATTTTCTCGAGCACGCTTTAAAGTATGTTCAAGAAAATTAGAGATAATTCATTAGTTTTCTCTTATAAGAAGAGTTTATTTTTATGCAATTTATTATTTGAAGTTTTACACATACATTTTATACATATTAACTTTTGACTATTAGTAAAATTTCAGCAGTAGCATATATAGCATGCATAATTTCAGTCGTGTTTTGTCTTTCAAAACGTCTATACACATTTCCATCAGCTATGGGCAAAATTGAAATTATACATTGTATCACTTTGTTCACACTTTATCGTGTTGTATGCGAAACAAAGGATACAATCCAAATATTCAAGTTGTTGAAAGGAGTTGGAAACTGCGATGTTCAAATTGTTCATGGTGATCTTGAATCTGCTAACATCCAACCATTTCCCAACTTATTACTCCCAACGTCTTTAATCTTTGTGTCACATTTTGCAACACAACGACCATGGTTGGATTACCCAGATTGGGACAGATTTGCAATCGATATTTCTAAATCACGAGCTGCTTCTTGCCAATTAAGCATATTATTTTCCTCCAGTTTCCTCAAGGATGGCAAGGAAACAAAGTTTAGGCAATGGATAGAGTTTGGAACGGATAGGCATTTACGGTTTGGAAAACATGGGAAAGAGTGGTCCACCTCGACAAGCAATACTTACGTCGTACTCGTGACAAATTACAATAAGGAAAAATTAACAAAAGTTTCCCTGAAGAAATACCTCTTTGTATCCTCCATCGAAAATTTCGGAATTGTCTTTAAAAGAACCAACAATTTATTAGAGCTATGCGTCCTAAGAAGTGGGGAACGACCTGAAATGCGAAATTTTAACTGTGTGACAAACATTCAGTCAGATTTCCTAGAAAAATTTCATTCTATGCAGATTAACCTACAAAATTGGAAACTGACTACGTTAGAAAACACAGATGTCAACCTGCCCAAAGGATACAAACACAGCGATATCGTTGAATTTATAAAATAACCTGAGCTTATCAACCCTTTTGATCGTAGCAAAATTAACCAATCAATTCATCAACATATTGCACAATCCGTATTTCGAAAAAGTAATTCGACACTCATATCGAATCATATCTTCATATTGTCGAAGTTGTTCGTTTGTGTATCATAGTAGAATAAATTTGGGTACTCTGAATAAGATTCATTTGTCCCCGACTAAAATCCAAATTACAATTGGCTTTGTTGGCTATCAGTTTTTATCTTGTTACTCCGAGAAGGAAATTACTTTCAGCTTTTACATTGCTCCATTTCAGCGGGAAGTTTGGTATGCAATATTGTTTTGCGGGGTGATGGTATACTTGGTAATGCTTCTGATTGTCCGTTTTATTACCAAAGTACCAGAAGAATTTTCAATATGGGTGACTGTTTTAGCAGTAATGTTTGAAAAATGGGGCACAATTCCAGGAAAGGTTGAAAAATCTGACTATGCTCGATTTCTGCTGATGGGGTGGACGTTAGCGTGTGTGGTTTTAATAAGCTTATACAATGGTTTGATGATATCCAAATTAAATTCCCCGATGGCAAGACACCGACCGGAAGTAGTTTCAGATTTGATTTGCAGTTTAGAAGATGCACAACTATTTCATAGCGAAGGACTCAAAACCCCCGGTGAAAGATTTTTATCCAAAATGAATGAAACACTGAGCTACTTGGACGACTTCAAGATGAAATCATTTTACAACAACTTGGACCTTTCGGTCCCAGAAGAGTTAAGCAATATACCATTTCTCGACGAAGATTCATGTTTTCGATTATTGTCCCCTGTTTCAAGATTAAATTTAACTTTAATTTTCATATGGGGTGTCATTTTAAAGGAAATTTGACCAGGAATTCAAGGACGTTAATATTTTTGACCTCATGACCTTGAGGTCAAGGTCACAGGTCAAAAAGATACTTAATTGTCATATGGGGTGTCATTTTAAAGGGAATTTGACCAGGAATTCAAGGACGTTAATATTTTTGACCTCATGACCTTGAGGTCAAGGTCAAAGGTCAAAAAGATACTTAATTGTCATATGGGGTGTCATTTTAAAGGAAATTTGACCACGAATTCAAGGACGTTAATATTTTTGACCTCATGACCTTGAGGACGAGGTCACAGGTCAAATAGATATTTAATTGTCATATGGGGTGTCATTTTAAAGGAAATTTGATCGCGACTTCAAGGACGTTAAAATTTTTGACCTTATGACCTCTGGTCATATATGGAGAAATTTTAAAGGAAACTGGAATCGGTCTGACGCTACTTATTTATATTCGTTTGGAGGGTTTATTTGTAAATGACACGATTTATGTATTCAAACTCGAATTATGTTAAACTTTAGTGTAAAAACATGTATGTAAATATGTACTGCATCTTCTATTTAAAGAAATTGGGCCTAAGCAGAGGTAAATCACTGGGAGGAAGTAGCAATCTCAATCTAATGATTTACCAAAGAGGAAATCCAAAAGACTTTGATAACTGGGCAAATATTACTGGAGATGAGTCATGGGAGTATAAAAATTTGTTGAAATACTTTAAAATGTCGGAAGATTATCACGGAAATTTCCCAGATCGTAAGTATTTTAGTTTTTTTGCAAGTTATTCAATTCAAATTGACTAAGTTTTCAGTAAAAAAAGATGTTTCCTGTATGTAGCAAAGTACCACGGATTTGGGGGTCCACTCACCATTAGTAAGCAGAGTTACGAACCTCTGGTCAAAGAATGGATCTCTGCAGCAGAGGAACTCGGTTTCAATATCTCCGACCCCAACGCGGAACAGACTTCGTGTATAACATAAAAATACACGTTTATATAAAATTGCAAATGTTCAAATTTTGTAAATTAACATCAAATTCGACAGCATTTTCTCCCATTGACACTACAACTAAAATGGGACAGCGTGCCTCAACTTATCACGCATTTTTAAAGGATATTTTGACCAGAAAAAACTTAAAAATTGTTCGCTACGCAATGGTGGATAAGGTTACATACATAAACCTTTTAATGTCCAAATTATTTCGCAATTACATAAATTCTTGTGTAGATTTTAATGGTGGGAAAAAATGCGGCTGGAGTTCTTTATACGCGACATGGAGAAAAGATTGAGGTGCTCGCACGGAAGGAAATTATCCTCAGTGCAGGCGTTTTCGGTTCGTCAGCAATTCTACAAAGATCTGGAATTGGTCCCAAATATTTGTTGGAATCTTTAAATGTATGCGTTCAGTTGTAATTTATGTATTTTTTGTAAGAGTTGATTAGGAAATAAATAAATAAGATTTGATCCCTTTAGATTCCGATGGTGCACGACCTTCCCGTCGTGGGGGAAGGGCTGCAAGATCACATTTTGACAGTAGTGGGACCAGTGCTCTTGAATGAACCAGTCTCGGTAATAATCAATAACGTAATAAATCCTGGAAGTATCTTAGACTACGCACTTAACGGGCAAGGTAAATAAATATTTAATGAGATCCGCACTGTAGATTTTATGTGTAGCGTAACCTTATTGTTCATTCTCAGGTCCTTTGACATTTGGTAGCGTTTCTGGAGTTGGATTTTTTAGTACGTCTCAACCAAAGGATCCAAATTGGCCGAATATTTGTGCATTCTTTAGTCCACTGGGTGTGGGGACATCAACTGCGCAAGATGCTGCGCGAGTATTGGCCCAGGAATTTAAATATCTACAACGATATTATAACGCTTTCAAGGGGCACCATGCTGTCGAAGTATTTTTAAATTTAGCACGGCCTGATAGCAGAGGTAGTGTCAAAATCGACAGCACTGACCCTAACGTGCCACCATTAATTGATCCAAATTACTACAGTGATATTGAAGGCAAAGATATTCGAGCTATGGTCGAAGGTAAACTTGACTCAGAGTTTTCAACACTTTTTTTGTGCCAAAGTCTTATTTTTAATTTTTAATATGATGTGATGAAGGCCATTTTCAGCGAAAAAATATTTAGTTTCATGCGCTTTTATCATTAACAGATTTGTAACTATTACTGAATTGGATATGTATTTCTAAAAGCAAATCGTTACCTTTTATGATTCTTAATATAATTTGATTAATATTCAAGATCTACTGGTTTCCACTTATATAAAGCGAAAACATAGTATCAGAAGTGCTTAGTTTTCGTATGTAAGTTGAAACCAGCGTTATGGAAACCTTGGCACATTTTATACCTAAAAATGCGTAAAAATATTTCTACTATTTCTATATATGTAGAAATATCTCTGCCTAAGTTAATTATATTTGTGCAACTTAGGGTTTAAGGTTATCGTTAAATACTTCACAACTACGACGCCGTGGATGAAGCTGGGAGCGAATCCGACTCCAAAGCATTTTCCAGGTTGCGAAAACTTCCGGCTTGGGTCAGACTCCTATTATGAGTGTCACCTTCGTCATTACACGGGTATTTAATTAATTATTAATTTAGCAGGTAATTATGCGAGATATTTAGTAATTATGCAATTATTTATAACCCGAAGCATCCTCTTGGCATAGTTGTTGCACAAATCAGATGGGACCGGATAATGAAAAAATGGCCGTAGTGGACTCAAATTTACGGTAAAAACGAAATATGGGATTTATTACATATACGTTTTTCTATTTGTGAATTTTCATGCACTGTCCACGTGTCGTAGGGTACGAGGTGTACAGAAAATTCGTGTTATCGACGCTAGTATCATGCCTGTGATTTCTAACGCTAATTTAAACGCTCCTACGATTATGATTGGGGAGAAAGGCGCAAGTTTGTTAATTCAAGAATGGCAATAGTCAGAATTATTGAATATGTAAATGATGTAACTATTTACCATCATATCCTAAATATGACACAAGTACAAAATTTTATATAAAATTTTGAACATGCACATATTTACATACTTATTTTAACACCAGTAGTCATCTATGTATGCAGGCATTCTAATACACGCGTATAATAAACGTATTCTATATCATTGTAAGTTGATAAATAATACATAAACGCCAATCGGTCATTCAATGTGTAAAATAAAAATGAACTCTATGTAATAATCTTGTTAAACTTTGCCACACCATGGTTGAGGAACACGGGAATGCCACCAGGGTCGAATGGAGACATGCCTACACGGATTAAATTACAGCACAAAATTTTGGTTTACACATATTGATAATGAATTCGAGGTCTTGATTCATTTCAGAAATATTTAAAAGAGTTTCAAATTGTCTATTTTTGTACGAGATTGTGACGTATTAAATAATTCTTGTTTGACATTATCTTAATCTATTCGATAGATTCGAATCTATTCATTCATAGTAATCTTTCTACTTAAAAATAAAATTCATCACATTTGATACTAGCATAAATTCACCGAATTTCCAGCTTAATTTAAAATAATGACGCAAGGACATGAAATTAGTTGATTGATGACTGCATAGTTAACCCCTTATCAACCATTTTAAATTGATAAATCAACATCAAGCATATTTATGTAGGTTATACGGGTATAAATTACACACGAGCTTTAAAACTATAATCAATCAACTACTTAATTTCACGGGAATACTGCTAAATGGATCTGAGAATTCGGCGAAATTTTGCTACCAGAAAATTTCCAAACCTGTGGATTTTATTGGGAAAAGATTGCAATGATTGAATACATGGGAAATCACATGAGATTATGTTGATGCATACATAATTGTTTAAATACTTCAATCCCGTATAAAAACGGACAATTTGCCATCACATAAATTAATACAACACATGTAATCATCCACAAAACTAAAAATGAATTTACTACAGGCCACAATCGTTATGGTTTTCCTTACCGGGGCTTATTCAGCCCCGAAATCTGAATTTTTAAGCACGGTCATTTCATCGAACGAAGGTGAAATCCAGTTAAACCTTCGAAAACCGGGTATCAGACTTTTAAATACAGTGTTCAGTACTATTGATTGGAAAATGGTTAAGGGTGATGGAATTTCTGCCCGCCAAAAACACGTGCCCATTTGATTAACATTGCGAGCGGGCTGAAATTCAAATCAAATCCATCACCCTTAACCAGTTCCCAGTCAATAAATAAGTAATCTTAAGAGTATAAGAGTTTTATAAATATGCATTATTTTATTTAGATACTCCAATTTTCCATGATAACTTCAAGGTCATTTTGTCAACCCGAAGTGAATCTGGTGAAACAATTCTGCTTGATGGAACACCATCGAAGGAAATAATTTCTCAACTTGACGACCAAATTCATATTGATCCGGACTCAAATGCCGTTGTCAGATTGACTACGGTGAACGGACAGACGCAACTGGTACGCTTCAATGCATACCACAATGTTCTGTGTTTAGTCGTCTTTGCCAAAATATTTTGTATGCACTAAAGGTGACCAAATTTTCTTTTTTTAGTTTGGACATATCAACAATCGCATGATTTCTTATCACGATGGTGAAAATATCCACAAATTAGGAGATGAGAGTCTATCCGAGGAGGTGTCTGACTACTGTAAGTAGATAGTACATATGTAAATACATACATAATTATATCAATTGCACAAATAACCATCTTACCACCTTAAAATTTCAATAGTGGAAATTCCTGAGGAAATCAGAGTAGCACATCCCCCCGTCGCAGTAAATAGATCCATCGACGCCGTTGTCACTGTAGAATTACTCATCGTTGTCGACAATATGTTAACCTCACTTTTGGGAGGAGATGTTAACAGGATATTAGAATATTATGCTGTAACTGTGAGAAGCGTTAACATCAGATATGCAACTAGCTCGGATCCCAGCGTTACCGTTAAGCTCGTTGGAATTGTGGTAATCCAGGTAAATAAATGCACGGTTAAACCAAAAAAAATCATAGTCTAAAATGAAATAATCTTCTAATTTCTAAAATTTTCTTCTATAATTTGTAGAACATAGCAAATCAACCATTCATCGAAGACCATCGTGGACCTGATGGTACCTACGACGCTAACGGTATTCTACCCGACTTTGGGAGATTTCTAGTCACAAATGCAAGTGCCTTCCCTCCCCACGATTTGGGAGCATTGCTTACCGGTGTTAGCATGGGGAGCACTGGGGGATTGGCTTATCTCAGTGCAGCGTGTTTACAAACATACAGGGCTTCCATAAATCGCGATGAAGGAGCAACCTTTCGTGGCGTTGGGATTCTAGCTCACGAAATGGGACACAAGTGAGACGAAATTTATTATCAAACAAAATTATGCATGGTCCCTTATTACAAATTTTCGCTTTTAGCTTGGGTGCGCCGCATGACGGTGATGCCGCGTCAGGTACGGGTGCGTGTCCAAATGAGGACCGTTACATAATGAGCACAGCGGGAGGATTTGGTCGAAACGGGCACTACTTTTCGACTTGTAGTAAGGCAACGATGAACACATTTTTTGGGTAAGTTATAAGTCTTCTAATTTGCATAACCCTTAGTCTAATAGATTATTTTAAATTATTTTGTACCGAAGAACTGCAGCTGCCAACTGTCTCTATTCTCAAGAGTCTCCAACCTGGCACACACCGTCACCCCTCTTACCAGGCGATTTGATAACCTTTGACGATTTCTGCCGGGTTTATCGCCCCGAGGCATACGTTTCGGATACCCAAACCCCTGACGAGCTCTGTCAAAATGTGCGATGCAAGTATCGTGCTCCGTGTAATCCACCGGATGAAGATTTCACCTGTATCTGGACTGCAACACTGAATCAGATGGCACCAGATGGCGTTGCTTGTCGAACTGGTGAGGTAAGGCGAAATAATGATTAAATATGTCAACGCTATATTTACGATACCTATGATTATTGCACTATTTCCAGAGATGTACGCTTGGCACGTGTCAAAATTAATATCCTTATAAAACCAGTATGTACGCTGGGAACAAAACCCTTACTTTATTAGCCGAATAGTGTCAGCGACAATTTATAAGAAATAAAGTACGCAATTTAATCATGCACGTAGTTAATTAGATTATTCAATGATTATTTTTTCATGACCTGTACCCGTGAATTTTGGCGATTTTTGACGATTCTTAAAAATACTTATCTGTGATAATATTTGCAATATTAAACTCCAAACTCGTAACTTCGTAAAACAAATCATAGGACACCAAAGTGTTCACCAAGCTACCAAACATGCTCAACATTTATGTAACAACCGAAGCTGAAAACCTTGCTTTTCAGTATACATCCATGGTGAAAAGCAAGGTTTTTAAAATCATGACTTGCTTTCTTGCCACGCATCGAAATCTTTCTTGGCTACCAACCTACAATTTTATCGAATTTTTATCTAGACAATTGTGCGAGATATATGGAACAGTTTGAAAAAGGTGTGAGCACATTAAATATGTCAGTTAGTGTAAATACATATGTATGGAAATATTATATTTACAATAATTTACATACACACATAAATTTAAATTTGTTTATTATGCCCACCAGATCTTAAAATGCAATAAATTATTTATTTAATCTTAAAGCTAAGAATTATTTAGTTAGCATTCTGATTGAATAAGTTTCATAACAAGTAAATACACAGAATTTCATGAAATGCATCCTTTCACGACAGATTTGACTACACGACTATCTGTCATCAAGTCGAAAGTGGTCAGGCCAGGAGTGGAACTACGGAAACATATCGCCCTCCCAGTAAAATCCGCGTTCTCGTATCCCGTCCAGTTTGCAGCGTTCGAAATGATCACGCCCGTGGGAGTAAAGCTGAAATCACTCGACGCTCTTGTCACAATTTTTTCATCGCCAGAAAATGCATCTGTACCTGGAGTTCCATTATATAAGGAAATGAATGCCGTAGAGGTATCGATTTGCCCCATAAATCGAAGCGATTTCAAACCACTGGCGGAATAATTAGAACATGTTCCGGTATAGTCGTGTTTATTTAGAAGTTCTTCTGGCTGAAATTCAGGGGTGGAGTAACCGGTCCAGCTAAATTTGAAATTGCAAAAAAATCTGATAAGTGCAATTTTAAATGACACTATTAATATCTTACAATCCGAGGACTCTAATGGATTGCATGGCATCAATAAAAGTTTGCTGGTAGGTTGTCAAAGCGGACTGTTTTGATCGAAAAAGTAACCCATCTCCTTGGCAGCTGGGTTCTTTAAAGATGTAAATCTCTTGGAGCACACTTTCCACGGTGGAAAGTGCGATGGCAAATATCAAAATAGTTTTGAACAACATAATTCGATTTTTTGCTCTAATTTCACTGCAAGGAAAGTAAGTTTACTATTCGAGTAAAGTTATTTTCTATTTGTGAAGTAATTAGTTAATAGAGAATGAAGAGCTTTGCGTGCCAATGGTTATCGTGATTCCAGTTAGCAATGCAGATTAGATTTAGTTTATCATATGTGTTGATAATGTGAATACGTATAAATCACATAATTGATTGAGACATATTCGATTGGTACGTATTTAAATCGTGAAAGATTATGCATACCTATTTTTTAAGTGTTAGAAAACCGATGGACAAAATAAAGTTTTTGGTCCAACGGTGTTCTGTTGATGAGGTCGTTATACTACATACTTATTTAGTCGTCGTTAAGAACAATAATTTTCAATTTTATCAAATATACGGATGTAGATGATGCTGATATTTCCTTTATTCCCAGTAGAAAATTGTACCCTGAAATTCAAACATTTTGCAATCTGCACACTACTTTTTCATAAGCTTTATTTGCATACTATTATTAGAAGTTATATTAATAAAACTCTATGATTAGAAGAATATGTCTTCATAAGCAGGGCACTGTTATGGAATGAGGGAGAAATGAATGCATTGCATTATCTGTATTGCATAATGGTACAGTACATACATATGTACATACATAAACGTCTCATGAGTAATAAATGCTTTCTCATGAGATCTCTACTTTGCATGCCGTAAGACGTTGTACACATATCTACTATAGTTTGGCATATGCACGTAAGTAAAAACGTATTTTCCCTTTTCATGAATCTGTTGATTTTCTTAAATAAGAGCCAAAAGATGTTCGTGGTGTCTGGCCTCTGTTTCCCTCTACGTACGTACTGATGAGACTCGTTCAACGACAAGATGCAATCTATTCTTAATTTCAACGTTCTGCAAATCGCATCAACCTTGCGTGGACTTTATACATACACGAATGTGCTCATGAAGTCAAAGTTTACTCTGGTTTTATTTGTCCTAATGTGAATCATCAATTCTCATGAAAACCCAGGACGGGTTACAGCCAAATATGTAAATAGAAGCCTGTCTCATTTTGAAAATTCCCGTATTAGTAGTTGGACGCTTGATCTAGTGTGATCCGCATTCAAGATTACAAAAAAGCTATAATTATTTTGTCACTTTAAATTTCTACACACTCGGTAACCGATTAAATATTTTATTCATAATTTAATTAGTCTAACGTATAGAATTGTTTTCTTCTAAAGTGGTAAATAATGGCGACTTGGAAAAGTGCAGTTGAACGGTCAAAAATTGGACAGGGTCATCAATTTTCACCTTCTAACCAATGTGTTGGTGGCGACGCTCCAATATTTCAAGGACGGATGGAACCTTTTCCCCTGCAAAAAATCGAACCAATAATCACATTTTACATAAAGAGACACGGCAACACTGAAAAAATCCTTACCCTGGGTCACGACTCGGATGAAAGTGTTATCAGGGATTATACTCGATTTTTGAAACACTTGAGATGCGGTCGTGTCATTTTGTTGACGCATGGATTCCTCAGCGGATGTGATAAAGATTGGCTGGAAGAGATGAAGGATGCGTTACTTGGTGTCGACAAGCAAATCGTGGCTTTGGTCGGATGGAAGGGTGGAGCTCATGTCATTAAATATGACGCGATGGATTTATTTCGCCAACCAAATCCGTACATACAAGCGGCCGCGAATTGTCTGGCGGTGGGTGCGTGGGTGGGGAAAGTGGGGAAAGTGGCGACCTGGTTGGCTAAGGCGATGGGCTCGGAAAAGGACTGCCTTTGGAGGATTGGCCACAGTCTCGGTGCTCATTTGATGGGGAAGGCTGGAGAATCGGCTAAGAAGGTGATAAATTATAATTTGGATTTTTTTGTCATGAACAAAGCAGATTGGTAAATACACGAGAATGTCAGATATATACACATAAATAAGTTTGGGTAGTAAAATATTAAATACACTTGTGACTTATGAAAACTTTTGTTGGGTTATGAAATGTAGAATTCTGTTTTATCGTGCAAAAATATGAATTTTAAATAAAATTAATAATTTTGTACTTAATAATATCCCCTAATTTTTCAGCTGATGTCGACATCTCGCCCAGTGTTTGACAGAATTACTGGTAAGTTAACTTACTTAATGCAACAATTCATAAACAATTTAAAAATAATAATAATAATAGATTTATTTCAGCACACAAATTTTGTCAAATAATTTACAAAAATGATCAAACCCTATCTAGTAGGAAATATCTTGATCATCTACGTCGCTTAAACAATATCAAGCTCATCTTGATTTAACATAAATATATTGTTTTACAAATAATAGTTCGAGTTGATTAAATTATTTCATCAATAAATACCTTAACTTATTTCATCAATAAATAGGTCCTTAACTTATTTTTGAACGTAACATAACTCAGTTCATCCTTAATGTCATTAGGTAGTGAATTCCATAATAATATTCCCCTAAAGTTACAAGAGTTTCTCCCAAATTCTGTCCTTGGCTTCATGGTACTACGAAAATTATTGTTGCTCGAGCCCCGAGAAAAATCTATAATTAGGTACTGTTATGTATATGGATAAAAATATTGATCTTGTAAAATTGGAGTTTTAAAATTATCCCTGACAGGACTGGACCCTGCTGGACCAGGATTTCAAACTAGACTACCAGGATATCGCCGCATCTGCAAGAATGACGCCGCCATGGTGGACATTATTCATACTGACGGACGACACAAGGACAGCAGCGTGATGATTCCTTATTTCGGGACTATCCTCCCCCTCGGAACCATCGACTTTTATCCAAATTATGGTTTTGGTAGGAGAGACGACACCTTAGGAAATCATAGTCTCGCCTATGAGCTCTTTACTTGGAGCATTAATAATAAGAAGAGGCTTGAAACTTGCCAAGAACTGAGGGATAATCCGTCAATTACTATCCTGTATCCGATCGGGGTTAAAGTTAATGCTTGCACGTCGACAAGGGAGAGAAGCAAGGGGGCAGAAATGGGATATTATACGAATAAGGGGAGTCATCGCCATGGGAATTGGTATATGGAGACAAATTCTTATCCGCCATTCGCTCCCGTACTGAAGATGAGGAGATCATGTCTGGATCCTCGTCCACATGTTGCAAGATCTAGGTCATTAGAGCGGAATGTTTTGCGGAGTGGTGGTGGATGTTGGGGGACAGGGACGTTTCCTAGTCATGCTGCTCCCTTACCTGACCCGGTAGAAATAGTTAAGGACGTTTTAGACAAAATCAACCCATTTAAATCAAATTCGTGGAACCTGGATTCAACTGGTCGCGGGGGTAGCTGCTTTTAGACGACAAACTAAGATTTAAAAAAATAAAAGGTGCGTAATTCCGATAGCCCGTTAAAATTATGAATTCGCCAAGTATGTACTGTTGGGGATGTTGGCTCCCAACGAGCAATTGTGTGAAAGTTAGTGTTTCGAAATTTGTGGATGGTTTGTGAAGGTAGAAACTGAACGGCAGAGTTTCTGTGCGGATAGCGAGACTGCACAGAAGTGTGTATGAATGGAGTTTCTGTGCGGATGGCGAGATTGCACAGAAGTGTGTATGTGGAGTTTCTGTGCAGTGCAATGATGCGGCACAGAAATGGATCTGTCCAAAATGTAAGAATGGACAGATTGTGAATGAGGCAACTTGAGACGATAGGAGATTACTAATGTCACTTAATTATTGTATTGTCATAAAAATGTGTAAGTTACAAAAAGGGGCAAATTAAGACTATGGTGACCAAATGGACAGAGTGACAGTACAGGTAACTGCAGAATGACAAAGAGGATGGAAAATGCACCCGTATTTATAGAGTACGTGTGAGTGACCGAGCAAGGACAAAAGTTATACAAGATTTTACGGAAAAGTACTGACTTGAGAAAAGGTACAAACTTGAAGAGACTTCTAAGAATTGAATAGGGAAATACAGATAAAATGGTCAACTCACATTCAAATAAAGGTTACATACATAATTGAATTAGTCTAATGAGGTTAAAAATCAAAGATTATCTTGAAGTAAGCAAAATAGATAAAACTGAGAATAAGCATAATTGAACTTCAAAGCGAAGACAATGACATGGTCATAATTATAAAACACGCTAAATTGAAATACATTTACATTTCTGAACAGTACGTAAGTATGTTTATTTAGTAATTATGTATAATTGTAAATTTATTAGCAAGACATTTCTATAGCGTTGTATGTGTGAAACCATATTTCTAAATTCTCGATACCGTTTTGGATAATTGATGTTTGTGCGACTATGAGACGGATTGGTGTTTATGTGGTCAATAAAAATTCATGAGAGTGTGGCTGATTTTTTCTTGAGTTAAATAATTTTCCTACATATTACGTGTGAAGCTATATATACCTCGGGTAAATTTAGTCATTTTTATTAAAGCACATGTATCAAAGTTATGAGTACTACGCTATATACTGGTTTCGTGCAATAGTTGTCGGATCAAGAAACGTAACCTTAAGGAAGTATTTATGTAGTGTTGATGCTACATATCTTCTCTAAAGTACCTGAAATACTGGATTTGTTTATACAATTGTTACCTGTAGAAATAAATATACTATTCCATTTTTTATGTAAATGAGGGTATTCATTACGAGTTCGCATGTTCGCATCGCAACATAACTTTTTCGAAATTGCGAATTTTGCGAAGCAACGAAGTGAAGACACTTTGCAAATGAAAAAGTTCGTAAAATTTTATTAAAATGTCTCGAATTTTGCAATGGGAAAATACGTTAATTTCCATTAGTTACCGAAATTTTGCATCTGAAATTTACCAAATAAGAAAATTCAAAAATTTGAATGGCACAACTTTGGTAACTAATGGAGATTTATGGACTTTTCCCATTGCGAAATTTGTGAAAAATCTAAGCGAACTAAATACTAGCCTTGGAGATGCGCAAGTTCGCAAATCAATTTTCAAGCCAAATTGTTTTGCGAACTTGCGAACTTTATTTTTTTGCGAACGTTGCCAACGATGCGAACTCGAAATGAATACCCTCAATGATTTGGAAAGTAGAAATGCACACTGAAGTATTTAAAATATGAATGGGTAACATAATGTTTGATGCGTAATACTGCAAGATTAAATGCATCGACCGGGATGATTTCACTAACCTACTTTTCATAAATGTTGATACATGACATTGGCATTGATAATGTTATAAATATATGTACATAAGTAACATTTGCATAGTATTTTATGTCATTTTATGTTCTACTTAAATATACATATACGAGTACGTGACGTAAGAACGCGGCTGGAATAAAAATAAATATAGTGCACTTATTTTTATTATAAATTTGTACATATCTACATACGTATTTATGCATGTATGTATGTGCACACTTATTTATGTACGTATGTACTCTGTAGGATTTTCATAAATACGTAAATTTGGGTCAATACCCATACATATACATATATGCATTTAACTGATACCTGTCGTCTACATGCGACGTTGAAATTTATTTACAAACTTTAGTTTGACAAGTACTTAATCGCTTGTAAATTTTGTCGGGTACTTTATAAATACTTGGTTTTGTTAAGTTTGTTTTCCATTATCTCTTAACCTAAATCTGGCAATTATCTATCATGGATGTGCGTCCATGGGAAAATTTCACGGTCACTCACTTATCACAACTCTATTACTTATTGTTCGAAGACTATTTAACTTTAAGTTGTGGAACATGCCTGATGGCGTCGAATCGTTTGTTCTTCTTGTTTTCGGCAATCGCAATTGCAGAAATTTTGCCAAGGCCAAGGACAAATTTTCTATTTCCATATGAACCACCTGTATTTCTGAATGGTTCAAATACAAAATTTGTAATAAATATTAGTCCCTTGAAGTATACCAAGCTGACGATTTTCACTTTCAGCGGAACTTTTAACACTTGGCCGATTAAAATTGATTGGGTAAAATTTAGTGGATTCACGTCATCCGTGGAAATTCTGGCCATGTCGTCAAATAGAATTATCAGAATATTAGAACATTGTGGGAAATACCTAAATTGGAATTCTTTTGTTTTAATTTATGGTACAGCACGTAAATTAAACTTGTTGAAAGAAACCTCTGTAATATTGCGGAATAATTATCACATTTTAATGTATGATCGGTATCATGTACATTATTTCTGCTATACATGCATTGAAATCAAATTTATTCGGATTAGCAAGATTCAATCCAAAGAGTCAAACGGAGATAACGTCAAGGATTTCGACATTGTCAAAATTTTGCGACAAAGTTGGGAAGCAAATGGTCACTTTCATGGAGGAAGCGTTCCAGTAAATTACGGCCCATTTGATAGACATTTGGTATACCGATAAAGCTCTCATTATGTCTTACCTTTCCCCCGCACTCTAAATGAAGTTGTGTCAAATTTTAGATACCATTGTTATCATACCAATTACCTACTTGGTCATCTCTTCTTTACTCAATCTTAAGTAAATTTTGCACGACTTTATGCATGCTTAATCAAAAGAGTTTAAAGAATTTATACTAGAAATTGATCTCTATAGCAGCCAAAATAATATGTGCCCCCAAAAAATTATGTCTGACAATAGTGAGTAGTTTTATGTTTTTGCAGATTTCCACATGCTGCACCCACCAGCCATTGACATTCTTTCCCTGCATGCAGTTCAAACGAGTTCTGGAAACTCTTGTCCAGCAGTTCAACTTTACGCCTACACCCCTCGCTAAGTACCCCCGTGGAACAATACTTCATTCTGTAATCGCATATGACATGAATTTCCGACCTTCACTAGTACCTTCACACATTAGTAGATTTCTTCGCATCATTCAAAAACAAAAGTTAATTTATTGCAAACATCACACCTTACGCGAGTACACGCGAGACGGATTTAATTTTTATTCCGCGCCGTTTCGCCAAAGTGTTTGGTTAGCTATCGGGGTGACTTTTATCATCACTGGAATTATACTACTTCTGATGTCAGGATTTGCATACGGGTTGGACCCGGTTTTCGCTCTATTTTCCATCCTTCTAAGACAAGATCAAGCCAACTCGTACCGAGTTGCAAATTGGAGGAGTGCATTCTTCCTCTTGATTAGCATCATGTCCGTAACGATGCTGGCACTTTATGAGGCATGCATTACTGGCGAGTTCCTCGTTCCGGACAAAGCTGTGGTGGCGCAAGATATGAAATCATTAGTGAAGATTGACGGCTACCGAATCTATTTTCCATATGAAAAGACAGATGTAAGCATGCTTGGACTAAGGAAATTATTTGAGGCGGGCGGGATTTCTGAAATGTTGGAGGAAAAAGATGGACAAATATTTCCCGTCGTATTTGGCAATGGAGAGGACTTGAACGCGGTAGAAATGGCGAGATTACTCGCGTCAGAGAAATTATCCCTAATTACCACCTCGGAATTGGCTCCGAATCTTATTCGAGAATGGGATGGGGGTAAAAATGGCATAAATTGCTTCATTGTTCCACAAACTGTAGGATGGAAAAGACAAGGTTGGGAATTTGTGTGGCATTTGCATGCCGAGTTTAGATCGGCGTTAGAATATTATCGAGCAGTTGGTTTAATGGACGTTTGGTACAAATATGTGCATAGTTTGAATAACGCGGTTGAGAAGCAGGGCCAGAAGGCGAGGGGAATAAAATTATCGGGTAGAGTGATATCCATTTTTATAATTTTAGCTGCTGGATGTTTGGGGGCAGGGTTATGCTGGGGGATTGAATTTGGTCGCGGTTATTTTATGCAGACAAGTCCTAAGTAGTTGAATTTGGCTTGTGAAGAACTTGGTTACAAAAAGTATAGGTATAAGAAATTACATAATTCTAAAGCAAATGCCAAAATTGTAATAATTTGTTGCTTGTTAAATCAGTATGTATGTACATAAATGAATACAGGATTTAAGCTTTATTACATAAATGTATTTTTAAATAATTAATATAATTTCAGAAAGTCACTACCAATTTTCCTAGAAATGTATGTATACCTAATCCACCTTTCAGATAACGTCGGTAGCATATTTATAGCTAACCACACGTTTCGCGTTACAATCTCTTGTTACGGATTGGATATTATTAGACTTCAGGTCAAAACTGGCTAACCCAGTTGAATTGTTGATAAAACAAATCCCTTCACCCATGAACTCAGGGTCGGCATATCCTATCCAGCTTTCAGCATTCGAAAGGACTAGTCCAGTCGGGGTAAACCCAAAATTTTGTCCAGCTAGACCAGTTACAAGAAATTCCGTTCCAGAAATATGTTCCGGTTCGTCGATCCCTTGAAAGAACGAGATGAATGCCGCGCTGGTGTCGGCAGTGCCGAAAAACCGGAGCGATCTTGCACTCGGAACGGAATAATTAGTACAGGATCCACTATACCCCTGGTGAGTCAGCCCTTGCGGGGCTCCATAGTTTGGATGGGTGTAACCTTGCCACCTAGAAATAAGACAGGTACAATACTTAAAAAATAAATAAATTCTTAAAAAAAAAGCTTAGGTGAGGCTTGCTTAAAAGGGGAAAACAAGCTGTTATCATCGTGTACTAAAATAATGTGGTGCATCAGTGTTTATCCCAGAATTATAATTTTCGGTAAATATCCCAACAAATAATATGCATTAGGGACTATTTGCCTCACCGGGGGCCGTGATCAATTGGTTGATACAAATATACCTTCTTGACATATATATTGATATCATGTATTGATATGAAAAATTTACAGTAATTAAACTCTGTCACTATTTGATTATGATATTATCTTTGATGACCAGCATGAATATATTTCACAAATTTATTGATGATGGACAAAATTCTTGAAATTCAGTATCATAAGTTTGACCATTAATCGATTATACGTAGATAACGAAATTCGATGAGTCTTACTCAATGATCAGAGCAAATTACTCAAAATTAGGAACGCATAGGAATATATTAAATAAGCAACAAATTAGATTACTCAACCCCAATTACCACATTAATGAAATTAAAAATTTATTTCAATTGTTTGTATTACAACACGGCCCCGGGTGAGGCAAATGGTCCCTAATGCATATTATTTGTTGGGATATTTACCGAAAATTATAATTCTGGGATAAACACTGATGCACCACATTATTTTAGTACACGATGATAACAGCTTGTTTTCCCCTTTTAAGCAAGCCTCACCTAAGCTTTTTTTTAAGAATTTATTTATTTTTTGTTTTTAAGCCTACAAATAACCTAGAGTCCAAAATTAACTATCCCCTTAGAGTGTAGATGCATACCAAATTAATTCCAACGTGTGACGTGTGGGTGCGTTGCGCCAGATTAATTCCCGTAAATGTGAATGCATACGCTTTAAAAATCTGGTGTAGTGACGCCAGTATTGATTTGTTTGGTATTAAAGTTACTACCGTTTGGCATTAAAATTATAAAATTATACCGGTCCGTAAAATTTTGCTACCAAGCTATTATTACAATTTATTGCTTATCATTTATCAATACTAATTTTAATTTGCTACCGATACTTACTACGCAGTATTACGTATCAATACCACTGGTAGATTCATATATGAATACTGCTTGGTATTATTTTAATACTGGATTTCTAAGATTGTACATGCAGATGCACATATTTACATACGTCAGCACATAATTTCTCGTATGCTGGTTACTAATGGAAACCTCGTATTTAGGTATGCATGATAAGTAATGGAGGACTGTTATAAGTAACGTAAAACGTAACTGGTTGCAGATGCCACCGAGAAAAGTCCTTCATTTCTTATCCGATTTCGCTCGGGTTTGTTTTAAATGACGCGTTATAGCTTTCTGCATATGAAAATTAAGGTCCCGCACTATCATTGCATGGTAAAAGTGAATTTGCCAGTCATTTGAAAGTTTAAAATCGATTTTAAATGCGTTGAAATAAGATTGTCATGTCTCTAGACCTGACGAGCATCATCTACCCAGCAAGGTCTGCACGATTGCCTTTTACACCATTTTGATACGATTAGTCGTTTTGCCACAATCTTCGGTGGAATATTTGGAGGGGGGTCTGTTTGCATACTAAGGCTTCGCCGTAACCATGCAATTTTTTATGTGGTCATGGTTACTATGCCTCACCTAAGAAAAATTAAGAATTTTCGACCTGATTTTTAGCAGGAGATACATATATCTAAGAATATGTAGTAAATAAATTTCCCATTTTTTTAAATTTCGCATTTTATGTACCACGGCAGGATAATAATAATAAATTATTATTTTATATAAATGGCTAATAGATTTTCTCATTGTCAGTCGTTAAAACGATATCACTAATTGTTGTGAATTAGAGTAATTATTACTTGTAAAAGAGAAATAAACTGTATATTTTGTTGATTATTTACCATCCAATGACTTTGTAAGATTTAGATTGGTTTATAAAGTTAATTTCGTCTGTTTCCAGATTTGGTCGTTTTGATCGAAAAATAATCGCATCTCCTTGACAATCCGGCTCGGAAAATATAGTAAGTTCCTGAATAACACACTCCGTAAGGTAAATGTTAGCGAGGAGAAATACGAAAAATGTCTTGAAATACATTTTTCTAACTTTTTTTTTACAAACTCTGGAATAATTTTTTACAAACTCTGGAATAATATAAATAATAAAATCTTTTCAATTCATGCACAGCAATGCATGTAATGAATGAATGATTAACGTCAAGATAAAAGTTAGCTTCCTCGAAACTTTCAATCGAGATTAGATGTTATCGTAAAGTTTATAAAATGCACTGAATTTGGGACATGTCGCCGAAATATTTGCAAAGTTGGGTGGGTGGGTGATGTGCGCAAAAAGTATGTAATATAACATTTATACATATGTACGTATGTACATTATGCATACAAATAAAGTTCTGGGTTTATCTGTAGTGATTAATGATTTATCGATAAATTGAAAAAATTTAAGTGACATACTGCCCAATATTTTTGTACACTATCTTGACTGATTGGCTTGACGATGGGTAATGTGAATGTATTGATATATTTGCACTATGAAGACAATGATTACCAATGTTGGGCTCATATTGCCTAATTGGCACAGGTATTAAATATATTACACAAGTAACGTAATGTATGTAAGCAATCATATTTTCATACGTTCATACCTGTGCATTTACATGTGTATGTAGCTGGAGAAAATGCACAAAAGTGCACTAATTAAGGATAATTTCCTATAAGTTACATAATTGGCGTCATCCTAAATTCTGCAACTCGTTACTGTTGAAAAAATTCATGTGTATGCATTTAATAAGACCTCACAAACAGCAAACTTAACGAGTACGAAACAAAGGATGCGTCTCTGAACCTGACTTGTCCTTCCATGAATGAATTGTATGTAATAATGCGTGAAAATCTGTCTAAATCGTCTCACGCTTACACAACCCTGCACTTGTATTTTACCTTGCAGGAAAACTATATCAACTTTCTTGCTAACCAACGAATCTTGCTCATTAACTTATCTCTTCATCTATAAACAAATAAACAATTTAGCAAAATCTTGAAGATTAATTTACGTCCATTTTTCTGGTAAATAGAGTTCTTAATTTTTGGAAAGAATTGCAGAATAGACTTTAAATTCACAAGTTGCATTATCAGCTTTCAGGATCAGTCATCGAAACAATGCCCATGAATGAGTCAAGGACAATGCTGAGAATAATTATTATTTATTAAAAAAGTCTTGACTTTACATAAGTTTCTTAATGTGCGGTAACTTAAATATAGCAGCATCACTTCCTTGTTTAAGACAAAAGTAAGGATAAACATTAATTTGATTGTACTTTACCAGATGATCACCAGTGCAGATTCATCAGTGCATAAGAAAACCTCAACAATGGGCTTAAAATCTGTAATATTCTGCATTCATACCATTCTTCTGGTGGGTCAAACAATTTCTTCAACTATAGACCTTAGTTTTGACCCAAATAGGATCAAATTCTATTTAATCGCAAGTTCAGGGTATGTCGGGTATTTAAATTTGTTGCATAAAATAAAAAGAAATGCTAATAAAATTTTCTAGTTTTCCAGAGGAAATTGAATACTTGGATATCTTGTCGCTACAAAGCTGTTCAATTAAAAGAGGGGAGCCCACAATTTTTCTCATACATGGATTCGCTACCCCTGTGAATTTTATCCTGGCAAATAGTAAAATGCTAACGACATAATTTTTTTAAATGGAAAATAATTTCATTTAAAAATTTTCAGGAAGTTTGATACTGGATTTTTTAAGGATTCCCAAATTCACGGCGAACTTTATCCTTGTGAACTGGTCAGGATTGTCTGGCAGCTTTTTGAATCCTGTCCACCATCCAGACCTGGTTATTGGCAACGTCGCCAAAATTGGGGACAGAATTGCGGATTTTATAAAATGGCTGGATATGGAAGGGGGCGTCGATTTGGATAACACTCACTTAATTGGTATATCCCTTGGGGCGCATATTGCGGGACGAGCAGGTGCAAAAATTCAGCAGGATATGGGAGGAAGAAAGATAATGCGAATTACGGGTAGGGAAAGATAAGATTTTGCAAATTAAAAAAAATGACGTAATTTTGGCTGCTTTTGTATTTAGGACTCGATCCAGCAGGTCCACCCGACAATCTTGGAGTCCCGCATTGGAAGCTAGAAAAGAACGATGCCAATTTTGTAGACGTCTATCGTTCATACATTGGACCTAACTATGACGACGGGATATTACATGCACATGTGGATTTTATAAGTGTGTAAATAAGTCAATTCTTTATGAAATTTTATGAAATATTAAGCCTATTGCGCACCATTGTCATTGGTAACCTATTAAATCCGTAATTTCTGTAAATAATTTTACAAACTTTTACAACATAAAAAGACGTCCATGATCTGAGGAAGTTGACAAAAATTCGTAAGCTAATTTTCCCTAAAAGTATTTGTAATTTGTAAAAGTTTAAAGAAGATACGGATTTTGCAATGTTGCGTTGCCAAGCCTATGAGTGAATTGTCTCATTGCACTATTTGTGAAAAAAATGCGTATTTTATTTTCTGGGATGCAAAGATGCATGCACATGTTTAAATACATACGTACTGTCCAAATTCCTGAAATTTTATTTTTTTAGGGAAAACCTTTCATACTGATTTTTAATTTCAGTAAATAATGGCCAATCCGAACCGGACTGCAACTTGGTTGCGAATGTTTTATTCTGTAACCATAACCTGGCTGTTTCCATGTTTCTGGATTCCATGAGGAAACCGTACACTGCATGCCAATGTTCACAAGGGGAGCTGGATGCGTCAAGTTTCAAACTGTGCATGGCACAGTGTCCACTGCCCGTCGTTGCGGGGATAAACGCTCGAAATTCGTGAGTCCATATTTCCAGAAATTTATGCTTCGTCATATTTTTATGTATTTAATTTATACATTGCATGTTGTTTAAGATCGAGAGGAGAATATCACATAATTTCTCGGAATGTGCCACGTCTGGGTGAAATTTTTGCAAGGAATTAAACCGAAGGATCAAATGGTGGAGAGTAGTACTTACATAAGTGTATTAAATAAAAAAATTATAATCTCAAAATTCCCACTGGAATTTAATTTTATTCATACACGTTCGATTTTAACCTTTGCTAGATGCAATCGTATAGAAATTTTGGGAAATCATGTAGCCAATGACCAGTGAATCGATTTAGTCAATCCGTAAGATTGATACACACATCATTATTCACATACATTTTATTTATTGGACTCGACACGTCGTGCAAGAATTTCAGTATTATCGTAAACATGACGTGTTATCAAATGTAATATGTAAGGGATCATCTTTATACTTACGATGATTGCCACTTAATATTTTGTTAGAGAAATATGTATGTATACCTGGTAAATAAAAATTGAAAAATTAAATATGCTGGATTGGAATTAATTTTGTATGCATTTATAATATTTTGATTATGTAAGTAATATTGTTGAATTTACTGTTTGTATTATTAACTGAAAATTTAAAAGTAGCAATATCTGTAGTGAATACTGAAAATATAGTTCTTCATTGTCTGTATGTTCAATAATTTACATGACAGGTGCTTTACTATGCTTTCATACTTTAATGAGAATCGATTCGATAATGAGTATTACGAGCTATGTATGTATGCATACTTAAATGTGTAAATTACCGACATCAAAGTGACCTTATAGTATTCGTACAACTACTTAAAATAATAAGAGACAATTCATAATTGAGCAGGTGCAAAATTGCTGAATTACAAGTGTAGTACAACGATCAACAAAGTTATTGCCAAACCACAATTTCAGTGGAGTAAATGATTTACAAATTCTTCTTCCAATTTTGTTACACCTTTCTTCAATAGTTATTCTGCCCAAATACCTTGAAGTGTTTACATAAATTTTTCCTGATGCGGTAAAAATGATTAAATTTAGCATGGTAGCTTCCACAAATTCAAGACACATGAGGCTGTAAGGTAACATTTTCGAAGACGCGTGTCCTAAAATTAACACAGACCCTGCCAGAATCTGCGCTACTGGTGCGAAATACGCCACAACGGGAAAAATTCTAGTTTTTATGCACGAGTTTAGAACTGCCGCAAAAATTTGAAGTTGTCTGTATTTAATTAGCGGCAGTTTTCCTTTATGGGTGGTCGAGCTATTTGTTTTATCCAGGAGGAAAATAATTCCTGAAAGTGGTATCATCATCCCGTGAAATACTGCGGCTGTTGTGATTTGAAAAAATATGAGGTACTCGAAACTAACGAGTATGATATGGACAAGCAAGTTGATTATGATGAAGTCACAGTCGTCGGAATCCGCAATTATGGAAGCTGTGCAAAATTTTGGCGAGAGTATGAGCGATCCAATTAGGGGAAGTTGGCAAGGGTTGATAAATACCATGATGGAAAATAAGAAGGGACACGTTAGGAGGGTGAAGTCAAGCAGTTTGAAGATAAGTTTGACCCAAATGGGGGACAAGGTGTGGGAAACATTTTCTGAAAGTTTACAAAATTTGTGTATACATTTTCTTGTTTGAAAAATATAAATTTATAGCATAGATATCGATTGTCAACAAATAAAAATATGTAAATAATTTTCCGGCAGAAAGCTAGAAACGTAACAGGATTATTGTGGAAACGACCATTTAGCAAATGTCGGCACGATGACGCCACATTACGAAACAACTGACTACATATGCTAATTTATGTAGTATATGAGAGGTAAAATTGCAATTTCGCGGAAATATTTCCAATCATTACCAACGCGTGAACAATTTAAATACAGTAACGTCTTTGAAGCACAATTGTCTTACCATTTTCGTCCTTTCCCCTGCCATGATTGAGAATGACATTCAAAAATTGAACGCACGTAGGACTACCCTCCAACTCTAAACGAATAAGGAATAGTGACAAAATTGGCAGAGTTATCAGTCCTCCGAACTGAAGTTTTTCCAAAGGGGACGAATGAGACAGAAAAAGTGCGAATAATTGTGCGATCAAATGTACAAGGTGTATAAGGACGGAGGCGTTTACAAAATATTTGCAGGACAATGTTGTCACACGTGAAACTAGTTGATCCTCCTCTTTCCAATAATAATGCAAAGAAGGAAGTTTCTGACTGAGGTTGAGGACACGTTTCAAGTGTGGGGAAAGGATTTTGGAAATCATTTCCACTTTTCAAATTGGACTGATTAACGATGAAATAATTTGATTTTGTTTCGTAGCACGAAGTTTCATGGAATATCTGAATAAAATGTTCTCAACGAGGTACATATGCTCGATAAGGGAAATCAGCCACGCGCAGATAAAGTATAAATTTGCTATGTGTCCTTAAAACCAGTTGTGGTTTGTGGTACCTGATGAATAAATACTTGGACATGGTTCTGCCTATGTCTGAAGCATTGCAATTGTTTGCTTTTAAATTTGCAGGCATGTCTCTTGAATTATGAATTTATTTAGAATTTATGTAGGATTGATTGACTAAGGGTAAAGTCTAAACGTTACAAAATTTAAAATGGGTCTATAATTCAGAGTTTAATTAGATGAGTATGTGAAGTTAAAGTGAGGAAATCTTGTATGTATTTACAAATACATATGTATATTTCACTTGAGTTTTAACCTCAAGCCTTACATACATATGTAAGTATTGCCTGCATGATAGATTTGATAGGATCCTGTATGGATTTATTCAGTTTAGTAATGTATCAAATTTAATTAGTGTATAAAAAGAATGGAAATACCCTACCGTACTAAATATTTACTAATTTATCTATATAAGCTGAACATGGTGCTGAACATGATCAGATTACAGATATACACATATATATATTTCAGAGTAGTATACTTTATTCCATTGAAGTCAATTTGGTATATGTACATTACACATGCTGCGTTGGATATGTCGTATTGATGAATTTATTATCTGTATTATTTACTGGAAATTTCAAAACAATAATAGTGCAAGTTTAGTTTTCTACTGTCCGTGTTTTCAATAATGTGCACAATAAGTACTTCAGTTTGCTTATTTTAATGCAAATCTACGCTTTTCACAGGCTACTATGCATACTTAAATATGGAAATTACCGATAGCCCTATGTATCATAACTCTTAAAATAATAAGAGACAATTCATAGTTGAGCAGGTACAAAATTGTTGAATTACAAGTGTAGTACAAGCATCGACAAAGTTATTGCCAAACCACAATTTCAGTGGAGTAAATGATTTACAAGTTTTCTTCCCAATTTTGGTACACCTTTCTTCACTGTTTAACCTGCCCAAACACCTGGAAGTCTTTACATAAATTTTCCCTGATCCGGTAAAAACGATCAAATTTAGCATGACAGCTTCCACAAATTCAAGAGACATGAAGCTATAAGGTAACATTTTCAGAGACGCGTGTCCTACAATTAAGACAAACCCACTCAAAATCTGAGCTGCAGGTGCGAAATACGCTACAACGGGAAAAATTCTAGTTTTTATGCACAAATTTAGAACTGCCGTAAAAATTTGAAGTTGTCTGTATTTAATTAGTGGCAGTTTTCCTTTGTGAGTTGTCAAGCGATTTGTTTTCTCCAGGAGGAAAATAATTCCTGAAAGTGGTATCATCATTCCTTGAAATACTGCGGCTGTTGTGATTTGAAAGAATATTAGGTACTCGAAACTAGCGAGTATGATACGGACCAGAAAATTGATTATGATAAAGTCCCAGTTGTCAGATTCCGCAATTATGGAAGCTGTGCAAAATTTTGGTGAGAGTATAAGCGATCCAATGAAGGGAAGTTGGCAAGGGTTGATTAATACCATGAGGGAAAATACGATGGGACACGTTAGGAGGGTGAAGTCAATCAGTCTGAAGATAGTTTTGAGCCATATGGGGGACAAAGTTTCTGAAAAGATGCGAAATCTGGGTTTATGTACGCATATATGTATGCAGATATCTACTTACAAACTTTGTTAGTTTTTTTTATTTTTAAACTATGTATATCGCTTATATCGCTTTGGTAACGATTTGCAACAAACAAAATGTACTTCTCCGGCAGAAGCCTATGAATGTAGCATCATAATCGTGGGAACAACCATATAACAATAGTCTGCAAGGCGTAACAACTGACATTTCAATGCTAATTTAAAAGTGAAATATTTTTTCGCGGAAAATTATTAGCTAAAATCGTTACCAACGCGGGAGAAATTTACAGATAGTAACGTCTTCGAAACACAATTGTCTCACCATTTTTGTCCTTTCCCCTACCGTGATTAAGAATAGCATTCAAAAGCTGAACGCACGTAGGGCTAGACTCCCACTCCAAACGAATAAGCAATACTGCCAAAACTGGCAGAGTTATCAGTCCTCCGAACTGAAGTTTTTCCAAAGGGGACGAATGGGACAGAGATAGAGCAACTAGTTGTGCTATCAAATATGCAACGTGTATAAAGACGGAGACGTTTACAAAGTATTTGCAGGACAATGTCGTCACCCGTGAAACTTGTTGATCCTCCTCTTTCCAATAATAATGCAAGGAGGGAAGCTTCTGGCTGAAGTTGAGGACGCGTTTCAAATATGGGGAAAGAATTTTGGAAACCATTTTCAAAATTCCACTTTACTAATCAGACTGATTAACGATGAAATAATTTGATTTTGTTTCGTAGCACGAAGTTTCATAGAATAAATAAAATGTACTCAACGAGCTATGCTCGAGAAGGGAAATGAATTTATAAGTTTATATGTACATATAAATTTTCCATATTTGTCCTTAGAACCTATCGTACCTAATGAACAAATACCTGGTTCTGCCCTTGTCTGCAGCATTGCCAATGTTTGCTTTTAAATGTGCAGGCATGTCTCTTGAATTATAGATTGATTTAGAATTTATCCAAGATTGAAAAATGAAGGGTGAAGTCGGAAAGTTATAAAATTTACAATGGGTCTATAATTCAGGGTTTGATTAGATGAGTATGTAAAGTTAAAGTGAGGAAATCTTGTACATACATATAACCTCAAGCCTTGTATTAATAACTGTTACATAGATATGTACATAACTGACAGATTAGGTACATGGATTTATTCAATTTATGTAATGTATCAAATTTAGCATTGGTGTATAAAAAGAATGGGAATGCTCTACAGTCAACAGTACTACTACTTATCTAAGCTTAAGATAGATGCATTTCAGATTATTACTATACTTCATTGAAGTTTGAGAGGAAACGACACATTATTTTATCTAGTTAAATTAAATAAGCATTATTCCATGAAATTCTGGACTGAATAAAAATGAGATGAAATTTCTGGATCACTTTGCAATGCATGATCCATAAATCACTTTACATTCAAATAAGTACATATATCTTGCAACGCAACCCTGAATAATTTATATCAACACTTCACGTCGATACATGGCAGAATTTGATGTTGCGAAAGTATTTCCTAATTTGCAAGTCGTGTCATTTTTGTGAAGTTTCGCAACACCGTTATGTCCTGATTCTGTAATTGGCTCCTCATTCAGTCCCACTGTCACTCGGAAACTTTCTCTTCTTGAGCAAGAATTGGAAATTGAGACAATTTCTTGGCCTTGATCTCGACAAGCAGCCTGCTTTCTCCCTCTTCTGAGGAGGGGAGCTTGCGAGGTTGATAATAACAGATCTTGGTGCCCTTTGGATATGTGGTAGGGACCTATGAGTGTACTAAAACCCTGAAGTAGTTTGACTCCATGGCCACATTTGCGCCCGCCACACCCACTCAAAAATGCCCAAAAAACGCTTTCACTCGAGTTTTCACTCACTCAAATCCACGTCAAAAATCCAATTTTACTCGGATTTTGAAATTTCTTTCACCATTATACTCCCAGATAGTTGCTTTCTTCAATCCAATATCAAACTCAATTTTATTGATGATTATTTCGCAAACATAATTTGTTTTGTTGATGACTACAACAATGCTCATTCAGAATTTTAAATTTTAAAAATACTAAAAATTTCGAAATAATTGAGTTTGATATTGGATTGAAGAAAGCAACTATCTGGGAGTATAATGGTGAAAGAAATTTCAAAATCCGAGTAAAATTGGATTTTTGGCGTGGATTTGAGTGAGTGAAAACTGGGGTGAAAGCGTTTTTTGGGCATTTTTGAGTGGGTGTGGCGGGCGCAAATGTGGCCATGGAGTCAAACTACTTCAGGGTTTTAGTACACTCATGGGTCCCTACCACATATCCAAAGGGCACCAATATCTGTTATTATCAACCTCGCAAGCTCCCCTCCTCAGAAGATTGACAAATTGCTGTCGCAACCTTCCATCACCCGTCCACAGCACGATGACAGGGCTGAACACGATGTAAATGTAGAAACAGGCGATGCCCGTGTACAATCCGATCGTGATGAGAGATAAGGAATCACTGGTGGATTTTTTGAGATCTTGATTTTGTTCTCCGGAAGCTGAACTTTTCCTAAATGCTTCAAAAATTCGGTAAAATGTGAACAGAAGTCCGAAAGGGACCCAAAATATGATGAAAAACATTGAGTAGGACAGAATAAAGCGGACGCGTTTAAGTTTTTCCAGAGTTATGGGATTTTTTGAGACCTGAAGGGAAAATAGATGAGATAAGAGAGTTGGAAATTTATATACGTTTGGTAGTTATCTTACAGACACCTTCAATGTTTTCAGGTACTTTAGTTTCCCACGAGATTTGTACAAAACTGGAAAACATGGATCAATTATAAAATCTGATTTGACTGCGTTAAATGAAAAGCCAACTTTCACTCACGATACGTCATGCATGCGGGTGATCCTAAATGGAAAAATAGAGCTCTCAAAATTTCCAAAATTATTCCCAACCCAACATTTCCAAAAATGGGGACCTGTTGATTCAAATGGATGTTACATATATAAATGCATACAATTCATTGTTCGAAATTCGAATTAAATATTCTCCCGACCTTTACACACTTATCCTCGCGGAGAAAGTTGTCCCCAGCAAGGAATACATTGATCCAACGCCAGGCAAAATCCAGGATAAGCATATCGTCCTCAAAATGAGCAGGTTTCCAAATCGTGGCTTGAGTTGGGAACATGCTTCATAAATAATGGCTAAAACATGAAGCGGGTACATGTTCACCATCCAATCTAATAAAAGATAAAAGGGAAAATATGACAGATCGCTTATCGCATCAAAGTAGAAAATTTTCCTGGAAAGCATTTACACATTTACATACTTCGCAAAAATGAGATTATGGGGCACGTCCATACATTTTGAACCAATCTTTCCCCATTTCCTAAAGCAAACAGGGAAAATAATGAGGTGAAACAGGTGAGCAGAGACCAATTAGCGATTAGAATGTTGATGGCTCTGCAATAAAAATTTTAAAAAATTAGATGGCAAATTTGCACTAAATTCAACGCTACAAAATATTAGCAACCTTTGCTTTCTAGCTTGAAAAACAGTCACAACCACTGCACAATTTACCACCGTTGATATAACACAAACTATGACGGCCAGTACTTTAAGGATGGCCAAATCCATCCTTGCCAAATTTTGTGAAAATATGAATCCGACTGATTCATCCAACTGGAAATGAGGTTGGATGAGATTTTGCGAAAAATGTTGCTTCTGAACCCGAGCAGAGATGAAGATGAACTAGACCGAGATTAATTTCGGGGCAGCAGAGTTTTCCACGGCCAAGGAGAAAGTTCAAGTGGGCAATTTCACCTTGATCTCTGAAAATTATGCTTCTCGATGTGCCAATTACGGGAGGAAAGTTGACAAAGATGTGTGATGCAAGATGTCGAGTTTATACTGCAGGTACTTAATTATACGCCTAATGTGATTAAATATGTACTTAACTTTAGATAATACATTGATACCTGACCATGGTAAATATGCTACCTATACGTGCATGTATGCTGGTGATGAAATTTTTGTGCACATATTTATGTGTGTGCGAACCGTTAATCAATTATGACATGGCAAATTAGCCTTAAACCTATGAGTACCATTTAATTTAGCTCGAGTTCTTGGGCTACCATCCTGAAAACGATGAAAGCTTCAACCTAAACCAAGTCAGACGGTTGTGTAATTGAGCACATTTTTACATTTTCATTATACAAAATTTTCTTTGAAACGTTTACTGGTTATCCAACCAAAACTTGGTGAAAATAGATGCTGCTAATAAAAGTTACCTATAATGAGGGTAATCCGAATAAGTAAGTATCGAGTTTCTTTCTCTAATTTTACTGACTATAATTTTGCAATCGATCGTATATGTATGTACATATGTAAGGAAGCCCTGCAATTTCTTTAAGAAAATCTAGTCCTCTAATTTATCGCTATTAATACATACATCTTTAATAAAGTTGTTACACATGTAGTTCTCGGCATTTTGCTAAAATACATAGTTGAGATCAATCAGCAAAGTTTTCGTAATTGTGAAAAACAGATATTTTGGCATGATCAATGCGAATAGTAATTACATAAGCGGAAGTGAAACTAAAACCCTGGGAAAAGGGGAAATCAACTCAAAGCACTTACATATGTACATATGTAGCAATAGGGACCATCTTGAAACGAGGGAGGATGAGAAGGTGAAAGTGTGCACAGTGAGAAATGAAAGCAAAAAGTGAACGCACAGAAAAAACGGCAACACAAAGAGAGAGATGAAAGCACCGGATGTGAGAATAGCAAAATTCTTTATGAAAGAAGCCACACGTTTTCTAAACATTCAATCAATATATTTTTATCGTCACTACGCATATAGGGCATCATTACGTATGACGTACAGGATTTATTTAGACATTCTTGACGCTTTCTTGGAGAAATTAATTAAATACTTGCATGCAATCCATCTCTCCTCAGTTAAATCAACGTCGAACTTCGCAGCGAGGGTATGTATGTACATATGTACTTATACAATATCAGGGGCTGTGCAATTGAGAGGACATTGTAATGTCCTCGCAGAAATATGGATTTTCGTATCTATGCAATGTTATTAAACTCCTCCCCTTCCAACCTTACAACGTTCTTGTCCCATATAATGTTCCGAATGTGCAAGGTGTGTGGCACAATCTATGTTCATGCACAATTAAGAACTTTACATTATTCACATATTGTGTCAAGTCTTTTCATTGCATCTGCCACTTCCTTCGGTCAACAAGATTACCGTTGTGATTGTGATTGACACTAATTAATTACAATTGTTAAAACTTAATGGGATCGTGTCACAGGATATTGTCGGATAACACTTTGCATCTTCTTATCTTGTCGCACTTTGTCCAGTTGCCACTCGTCATTAGTTTGACGAATAACAACGTTATCTAATCCTATAAATGGGAATAAAACCATACCACGTTTCACATTAAGGTGTCAATTGAGCTGCAGGTAATTTCCACACGTGCATACTTTTCGGAAATTTTTACGCTTTTACGATTCAAGTTGCACAAATTTTAAAAATGAAAATTCTATACCTCTTCGTGTTGTTGGGCGTATATTTTCAAGGCACTCGGGTAAGTTCATGCAGATTTTGTAAATTTTGTATGTTATCAGCCCCGATTTTAAGTACAATTAATATTCGATTTGCATCCCCTAGTCTGAAATGATAACCGAGGGGACAAAACTGGACTGGGTTTACCATCGGGACGGGATTTCGTACCATATGACTTCCAACATGACGGCACCGCTGAACGCCACGATTCGACAACGGTTCAATGTCACGACGACAACGACGCCTCATCTTATCACAAGCTTCTCTCTGGATGGGAGCAATTACGTTTCCCTTGTCAATGGCAGTCTGGGCGTGAGCACTGACCCGGTACAAAATTTCACCATGAGCCCAGTAAATAATTCGGAAAGCCGGTTCCATCTTCTGTATAATGGAGAGCCGCTAGTTTCACGATGGACGACACCACCATTCGACTTCTTCCTGCAACGGCATTATCCTGACGAACCACCGGCAGTTTTTGAGCTGTTGGAGTACACATTTCATCTCAGCAGTTCTTATCAAGGTGGGTGATACATAAGTAATGTAATGGGCGTACTCACGACAACGTCATTTTTAATGTCGCATCTCATTTAGCAGATTTGCGTAACTCCAAAAAATTGTGCTATATTTATTTCTGTATGAATTTGTGTAATTACCATCGCTTGGAATGGAGAGAAAGACTTTGCGAAATAATTTTGCGAAAAGAAAACAAGCCGATAAACTTGAAAAAAATTCAGTCAAAAATTTTCGAAATTATGTTGTTTTATTCAATTTCCGAGATATGTAAATAATTTATTCACATAATTTTCTAGATCTCAGACAAAACGTGCTCCCCACCCTAAAGGAGATTTCAAGACTGACCCCAGTATCCGCCAGAGTTGATCCCTTCACTGAAATGATCGAAGCCATGTTTCGCAACCAACACGTCTACAACGGTTCCGAGATCTTTATCGCTGGATCTTACATTTCATGGATACCCGGCTACCAGAATCTCATCCCCTTTCTAATTCTTCCACCACAAGTTAAATTAATTACGCTAACGCAAGACTGGGACAATTCTCCCTATTTGCGTCTCTTTGTCCATGACGCCATCCCGATCGCCGACCATCTCGGGCTACTCACCCCTCGACCCATCCCTCCTTTATTGGTATTCGTCAGTGACCTCTTACCCTTTAATGTCATGTCAACTCGGGGAGAATTTTGGCTCATGAATGATTTCAACGAAATAATCTCATCCACGGAGGGTTCAAATTTTGATTTTCATCTAACGTCCCGCAGCACGTTTCACATTTACTGGAACGGCATGAATCCCGGGTACATCAGAACGACCAACTTTACGAACGACACGGTTAAACTCTGTGCATGTGGAACAGGACCTCCCGCAGAATTTTATGTTACTTCGTATGAGGTCGATATGCGGATGTACGAGAGAAAAGAAGATGCTCCAGAGATGGCATATTTGATCAAGCTTTTCGGCGAAGCCAGACTTTTCACAGAGTTACTGTCCGTCATGGCGGAAAAGGAGCAGTTTTGGGGCAAGGAGATATTTGCGGTTGCGTCGCACATCGCTCCAGAAGATGAGGCGATTAGTTTTTTACCTGAAACTGTACAATTAATAAATTCGCTGGGTTCTAACTTGACCTGGACGTATATCCGCGGAGATGGAGAGGAGTATCCTATGCAGCATTATTGGGCAAGTTTTCCTCAAAATGAGACGGAAAAGTATTCATTCTACGTAAGGGCGATCAATTGGAGTCCGGCAAAGATGGCGATTCTGTACGGGAACGGGGGCGAGGGTCAGATGTACAGAATTTTTGTGGCGAATAATCAACTAATGGAAGAGTTGTGGTTTGGACCAGAGTTGTGGCATGATCTTGAGTTAAGTTTGTCTCGGGATTTAAGTACGATTCAGATTTCAAAGGATGGTTTGACTTTAATGAGTAATGAGACTGTGCCGGAATTTTACTTTAATACGAATGGATTTGGTGAGGGGGCTAATTTTAGAATTAGTCGGTACTCTGGTAGTTTAGAATAGAGACGTATTTGAAATTATGTAGTTGTTTGAATCGATTGAAACAAATAAAGGTATGGCGATTATGAAACGAATTATTGAGCTTGTTTACGGCCTGCGATTTGTATGCACATGGGTATATGTAATTAATCATGGATGCATATTTTTGCATATGTGCATGCATACATATGTCCATACTTAATTTGCATTTTCACACTTATTTCAGGCTTATTAGGTAAATACTTAAAAGAAATTAAATAAATTCTACCAAAGCATTAACAAATTGCAATACAATGGAAAAACATACATTGACAGTATGTTTGCGACCTGTATCTGGGATACTCGACTGTACCTAAATATTTAGCATAAGTGTGTACACTCCCTTTAATAAAATAGATGACCACAACCTTAACATTGTATGCAGTGTATAAACATTGTTTCTAGGTAATTGTGTATACATTTAAAATAGCGCTTAGCAAGATATGCATTCGTACATATTATGCACATAAAACTTTACATACATACATACATACTCTGGGGTGTAGTTCAAGTTTTCTGGACAATTCAATTGAATTATTTGTCTAATATCTTATTTTTATAGAGAATGTTGCCCCAAAAGTAAACCAAACGCCTCCTTCGTACTATTTTTCAAAGGTGTAAATTATCTTTGAGAAATATTTAAGTGTACTTTCATCACTGACAAATACATTTCAAATCTGACTTTCTTGTCAACAATGAAATAAACTGGTGCTTGATTTTCAACATATGCAGATCAAACTAGCTATGTATACAAATCTTGAAAAGAATTGGACAATTAAAAATAACGAATTACAATTGTACACCAATTCAAAGAAAAACGAAGTACGAAATGGTGATCTAAGAATTAGCAAAGTTTCCAATCAGTACTTGAGTACTTTGCTTAGCTTCTCATTCGTCTTATGCACAACACCATATCGGCCAGGTTGTCTGCATGATAAGCCTGTTTTAATCTCATATGTTCCTCACAAGGTAAATCTTAAATATTCCTCAATTTTCGATAATCACTATATTAAAAAAATTGTACACCTTCGAACAGATCCTTTGCGGAATTCTATATTTGGTATGTACATTCATTGGATCATTTATATTCCTCACTGTCTTCAACCACTTGGACATCAAATCTAATCCAGGCTCGGTTTTTGAGGTGTCGTTATACTTATCGAATCTTCTGCAATGTGCTGCCGCGGCATATGTCATTTGGTTTAGGAGGAAGGAAATTAGTGACGTGTTACATCTTGACGTGCAGAGTGAAAATTTGGTGCAGGTGTAAAATTAATATTTAAGTATATTTACATAGAACATACTCACGTACATAAACCTTTGCGTACTTATCTCGCAAATTGAGAATAGCAACAAAACTTTGCGAAATTTGCATGATGTTGCAAAATTGTAGTTCACAAAATTATTTAGCAAACAGAAATCCAAAGAAAGCATACCAAAAAAGGTTTCTATATAATAAAATTTGCGAGATTTGCGAGATCCTCGAATCCCCTCATGACAATTTTTTTTTGCTAAATTTGCTAAATGAGTCGCGCTGCTAAATGAAATGTTCTCGTGAGTATGTCGATATTTCTAAAACTGAATTAAATATATTTATATCTGCAGACCTTCATGGTACTGGCTGCCGTTATCTCACTGATGTCTCACTATATCATGGTGGACGCCTGTCACTACCTACTTTCATGTGAATCTAGGAAACATATGCATTCCACGTGGTTATACATGACGAAAGGAGTTTTGGAAAGCTTACCAGTCAACCCTTTCGAAAGAGCCGACTACGCCGGACTTATGAATTTTACAAGCCATACGACCATAAGTGACTTATCAAACTTTGAGCAAGGACTAATTTTTCTGATTAACATCATCGTAATGAAATACTTGGGTTTCATTGGAGGCTTTGGGTGCTCGTTGGTGCTGCTTGGAAGCCTCTGCATTTATTCGGAAACTAGCCGAATATGGAGGCAATTTGAGAATAATGAGGTTTTCATTTATTTTTTATTATTCACAGTAATAATTAATTAAATCAACAAAGGCTGTCTATACGCAGAGAAAAAGTCCAGAATTCGTCGAGGATTATTTGGAAGTGAAAGCAAAAATTGGCACTATCAACAGTCTTTGTTCGATCCTTGTATTTTCGCAATTGTTGGAAGCTCTGATATATTTGGTTTGCATTCTTGGCCAGCCTAGAATTGCTGCTGGTAAGGTGTGCGCTGCTGTGAATCTTTTCTATTCACTGATCAATATAGGGTCCTTTGTGATTGCTGCAAGTGGACACAAACGGGTAAGTTTGTGCATGTTTCTAGAAAATGGGGACAAAATTATGAAAAATAAGATGAACTATGAAACATAACTTGAATTATGTAAATAGGCCATATTATTGGAGAAGGGGTTGGTCAGAGAGAGTGGGAAGTGTGGTTATGCAGAAATTGAAAGTAGAATACGAAATAGTGCCGGGGACAATTGTTTGCTTGGGTGGAGTTGTTTTTCAGTGACGTATTCATTTCTTGGAGCGGTAAGTGAACAAGGAATTAAATATTGGTGATTCATTGTAATGAAAAACTTACACTTTAAAATTATTATTTACCTATCAGGTGGCAAGCGTGGGTATTACGTATGCTTTGGTGTTGTTACAATTCATGTCAACTCCCCCAAATCAGAAAACACAATAAAACTGTGTAAAAAATACGGTTTCACTTTGTGTCAGTACGTAGAGTGTTTCAACGCATTGTCTCATGAAGTTCAGAAACACAAAGTCTATCCCTTATTGAAGTAAATATTTAGTAAATGAAGTAACATAGAAATAGATATTTTGCACTATCTACATAAGTACAGAGAGTGTTTCAAGATACAAAACTCACTTTTATTTTTGAGATAACAAGTGTTAGAGACACCTGGGATTATTGAAATTTACATGTGTCGTACCCAGATAGTCAAGGAACAGTTTGCAAAATAAGTCTTAGTTCTGTACACCAACATGCCGCCACACCCCTCCATGGAGTGCGAGGTAGCAGTAAAATAGTTTTCCAAAGATGAATTGTACCATACAAAATTGCTAAGAAACTGGATTCTATGCCAGTCAAATCCTTATTACCAGTGAATTAAGTGACACTAGGAAAAAGAGGCAGGTATCATTGGCTGGAGTTCCACCTCCACCAAAGCGGCGTCCAAGATTAGCCAGGATCGAGGAAGGGTTACGCTAGATTGCAAATTTCGTCAACAAGAAAAATCCTTCACCACGGATAAGTCTGCAAAATGTTGGGCGTGAGTCAGGCAATAGTTTTTAGGATCGTTCACTCTCAGCTAGATAGACTAACGTGGAGGAGGACACGGTGTACGCCCCCAAGCCGTCTTACATCAAGAATTTCGAAGTAACTTCGCGATAACTGTATGAAAAATAATTTTCCACAAACAAATTTTAAACTGTAATAACTCTTGACGAGTCGCCTGTCATTATTCCGAAAGATTATTTTGGATTTGGGTACTTGAAGCAGAGATTTTCAAGCGGACGGCTCAGGCGCTAAATAGGTTTTGGAAAACTTTGCCTGGTGGGTGGAACAAAATCACTCAAAAAAAGTGTTAAACGTGATGATGACGTGAAAATAGCGCATGCACCTCGTTAGACAAACTAATTGGCTACACATTGATGCAATTAATAAAATTCTCTAACGAAAAATAAAGCTATAATAAAATAAATAAAAGTGAGTTTTGTATCTTGAAACACGCTCTGTATGAATATTTTGATGCATAAAATGAGACATATTTAAATTTTAATAAATCGTTATGCACAAGTGACATGTTTCCTTCTTTTGCATAAAAAATTGAACACATAAGGACTCATGACTCATTGTTCACAAATGTGCCAAATTACTTAACAGTTATATAGCATGGAAATAGGTTTGATAAATATATGAATTTGTGATCAGTAAATACAATTTGGGCTCTAAATGTAATCTTTATTTCTGCACACGTTTTTTAATTTAACACGGGCGTGGGTCTCTTACTTTTACAAGTGTTTTGTGGTCTAATTACCGGAAAGAGAGCGAGGAATAAATAATTAATTACCCTGAAACAATTGTAACCGCTTATGCAAATTTTATTATCATTCCGTTAAGCCGATAAACCAGTCATGGCTATTTTTATAATCTGTACTTACACTCATCCGCATTCACTCTGGTTGATAGCTTTACGATCTGGTACATATTTATATCCCACGTATCAGTTTTTAGGTAAACGTATGTATCTCATCATCACCATGCAACCAATGCAATAACCAAACCTGCTCATTTGTGCAGTCACCATAAAATAACGCCAACACCGACACAGACATTGAACACTCATTTTGCTTCACCACATCGATTTTGCACCTGGCCAGCTGCAGTTGTTCGCAAAAGAGGAAAAAATTCGCAATTTTGCAACGAAATAATTGTTAACTGAGGTAATTATGGCATCCCAAGAAATAAATTTGGACGACTGGAGTAAAAAATTGGTCGGTAAGAAGGTCATCCTCACAGGGTCGGGAGAAGTTAAGGATAAAACAAAAGAAGTAAGGGTTCAGTATTAAAATTGTCAAATTTAAGGTTTCTTAATTTGTTTCCAAAATGGTACAGGTTTCTGAAGAAGATATCAAGTCTGGAGTTCCAAAATATCGGATATTAACACCGGACACAATGATGACGATGGACTATTGGGAGGATAGGATCAATGTCCACGTCGACAAGGACTTGATCGTTGAGAAAGTTACGATTGGATAATGCAACTTTTTCAGAATTTGAATTTTTTTAGTGTAGTTCAGGCCAAGTTTGAATAAAAAAGTATTTACATTGGTGTACACAAATTGTGTTATATGCATGTAATGCCGTTAGAAGTTAAATATTGCATAGTATCAATTGATTTGTTACACTAACTGACTGTTACGCAGCATGTGGGTACATTTATATCTTCATAAATATGTCATTCATATCAGGTTTTACTTATGTATGCATAATTTGCATAAATAATGTATGCATTCCAGTGTTTTTGTCATAAACAGTGGTAAAAGACGGCGTTGGTTTGTCACGTGCCATAAATATATAAAGAAATATCAATTCATTGCATTTATTATGCCAAATGTGTATGCACATGTGCAATTCACATTTGTTCATATGATGATATGTACGACTCATCGTCAGAGCTGGGTGATTATTGGTTTTTGAGGGTGGATTAAGGATTATGGATTAACACAAAACAATGTGGATTGTGATTAAATTATTTTCGTGAGATTAATTCATGTCAGGATTAATCCGGATTAATCCATAAATTTTTAAAATTTCGGGATTATGGATTATGGATTAATAATCCGGATTAATTTGGTGATTAATGATTTTTCACTATATCTAGCGCAAAAAATTTCAACTACGTGGTTTTATATAAAAATGACGCCAGTTTCAATTGATATATGTATGTAGCACAGGGCAGCGAGAACATGTTGATTCTTCAAATGGTAGCTGACAGAACAACATTATGAGAACTTGAGACTTCAAGCTACACTGTGGGATTAGGAGTGGCAATCCGATCCGATCCGAAATCCGCGGATCAATCCGAATCGGATCGGATTGACTGTTTGATCCGAACACCTGCTTAATCCGAACCGGATCAATCCCATGGCGTCATAATCCGATCCGATCCGACGGATTGCCACTCCTATGTGGGATGAATGGAACTATGGGAATTGAACTGAGTAATCCAGATTGAGAATTAATCATGAATACGTAATCATGATTAGTAATCATGATTGGGGTTAATCAGGATTAGTAATCCGTAATCACGATTATGGATTAATGAAATCAAATGGGATTATTCCCGGATTAATTCTAATTCCAGAAAAATCGGGATTATGGATTGGGATTAATCTACAAAAATCTCACATTGCCGGATTAGGGATTATGGATTAATAATCCATAATCCGGGATTAAAATCCATAATCCTTAATCAGGATTATCCCAGCTCTGCTCATCGTCAGCTATGCATTGTGCATGTGTATATTTGTCAGTAGTCGTGATAAGTGGTGGCGAAAGAGGGTGTACTTTCGTCAAGGGCCATACCACGTTGAATGCACCAGTTCTCGTCCGATCACTGAAGTTAAGCAACGTCGGGCCCGGTTAGTACTTGGATGGGTGACCGCTTGGGAATCCCGGGTGCCCTTGGCGTTCATACTTTTTGCTGATTTTTTTTTGGACTAGCATGACTTCAAGTTAAAATTTTAGAAATTGTGATTGTTTCAAATAATTCGAATTAAATTATCCAAAAGTTGATAAATTTGCAAACCTTTCACCTATGCATCTTCATCCTGACATCCTAGTACATACTTGGTCAGGTCAAATGCATATTTATGTATCTGAACTTACAATTCGTAAAGTCACAAATTATCTGAATATTATACATCAATTTATTTATAATGCATATATGTACACAAACTACGTAATATAATAGATCGTCCTACATAGCTTTAATTACGTATGTGGGTAATTGTACTTTAAAACAATACATATATTAGGTATATACATATGTACGTATGGAGACTGCATACATATGTATGTATGTCATCGTCCAATATTCGGTTGTAGATATGTCGTGCAATTTGTGACGTAATAATTTGAAATTTTACAGGGTTCTTGCAACCAATCGTATTTGTGATAACCTATATAGGACTCCTACATAGTAAGGAAGTACGTCCAGTACTTCGAAGGACAAAGGTTATGGGGTTCTTGACCTCAATCCCCAAAAAGTCGCCTCCCTCAAGAAAATCATTTCCTTAGTGCTTGTTTTTACTTATTAAGTGAGTGCAACTCATCGTGAGCATTTTTAATGTGGTCACTTTACCCTCACATTGATTTTTCTAAAAGTAAAGTTTTAACATTTATGCATATGGGGGAAATTTATTAGTATTGAGAATTTGCATTAAAAAATAATTTAAAACATTTTGGTACACAATTATAACAGTAATGTAATGACTCATTACTAATGAGTTTATGTCAGCCTTCGTAAGTCCGTAACCACGTTAACTTACGAAAATCAGCTTAAGAACCAAGAACATATGTAGGTATTCTTTATCTTCGTAAGGTTTTGTAAGTTCGTAAGTAAAAATTACCCTAGAGATGTTCGTAAGTTTCGTCAAAAGTTCGTATATAAGTATGTATATGTGATTATGGATGAGTCAAATTTCCGAATTATGTGTAAAAATTTAATAAGTTTTTAAGCTTACAAACGTTTCGCAGTTACGAAGGTTACAAACTTTGACATGAGTTCCCTCTGACAATGTTAAGAGATTGTGTAAACAAATAAGATTAAACATCATTTACGATTTTCGACTCTGCATTCTTATACAAACGTTGTTAGAGAAGAATGGGTTATCATGACTCATTTTTCTCTAAACTGACAATGAGCCTGACTCTGTTGACCTTGTCAGTGAGTTAGTAGTCACTGACTAAAAGTCAGCCAGTCAGTTTGACTACTTATGTATGAGTCTGAGTCAACATGACTCATCCTCAGTCAGTCATGTGCCGTAATTCATGTCACTGCCTGTGCATAAAATTAAGATTGTCATAACGAAAACAAAAAATCGGTAATTACTACCGATTACGGAACAGTAAAGATTGCATGAAGCCACTAATCGAATCAATTTTACAAATAATTAATTTACAATCAATTACATGAATGAATTATGAACTTTTAGCATTTTTTCACTGCATAATGAATTAAATTTGAATATGCATAAAGAAATCTATCCCCTCCACACCACCATAAATTTAACACGTATTTCTTTATGCAAATTCAGATTTAATTCATTTCAAAATTCTTCAAAATTTGGTGAACACTTTTTTACCTACATAAATTGTTATTTTTGGCATTGGTGCATCTGTACTCGAGCTGTACTTCAACGGAATTCTGCTACTTGAAAGGTTAGAGTTATCTACTCGTGGTCGTGACTAAACAGCACAACCTTCAGGAATTACCCGAACAATATAAAGGTGACTGTCATTGGGTCCAGATTGGATAATATATGTGACATGGTGTCATGCGGCATGACAAGATGAGCAATATCTGGGTTTAGGTAGGTATGTTTTAATTACAATAAAAATATTTCGACGAAGGTGTCCCAAATAATAGTGTTGCTCACCCGGGTATATGTGTAGATATCTACTGGTATGGTACCCGGAATCTCTTTGGCCTAAATAATTTGATTAAGTTAGCCGACATGTAAAATTGTACTTTAAAATATACTCTCATAACTTATTCCCGGACCCTTTATGATTTACTAAGGCATTTAGAAGTACCAAAAAGTGTAACTTCCTTTTTCGATTTTTTATCCGAAAACATAAAAATCAACAAGAAATGTATATGAAATATATATGAAATGAAGTCACTGCAGAATTTCTTGTTAACTACACTGCATTTCACATGTGATGTGATGGGGTCTGAATTCCTGGAGCCAACATTCACGTGCCCAATTATCTATTTAAGATTGGACCCTGACTGAAATTCAATTTGAACGCGCCCCATCAAAAGTGAAACCCGGTTTAGTTAGATAATTGTTACTTGGTTTGTAAAGAAATTATAATGAGGGTATTCATTTCGAGTTCGCATCGTTAGCAACGTTCGCAAAACAATAAAGTTCGCAAGTTCGCAAAAATTATTGGCTTGAAAATTGACTTGTGTGGGCGTTGGTCTTCCGGTGGGCGCTTGGTAGGTCAGAGGTGAGTGCAGTCGGGACGGACTGGGATGAATGTTCCGGAAGGACACCACACAGTTTGGAGGCGTAAGGCCGTATGTGCGATCGGCAGCCCCACTTATGATGTGAGATACACGAAAGTTAATGTTTTATCGGAATTTAGCACTCGAAATAAGTCACCGAAATGTAATACGCGTCCCCCGAGAGTTATAGTTTTTACAGAGCAACTGGTTATCAATTTATTTTACGTAGCCGGAGGATTTTACATTTATGTATCAAGAAACCAAAATATATTTAGAGGTTGTGGAAACTGTAGAATTATGGGGGACTTTAGGATGGCAGTGGTGGAGAGAGGAGATACGTCTTGGTAGACACCCGAACTCCGTCTCCCCGGATTCTTGGACAGAAGACAGTATATGTCCTTGTTGAAGGAGACGATGTCCTTCAGTCGATGTATGGATAATTTGGAGTGACTGGCCGGTCGAGATATCAATGTATGAATATGGAGACGAGGAAGAGATAGGAGGGGAGGATGCATATGATATGCATAGTTCCCTCACTTGAGAATTTGCGCATCTCCAAGGCTAGTATTTAGTTCGCAAAATATTTTTCACAAATTGTGCAATAGGAAAACTCCATAAATCTCTATTGGTTACGGAAGTTTGGGGTTTGGAATTTTTGAAATTTCTTATTTGGTAAATTTCAGACGCAAAACTTCGGTAACTAATGGAAATTAACATTTTTCCCATTGCAAAATTCGAGACATTTGTATACCAAATTTTCGCAAATTTTTCAAGTGTGTTCACTTTGTTGCTTCGCAAAATTCGCAATTTCGAAAAAGTTATGTTGCGATGCGAACATGCGAAGTCCTAATGAATACCCTCAATATTTGCGGTACTGGCAAACACTGTTTTGCACCAAGTTTGGTCAGATGTACTACCTACATTATTTATTGGCTTAGGTACATATGTATCACATCAGATTATTAAATAATTAGTTCGTGTGCAAAGAATGTTGTCATGAGGACATACCCACGCACTCCACAGTCAGTGCAGGACAAATGCACTTGAACCAATAATAAAACCCACTTTCAAGTTCGGCCAGTGTACATTCACGCTGAAGAAATTCACACCGAAGGACAAATTTACCTTACAAAATTCTAGTTAAGACAATCAGTATTAAGCCCCACGGAAAAATGTCGTACCCTCGAAATTTTATAAATCCACTCTCCCTGCAAATATGTTTCCTTCTCCTGGCTTCCTTTTCCAATGGACAAAATCCCTATCAGTCTTACCAAACTTCGATTTATTGCAACGCCTCGTCCCCCATTGAACATCCGACCAGTATCGAGGAAGTCCAGGCAATCGTAAACTTGGCGATTTCAACTAACCAAACCGTGAAAGCGATCGGAAGCCGGCATTCCATTTCGGACGTAATCTGCACTGAGGGAATTCCCATGAATTTGGAGAATATTAAGTACACTGTGTTAAATTCTGATGGGACCGTAAAAGTGGGGGCAGGTGCGAAGGTGAAAGACGTCCTGGACTTTTTACAAAGTCATAATCTGTCCTTGATCCATGTGCCAGCTTTTGGTGAGCAAAAAATTTAATTGAAAAGTCCGGTAATAATTTTTTGTTTTAACCGGTTTTTATTGTCAAGTATTAAAGTCAAGAGGTTTAAAAGCCAAAATCACGTGCCCACTTGATTAACTTTAGTGGCAGGCTGAAATTTAATTCATGCCTATTAAATACAACTCCAGCACCGGAATTTAAAAAAAAAATTTGCAAATTAAAATTTTTACTAAAGGCTTAACATCTTATTTCGGAAGCCGGTAGCAATACTTAATTTACTGCCATTCTTATCGGATTTCTAATGTTGCTGTTTTTGATAAATTTTAAAATTTTTCCAAAATAACTTATTTATTTCAGGTGGCATCACTGTTGGTGGCGCTATCGGAACCGGAGCTCATGGATCCTCCCTACTCCACCCGACCTCTCTGTCCGACCAAGTTGTCGGCCTTACCATAGTCGACGGACAAGGAAATGTTCAAATAATCAATTCTGCCAATGATCTCGCCGGATTCCAAGTGCATTTAGGCCTCCTCGGAATAGTTGTCGATGTCACGCTGACCACCGTCCCATTGTTCAAAATGACCATACGAAACACCCTCCACCCCGAAACCATTCTCACCGACGGCACCGCTCTCATCTGGGCCCAGAGTAGAGATTGGTTCGAAATGTGGTGGTTTCCCAGCTCCTCCTCGGTCGTCGTTTCTGTCGGAGATTACGTCGACGTTTCCACCCCGGGGGAACATTACACAAACATGTTGCCCAACGTCAACCTTTTAGAAGTCATTGCGGGTCGCACGGCATATGAACTGCTGCAAGCTACTCGAAATACATCAGGGCTTCTTGCCATGGAGGAAGCGACGCGCTTATCCATGTACGAAGTTCCTGGAGCAAAACCCCCATTGTACACTGGAGACGGGGTAAAGTTAGAAAACCCTGCGACAGGTTTTGCCCATGTAAGCAAATTATTTCTGGAAAATTTGTTCACAATTAAATAATAATTTGCATTTAATCTTTAGCAACTTATGTCGAATCGATGCGAAAGCTGTCCTTGGGATTACGGCGCGGTAGCTTTGAATCCGGAAGAATCCTCGCTAGCATTCAATTTGTACGATTTGCCTCGCGTTGTGAACACTGTGAGAGGAATTCTAAGTCAGGAAGGGGCGGAAAATACGCTATTTACCATGATCGGGATGTTCATCAGGTTTTCAAGGGCGTCTCCCGCTCTCATGGCGATTAGTAGTGGACGACCCACGGTAACTTTTGAGTGGACCACGCCAATGAGAACGGACCCATTTAACACGCCGAAAGCGGGGATTGCTGGCTTTCAAGCTATCGCGCAGGCAATGGTGGGTAGAAATGTTATAAAATTTAGTTAGATAGAAATTATCTTAATTTCTGAATTTTATAAATTTTTCAGGTCACCGAACACTCTGGTCGTCCCCACTGGGGTAAAAATGGGCCTTACTTCTTCAATCCAGACATCTTAGAAGAAGTTCACCCGAATCGGAACTCGTTTATCGGCCTCATGGCGAAATACGATCCCAACGGCGTGTTCCACAATAAATTTGCAAAACGGCTTCTCGCCACCAGCGCGGAGATGAATGTGCACCCCAGCGTGACACATTGTGCTTTGCAGGAATACTGCATCTGCTCGAAAGATGATGACTGTGGAAATAACCAGATTTGTAAGGCGTTAAATGGCTACATGGCTTGTCATGATGCTCCCACAAACTCAAAGAAGGATTCCAATTTAACTATACTTTAGGATTTTGTACTTTTAACTGAAAATCGACTGAAATAAAAAAGAATAAACCATATTTATTGCTTTATACATAGTTATCGTTTTAAATCCAAAAGTGCGATGATGCAACAAAATTTTCAGTGGGTAAAATTTCCTTAGTCCTGTTTTGATGATTGAATTATACTCATGGATGGTTTGGAAAGTTTCAAGAAAATCGTATGTCGGGAACTACTTCAAATTATGCAAAAGAAAACTAAATATGATATGAATTAACATGTATTTACAATTATTACTATGTATGTATGTACTTGCAATTTGCGGTTTTTGCAATTATTACTGTTTGTTTTTGTCTGCACCTGACAATTGTACCTAAAGCGCAGCCAAAGTTTCTGTGGGGGATAAATGCACACAAACAGGTAACAACGTTACTCCATGCATGTTGGGGGTAATATAAATTATGTAACATAATGTACCGTATAATTATTGGTGCGGTTCGCCCTATTTGCATATTTCGACGCATTATAGTTGAAGATTATTCAACACGAAAAGCCCATATCGCTGAAAATTGACATAGTGAGATGTATGCAAATGAGGTGACCCGCAGCAATAATTCTACTGTGTGTGCATATGCATGTTTCTCGCCGAAGAAGACGACGCTAATTTAAATACATATTTGTTTTGTAATCGAATGTACCCTCTTATTCAACGAATTGGAGGATATGTATGTGGTCTGCATAAACTATACAAATTTAACTACATTTCCACATCATTACAAAGTTTATTAAATGAAACAACAAACTGTCTAGAGGCTCCAATTATTTCAGTTACGGTTAGCATTCCAAACAAATTACTGCTCTTAAAAGTTTGAAAATGAATTTACCAATAAATACTTAAATATTAGCATAGCCTGTAAGCGTAAGAATGGAGCATAACTTATCCACCGTACATACTTTAATTACTTAATGCATAAATCCACTTCCCGTGCCAAAATATAGTTTGCTTGGATAAACTTTTTAAAACTTTGTCAGCATTAAGTGAAAAACTTACCTCGTACAATTCATCCATGAATATTACATACATATCCGGCCAACAGTTACATGTTGCATTTCTTGACAATTGAAATCCTCCTGGAAAGGAATCGCATTGTTTTTCGGTACGTTTTCATAAATACATTTAATCAGCCATGGACAAACTTGAAATTTTATGCGTCGTCACAATTTTGGCACTTTCTTGTGCCAATTGCGAAGAAAAAAATCCAATCGAGCTATTAAAATTGTTTGAAGGGATTGGAAACTGTGACCTTCAAATTGTGCATGGTGACCTGGAGTCTGCTAACATCCAGCCATTTCCCAACTTATTACTCCCAACGTCTTTAATTTTCGCGTCAATTTTTGCAAGACAACGACCGTGGTTGGATTATGAAGATTGGGACAGATTTTCAATCGATACTTCAAACACACGAGTTTCTTATTGCCAATTAAGTGTATTATTCTCCTCCCAGTTTATCGAGGATGGCAAAGAAATAAAGTTTTGGCATTGGATAAGGTTTGGTACGGATAGGCATTTCCGGTTTGGAAAATTTGGGAAAGAGTGGTCCACCTCGACCAGCAATACGTACGTCGTACTAGTTACAAACTACGATATGACAGAATTTGCAAAAGTTTCACTTGAGAAATACGTCTCGGTATCCTCTATCGAAAATTTCGGAATTGTCTTTAACCAAGGAACCAACAATTTATTAGAGGTATGCGTCCTAAGAAGTGGAGTAATGCCGGAAATCCAAAATTTTAACTGTATGACAAACTTTCAGTCAAGTTTCCTAGAAAAATTTCATGCTTTGCAAACTAAACTACAAAACTGGGAACTAAAAATTCTGGTCAATACGGACATAAGTCTGCCCAAAGAATTCAAGGACGGGGATACTGTGGAATTCATAAAATATCCTCAATTCATAAACCCCTTTGATCGTGACGATTTCAAGTCATCAATACATCAACACATTGCACAATCTGTGTTTCGAAAAAGTAATTCAACCCTGTCATTTTGCCAACGTAAATGTTCCTTAACGTATCATGGCAGCATACAGTTTGACGGTATGGGAATGTTGCATTTGTCCCCGACTAAAGTCTGGGTCACAGTTGGATTTACGAGCTACCAGTTTTTATCGTGTTACTCCGAGAAGGAAATTACTTTTAGGTTTTACATTGTCCCATTTAAGCGGGAAGTTTGGTTCGGAATATTGTCTTGTGGGGTGATGGTATACCTCATGATGCAGTTCTTTGTCCGATTTTTTACCAAAGTACGAGACGAATTTCCAATATGGATGACAGTTTTGGCAGGAATATTTGACACGTGGGGTCATATTCCGGAGAAAGTTGAGCAACGTAACGTTACTCGATACCTGTTGGGAGGATGGGCGTTGGCTTGTCTAGTTTTAACAAATTTTTACAGCGGTTTGATGATATCCGAATTGAATTCACCCATGGCAAGAAACCGACCGGAAATATTTTCCGATTTAGTATGCAGTCTAGAAGATGCACAACTATTTCATAGCGAAGGACGAAAAAACCTCGGTGAAAAAATTTCGACCAAAATGAACGAAACACTCACCTACTTGGATGACTTCAAGTTGAAATTATTTTACAACATTTTGCAATTTCCAGTGCCACCAGAGTTAACCAACATACCATTTCTCGAAGAAGCTTCATGCTTTAGATTGTTGTCCCCTGTTCGGCATGGTCGTTTAAAGGGCAGCATTGTTTTCGACTTTGAAGACTACTTATACTCGTGGTATTACCAATTTAGGGAAATTGTGACGTTCAATCCGTTAAGCGCCTCGAGCAGTCAAGTCCTTTTAAACCTGTTTCACCCAAGACACGCAAGAAGACCGAGAATTGTGGGGGGTCACCTTCCAGATATTCGATACGCTATGGAAAAAGAAATTACGTCATGTGCTAAAACTGCATTTATCGGGGAATCGTTCTTAATTGCTGCAGAGATCGAGTACCTTCGGAAAAAATATTTCTGGACTAAATTTCATAAAGGGAGAGACACCTTGATAGGAGATCTGATTGGATGGGTGATCGAAAAAGAGGGAAGAATGCAGTCAGTGTCGAGAAGTTATAGGGCTCTAATTGAGTCCGGAATTTATGAAAGGCTTCGAGTTGAAATTACGGCTAGGAAAATGAAGGGAAGAAAGCAAACGAGTGAAAGTATCGTGGCAGGGAAATATTTGGAATTAATTGTGATGAACGGGGGAATATTGACATTATTTATTATGACATTTTTCATAGATTTGGTAGCATTTGTATGCTTTCTCTCCGAGTTTCACAGCCTGGTTGGACAGAAAATTGTACCCGTAATTATGGGCTTGGCTAGATTAATTTCTTTATCTTGGACTGTTGTGATAAATGTAAAATGGAATCTGGGACTTTTTGAGAGATGCAAAGATGAGATGAGATGAGTACAGAGAGATGCAAAATGTAATGCATTTTATGGGCTTTATATTTAAGTTATCAAATGTGGAGTATGTACTTATGAAGTTTATTAAGCTGGAATTAGATGTGTGTAAAAAATGAATTTTTACATTCAACAAGTAATATTGTGCTAAATAAGCTGTGTATGTACCTAATATGACGTTTGTATTTGTGTTGATATTAATAGATGATTACCTTTGTATTTCTAGAAAACATACTTAAACGGCTAAATACGAATTTGACATACGACATACAAATACATAAATACATAATTATTATAATGTAATAACGCAGTCTATATATTTAATGTCCCCATTTTTAATAGGGGAATTTGATTTTGCGAACAATAAAAAATATACATATACTGTCAAATGTGAATTTGAAAATTCTCAGGATAGACTTTATAAAAAGAGTTACAGTATAAATCGAAAGCTTGTGTACATTGATGAATATTTACATGTGTTCATGTGCATATACGAACTGTGTAATTGCATACTTACATAAGTACGTATCGTCAGAGGTTAAAAGTAAGTTCTAGGTCAATTCCCCAGGTATAGATGCATATGTTATCAGGCGAGGGCTACATACATAAATTATACGTAGAATTGAGCAAAAAAATAAAATCAAAAATTGGAAATCGTTCTCTACTTGGACTGCATGCGCTCACTATTTCTTGCGCTTTTCTGCGGTTTATGTATTTTTTATAAACAGGAAAGTATATCCTGGCTAATATAATTTGATTACATCGATTTATTCCCGTTCCTAATTATGTATAAATATTTGATAAAATTGACGTGTGTGAAATATCTGCTTTTTCTTCCACTGAAATATCATCGTATTTTTCCAGTCTGTCGAAAAGCTATTCAAACAGTACTTTTTCGACGTCATACACATATTAAGTTTTTGTGAACAAAGTAATTAGCGTTATCAGTTATTCGTCTTTGTGCCGTTTGTACTACATACGGTGATTTGATAAGAATCTAATTTACTTTCAATTCAGGTTGAACTTGTTAATCACAATTGCTATTTTCGTGGAGAAAAGTTATTAAATATAACATGCCGACGGGGAATACGGACATATTTGTATGTACCAAAATTGCCAGCGTAACATGTGCCCAGATAAGAAAATACGCTCAAAGTCGTTAAAAATGCAGATTTCAAATTTAACAAAGATAATTCCATCCCTGGGGCCATTCCTTGCACTTCAGCGCTTCACAATTCTTGCTGAATATTTGTACCATCAGCAAATAAGTTGGAGCAGGGAATCATGGATACCACGCCCTACGAAGAGACGACTTTTATATAAATGGTACTCCTTGTCCTTCCTACTTCTCGTGACCGCGGTGATTTTGGGGTACATGGGATTTGGAGAATTTCTAATTTCAGGCCAAGAAAATATGACGATGGGATCTAGGGTCATGCTAGCCTTATTCATTTTGGGGGACGTGACGGGGACGGGGCTCATATTTTCTTATGTCGGCAAGGTGGACGAAATCTGCTACATCATTGCAAGCGTGCAAAACTTATCGGGTACATTACACATAGTTACATATCTGTAAAATTTTAATAATCAACTTGGAAGTTAGAACGCTTAATATAGATCCGCATGGCACAAAATTTTCTACATGTCTTGGATTATTTTAGTCGTGGGACTCATGTATGTATAATGCTTGTTATTCACCTATTATGCAAATGGTGTACCCTTGACTTTAATGAGACAAGAAATTTTTTTATAATATCAATTTATACTAAATGGATTTTACTTCAAAAATAATCATTAATCTGAGACGTTTTACACACACATTCAGAGTAAAAATTTGGGAGATAATTTTTTTTACGTCACAAATTGATATCAATAATTAAGATGAAAAAATTAATCAAATCGAATTAATTATTTCCAGGAATGATTCAGCGTGGCTCCAGCACAACTAGAGTCGGAATTGTTCTTCATGGCTTTATCACGGGACTCATTGTTTTTCCAATGTGTGTCTGCTTCATCCCCCTACTTGAATATAAAATGGATCCGACGTACTTCTGGTTTCGAAATATTACGTTTCTGCCATACAGTGCTGAAATTCTTATTCGAATTCTAATCATATTTTTTGTCGTACTTCACGGATCTGTGCTAATTTACAGCAGCTCGATTTACCTAATTTGGGCAGTGCTATGCTTTAATGATTGTTTGAATAACGCGAATCTCTTAGGAATTACAAACACTGCAGATTTAAAAAGTGTTCATGATGTGTTCCTCCGTCTTAAGGTTGTCAGAAGGATCGCGAAAGTTTTTACCAAGTTTTCCTCTAGTTTGAGAAAATATCGCCAACTACAAATAGTTACGGCACTCGTGAATAACTTGCTGAAAAACGTAATCCTCGTCTTGGTGGGGATAATGATGATTGGCAGTATAGTATCGGGCTACATTTTGATAAAACTGCGACGTCAAGCACCATATTCGCTGATATTTTTTGCCGTATTTACACTGACGCTGATCGTAGTTTCGATTCATCTCCTATTCCCCCTGGTTATAGATGCAACAAAGAAGTCGAATATTTTTATTAGATTTTGGCAACTACAAAATATATCTGACTATAGGAAAAAACAACTTAAGAGTTGTAGATTATTGGAGTTCAGGGTGGGGTCCTTCCACGTTGTTGATGGTAGTTCAAGGGCTAATTTGATGTACGTCATTGTCTATTATACGGTGACATTTGTAATCTCGAAAGATTAAAAGTTTGACCAATTTTCACCACTTGTAAATAAATATATGTAATTGATTTTTCATGATTTGAAAGCTTTATAGCGAACGTTAAATTTACATGATTTTTAATGCTCATATAATTTGCATAGAGTAAATATTTTCCTGGCGCGGGTAGAACCGAGTAGCACGTGCAAGCAACTCTCACTTCGCTCGTTTTATTTTCCTTCGCCCACCGGTTTTGCTACTTCTTGTGTAAAAATTAAATAAAAACGAAGGATTTAACAAAAAATTTTGTGGAAAGTGGAAAATGGATGCTTCGTCAATTCTACCGTCTTTCAAAGAACCCATCAGGGTCAGGTAATTTAACCAGTTTAATTAATTGCTTAAATGGTTTGATTAATTTGATTTCAAATTCAACATTCTTTAATTTAATTAATTTAAACATAAAATGTAGAGAGTTGCCAGGCAGTAAGCGAGCGATTTTCGAGATTGACAAGTCCAACCCTGACTCGGACATGGTTTTGGAGGATGATGACGATACATCTGGCGGATTTGACGACGACGAAGGGCCAGTTACCGACACTGACCCGCAATGCTACGCTGCCAGGGAAAAAAAACGTGGACTTTTGGAATCATATGGGATAGACCCACAGATCAATTTTATCTCATTCTACGAAGAGGATAAAATGGCAGAGATGAAGAACTTGATCGAGTGCGGCGGTGTTCGTAAAACCGTGAGATAGATTATTTATTTATTTATTAAATTAGTTGAATACAATTGATACAAATAACGCTAAATGGTTGTGGGTTGCAAAACTTGCAGATAATTCAAGAGGGACAAGGTCCCCTGGTTCCAGATAACTGCAAAGTTTTTGTGCATTACATCATCACCGGAAATGGATTGGATGATCCGTTCGATTCGACGGTCCTGCAAGGCTATCCACAGTGCCTTGATCTTCGCAAACCAGAAGTAATTCCTGGACTACTGGTCGCTATCAAGAGCATGCATGTTCGTGAAGTGGCCAAAGTTTGGATTCGAAGTGATTACGCTTATGGAGCTCTTGGTTGCCCACCACGAATCCCTGCAAGTATGTTAATTATTTATGAATTTGCATTTTCTGAATGAAAGTGTTACTCTTGTCTCGACATCCTCTTCTCCTTCCATATATTCGTAGTGTGAGTAATCCTTCTTTCCATAGATCTGGATGTCTTCTGTATCCTGGAAATCTTGGATCTGATTGAAGAGGATCAGCTCAAGCTGGTCCCGTACATGACCCCGAATGAAAGAGCCCAGTTGGAGTTTCCTGAAATTTATGACGCGGCCAAGGATTTGCGTGCTATTGCAAATGGTTTGTACGGGAATGATGCGTGGTGGCCGGCAGTCAAAAAGTATGTAATGTCGATATTTAATATTTTTACTGTACACATAGGAACATAAATGTTTCTACATTATGAATGGTGCCTTGACTATGTATATATTTATTCATGCGCACACATTGTTTTTCAGGTATAGGAAGGCTATAAACATTCTTGAAGAGTATGGCATTCAAACTCAGGATGATCAAAAACAACGTGACCAACTGCTCTATACGCTTTACATAAACTTGAGTGCTTGCTACTTGAAGTTGAAACGCCCTCAGCAAGTGTGCACCTCGTGCAGGTTGGCCCTTCGAAGTGCAGAATTTTCCAAGCAAACGGTGAACGCAAAGTTGTACTTCAGGTAATATATTTTATTTTTACCTGTATGTTCACACATAAAAAATGCTGTAAGATGAATTTATGACTTTTTTGTCTGGGTTTGAGTAGGTTTGCTGAGGGGAAACTAATGCTGGGTGAAGGGAAGGATGCAAAAAATTTGAACCAGGAAGCCTTACGCCGCAACCCCACGGATACTGCTATCCTGGACCAAAAGAAGAGGGTAACGGTCTCATCATTTGTTTAATTCGAAATAGTACAAATAGCTAATTGTGTAGTGTTAAAGTACTTGTTTTTGACTTTGCAGATTGAGGCTGAAATTGAACACGACAAATTGGTCACCAAACTCACTTATGCAAAAATTGGAAAAGCATTCTGCTCCTCCGGAAGTGCTGATGCTTAAGTCATCTGTTACTTACTAATGATTTATTTACATTTCTTTAATGCGTGAATAATAAATACCTTGTTATTTAAATTAAATTCTCCCAATAAATACCTTGTTATTAATACCTCCACCCAAAGTTCAACTACAGCGCGCCCTTCTGTTCCCACGCTTCTGCGACGACTGTCGTTCTAAGCTAAATTAGTTTAGAATGTACAAATTGCTAACTAGTCGAGGAACAAGTATTGTAATTATGCAGCTCTGTGATATCAATTAGTGTTACGATTCTGTTATTTATTAGTAAATTAGTTTTTTGGGGTGGACATGCACAAAAACTGTGCGCATGAACGAGTACCTGCATAGGTGTTTTAAAATTAATTTACTTAATTTACTGACTTTATTTTATTTCACCAAAAAACTTCAAACTGCAGAATTAATTTTTGGTTCTAGAAATTTGTTTTTCCGTTCAATCCATTAGATATCATTATCGGCCAGACGCACCCCCAAATAGAAAAGCGCCCAGTGGGATCCACTCAATTCTTGGGTTTGATGCAGCTGTTGCCAAGTGCATAATTTTCAAATTCAATACATAAGCACAATATAAAATTAATGATACTCACATTGTGGAAATTGAGGCATTTGTGGTCGTGGAAATTTAAAAGGTAAACCTGTAATGGAAATATTTGGATCAATTACGTACAAATTTTACCATGGTTTCACATGCAAAACCGGAAATGTATGTAATAGTACATATTTTTACCATGAGGGGCAGTGGAGTTTGGCGTTGTGGAATTTCCATCCTGTGGGCGTGGTCGAAGTAATCGGCGTCTGGGCGGAGCTGAACTGTCATTGTTCTTTCCACCTCCAGGTTGTCCAAACTGGGGGAACAATGATCTTCCGTCCCCATTACCGTCACCCGGAACAATAATAATTGTAGAACTTGAAATTGATTCCAACCGTAGCAGTATCACCAGAAGTGATATCGTTAAGAAAAATATTTGGAAGGAGAATGGACTTAAATTGGTGGTAAGCTGCATGTTTTAGAGTTGTTGAGGGAGAAATTGGCAAATAACTTTTTTGTAAATCCATTGAGCTTGTTTTATAATAATAATGATATTTGAATGGCAATGAGAAATTGTGTTCCAGTTCGTAATAAAATTTTAATGGGTTGTTAACTGAATGTAAAAATATATGGAATTGGGCTAGTAAGACTGGGAAGGGTCGGGATCGTATGCTGAATTTATTTAATAATGGGTCATTACTTGTGGAATTGACTGAAACTGGTTCACGGTTTTTTATCAAGTTCCAGAACGTAATAAATACTTGTGATGTGAGTTGAGTTTGTAAGTAAATGATCAATTATGAATTGAAAATGTCGCGATATTACTAATTCCGGCTTCGCTGGATATGTAGTAGGAGTTGGTACCATAAAATTTGACCGTGTCACAGTTACCAAGGTTTTTACCTTGATGTGCTATTTCGTCAGTTTACCTGTATTAAGATATGACACGTTTTGGTAGAATATTGGCATATAAATAGTAATATATCTAGTCCATATTATGTACATGGATGAGATGTTACCGAAGACGTGTATACGAATATACATACATATGTAAGAATATTTTATTCACTCAAGTAGTGAATTGTATTCGCAGAGAATTCAAAGTGCAAATATCATGCAGAATATTATCATTTTACATTCACTGATTCGAAAAAGCTAAACGTCCAGCGTTGTACATACATAAATATGTACATATGTATGTATGTATGTATACCTACAATACCTGCAGATTGTCATCCAATCCGTTATACGCATATTATGACTTCTGCTCGCGGATAATCTTCATGAGCAATGAAAACACAGGGTGAATGTTAATTCACCATACTACATGATCTGCAAGGTACATCATACAAATTTGTATGCACGTATTTATTTATGTATGTACATGTATGCAGTAAGGATCAAATCATGAAATACTGAGAATTGCATAGCGTCGACTTTTTCGTGCTATCAATGTTAAACAGATTAGAGTTTGAAGTATTTCGAAAGTTGTTTTCTTGGTAGGTTGTTGATAAAGGTTGTTGATAAAGGATCATGCATTTGGCCATCTTCGACCAACCACACGCGACTGACGAGCAGTTGATTCTTCTCCACTTATGTTGCATTGTTGTAAAATCATGCACATATTATTTAGTTATGAAAATCTTACCAAAAAAGTTGGGAGGAAGGAAGTAGGAAGTTGAATAAGATGACTAAATAAATAAATAATGAAACCACTTTAGCATCTCGTCCTGCACTCTTTGATCACTTCCAATCACATATCGCAAGTAATGGAAAGTTGGTAAAAAAAATTTCCATAATAATTATAGTGCATTTGCGTTATGTAATATTGTGCATATGCAGTTTTTATCTGGTCATGACTACGAAAAAAATAAATTGGATGATCCCACCTGACACTTATGCAATCGACGAAGAAGCAGTGCGTGCCGTGGTGTGGTGAAGTTTGGGCTGAATAATTTCTCGTCATAGATTAATTAATTGGGATTAATCTGAGATTAACAGAGAGATTAAATATTTGATTACTAAAGATGGAAGCCCTGCTGGGAGGGGCAAGTGCACTAATGGGTGGTGGAGGTGCTACGTTCCCTCACGGGCTGATGCTTGGCATTGTGGGATCGTTATCAATGATGATAACTTCGTGGGAAAAATCCGACCGGGAGAAGGATCAGTATCTGGAGAAAAATAGGGAATACGGTGACACGTACGATTTCATAGTGGGTATGGAAATGCAAAAATTATGCGTCGTTAATTATAATTACTGGATATTAAATTATGTAAGTATGTCTTAATATGCACATACTTTATTTTAGTTGGTGGCGGAACAGCAGGATCACTGGTTGCGAATAGGCTGTCAAAATCGTACAAAGTTCTTCTACTCGAGGCAGGCGGGGAGCCACACCCATTTCACGGCATCCCTATCATGGCCAGTTTCATGCCAGGGCATAAACAACTGGACTGGATGCATGAAACCGTACCGCAGAAAAATGCATTGTTTGGAGCGGAAGGAAATGTGAGAATGTGACTAATTTATTTTAACTATGGTGGTATCATGAAATTGGGTTTAACTTGTAGATCGGACACATCTTTGCCGGACGGGGGCTCGGTGGTACGTCCAATCTTGATTACATGATGCACTTGCGAGGTCACCCGAGAGATTATGACGAGTGGGCGAAAATCACTGGAGATGGGTCGTGGTCTTATGACGCACTTCGTCCCTATTTCGTCCGGCATGAGAATTATCTTGGAGAATGGATGACAAAAGGAGAGAGTACGTGAAGAAATTTATGTCCATAGATAAGAAAGAAATTGTTAAAACTTATAAATTTCTGAAAATTGTATTTTTCAGAGGGAATGCATGGCTCCGAGGGTGAAATGCGCCTTGGACCAGGACCATTCTCCATACTGGGTAAGCGTTTTGTAGTCGCAGGAAATGAAATGGGACTTCCCCACGTGGATTTAAACGGTCACTACGAACAAGGTATATAAACATTATCATATTACATTTACATATACCCATTTATTTTAGTTATCATCTTTAGTGACGATATTTAAATCATGCCAGGTTTCGACATGATGACACAGCCCCTCAAAATGGGTCACCGTCAAACCGCCTATGACGCTTTCCTACGGAGAGGTAGAGACAAGTGGAATCTCGCCACGCACAAGTATTCCACGGTTCATAAGGTATACATAAAATTAGACATTGGTCACTGACAAAAATTGACGATTTCATAAATACATATTTATCAGGTCCTTCTCCGCGGATCCAATCACGAAGCTTACGCCGTAGAATTTGAACAGCACGGAAAACTTCGGGTTGTATACGCCCGCAAGGAAATCATTCTTTCTGCCGGGGCAATAAATACGCCAAAACTGCTCATGCTCTCTGGCATAGGGGACTCTAACCACCTTCAAAACATCGGAATCCCCGCTAAGGTCCATCTGCCCGGAGTAGGTTCCAACTTGCAGGACCACTTGGGCGTTCCACTTGGTCCGTTTTTTACCCAGACGGGTAATTCCATCCGATTAGAGAGAGACGTCGGTCCGGCGGCTGTGTTGGCGATGGGTCGAGGTGACGGCGTACTCACGTTGACCGGATTCGAGGCTGCCGCTATGTTGACGTCAGACCAGGCAAAAACGAAAAGCGGTGGGGACGCGGCTTGGCCGGATGTGGAATTGATTCTCAACACTTTGTCAACCGAAGAAATGGTAGCGTCCAAAAAGAAGATGAGGAGAGATGTGATGAATAAGTATTATAAGGTTTTGCATAAATTAAATAATTGATAGAAATTTGTTTATGAAATTTCGAAAAAAAAGTTAATTTTTCTGGACAGAACTCCAAGGGAAAAGATTCCTTTACAATTATCGTCTCTGCGACACGACCGAAAAGTAAGGGCGGAATTCGGTTGAGAGATCCAAATCCCTACAGCCCTGTGGTCATTGATCCCGCGTATTTGAACGAAGTTGAGGATGTCGGGGTGCTAGTGGATGGCGTCAAGAAAGCGATGCGACTGGTAGAGGGGACCGTCATGTTTCAGCAGATTGGGGCCACCTTCACCAACAGGTACATAAATAAATAGCTACGAATGTCAGACTTCCAAATTTTGATGAAAATTGTGGAGTTCGAAAAGTAATTTTCCTAATATGTATTATTTGTGCGTCTTAAAAATTTCACAAAATATTAAAAAATGCATATTCATATGTACAACAGAACCGTCCCCGGATGTGAACCGTACCGTCTCAAGAGTGAAGAATACTGGACGTGTTTCATTCGAGTGATGGCTCATTCGATGGGTGACGTGGTTGGGACTGCCGCGATGGGACGTGTGGTCGACAACGAGCTCAAGGTCCTTGGAACGGAGAGGTTAAGAGTCATTGATGCTTCCGTAATGCCAACCATTGTCAGCGGAGGAACATCTCCGGCGACATTAGCAATCGCGGAGAAAGGAGCTGACATGATATTAAGGTAGTTACGTGATTGCGCAAAAACTTCATTTCGACTTTTCTGAATTTTGCACTAAATAAAATTAATTCTCCAGATATTGGGGGCCTTCAAACAAGGCCACCTCTCTGACGAAAGAATCATTTTCGGTGGCATCCATCCTAAAAGAAAGTGCTTCAAAGCTACGGACCATTTCCGGTCTGGGAAGCTCTATATTTTTCCAACACATAAAAAACAGTCCGTCCTATCGGGACATGGCAATAAAATCTGGCGTTAAACCGGTAAAGAATCCCTTCCACTTGATCGGACCATTGGTAACGGCCAGTTTGATGAACGTGGGACCACAAGATCACGAGTTGACCAAATCACCAGAATTAGAAGTTCTATCGACACCTACTCACCAACCATACGTCGTCACACCACCGACAACGCACTCATTGACTCCACCGACGACGCACACACTCACACCCCCCACGACACCACTGCCCCTCATGGCGACACTGTTTAGCGACCCAACCCCGTACCAGGGAGAAGTGACCAGTTTACCAGAATCGCACCCCTACCTTCTCCAACCAAAGACGACGCCACACCCGTACCATGGAACCTTCGTGTCCAGTGTGGACTCCTTCCTGCAGCCGTATCTTACCCAGGAAAATAAAGGAGCACGGTTCAGTCAAACCTTACCGATTTTAGGTTTTGCTAAAGTTGCGAAGGATGTGATACCGACAAGAGAGAAGGATTTAGCGAGTCTACTAAGCTCGAGTGGCGGTGGGGTGCAGTATGGGCGGGCCCGACCGAATAGAGACTCTATCACGCCACAACTTATCGCCATGACGACGGGAGGAATTCACATGGCGACGAATGGGGTACCAGTTTCAATGCCAGTACCACTTCAAATTTTGGACTATTCCAAACTATTCTCGCCCAGTCAGCCAAGTGCGCTTTTGTTACAACAATTGCTAAATAACTCGACGGATGGGAACAGTAATGATTTAGCATCCAGTGTGGACTCACTTTTACTGAAGGGTCCACTAAAAGTGGAGCAGGAACAGGTAAGGTACCACACCCAGCAGGATATCCCGCACGATATGTTGCGATTTATCCGACTTCCGGTAGAGTATGGAAAGTTTAGTCATGTTGAGCAGGTTGAGGCGACGACGCCAAAGTCAGTACCATTTTCGAAAGTGCTTCAAAAACATGGGGATGATACAGTTTCTCACAAAAATCATATAGTTTATAGTAATGAAAACCCTACACCAGTTATGATTATGCCTATGGGAGGTGGTTATGCTAATCCACTCCTGTTACAGTATCCTCCTCACCCCATGACGTCTTTCAGATTCAGAATACTTAATCAGGAAAAAAATTGATACTGCAAATTTAAGATTTAGATCTGTAAATGTATGCGTATGAGTTGCATGAATTGTAACGCAATTATTTTGGTGGTTCCTTATTTATAGATATATGTTATGTAAACTGTATATAATAATCGATGGCTAGTTATTATAGCAAATTTATTATTATTTTGTATATATGGGTATGTACGATTATGTTTAAACTGAATTAAATATAAAACAGCATAAATATGTATGTATAATCCTAGCCCGAGTCAGCACTTATGGAATAGTCACGTCCCTCCATCTGTAAATACGTCTATGTATCTCTGTTGTTAATTTTTATGTGCACTAGTTTTACCTACAAATTACTCCGGAGAAAATTGTGCTTTTGTATGATGAATATTATAAACAAATGCACAATAAAGCTGCATTATTGTAAAATATTTGTCTGATTTAACATTGGTGATCCACACATGATCATCAATTTCTAGTCATGCGATTTCTTACATTCATGCATAAATACGTCTCAAAATGCAATTCCATTTTTTTGATCCATTCAGAAGTCCAGAACGACATCGGTTAATAAAATCCATGTCAAGGCGTGGGTAGAACAGTGCCAGCTCCGCATGCTTGAAAACCATTAATATTTTTATTCATATGCATAAAATATAAATAGATTTTAAATAGTTGTTCACATCAATTAAAATTTTAATACCTTGCAAACAAGCTGTGTAAGCAATAGTGCAAGGTCCTGCTGCCACCATTGCAGTGACAGGTGCACCTCCAGCGATACATGCTGCATACGCTATGGAACATGCTATCGCGCAAGTACCCCCAAGAAGTGGTCCTCCGTTTACCGTACCCAATGAACCGACCAAGGCCACCAGAACTAGAACAACTTGAACTTTCTGTACATAATAAATCAGTAAATTTCACAGAAATGTGTACACACTGTTGAAACATGTAAATATAAAGATTCAAGCTTACCATTTTCTCGGACAGTGTAAAACTTGAAAAGTTCAAATTAATTTTAAAATTTGTCATCTACGCAAGAATAACTGGCTTTCGATACCTGAAGAGTGCGGTATATATATAGAAAATAAATCATAGTTTTTCATAAGCTTTCATGAGCTTCTTTCCACCAGGTTTTGCATGTTTTGTTTGTACATCAATTACAATCGGGTCTGGTAAATAAGTGAGAAAGATCACTCTGCATATTCAGCAGAAAGATGACCCGACCCCACTTTCATGATTTAACGAGTAACTCATGATGATACTTCATTTTAGCTCATTTACACGGAGTAAAAGATAATAAACTGGTGTCACAAGGTTTTACGACCTAGTCCATGCATTTAAATACACAGTTGACAGTACATGTTTAGTATATACAAATACTAGCGTATAAGCCCGTCTGCCTCCGGGCGCCGGGCTTATTTAATTTTCATGAAAATTAAGTACGATTGTTCATAATTCCACCGAATTATTTTTTTATTGTATCCATATTATTAGCTGGAAATGTCTGTTTGCAAGGGAAATGAAACTTTCTCCTCTTTCACTTCCGTCACGGAAAATTACTTTCACTTCCGTTGCAGACAAACATTTCCAGCTTATAATATAGATTGTACGGCGACAGTCGACTGTTGATGGATTTGGTTGGATTTCATGGTACCGAGTTTGTATAACAAAGTTAAATAAACTGCTAATGCCTTCCTAATGCACAAATTGCGAAATGCATGGACATTGTGTCTAATACAAATAAATAAGTAAAGTATACGTGTCGATAATGTGGATGTTGTTTTTTAAAATGTATTACCTTATTGCTGAACGAGAATAAATCAATTACTTTAACGGAGTTATAAATACTTGGTGGAATGTGACGATTAGATTAATTTGGTAAGTACGTTACCATATTAATTAGCTATTTACATACACAAGTGCATACCTACTTATTTAAGTCATCAAAGGAACATACATACCCAGTACGGGATATAAGGATGACAGCTCCCGTAGAAAAATACATATTTAGCCATTCATACAAAGAATCAATGTCAAAGTACCTAAAACAAATCTTAACAAAACACCTTGCCTACCTCAATATGTCAACACAAAGTTTCATCTAGCTATATGCAGCTAAATTAATTAATAACAATAAATGCTACCGCATACCAAAATAGTGGCGAATTAACCTGGATTCCTGTACCATTTTAACTCCATTATTAAACGCACTCCAATTCGATTCGCGACATGTGGTTTCACACGTAAAAAATCTACTTATTCATCTCATCTCTCAATGTCATTCAATACACACATCACTCATTACTGAATGTAATCAAAGGTAAAAAGTTGCCGATTCACGCAATCAAATCTTAAACCGGTGTGCATACACATGGATTTGTGCCAGGGTTCGCAATTTTCGCTGGCAAGTTAGTCAATTCAGAAATAACTATTCTAAGGTTTCACAAAAATTAAAAAAGCTCAGAGTAAAATTTATTGTAAATTTGCCCACATCTTCGAAGTATTTTGGTAAAGTTCGTAAAATAATTATAATGCATAAATACATACGTAGGAAAATTGTACAAAGTTGGCTATGCATGTACTGTATTTGGTATTTGGTGAATCATATGTAGTACTTACAAATAACACATGTTATTAGACAAATGTATGCATTAAAATTTAAAATACCGATTTTTTGCAACCTGGTACAGCATCACTCTCATCCTTGCACATTGTTGTGTCCCACTTTTTATCCCAATAATAACTTACGCATCTTGGTCTGAATCTTCATTTGCATTTCGGACCTTGGACTTGAATGTTAATTTTAATTAAAAAACCAATAAAAAATGATTTATCCTATCGCAATTTTAATTTTTGGTTTACTCACGTCAACGTTTTGCCAAGCGGTGGAAGATGGACAGGAAACTGGTCGGGCTATTTCCGGTTGGTCAAATTAAGCAATAATTTAAAAAATGTTTATATTGCTAATAATTTTATAAGATTTGCAATAATTTTAATATATCTATTAAAATATTACCGGATTATTTTACACAGATTTTGGAACCGGACGAATTTTCTTTACCACGCTCCTCATCCCGATTGTGTCGATACTTCTTCCAATATTCGTCCTCGTGGGTTTCATTCTTACAGCGTCGTTTGTCTTCTCGGGTTTCCAAGCGGGTGGATTTATCGGAAGGAGGAGAAGGATGATAGAAAATCTGGAAAAAATTAACTTTGCCAAAATTTTGGAAACCGTGAGTAGCGGGGAATGTGTGGAGAAAATTGCGTGTGAAATTTTTAAATTTTCAAAAAATCATAGCACCGAGGAAAGAGATTGTCAAAACTTAAAGTGTGACTTATTTTAAGATTATGAGAGTTTAAATTTCCCTAAAAATTATGATAGTGTGAATAAGTATTTATACCGAACTTTATATGATTGGTAATTTACTTTTTAATAGATGAAGCTAATAAAGTCAGATTAATTGTATTTAACAAAATTAATTCCAGACTTAATTCTAGAAAACTGTATAAATATGTTTGCCTTTTTGGATTTAATTAATTAATTTGGGTATGTTTTGCTTGTGAATACTTGCTCAAGAATATACATAATCAAAAGTAGTTAATATTTGTTCCTTAGAGTATTAATTGCCATCACAGAGTATTCATTATTCTCATTTAAATTATATATTCGTAATCTGTCTTGTTATGTACATGTATGCATATTACAATCAGTTCTTGTATGTAGCATAAATATATCTACATAAGTTTTCATACATAAACTAATGTACAAATATTTTTTCAGTTCATCATGAGATCTCGCTACTCACGGTCAGGGTTCGCTACCCCGGGTTTTTGTGGGTTGGGGTTTTTGCGGGTTTTTGTGGGTTTTTGTGGGTTTTTGTGGGTTTTTGTGGGGTTTTCCGGGGTTTTTGTAAGATTTTGAGGCAGATTGAAACAAAATCCCTTAAACTACAACGTAGATCATTGCTAATTAACTTTTCTGCCTCATCTTGAAATTTTGAGAATTTTCATTTGCGACTTGAATTTCCAAGTATCATTGCATATTTCCAGGTTTACATGTCAAACATGAATTTTCGATGTAATAGTCCAAATCAATGATAACGGTTAAAATTGAATGTTAAAAGCGTATATTAAATTAGTTTTTCTCTAATAAATAATTTTAGGAATTCTGGTTCAACCTGCCCCAAAATCTACAAAAACCCACAAAAACCCAAAAACCCACAAAAACCCAAAAACCCACAAAAACCCCAAAAACCCCGGAAAAACCCACGGGGTTGGGTTTTTCTACAAAAACCCCGGGGTTTTCCGAACGCTGCTCACGGTCCATCATGAGAAGTTGTGCAAATATATGTATGTATGTACATATGTAGCTCTAATCAAAAATTATGTGTGACAAATCGATATGAAAATAATTATGTTGCAGGCTAACACGAAAATTCATAAGTATGTATGTATACTATGTACCACGCACTTTAATTATCTTTAATCAATGTTTAATACATGCAAGTATGTATAAAGTCACATAAGTAAATTTAAGTTTTTCATTGTATCCGGTAGCAAACTGGACATCTTAGTCGTTAATTTTATACTTACTCCTTCAGCATGAATAACTTGTCGAACTTGTCGATGCAACATATTATGAAGAATGTGCACGATAAATCAAAATGCATACAAATATCCGACTAATAAAATCAGACATGAGCAATGAATATGAGATAAATAGATTGACAAAATTTTGCTGCTTCAAAATTTAGGGTCGGATATAGCCAAGAACCTTTATGAATTGGTTAGAAATCAATAACATCCTGGTCCCTGATGTAATACACCTTCCATAAAGAATCATTTAGGTAGGTAGGTAGGTATTTATTCAAGATTGATGTAGCATTAGCTTTTACAATCATCATTTTCATTTCATACAAAACATTTAGATAGATATTAGCAGTATGGGTGTAGAGGGAAAACCGGAGATGGTCTCGGAAAACCTCTACATGTATTGGGAATGTGGCCCAATACACCATTCGGCCCATAACTGCTGGACACCAGGTAGGAAAATGTATGGCAATGATACATAGGCGGATTCCGTGATGGTGGTGATATCCAAATGAGGGTGGCGTCTGCATGCGGAAGTAGACAGGTGAAGGTTGTTGGGCGGGGGCTGTCCACGGACCGCGGGATCTTGCCCACGTCCCCCATGGTAGCCGTAGCCGGGGCCGACGACACCCCCACTTGCCCCTTCCCCCATCACAACACAATCAGGTCATGGGACCCCCGTAGACCTGACCATGCCGCCCCCCGTCATGCACGACCCCCTCCGCCACTTTTCAAACAACCACTCCCCACGGTCACCACCCCGATATACCAAACAAAAACCTACCTGGGGAGTCCCTCCAAGGCGTAGATCCTCCCGTGCACTGGGTTCGGCGAATCCATCTTCGCCTGATGGCTCAGCTTGTCGTTGCTGGGACGGGTGTGGCAGGGGGTGTCACTAGGCACGCAGGTGGGGGGTGTGAGTGGACGAGGCTCACGTGGCGAAAAGCCTTTAGGACACACTTTACTTGCCCTGGCACACCCGCGACCCAGATGGAAGAGGATCCAGATGCAGAGCGAGAGAGAGATACGTTGTGCACGGAGGAAGCCAAAGAGGAGACTGTTAAAGAATCATTTATGCAACTTTAAATCTGGATGATGCTTTTCGTATGGAATCGGGTACGCCAAAGTTATCTCAACATTCAAACTTTCTCTGCATTTCTTGAAATTTAAGGAGCATTTTTGGAGTCAAAAGTTTTTGCAAATGGGCATCCATACAACGATCAAAGATTAATTCGTTGTCCATATACATTGACTTTAACCTCGAGATCAGCCCGTAGTGGTGGTGACGAAGGGAAAAATTAAACTACTTTAGTAAGTTAAACCAAAGTGAAACTTACTTAATTTTGTGTTTAATTTATCGAGAATTTAAATAATATTTTCTTTTTTTAAGCCGGACTTTAGTGTTACTCATTTTAATGAGGTTTGTGTCGAGGAATGTTGAATAATATGCATGCATATTTGTTTAATCTACAGATCTTCAGTAATAACTACAACTGCATCAGAAATAAGAAAGCAACAAGACTTTGCATGATAAACTTGTCTATGTCAATAGACTGGAGCTCTGCTCACACTTCCCCTCACTAATTCTCATCTTTGTACATATTTACAATGAAGCAAAAGTCGTTGTGATAATTACAGCAACTCACTACTAATTTACAACACGAAAGAAGCTTGTGAACTTAATCATTGATCATCATACCAATTTTAATCCCAATGTTCCTAAAACAATTAATAAATTATACGCCTCAAGAGATATCATGTCATTTGTACGAATAGATGGTCCAGCCTAATAATTTTATTATTTTTAAATTATTCAAAAATCCACAAGGGGCGAAAATTTAGTTGTGAGCATGCAAGCTCTCATCTTGCCTAGTCCATTGCTAAACAGACGTACATATATGTGTGTAATGAGGCAAAATGAGATAAAATGAGATTTCTGCATTACAATTTCTCTCATGAATTTACCCTCAACTTAAAGCTCACATGCCCCACATGCTGGTAGATTTTGGTCTGATTTTTTTTTATACACGTGCATAATTTATAACATACAGTTAGATAACAAAGACCAATTATATTGTCGACTTTTGACCAGTTTTATTCACGACATTGTGGTTCCGGAAGACTTTGGTCGACCCGAAACTATTGTCGTTAGGGTGATATTTAAATGATATATTTTGTCCTAAGGACACGGCCAAGTTTTTCTTCTTTTAAATAACTAGTTGCTTATTTAAATTCCAGCCACGCTACCAACATCATCCGTGAAAGGCCCCCTATTAAGCATGACCAGCCAAGATATGGCATGATTTTCATCTTGTTTCATGGTTGCGAAAAGGAGCCTGAAATACGATACGCGTATTCCAAACAAATTTTTCAGCGTAAATATCAACTGACTCATGAGCTGAAACGTTTCGGTCAGCAGAGTCATGTTGTATGATGTGAGTGATGTTGGTGCTTTTTCCAAGTGTAATAAAGACAACCGATATTTGATACTTTTATTTGAGACTAATTTCTCAGTAAAAATGTCTCATGACTCGCTTGCTGAGGCGTTTCTTCAGCAGACTGACGTATGTATATATGTGCTTTTGAGAAGTGTAATAAAAGAGGCTGATATTGGATACATGTGCTTGAAACTAATTTTGCAGCAAAAATGTCTCATGAATTGCTTATTTGCAGGATCAGTTTAGCCAGCAGGATTGCTTGAGGTACTTTTGCGTAGTTGAACAAAGGAGGCTGATGATATCCAATGAATATCTACTCATGTCACAAACTAAATAATTTTTCAACATACATAGCACACGATTTTTTTGCTGGCATTTTCTTCAGGAGAAAGATGTATATAAATATGTAAGCATGTACTTTCACGTAGTTGAACAAATGAAGAACGTAACTAATATATGTCGCAACTAACTAACTAGTAAACTAAACTAATGAACCTATGCGACTAATACATATGCATATGTAGACTAACAGGTCATCTTCAGTACGGAATACTCGATCCTCGACTGAACTTGTTTCATCTGCAGAGAAATATTTAAGTGTATGAAAATCATAAATCGCGAGTTACATATTTGTGCACCAGTAATCTAGCACCCTAATTATAAGTAAGTACATTTGTAACCCATTAATTTATATAAAAAACATAAAGTTGAAAATATATTTTAACAACTACTTTTATAAATATACTTAGTGAGCAGAGGACGTGGGAAGCAATTACCCTTGGAGAGGGTACCTGGCTTCGAAGGCCGGGTACCTTTCCAAGGGCCCCGAAGAACTACTGAAACCTTAAAAAATGACACAAAAGAACAAAAAGTCAAAGCGGACAATCCACAACATTACGATCTAAACCCCGTCCCCAAATCTTCTCGCGAGAGAATTCCTGGATTCGAAGACCGGATGCCTTTCAGAGGGCCCCGAAGACCGAATGAAACAGAACAAAATTTCCAAGATGACACCATGCAAAAATATGACAAAATAAAACCCATTCCCAAATCTTCTCGCGAGTTCGCAAAAAGTGAATGGGATTCCGATGAATCGGATTGGGTGAGACAATTCTGTATTTATGGTTGTTACTAATTGAATGTATGTATGTACGTAGTCAAATGCGTACACTAACTAGGGCTAAATTCCAACGTTTAAAAATTCTTAAAGTTGGTGATTGCATAATTTATTTGAATTTATATTTTGCTCCATACCGATCGTTGCAGGACAAAATATTCCTCAAATTTGCGTCAAAGTAAACATTTGAAATTAACGAGTGGTCGTGACGTTTTAATTGCAAAACCTTTCAGGCTTGATTTTAGCCGTGGTTCATATAATAAAATAGCTAAGTTGATCTGATCAGTAATATTATTGTGTAATGTAATTTATACAAATAGGGGGAACCTAAAAGTAACCCTGGTAAGCGGTATGAAGTCCGAAAAAGCACCAGAGAAGTGAAGAAAACGAATCCTGACTTGTTCACAGTAATTTCAACCCACCTTCAGAACATGTATCAAAGTGATCACGACACATACAGAACGTAATGTTGATCGGAATGGTTTTTTTGTAAAAGTATTTCACGCTCATTTTAACTCATTTATTGGCATTTCTAGATACGAAATGAAAAAAGTCGGGGACGACGATACATTCTACTGGGGAAGCGTTGCAAACAATTCCAACGGTGTTAGCGAAATTTGGTCGCCCTGTAAGGACGTAAGTAACTTTGTGTAAACATTTTTTTCCCTTATCTATACTTACCTACTTTATCTCATAAAAATCCGTTACTCTGTACCATTTTTTCCCGTCCTTCTGTCCTATCTATACTGCATAGTGAGAAAAGAGTTTTATTATTATTCTTTCCATGAAATCATTTTACATACATTTATTTCGAAAAAGCTAAACGACCAGCGCCGTACTGCATATGTATGTACATATGTATCGATTTCTACACAACTCCCATAAAATTCGGTCATTACATTTGAGATTTTTCACGCATATGAATAAACCCAGGTAAGTTAACTATGTACTTATGTAGGTGACAAAGTTTTAAAATGGTGACCACGGGGTAATACTCATTACATTGTAGAGTAGAATGACTTATGCTGCAAATTCTGAAATATTAATACGTGGCTGATATTCGGTCTAGGTACATAGAATTTAAGCGACGTATGTATATAAATCTACAATATTTTTTAAGTTGTACATACATACATCTGAATTGCAGGGTTCCGGACTATGGTACAGAAATGATTTGCCAGCCAATGCACGGAGTGGGCGGTGGGAATACAGGGGGTCGTGGGTGTACACTTCCGTGGGGCCCAACAAGTATGCGGCCCAGATGTCTGCAAATTTTGCGGCCGTGTACAGACGCGAGCTTTGTGAATTGGGGGGAAAAATATACCCCGATTGTTATCCTTCATGCTTCAATGAGGAGAGGAGAGGACGAGGAGCGGTTTTATTTTGCGTTTCTTTACCTGAATTGACCAGGCGTCTATTCCACGATATTTCACAACGGAACCTCCCCTCCCAAATCGTCATTTCACACAGTCCATTAGTCACCAGTGAAGGTTGGAAACATTTAAATATGAAAATTATAAATACTGAACAGATATTTAAGTGACGGTGGTATTTTCATTTTCAGACGTGACTTGCGAGTGGATACCTTGCAGTAGATCCCGACAGGATTCATGTCAAATTGCTTAAGCCATGAGTAGACTTATGGGATAAAATTTATACTAATATCTTTAAACTAGACAATTTTTATCTTTTGTGCTTATACCTATTCAGCATAAATATGTATGTATGTAAGTGTCTAAGCACCACCTTGTCGATGTAGCATAGTACGATGAATGTGCATGGATCGAAATCTCTTACGATATCGTCATAATAAAATCATACATAAGCAATGTACATATTTCAAATGTCTCTTCCCTAGTTCTTTGTCACGTGGTACATGCCAAGGTAGTGTCCTCGGGGGACTTTTTTATAGTTTGTATTCTAATAATTTGTCTTCTCGTTTATCATGTCATATGTTAAGTTATGCTGATGATGTTATTTTGTATGCGAAAGGCTCAGATTCAGATGAGGTCCTTAATTACTTGATTGAACAACTTGAAATGTTATGTAAATGGTGTGATGAAAATGGAATCAAACTCAATTATTCTAAAACAAAATATATGATTTTTCATAAAGAGCATGATAAGACAGGCTTATCCGATAACATGTCTTTTATAATCAGAAATGAAGTGGTAGAGCGAGTGTTTGATTTCAAATATTTGGGAATATGGATTGACCCACATTTAAACTTTAAGAAACACTACGATAATGTATGTACGAAAGTCGTGGGTAAATTGAAATATTTAAGAGGTTTGAAACGATATATAAACGAGCATGTGCTCAAGACAATGGTTAACGCGTACGTTCATTCGGTAATTGATTATGGTATTGAAATTTGGGCCGTTCAAAGTGATGCTTTGTTATGCGATTTACAAAAAAAGATTGACCGTTTCATTGTTGAATTTTTCTATCACAAAGTCTCCAAGAAAAAGTATATGAATAATTGTTTTAATAGTAATTTTGATATAAATGAGTTGAGGAAATCTTGTAATTTCATGACCGTATTACAAAGAAGAGACTTTGTTATTTTAAAATGTGCGTATAAAGATATGGCGCATGGTAATGTTACTTTCTCCGGTAGCACAATGGGCCAGGAGCCTAAAAATGTGGCCATTATGGCGGTATCTTGAATTGGCTATTCACATATTTCAACGTGTAGTATAGAACCAACATGTCCTCCATGCAAAATATAAAACCAAATGTTACACCCACTCGGGTGTACCCGTGGGGTAAACTTTTCATAATACATTACGAAGATAGGGCGAACACATTTTCTAAAAACTTCACAAAACTTCACGCATTGCGGACTCAAAACTCATGCCATTAAATACCCCATGGTGTGCTAAGTATACCCTGCTGCGACCGTCTGCGACCATCAAGCTTTATTCCAACCACACCCACTTTTAGTCATTAAAGTTAAAAAAATCAAATTTAAGTTGAATTGCCTTTACTCAAGTATGCTTTAAGTATACTCACTCATTGGACTTTCTCAGCAAACTGAGGTGGTAGCAGGAACGTATTTTGGGTGTGAAAACCACACCCTCTGGTAGGGGAATCCAAATTAAAGACATTTCTTGCTGAAAGGCTCGATGGCCGATCTTGTCATGCTTAACATTGAAAGTTGAAATTCGGATTACTTTTCCAATTGTTGACCGATTTTCATAGTGGCGACTGTTTTGGAAACCCTAGGTCAATGGGCGAAACATATATTTTCAGCTTTTTATAATTCGACCACACCCCCTCGAAATTAAGGTCACAAGGTCAAGCAACTTGTAGAATCAAATTAACGAATACCGCAAAATTTCAAACAATAAAAATCGAAGTGCATGTCGAAAAAATACCTCGACAGCCTGGCCACTACTAGCAATGTTCAAATCGTCACATGCTACGCCCCCAGTGGGTGTGGCCCTCGGCGACTTTTCGATTTTAACGGAACCATTTCATGTTATATATCATTTTTCTCAGCTCGGCGAGGGAATCTCGACAGATTCATTAGAGTTTAGAAACCACACCCCCAGTGGGTGTGGTCCTCGGCAACTTTTAGATTTTAACGAAACCATGTCATGTGATATGTCATTTTTCTCAGCTCGATGAGGGGATCTCGATGGAATGATTAAAATTTTGTCACCACACCCCCAGTGGGTATGGCTCTAAGAAAATTCTCAATTTTAACGAGAACAATATCATGTGATATATCATTTTTCTCAGCTATACGAGTGGATATCCACAGAATAATTAGAATTTTGAAACCACGCCCCCAGTGGGTGCGGAATTCAGCGAGTTAAAGTTGTTTTCTCCCACACCGAAATAGCACTACCCGTATTTTGCGTTTCCATGAAGGCTCGCGTTTTCGGTTGTAGCGGTTTAGAGGGCATTTTCAGCCCAAATTAAAATTTGTCAAAAACTTGTATGTTACATAATTTTAACGCTATATCATAAATGAAAGAGCAAAACCATTTTTTCTCAAAAATTACAAAAAAGATTAGAAAAATACATTTGTAAAAGTTTAAGGCTTTGTATGCTATTTCAAAAGTTTGAAAAATGCAGCAAGAAATTGTAAAAAATTGCAAAGTTTGAAAGTGGGTTTTTCTTAATTTACGTAATGCAATTCAAATTATTTTGTTGAAATCCCCTCGTTTAGTTAAGAGAAATGATTTATTACATGACATGACGTGGTTTAGTTAAAATCGAAAAGTCGCTGATTTTTAGTATTCCGTCGAAACATCCTTGTTGAGCTGAGAAGAATGATATAACACATGGCATGGTTTTATTAGAATCGACAATTTTCTGGGAACCACACCCACTGGGGGTGTGGTTTTCTAAATTTAAGGTATTCCGTGGATACCTCTAATCAAGCTGAAAAGAATGACATATCACACTACATGGTTTCGTTAAAATCGACAATTTGCTTAGAGCCACACCCACTGGGGGTGTGGTGTCAAAATTATAATGATTCTGTCGAGGTCCCCTCGTTGAGCTGAGAAAAATGATATGTCACATGACATGGTTTCGGTGAAATCGAAAAGTCGCAGAGGGCCACACCCACTGGGGGTGTGGCATGTGACTATTAAAAATTTCCTCATATAATATATGCCTTAGGTTATTGTTGCACACCAAAATCTAGTTCTAGTTTCTTCAAACTCGGCGTCTATATATTTTTGGCCAAAATATTTTAAATCTGGCCCACTGTGGGTAGGAGTGATCTACGTATGTGTCCATTGATGACAGTTTGTAATTTCTCGTCACAGATTTTTCGTAGATCCGTTAAGTACAGAACAATCACGCTGTGGAATAAACTACCAAGAGATCTAGATGTTAAAAATATGTCATATAATAAATTTAAGGAGACTATACATGATTCAATATTTACGAAATAATATTTTTTAATTGTTTATGACGAAATTAGTAATGTTAGTATTAGTTAATAGTATAAATTGTTTATTGTATGTGTCACTTGTGGAAGAGCATTGTTTGTAACGGTGAACTTGTTAGACACTCGAATAAAGCTTCAATCAATCAATCAATCTGTTATTAGGCCGACGGACGATATGTAACTTTCTCGACTGGCTCAAGGCTATAACTGGACATGGACTCGTGCCGTTGCCATGGAGTTTTCTTTGTGTATTTTATACCGGTGCATTCATCCAATTTCAGATAAGGTGTATTATTGTTCCAAGTATTTGAATCCACTTTGGTACTCATTTACCTCCAAGAATCACCACTTGTAAATAATAAAAATAATTTCTTCACTGACGTTACCAATACACATTTAATGAAAATATCATGTAAATCATGAAATAAGTATGTATGTAAGTATATAAATAAATTTATGTACTTATGCATGAACATGAGAGAAACACGCCATTACCTTGCTTTCATTTATATCTGTAATGCAACATAAAATTTTTGTTTTAGATAATTGTATATGCAAAATTGCAGTTCATAATTTTCTATGTAAATACGTATACACGTAATTGTTGTCATATGTAGATATCAAATAAAATACTATTTTGTTTCATATGAAGGAGACCTCTACTCTTGCATATTATATAAATAAAAGTACTTATGTTCATATCAAGAGACCCATCCCCATAGAAACGACACGTCCTTTTCTATGAATTTTCCATCTCTTCAGTTCAAGATTTCACCCTTGTTCATTTTGATGAAAACGTTTCCGCGCATCTCGGCCTCAATTGTTTCCAAGCAATTTTGCTGACGCAGGAGATTTTAGCGTCCATGTATGTACATACATATGTATGAATGCATCAGTCGAGAAAATATCGTCAGTCTCGACATGTAATTTATAATTTTTGTCCCTTGTAACTTGAGAAAAATGATCTCAATCTACAAAATTGTTGCCATGATTACCAGTGCCATATGCACTGCCATCAACTCTATCTTGATAGTGATCATTTTACAGGCACGGAATCCACGAAGGTAGAAATGTACAAATATTTTAAACTTATTACGAATTAAAAATTCTTGTAATTCTTTATGTCTAGCGCAATTAACATCCTGATTGCACATTGGTCCATCGTAACCTGTTTGGTCTCCGGATTTGGGATTTTTGACTTTGGCCAAGAAGAGAGATTTATCCATGGACCATGGACTTGTCGAATTTTACCCTTTTTGAGAAGTACATATTTTTATTCGTAAATTAAATTGGGAACAATTTTAAAAAAATTATGTATGTCTTAGACTGGATAACGAACCTCTATCCGCTCAGCTTGTTGGCAATCATTGCCGAAATTCGATGGCAGTTACAAGCTCGATTTGGGGGATTGATAGTCATATGGATTTTGGCGTTTGCTTGGATTGTGTCAGGCGTTGGAGCAAGCTATGCGATGTTCATGACAACTTTCACCGGCGCCGTGGTTGGTGGAGAAGTGGGGGAGCGATGTGTACAGGTTCTACTTAAAATTGAAATATTACACTTTATTGCAACACACATACGTTTATGTAATAATTATTAACTTTTTTGGCAGATTCCAATGAGAGAAAATACATTCATGACCATAATTGATACCCTACGGGCTGGTGTTTTCCTGTGCTTGGCGCCAGGCTATGTGTTGGTCGGTAAGGGGGTAATTTTTGGACTAGCTTAAATTAAAACTAGCAAGTGATAAAATCATGACGTGTTTAAAAGCCTGGTATTCAGTCACTGTTACTAAATAAGTTACATAGTGAATTCCATTTCTGAAAACGAAAAAAATATGGACACTTGAAAGTTTTGATTTTTGTACTAATAACTTAAATTTGTGTACTTATTTTTTCCAGTGTTGTTCGTGTACTATGACAAATTGCAAAAGTTCAAGATGCAACAGGTAAGTTTGGGATGATGCAAATGTAATTAAAGATATAGCACTCAAATCACCAAACTGGTAACAAATTGATATTTCTATTACCAACTGATTTCTTGCATATCCTCGTATTAATTGAGTCGAACATTGAAAAATAATGCTAACAGTGTTGATATTAACTCAAACACTTGGCAGGATGAGACATTAATAATTTGTTGCACTTAAGGTTTCGACACTGGGGAGGAACGCGATGGACAAGAAATTGCGACGAGTTGGACACTTTGGCATCTACTGCGTTGGACTCATCTTCGTCTGGATACCGCTTGGAATGGGGCTGGCATGGAACCGGATTTTGTTGGAGGAGGTGACCCCAATCAATGAATCTAATGAAGACGATTCTTGGACACTACGAGGCTTGATTGCCGGAGGGGGACTGGCTCTTTATTACGTATATGTCGCTGTCGGACCAGTCCTTGCCATGCGGATTGAAGACTCCCTCCTCAAGGAGAGGTTCCTAGACCTCTTTAGAATAGTTGGGACCGTTCTACCGCCCCTTGCACAACAAGAGGAAAACATGGAACTTGGACAGATTCAGGGCTGAAATGGTTAAGGGATATGAAGCTATATTAAAGAAGTTGACGTGTTAACCGAATTATTATTAGAAGTCGGTGTATGTATATATGTACCTACAACAATGCTGCTGATTATCAGGAAGATAATTATCTGTTAAAACGAAGTAGTCTTTTGTAGATATTTTAAAAATACATTTGGATTTGGATAATTTAATGCTCATACATACATGTGTACATATGTATGTATGTATGTACATTCATATATATGCATATTTGATGTTCAGATCGATAAGAAATTAATGAGCCCCCTATGCGATAAAGCTGCCATCCTGTTATTCAATCTGAAGAACGTTAGTAACCCTTTAGGATGAGTTGAATTGACTATTGAATCAGATCAGCGATAGTGTCTCGTAATATTTACTAGAAGTAGAATAGGTATGTTCATGTGTTGTAAAAAAAATTCAAATAACGTTCGTTTTCCACCAAAAAATCTGTGTCCCGAAAACTTATTGTGAGTGGAATTTTGCATTGCCACTGCTTGGTATTTACGTCCTGAAAGATACATACGTACGTGAATAAGAGGAGGAGATTTTGCAAGTTGTCCTTAGTCATAAAGTTCATAAATCCTTGATAATACTCTGCCAAAACGGGAGACGATGTACCCTAATGTATCAACTACATATAGTGCAAGGGTTCAATTTCTGGATTCATTAGTAAACAATTAAACCTAAAATTTTCGTATGTATGTATGTATGAGATTATGAATACCTATGAATACCTAATGGCATACACATTTAGGGAAGAAATTAATTAATGCAAGACATTAAGGAGTATGATTACAGTTTTATTATGTAAGCAAGACATGGTTATTCATGGTATTCTCAAAAGAGTAATACATGTAAGGATTTTGCATAATAAGTGTGTATGTAAATCTACTACGAGTGTTAAGCTTTCCTTGTAACATTTGCGGGACATAGAACAGAGATGAGATATCTTAACTGGTTATGACGCGTTTTTTGCGAGTAAACAACCAGAGGATAGAAAATAAACGATGTATGAAAATGTACACATATTAAATTACTTAAATGAACCTGAACAGTAAAGGTTACTAGTTCACCGAAATGGTTTTGCAGACACGGATTGAACTTGCAATCATGCAAACTTGACACGTATGTATGTACATACATATACATTTGTGCGAAAATAAATACAACTCCTCAGAAATCCACAACCTTAGAAAGCGATCTGTGTGCATCACATTATAGAAATTTGACTCATTTTTCTTACATGTTATACGTATGTACATATCAAGTTTGGCACAAATACGAGAACTCATTTCTGCAAATTCTCTACCCAAAATTCAACAACGGCGACATTTTGTTGGAAGTGCGTAAAATAACTAAAATGGTAATGATCTTAATATTTACTGTTTGAAATTTTTGCGTTGTTAGATAATTCGAACCTAATAATTTTAGTCACTACCGAAAAACCAATATTCATACTGTTCAAGGGAAGAAGAAATAGTATTAAGGAAAAGAAGAGAAGTTTGCCGTAGTATTTGTTCGACACTGCTGTCGATCATCTGCATATGTGCGCTGATATTTGGAGTCATTGTGTGTAAGTTCTTTTTTAAATACATTTATTCTAATCTACAAATTGTGAACACTTATCGAAATTTTAAACTATTTTTTCCCCAAAATTTCAGTGGTAACGGGACCAACCGAGGAAGAAAAGTGTAAAGAATCTTGCTTGAAAGAATATCCATTTTATTTTAATGTGTGCAAAACCGAAGTTATTGTTCGGTTTAGGAGTGGTTATAAAGGACGACGTACCACGGAATGCAAATGCTTTTGCCAAAGTATGGAACATACTAATTGTACTCAAACCTGTTTTTCTGTACATCTGGAGAGATACGTGTCGTCAATCCTGAACAGTGAAAACCGGGATAAATAATAAATAAATCGAGGAACCAAATTAAGGTCCGTCCTAGATTTAGACGGACTAACTCCGTCCTAGATTTTTAATCTCTAGTCAACGCCTTTAAATGTAAATTTGTAAAATGCATCAATTTCATGAGTTTTGACATAAATTTCACTGTTGAGCAAAAATTACGTGAAGTTAAAGTTGGACGTATGAAAGTTTGGAAATAAAGGTCGTGTATGGATGGATAATTTTTTTCTCCGAAGAACACATTACATATGTGCATGTGTATTATGTGTGCATAATGTGTATGCAACAAAATTCCTTGGTGACTTGGTCATCTGCCAAAAATCATAACCTTGGGGCTTACATACAGAATGTTATCAGTGTTCGGATAATGTCGACCCTTATAGTACCCTCCGGTTTGACCTATATATCCAATGTTATAATTCGGAACGATAGGATGCCCTTGACCCCTATCCCTCCTTTAAATCGAGCACACGCTTTCCGCACAGTCCTTTGGCGAATATTACTTTCGGATTTATCCGATGATTTGTTTATAGATATCAACTCCGACACATCGTTTATTTCAGCTGTGAATTTAAGGTCGTCGAATCGTTTTCCATATATTACGCAGTTTTATTAACACATTTGCATATGTACATACACACATACATATTAGAAAAACGCATTTTGCAACTTCATTTAATGAGACTAACGCCATGAACATTCTTGACATGCCACCTGAAGTAAGTCCGTCAATACATTTTACAAAATAAAAATTAAAGCATATCCTACAATTTAAATTGTGTAGGTGATTGGCATATTATTGAAGTCAATTCCATATCCAGTACTGAAAATACTACGCCTCGTCTCCACCAAGTTTGCAAGTTTGATTGCACAACAAGCCTCATTTTACGAAAATGCAAAACTCCAAATTCCTTACGAAAGGTGCTCTTATTCTACTAATTTATTTTACCTTAAATAATTTATCAATAATTACTAAATATTTATTATGTAGCTTTCAACGAGCCGCCTCCTTCCAATCTGCGATAAAACTCCTCAAGAAAATCGGACCTGTTAAAAATCTTGTCATTCCATTTCCATCCAACAAACCAGGAACTTGTTTAGTCGTTCTGATTTGCAACTTGTGGCAGGCTTTGTTTAAAAATGTGAAAATTGTCAACGCAGTTAACCAACAGAACGTAATGTCACACGAACCATGGGTCCAATTCCAGACTGGGGATTATTGGGAGCAGAATAACCAATTACAAATTCAGATTTGGATGCAATTCGAGTCATCTGAAATACAATATGATTTATTACCTTATAAAATCTGGAATGATATTTGCCAATGGGATCATCGCCTGTATAACGTTGTCGCAAATTGTGCAAATTTGGTGCTAAATTCTCCTCCAAAAGATGAACTTTCTTGTTCCAATTTAAAAGAAGAATTAAAGTTTGCGACGATCCAAGTAGTTTGTACAAATGCACCTCCGTCTGTCGCTAATAGCGAACCTATAATTCAATTTAGGGATGACCAACATCATGAAAGAATACCATTTGCATGGACCACGGGACAAAGTAATTTGTATAAATGGAGGATTAAAGGTTATCTAAGGGGAGCCTTGATAATAGGAATTTGTTTATTTGGGTGGTTTTTGTATCACTATTTTTGGGATAAGAAATAAACAAAATTTAGATAATTTTTCGAAATTGCAAACAATTATCTAGGGGTATTATTAATTATTTTGGAAAAATCATGCCAAAAACTCATGAACGGATTGCGACAGTTTCATGAGAAAAATTCATAAAGATGCAGACAAAGTGGGAATCGTTGAAGTCGATTCCATTCAAAACAACACATGTTTGGGTAAATAAATAAATCTGTGATCTGGTAAGAAATTGGTAAATTTATTTATTTATTACTATTACAGCCTTTAATACATTTAATAGGTATGTAATGAAAGCTTATTTATGTGCTTTTATAGGTCGTTATCCTTGTGACTCAATTTTGAAAATAGATTGATTGGGGATGGTGGATGGACGAGAGAGTAAATAATCAAGATTAAACTCACTATTGAGATTGACTACAATTGGTAGTAAAGTAAGTTGTCAAAATTTTATAAAATAAATAAAAGAATGTAATCATGAATGATAATTTGTATTTTTTGGTTTTAGTAAAATTATGAATACCCTAAAACAACGACACATAGAAGATAGTTGTTATTTCTGTGGGGGTGGCGACGAGGATGGGAGGAGACCCTTTAGTGGAGTGGGTGGAAGTATAAGCATTCTGGAAACTTGGTCATTCCGCTGTGTTGAATCAATTTCCTGCCTCTTTCGAATTCCTGCCAACGATCCATTCCGTCAAATCTTGAAGGATGCCAATTATTGTTCAAAATGCATCCAAGTCGTTCGAGATGTTGATTTTACACTTCGTCTCTTTCGAAAATTGCTTGGACGATTAGAGGTATTACAGAAGGACATGTTGGACAAGGTGGCGCAGAAGGAGATTAATGATTTTGGAGAAAATTTGGAACGAGAAATTTCTAAATGTAAGTTTTAAATACTAATTTAGGCAAAACTAATCACTTACTAAATTATGTCAATTATATCATTGGATAATACCATATTTTTTTATTATTAATTTAGTGCTTCGGGAAGGAAGTGCTGAGGTTAATGTTGGGATTGATCGGTTTAAGCATTTACTAAATTTGCATTCCTTAAATGATTCTGATAACGACGACACAAGACCAGTCCAACATTCAAGCCGAGCTGTGAAACGAAATAGAAAATTTTCAAATGCAGATGACAACGTGAAAATTGAAGAGGAAGAGAAAAACTACATTAATTTCAATCAAGAAGAAGTTGATTTACTATTTATGGAACAAGACCGGCTTATTTTATCAATAGAGGACGACCACCAAGAAGACTTTGGAGTCCCTAATCTTTCAGAGAATTATCATAACGATCAACCTTTTAAATCTGATGATGAGAGTGATGATGATTATCAAAATAGGCATAGCAATAATAAGAGGGCTCAAACCCAGAAAAGTCTGATAAAAGTCAAAAGATTTCGGTGTTCCCTTTGTCCCGCATTGTCCTTTGGAACTGACATGGCCTTGAATGGGCACATGAGAGGTGTACACGAATGTGAGAATCTACCAAATTCGTATAATTTTACCATTAAGAATGCATATTTAACTTATTAATTAATATTGTTCCTTACAGTTGACCCTCTCCCATATCATTGTGACAAATGTCCCAAAAAATTCAAGCAGTTGAAAAGTCTGAAACGTCACACAGCCAGTAAATGTAAACTTTTACTTAACACTGTTGAAAGTAGTGCCGAGCCTCGACCCAAATCAGAACCTCATCATATTTCGGACTCCAAGGTTGGAAATCGACAAAGCCAACGCTCCTCTGCTCGTGTTGCAAACTTTGGAATAAACAGAATTACAGAAAAGGAGGACAAAGATGATGACACTACTATTAATTTACATGGAAATAACGAATATCCCTCTGATAAAGATGACGATTACAGAGAATCAGGAGAAGACGAGGAGGACAATAATGCTTCAGATTTATCTGATAACTATCGTAAATCTCATAAGGTTAGAAAGAACCGGGGTCATACGGGCACAAAAAAATTGCAGTGTCCCTTATGTCCGGCCTCATTTCTGTCAGACACCACTTTGAAAGGACATCAACGTGGAGTTCATGAAAGTAGGAAACTAATTAAACATTAATTCTTAATTATTTTTAATTTTTGGTATTTATTTATTCAACAGATGACCCTTTCCCATTCCATTGTACGAAGTGTCCCAAAAAATTCAGGATATATAAAAGTCTGAATTCTCATAGAAGTTTGAAATGCCAAAAAGAATTTCCCAACCCACCACCAAATATACCTTGTCCCTCTTGTTCCAAAATGTTTTGTACAAATTCCACCCTCAAGAAGCACACGAAGCAGTTTCACTCCCAATTATACTGCAGTTTCTGCACCTTAAATTTCTCAACTTTAGAAGAGGTCAGGGTCCACGAGAAACTCCATGAAAATTGTGACCAACCATTCAAATGCGTCCTCTGTGAGGCGTTGTTCTCCAATTCGTTGAAGTTAAACGATCATGTCGCATTATCCCATGCCAACAACAGATTCGTTTGTGACATCTGTGGAGTCAAGTTTGTCACAGAAAAATCGCTTCAGAGACATCAGCAAACTCACAGCGAATCCTACGTCGGACATAAGTGTGAAGTATGTGGACATGTATTCCAAAGCGCGTCGGTCTTAAAACAACACATGAATAAGCACTCAGCCACAAAAAACTTTACGTGCGAAATTTGTGGGGCCGGTTTCAAGTATCCTTCTGGGCTAAAAGTGCATAGGATAAGTCATGAACCGAAGGCAGAGCTTCCGTATGTATGTAAAATATGTGGTAAAACTTTCGCCTGTAAACAGTTCCTCCTGAAACATGAAGAAGTCCATGCCATCATTTTGTCCTACGAATGCCCAACGTGCGGTAAGAAATTCAAAGCGACGAACAACTTGCGACAACATGTCTTGACTCATGAGCCGAAGGATCCACTTAGAAAGAAAAAAGTCAGGAAGAGTGGTCAGCGGAGAGGGAGAGAGATAATTAGGATGGATGATGAATTAGAAAATGACCTCGAAGACGCACCTGTAATTGAGGTAACAAGTGGTGGAGAAAGAGTAGTTAGTTATTTTATAAACTATCCTCTTTTGTAGAGCGGAAAGGGTGGAAAGTTTTAATAAAATATAATGAGATTAAAGCTGTAATAAGAATTATACTTTGTCCTTTACTCATTGTTTTTTAACATATTGCTAATTAAGCATGACCAATTTTATGCAAGTAAGTTGCACTAAATTTCCCAAAAGAAAATGTGCACACATACCTACATCATATTAAATACATCTTTAATGGTTAAAAATTGAATACCAATTATCAGCCGTAATATACGCAAGTTCACCTAGTTAATGTGAACTTCAAAAAAATAGACGCCACAGGCAACAGGATTTTGTGTCAATTAACGTGTTAATTAAGCCTAAAGTTAAGTAGATTCCATAATATTTCAAATTATCAATCCCAGTAACACTAATATAAAAAGGTGCAAAAAAAAGTGAACGCCAAGGGCACCCGGGATTCCCAAGCGGTCCAAGTACTAACCGGGCCCGACGTTGCTTAACTTCAGTGATCGGACGAGAACTGGTGCATTCAACGTGGTATGGCCCTTGACGAAAGTGTACCCTCTTTCGCCACCACTTATCAAGACTAGTGCTGTACAAGATGATTTGCAATCAGTGTTAGAAAAACAAAATAAGTGTATGCATGCATATTATTTTTAGCGTATATTACATACAACTTAGCAGGACGATTGCACACGATTATGTTTTTTACATATGCATAAATATTTTAATTTCCTAATAATTCTGTTGACTTGATATGAATTGTGGTATCGATTGAAAACTAAATAAATAAATACTTATCCGTCAAAAACATACTGACTCTACTGGTTTTTAGGTAAATATTTGTACACATTTCTATGTAGATCAATATAATACGATATATGATACGAATCGTATCATACGATTACACATCATGTACATCTCTATGCATACTTACATACATACCTATGTACATACATAATCCCTTCTAAGAATTCAGTTGATTTTATATTCGTTCATTAATTTTTTTAAGTTGTTGTATAGGATAACGATGGTATGATTACTAGCACGTTATCCTGACAAAAATATTTTATTGCCACTAATTGAAATCCAAGGCTTTAAAAAAATGAAAGAAATGCTAAAGAAGAAGAACCTACAGACAATTAATTACAAAGCTTAAATATAACTAATATTTTGACTAGATCATATTAATATTTATGTGTCTGCATTAAGTTTCTAATCCAAAAGTAATATTCGCTAACAGCATTGACAGCACTTTCTTCCAACCCTGTTCCGAATGTTTAGTCCACGCTGTCCCCAGAACGACGGGAAGTAAGTCCAAAATGGTATTATTCAAATCCTGTCAATAATACAAAATATCGTTATGGATTTCAATAAATAATTATTTTCACTTATCTAACCTTGAAATCTCGCGGGGTAGCTCGAGACTTAATCGCTTTGTGATGTCTGCCCAACTGGACCATTTTTTCTTTCATGACGACCGGTTTCTCAATTTGTGACAAGATATCGTCCAACGACGCCATGACGAGGGTCGATTGGGCGACGAAAGCTTTGTTGGACTTTAATTTGTGGATTGGGATACAGCCAAACCGTTTATATAAATGTTGCTTCCCTGGATCAGTCTTGAACATTCTGGAAATTTATGAAAAATTAGTTTTTTAAAAATTAAGTATAATGTTTGGTTTGCCACTTACGCGATGAAAATTTCCATCCCATTTTCTTTAAGGTTTTTTCGAATAATATCCCAAGTTCGTCGCACCTCGGCTTTCTCTTCAATGCTAAGTTGAGTGTCCATTTTATGTGGAAATTTTGTTCTGGGTCTGGGTGGAAGTTGTCCACGAAAGTTCTATAAACTATTGTTCTTGGCATTCTGAACTTTCCCCGTATCGAATTAATTGATGTGTTTCATTTCCCCATTAATATGAAAACCAACTTGAAATTGCTAACCAAATAGGTCATGCAAACACGAGTAATGTGCTTCTATGAGAAAGTATGTAGCATATATTGGACAGATTCAGGAAAATACAACGATTCAGATAATAATGTACCAATTATTGGGACTGTTTATTCAGAACTGGAACTGCGAGAGGTGTACATCTAACGAGTGTCCACTAATGTATGTACATATGGGGCTGAGAATTGAAGAAAATCAGACTGCAATGAAACTGCGTGAAAAATTTCGACGAAAAATTCCATTTCCCATGATGCATAAAATCTTTAGGTATTAATTTTATTAAATGGGAAAATGTTTCATGGTATACATATGCAAAGGGTTTCAAATTTCATGAAATATCGGTGGGTTTACAGCGATTTGTTTCGCCCAGTCCCATGCATGTATTAGTGGCCGGTCTTTACAGAATGTATGTAAGTACATTGTTATGAAATTTCTCATCGATCAACGATCAGAAGTGGTACCCAAAAACTGCAACCTTTAACATTATAGCGTCTAGCCAACATAAATATGCTTTTATACATATACGTATGTTTGACAAGTTCGAGAGGACTATGCAATGCAAAATTTATTCTTATTGTCAGTGTAAACAAATTTACGGCTGAATCATGAAAGCAAACTAACAATTTGGGTTTAGGAAAAACAAAATTATCCAGTTTGCTTAAATAATCAACATATTAGTTTTAATATAGTATGATTAAGATTCTGAAATAAATAACATCCAAGGATTATTGATTCCTTATTTGCCGGTGTCTTTCAGAAGATTGATTATCTCAATATTTGCAATCATTTTTTTATACCCATCAGCATCCAAATTCATTAGCTCAACTTGACCGATAACATTGTATTAATCGTATAATTGCATATGTTATAATAGTACACAGATTTTGCTGCTTTTTTCAACAGAAACACGTTGAACCCAAACAATCCTGCTTGCATTCTGATAATTCGCATCGACTCCAACTTCCTCCGTATATACTTCCTATTCGCCATAAACACAAGTTGCTGCCTCCCCCTGTCACGAAATGCACTCGCATTCTCAAAAATCGCTATAAACATTGGCAACATTATCTGAATCATGACAGGAACTATCGCGGCGACACTTAAGATGTAGATAAATATCGGAAGTGGAATAAGATGACTTAATTTGACCGATGCGAAAATAAATGCTACCGCAGCGACAAAGCCGACTATCATGAAGAGCAAGATGCCCAAGCTTATGAGCTCATCCCCCATGATTAAGATAATCTGCAAGGCTTGGTATTGTCGAATTATGCTTTCCATTTCGTCATCCTCCCGACAAACCTGGGTCATCCTGTCCAAGTGGGCAACACAGTCTAAAATAAGCCTTGACAGCACGGTGAGAATTGTAACGACGATCGAAAATACACGACAAGTCTGAATAGCCGGTAACATTAAGGTGGCATTTAGAGTGAGAAGTATAATGCGGGCAGGTAAAGTGTCATACTGCGTGTTGAGAAGTATTTTATGGTAAAACTGCGAGTATGGGTCCAACCGAAAGTATGTCGTTGCCGGGATTATGACACAGCCGTAAAATGCGAACACGAAAACTATAACGATAAGCATAAGGCCGGCGGAGTCGATGGATGATCTCGTTTTTTGGGGGGTTATCATGTCTAAAATATGTATGGAAAAGTAATTAGTATCATAATATCCCAGAGGCTGATTTATATTTTTAAACTTACTCCAAGCCAACCTTCTCTCCAGAATTTTTATGCTGCTGAAAGCGACTGAGGGAGTTTTTCCATAAATTAATAGTGCAAGCTCTCCCACAATTCCGATGGCAAGGAGAATATAGCACATCCAAAGTCCGAACAAGTTAACGAATTCGATGTGAATTCGGCCAAAAAATTGGGACGTGATTAAAAACAAACACGGAAAGGCGGACGTGACGGATTTCAACAGGACGAGACACCAAGGAATTAATTGCTTAGAAATGGGATGGTAAACTGCGGTGCGAAGGGAACGATCAAATTGCACGGGACATTTCCAAATGAAGGGAAACCTGGAGGTATTTTCTACCGATTTCCACATTATGGGTGTGACAACCATGGTTTAACGTTTTTTAAGGAAATCTAAGTGAAAATATGAAATATCGAATGTTTAGAGAAAGGGGCTTAGAAAATGAGTAATATTTGCCTTTGGTTTTGTTGATGTTACTTATTGATGTTATCATGGTTATGAAGAAGTTATATGCATGTTGTTTGTCTGTCCCAAATGCGATTAACCTTCATTAATTATTTAGAATTTTTATTTTAGTGGAGATGGGCAAAGTCGCCACGAGGAGGATAAAATATTCAAGATATGTATGAAGCTCTTGAATACATACATATTGCAAATTTTAGCTGGTCGAGTCCAGTACCAGTAAACCCAAAATCGAACTTAGGTAGGCTACAAATCAAGATATGTATATTGGCGTAATAATCCACGACTTAGGTAGGGATTAAGGTCTCAATCGTTGTTAAATGATGGAATGGAAGGTGAGTTATTAATGCGAATTTTGAGTTATCTTGTACGTATTCTGACCATGACCTTAGATTATCACTGAATTTTTCACTCCATTCGTATGTACAATTTGCATGAATTAATCTCAATTCGGAACCTGAATATGAAAGTCTTCACATTTTCGATAAACTGATGAATGGATATAGGTCTTGAAAAAGTTTTACAAATATCTAAGCGATTGAACCTTGTTGAAGCGATTGACTACTTACATTGATCACTATTCAGAATACGTCATCATACGATTTTTTAATTTGTTAATGCGTAAGTACCCCTAAATTTTTTCGAGGAGTATTTTACTAGCCAGCATTTCTAAAAATCAGGGTATTCTAAATCGTCCACATGACGTTTATCTATGTATATACTAAATACTTGAAAATGTCCCAAGCCTATGATACTGGGATTTTTGCATCTGAACCTTTGTAGTACTTTTGCATAATGTTGGTATTTTGGTCTGTCAAATTTTCGTATAATTTTGGGATTGATCTAGAACAATATTTATGAACGTCCACAGAAAAAATTGGTTACTTTGGAATAAGGGATGATATAATATATGCAAATATGTAGATTCTAAATTGGATTAAGATGTTGATATTTGTAAATATTTACAAACTTTGAGTATTTAAAACTTCCAATAGCTTATGCTTCCCCATCGATTGTACATAAATAAGTACGTTAGTATAAAAATTATTAAAATTGAACCGAAAATCAAGCAATATGCCACGTGTATGGAAATGCGCTAAGTATGTACGTGGTCAAAGTCAAAGATTGGTCGCAGGTTGACAACAATAACCGCAACCATACATACATATATTAACTCCTAAAATTCGGAAGTGTACCGAAAATTTATGAATATCGATGTAATTCAATAGTTTCCAATTAGGGATTTAAAAAAGTGCACCTACGTATATTTCTTATCTTATCTTTAGTTGTGTGGCAAACTGAAATCAAATTAATTACAGCAGCAAAAATTGTTACATAGTGTGCAGCAACCACATTAAAATATTTTCACTATTCCGAAAGTAAGATACATTCACTACATATGTATGTATAAGTTTTTCATTTCGTAATAAATGCAACCACTCATACGCCGATAATTCCTAACTACAATAAAAAGCATAAATTAGTACTAAAATCATCATTCCAATCATCTCATTACAAGCTGTATTTAATTTTATGTAACTACTTACACGATAAAAATATATGTAGCGTCAGGAGGTCCTTCTTCTTCTGATAAATAAATAGGAAGGAACAGAACACGAACGTCTCGTTGGTATTTGTGCACAATAAATAAGTCTGACGATGAGCCTCAAAAGCCACTTGTCCTCATTTAACCATGCAATGAAATGAGTTGCATAATGCAACTTGCGGCGTCGAGTTCTTTTCAGGACTTGAATGAAATGAAAGCAAACAATGCTTATGCAATAATACAAATTGAAAAGGGATAATGAAAATAAAAGTGTGGAAATGTTATATGCAGAATCATGAATTCAGCGATTTGTGTAACATGTCACATAATTTTTTTTTTCATTTGGGAGATCCGTTCGGGGAGGATCACTTGTTGATTAGAATCAGGCAAAAAGTCATTCAATTATTTTCCTGCAAAAGAAAATATTAAGATTTTAACGAACCAAAAATTTTACCAGTGACAATTTCTTTCAAAAAGTTTGAAAATTTTAGCAAAATTTTAGATTTTCATTTCGTTCAAATTCCGGTTTATATATTTATTAATTGATCTCAACTTTGTCGCATATAATTCTAAATTTTTTACAAAATGAGATACAAAACTGTTGCCCTTGGTATCTTTATTTTACTAAATTTAACATTAGTGAAACGCGTCAGCGGACAGAACGCAATTTCGAATCTGATCTCAACATTAAAGATTGTCACGAGATTGTGCTATTTTCCAAAAGTTAATAGTGAAAAGGTTGCCAGAGGATTCATCGGGTGTTATGATTATGCTCCGGTAAAAAGAAATACAAATTTTAGTTTGCTTGTAATTTATTAAATTATTAGTTGAGTTGAGTGTAAGGAAGTCCATTTTTATTTTCATTGAATATTTATTAAGCTTTCGGGAGAAGATTTTACCCTTTCCCAAGAAAATAAATTTAACAATGTTGCTAAATTGTGAAGGTATTTAACAGAAAGTGCATTTGTTAAATTTTAGGGAAAATGGGAATATTTTAAATGTCAGAAAAAAGTTAATGGATATCTGCTTGATACGAAAGATCATATTGAGCAAGCTGCATGCAAAAGACCATACAGGACGCCGTCCGTAAGTTTAATGAATAATTATGTACATTGTAGAATATGAGTTTTAAAAATTAAGTTTAAACGTTGCCCACATTGCAGTATATCGCTTGTCTCATGAAAGAATTCAGAAAGTCGGGACTTGACTTGAATAAAGCGACGGCGAAAGTGAACGTATGTAAAATGAGCATATTTAATTTATTTTATATGATTTTATAAAAATGGATTTGTCCTTAAATATTTGTACCCAGGATTGCCAGAGCAGAGTGGTTGGAGTGTACTAACTACATACATACATATATGCAAATAAGGAGGAAAGGAATCCATTTATAAATTCAGTATTATGCCGTTTTAATTAAAGTTTGTATGTACAACACAAGATTTTTTTTTTTGACGAAACACAAAGTTCCATGAAATTAGTTATCGCACGAATTCGCGTAATAAATTATGCATTTAATCCAAGCATTATTTGTAATAAATATATGCATGTACATATGTGTGTACATGCATGATTTTACACATACAAAAATTTGTACTTATGCAGTATTAATAAGCTGAAAACATACCGGCAAGTATTTAATTATATTATGAGTAACTACATTTCTATTGAAATATGTTAAACCCGGTACCAAGAAAGCAGCTATGGGGTACAAGTAATGTTAATTGTACTTCACTATATAGAAACAATTATTTTTTGATTTAAATTTATATTAGTATAATTATTAGTGTAATTATTCTACCATGTACGTAGATACATATATGTTCATGGTAAATATTTATTATACTTGCATTACATGTAAATTAGTAATTAAACAATTATGGGTGACATGACGACAACTACAAAAAGTGACTGCTTGGTATGAATGCAAATTCAATTTTTAAATGTTTTGGTGAAAATTCTGCAACTTTCTCTTCGCGAGTTACTGCCCATGGATCAGTTGCTTTCTCTACCTCTCCTTTATCACCCTTCGCTTTTTCGGATGCCTCTAACAAAACATCCAACAACCATTCTCTAACCAATTTGCTACTTGGCACTTTTCGAATTATGGCACCTTGGCTGATCGCATAAGCGTTACAAACTACCATCGGACCACAGTCGTAATCATTATTCTGCTGAACGGAATTCAATGCAACAATCAATTTCCATTTGTTCGGATCAAACGGCTCCTTCTCCAATTCATACGCGACTTGAAGTAGTTTTAAAAGAACGAAGAACGGTCTGCGGTAAAATGTGGGCGACATCACGATTGAAGAGTCGAAGAATATAATTTTCTTTTTCTCAATTTCCACACAGCCGAGGAGCCAATGTCCTCCGTGGTTGTCAAAGTCAGTGTTTATCAGGGCGAGCACGATCTTTTTGGAAGGAATTTTCTTGTCGGATAACATTCTGTAATTATAAAATGGTACTGTTAGTAAGGCTTTAGTGTCGGATACTCCAGGAGTCGACAATCTATGACGGAAAAGCTACTAATTTAAAGAAACCCCCAAAAAAAACAGGGTTGAAAATTGACGACCATTTCAATGTTTCTCAAATTTGCCTTGGTGCTGACCCCGACTCGAATAGAAAGTAATATCCTCAACGGTAATAAATATGCATAAGCTAATCTGGTATTTTTTGTGTTAATTGTGCATAGATTAAAGTTACCCAATTAATTGTTTGTCGTCATCACTCTTAAGACTGCCATATTTTATGACGAAAGTCTCCAAGACGGTGTGCGTATCAGTAAGATTCTCCTTCTCGAGGGTAATTTTAATGGCATTTTCTAAAAGTTCGTCCTCAACCCAGGTGTTGGGTTCGAGACTTTTGTACTTTGGATACTTGTAGATCTTGGTGAATGTATGCTTTTCTTTTTCCCATGGCCACTCCTTCTCAGGAATCGATTCCGCCTCGAAGTCGAATGCAGGGTTGACCTCTTCTCGAGTCAGGGTTTTGTTGATGGGATTTTCGTAAAAACCTGGATAAATTATCAATATATTGTGCATATTTACAATGTTTTTGATCACTTATTTGTGATTGAGTTTGTTGCCACTTAGGATTAGCATGAATTTCGCCACCCGTTTAAAATTCAATATGTAAAAATGAAAACCATATTGTTTATTCCATGAGAAACGTACAATATTTTTAATAATTCACTTACTTGCTTCATGATCCATTGCATCAGCACCGGAAGATTGTCGCACAAGCTGAAAATCTTTTATCGCACTTTTATTTCTTACATCGACGGATAAATTCTTATCGGCATCACTACTTGTGGAAGGATTACAACTCTTGTCAGAATTAGTTTCACAGTCCACAAAACCATGAAAAGGGCTGCGACAATTCGAGCAAAAAATATAATCACAGGGTTCACAACTGACATGAAACCCACCCAATTCGGCGTCAAATTTTACCACCGCGTTACATTTAGGGCATTGACTCTGTGAAAAAAAGTATTCAATATAAGTCATCGACCACAATACTGTGTTTAAACTATTTTAATTGTACCTCATTTTCTTTTAATTCGAACTTTTCTTCCTGGGGTGGATCAACCAGCTTCAATTCTTTGAAATCCTTTTCTTTAAGCTCAGAAAGCTTAGTCTTTGATATGTATGTCTGATCAATCGGACAGCTATATGCGTACAGCTTTAACTTGGTCAGTTCGTGTGTTATCCGGATCCAACACGATTTGCAAAGAACATGACGGCAAGATTGAAATACATAAAACTTCGGAATCTTCGTACAATTCGAGCATACTAACTTTACTAATACTTGGCTGCTCAAATATTTCGCAGCATTTTGAATAATTTCGCAAGACTTGCAATCCACAGTGTACGTCTGGTGGAATTGTTTACATACAGCTAAATTATTTGTGTAAGTCTGATCAATAATTTGCAAAATGTCGGCAGTTTCTTCTACCGCTTCTTCGCAAATTTGTTGTAGGAGGAGGAACAAGTGCGATACAATTTTGCAATCATCGGAATTAAGAAGATCTCTAACTTCTGCGGTTAACTCGTAAAAATAAGTAGCTGCAAGTGCAGACGCCTGTCTGTTTTTGACAATATTAATAATTTCTTTTTCCACTTTTGAGTCTCTAGTTTTGCAAAACTTTTTGAATAATGGTTTAAAACCTTCCATTTTTCTAAATGAAAGATGAGAGCTGGATCGGGTTGGACTTAATGGAATACAATGGAATTGATGAGCTGGATATTAGCGAGTCACCCAGTAAATAGTTAACCTTCATTTGTTTGCCTTATGAAATTCCTGCAAAGTTTTATCTAATCAATGATGGGTTTTCAGGGAGGTGAATAAAAATGAGTTCATCACTTGGACTTGATGCTGCAATGAGGCTTATGATTTGTGGAAGTATTTGCAAATTGGGACAATCATACATATTTATTTATAAGTAGATACATATGTAATTCAATAAATAAAACTGTGGTGGAAGTTTATAATGCAGATTAATCAAGTTGGTGAATAAATGGATGATACGGTTGCTCAAAGATAATAAATTGTAATGGGGTTTGATCACTTGGCAAAGAAATTTTGCAATAACACCTCACGCCGACACATTATTTCCATCTTCTAACATAATTATAAAACTACTTCAAGATATTAGACAATTTTTAAAAATATCAAAATGGATCTAGAATTAGACTCAACTTGCGGAATTTGCACTTATAGTTATGATGAAGACGAACTTGTAACTCTTTCCTGCCAGCATTTATCATGCGTTGAATGCATGACTGAAGTGGCTGAGGAAATGTTACATAGTTTAGACTCATCCGGTGTAAAATGTCCTGCGAATTCTGCTTGCACAGCATTTATTGGCTACGAAGAATTTCAAGACTTTTTGCCACCACGTCTGTACAGAAAAATTTTAAACAAGGTTAATAACGATGTGCCGGAACCGATTGTAAAAACTGCTAACAATGCAAATGAAGAGGAAGTTGAGGTATTTAAATATCTATCAGTAACTAAATGATAAATTAACAACTTAAAATGAGTTCGTCTTCCAGAAAAACGAATGGAGCTGTCCGAAATGCAACAGTTTTGCACTGATTGCTCCTGACTCGTGTATTGGAAATTGTCAATCATGCGACTATATGTTCTGTTCTGGATGTCGCCTCGACTATCACGGGGAAAACTGTGGTAATGAAGGTGCGACCGGGTTTGACGACCAGCAATCTGACGATGCTTTTCTAGCTATTGCTCTTCAAGATAGTTTGAATTTGGGAACTTTCAACTGTCCTGAGCCGGAACCAGAACCAGAACCGGAAGCGGAACCTGTCATACCTAAAATTTCTTGCTGCATTTGCCTAAACGATGTTGAAGTCGATGAAGTGACGGATTATGGTTGCTCACACCTTAATTCATGTCGATCTTGTACAAAAGATTATTTTGAGGCGATGATTAGAAGCGGAGATATTCAAAAATTGGTATGCCCAGAGGACAAGTGTGGGGTTCAAGCTAGTCAGAATTTAATTCAGGAGTTGGTCGATCCCGATGTATTCTTAATGTTGGAAAGCTTGCAGTTGGACACCGTGTTAAAGGATGACCCAGAAATTGTAAATCATTCATAAACGTTACACTTTGTAATCATGTAAACTTTGTAAATTTATTATTAGATATTTGAAACCATTTCAAATATTTAACTTACAACCACAAGTTTAAAAAATCCTACAAAATTTGCACAGTTTACGCGATAACAAATGCTACACTTCATTATAACATTTTTTTTTTACTTTTGGGATCAATTTTTTAGGTGAAATGTCCTAAAGCAGATTGTCAGCGGAGGATCACTGCCGATCCAGAATATGGATATTGTGACCGCTGTGACTACCGCTTTTGCACTGGATGCAACCAAGACTTTCACGGGGCTGCGCCCTGCGGAATGAGTGAGGACGAACTTCGCGACTTCATGACGCGCTATGCCGCCGCGGAAACGGAGGAAGAGCGCATGCGGCTAGAAAACGAGGCGAAAGGGAGAAGAAAAATGGAGAATGACGAAAGTGAACGTATCATTAAAGAAATGTTCAAGAAATGCCCGCAGTGCAGTACAGACATCGATGTAAGGAGTACAGATTTTGTTTATAAAAATGGGGAAAATATGAAAAATAATTTCTTTACAGAAAATAATGGGATGTAATAAAATGCAATGCACCAAATGTCAAACATTCTTTTGCTGGCTTTGTGGAATCAGAATTACGACGAGGGATCCCTACGCACATTTCCAAAATTCAAATTGTGGGCTTTTCGAGGTTCCACCGGAGTAAATGGTTAAATTTTATCAAGATTATTTGAATACGATTGTCGCATAATAGTGTGTAGGTATTTTTATTCAAGTATTTATAAGCATGTTTGTTTAATAAATGTAATAACTGTGCTGTGACTTTTAGCCTTGAATCCACTGATATTTACATAACATGGTCAACAATTTAGTATTCTCATCGTTTGATATTTTCTAAATACTTAAAAAGTGTCGTCTATTGAAGTTTAACGACGTATGTACATGTATATGTACATACATACCTATCTACATTCATTACATAAATATGTATGTATGAACATACTATGTAAATCCATATATGTACATACATACATACGTGTAAGTGCATATAAATTTAGTTAGCATTTGTTTGTGTAATTTTACCCTATCATCTATAAAACCCAATTTACGTATTTTTTAATAGTACTTTCCATTTTCTATATTTCCACATGGACATACGATACATGTGGAATTCAAAATAAAAGTTCGATATAAAAATCTCGAATGTGTGATTTGCTGTAACGGAAACACTGAACAAGGGCTGTTTATACAGGGGGCGAGGTTTGTGTACCAAATTTTCAAAAGTACTTTGAAAAGTAATTTGAAAAACTTACAATTGGCTTACTCGTCAGAGCCATGACCCTCAATAAAAACTATATCAAGTTCGGAACATTTTTTCGAGGTAAGCAAAGTTATAAAAAAACTTGCGTAAGTTATTTGTGACATTTTATTGTACCTGAGGATTAAATTCATATTTAATACTTTTGTGAAACAAGAACTATATATTTTTATGGATATGTATTTATTAGATGATCGAGAAAATTGACATTTAATACTTAAGAAAAAGTGGTCACTTATTTATCAAAAACTAGGTATGCTAAGTATTAAACCTAGTATGAAATCTTGACAGGTAATATAAACCCAGTTTTAAACACGTTAAAAAAATGTATTTTTAGTTTTTGTAGTATTCTTCGACTATTTAGAATCGCCGTATGTAGATTTCGAGCACCAAACCAAAACTAGATCTTAGAGAATAAACCCGTTTAACTCGATCTCTGCAACGACTAAATAGCACTATTTTTAATACGACTTCCCATCCTGTCAACAACCATCGGGAACTGGTTTTTCAACTATAATTACTTAATTGAGGTTTATATATTATGTGACTTACTTATTAAGGCAGAAGAATGACTTAACTTCTTTTACAATAAAATTATGTCAGTATCGCAACATTACATAGACGACAATCTGTGCTATGTAAAAGAACCCACTGAACTAAATCTTTCCAACCGGTCAGACATCACATATCAAAGATACGTTGTCAGTACACACCCAACTTTACAAGCACTCAAGAGAAGACGCCTTGGAGAGATAGTCTGACAAAATGGTAAGTTTCTTAAACTTTCAATTATTCATTTATACATAAATTATTTATTCGTATATTATTTGATTATGGAAGACTTCTGACGATTAAACTGAACATTTTCTATTGCAATCACCAATTAATTGAGCTTGTTTCCTGGTACATAGGAACACCATGTGCAAATTAGCAGTGCCCTCGTCATCTTAATAGTTCACCTAACCCCGATAATTTGGGCAGATCCGATTCCATCGTCTGGAAATATTGTCCCAGTTAAAGATTCAGATTCCTTGAACATGGTTGCCACCCCCACTCCTGGTGCGAGCATAATTCTGCCCATTCTTTCAGCGTCTACGACACGGGCGGAGAGATCTGGAGGAAAAGGAAAGTGGAATAATCGACAGAATAATAGACGCCGAGCTCCCACCCCCGTCGTCGTTTCCACCCCGGTTGTGACCAGTAACGAATTGACAGATTCGGACAAGGAGATGATCCTCCACTCGAGTGAAATGCAGCTGGATCAGGGCGAAAATGGGGAGGACTATCTGCACGAAGCACTTGGTCAAGGGGAGGAGGAACAGATTGTCGGTGTTGATCGGCAAGGCAGACCAAAGACGTCGACCACTGGTGCAAATGCGGTGATGAGTCTGGCTGAACGGCTGGCGGCGTCAGGAATCCATGTGGACGGTGGTACGGCAAATTTTGGGGGAGGGCACGACCTAACGGCGGGAACGAGGGGGGTGTCAGGATCAGCATATCCACCGCCGGGTGGGGTAAGTACTTTTTGTCGGTTAGAAATTTATAGCTTAAAGTAGGATTTGATGGCTCATCGTCAAGGTCTGGAAATTTATCTTATTATTCTGAACGACAAATTTGTGGTTGCCAGTTTAAAAAAAATCGCACTCCAGATTTTGTCAGTTTTTGAAGGAGGAGATCTCAAGGTTAAGAAGCATTCAGAAGATTTGGAACTCATCGAAACTGACCTACATACATGAAGTCTAAAAATTCACGGTCATTCTATTAATCGACTTACTGACTACAAATTTGTCGTCATAATTTTAAAACAAATTCCTATAGACGAGAAAATGTGTTAATTTTGGTGATGAGTAATCGAGTCCGACTTTATGAGGCGCCATATTTTTTTCAATGTGCTAATTGGAATTATGGTTATTTCTTTGTATAGAGTTATCCAGGACCAATCTCCAATCCAGGCTTTGGGGCTGGAATTGGTGGAATAGGTGGAGCAGGGGGGTGGGTTCAGCCCACGATGGGATGGGGACAAACTCCGCCACAAGTCCCTCAGATGAGTGGATGGGGTGAGTAAAATTTAGATTTTTAATTTCGGATCTTTGCATCAATGATTTTTTTACTTTATTCAGCCGGAGGTGGACAGCCTAATGCGAAAGTGGTCTGCTATTACTGTACTATCAACGCGTAATTTGGTGATGGGGTACTCATAAGGGGGAATTTTTAGGGTGTGATTCAGAGTAATAATTTTAACGCATGTGTGTAAGAGACATTTGTACAGAGATTTTCATTTGCATACGAAGTATTTAGGAATTAACGATAACAGTCAATATATGTATACAAATAATCGAAATTATTATGTAGATAGTTGCAATTAGGATTAAGAATACCTACATATTTTTTACATTATCAAGTCAGAATTTTATGCTTATGTAAAAATTGGGGAGAAAATGCAGTAAAATAGGTCAATAACGAGGTTGAAAACTTGTTAGGGAAGGATGTCGCGGTCATACATACGAGGTCATATTTATTTAAAATGGGCAATCGAATTGATCGAAATTTAAAAATATGGAAAGACTGGTTTTTATATTTTTCATACTACTTGGAAAAGTTTATTGATTTTGGGCCGTTAACATTTTTTCTTTCGCCGTAACATGGGGATGAATATATTTGTACTTATGTAATGTACACAAATAATCAATTCTACATACGCGTATTTATTACTTACTTCGACCAAGTTTATTTTTATCAAGTATTTTGTATTGTAAGATCACGTGTATTTATATTGAACAAATGTTAAAATGAAAATACTTCGAAATGATGAGCAAGCTTTAAATAAAAATGGCACAATTAAAATAAAATTCTGACAAGAATGTTGTCAGTAATTGTACTGTAGGTGTAACAGAAAATGTACTTCTCAACTTTCATCACCTTTAAGTAAGCGAAGTAAATTTAATTTGGCCTCAAAAGCCTGGACTACGACGGCATTATAATGCCTTTCACTAATTCGCCCAAGTGGTCTCCTACTATTTCCTTGCACATCCAAAGTTTTGACCCGGTGCTAGTTATTCTGACGTACTGTCACATTTTCCTCCCGCCAAAGCTCTAGACCTAAGACTAGATTAGTGGCGTGCTCAAACTACTCCAGGGACTGGAGTCCAGTCCGGGGGATATTCCTGGACACATCTTCATTTTAAAAGTTTTCGTTTAAATTGTTTATTTAGATATGTAGGTATTTATAAACTTCTCTTTTGTATTTTTTTAGTTAAATTTTTTTAATTGCAAAAAGAGTGAATATTATTTGCCAAACTGCAATACATTTAAAATATTCAAGAATCGATTTAGTCAAGCCGGTTGGCTCGAGTTTAATTTGTGAATGGATTTTCATGTACCCTGTCAGCGAAATAATTATGTGGATTGCAAGGATTGTAAAAGATTATGTCTGATCCGGTTCAAGTTTGCAAAATAATAACTAAACAAAACAAGTTATTCGGGATACTGTTTTTTGTTAGCTGGTGCAACGTTGATAGCAACGAGTGGAAAAATTAGCATTTGCGATAAAATCATTTTAAGGGTTTATGTCACCTAAGCAGTTCGAATTGTTCCGGACTTGTTCATATTTCGATCAGTCTCAATGTACTGTACGACAGAAATTGATGGCTGCTTGAATGTTATGTATTTAAAAATATTTACAAAAAGTAGATCGACAACTTGACCAAAGCATTAAATTGATGCTGTAATAATGTAATTAAGGGCATAAATTCGTACCAATACGCCAAGATTGAAGGTTATGATAATTTAACTACGGGTTGAGGTAGTTCAGGGTGATACTTAATTTCAAACGGTAATAAATCAAATTTGCATAAAAATTTGCATGATTGAAAACTGGTCTAATGAATAGGTAGTTTTATGCACGGGAATAAAAATAGTTGTACCTGTTGCATAAATTTGGAAAGGGAAAGTGAAAGTACAGCCAAGATGTATTAAAGAAAGTTACATCCTCATATAAATCTACCTATATGCGTAATTTATTGGTGATCATTGGCATTGAAAGGTCATTATACTATCATGTTATTTAATTTCATATTTCTGCTGTAGAACTTCTGCACATGTCTAAAATAGAAATTTGCACGAATATGCTTTGAAATCAGGTACTAATTTTTGCACTTGAATTTTTGTGTAAACACTTCCACATTTCACTTTGGTTAGAATAACTCAAACCTGATTTCGCAACTTGCAAAAATGAATATTACGTATATAATGCTTAGCTTAACGGCACGAATTAATTTTCCTTTCATTTCGCCGCCACTACCACGCTGACCGTGTTAGGGTTAAGTCGTTCGAAATGGAAATTTTCAAAAATAGAAATTTATTCGCATATTTGTTGCTGATAACTGGAATATGGGAAAGTGCGTCGCTATCATTTGGGGATGGTCTCCGTACCGCAATTTTAGAAATAAAGCAAGGCACCAACTGGAAAGACGGGTTGATCAAGGCCTCCCTCGAAGATGACGACGAACTCTCCAGTGACGAGGATGACATACATTTTAAAGAAGATAAGGCCTTACCTGGTGTTGGAGAGTTACAAAATAATCCAGCGACAAGAACCAGACCTGTCTTTGATCTGGCGCAGTGGGCCATCGGCATCGGACAGAGTACGGTTGCTGGGGTGGTAAGGATTTTATAAAATTCAGTAAAAGTATGCTTGCAAAAAACGAAGATAAATAATTTTATCTAAAATAGTACTACAATTAAAGTTTAATTTGGCTAGGATTACGGAATTAATGGACCCCGACCAAATGGATGGGTACGTAAGAATAGTTCAAGCGACAATCTGGCATTTTCGGACTAATTTTGCGTCGTGATTATGAGCAGGGATGGGGTGGTAGCCAAGGAGGCTGGGGGCTCGGATGGGGGTGGCCTCAAGGTGGAAATGGCCCATTAGTTGGCGCCTCAATCGTAGCTGGTCAAGGAGGATGGAACGTGAATTGCGGTGGGGGTTCGGGTGGTAACAGGGTGGCCATTGGATTAGTGAGAATGAGCCTGAAATTATTGAATTTAGCAAATTTGTGTAGCTGTTAATTGGTGTTTTAATGGTCTTATAGGACGGATGCTCAACAGGTGGTGTTAGTGGTGGTGGTGGCGTCGGTGGATGGACGCCATCTTACCGTCCTCCATCATATAATCCAACTCAATCATATAATAGGCCATGGGCAGGAAAGCCTCCAGGAGCCACGCTTGGGGGGTACAATCCAAAGACGTTTTGTTTCTATTGTCTCATTACCAAGAAGAAGAGAAGTATTAATTAGTGGGGTAAATTATGAAATTGTATAAATACTCGAACTTATTGTTTGTTAGTGTCATAATTTGTTCAAACATATGTACCCGTGAAAGTTATTTATTCTGGAACACATACCGTTCTCGATACTTTTTTAAAATAAGTATATTTCCCTGTATTTAGATAAATAAGTAAATGCCTGTATGTACATATGTATGTACATACGTTTATAATACTGTATATGAATATGCACATGCAATTTCAAAGCTGATGTCAAAAATAAAATAGCATTACATATGCATTTATTTTGCTTTAAATATTTCAATATTCACAAGTTGGAATATTCTACTGTGTTCGGACGATATAAATAAACATAAGTATTTATAATTGTGCAAATCTGAATAAATCAATATTCAAGGATGGGTTATATATTGAGTTTTATGCCCGAACGAGGGCTTATAGCCCCATGATGTTGTCCTTGTCAAACTATAACACCAACCTCAGCAACCTGACCTAATCGGCTTCTTTTCTTGGTGGAGGATTGAATGGCATGAATTGATAGGTTTGCTGACCATAAGATCAATTTTTGAACTGATTACTTGCAAGGTGTGCGGAAGTCTCCTACCCAATAGCTCCTACCCGTGATATTTTTTAACCAACAAACTAAACGCCTTATTACATTGTGACTGACACTCTACAATTTCTTTAGATATTTTAAGTTCATAATACTCGATTTATTTTTGTTATTTTAATAGTCAATTATTAGTTGTCTCTAATATTTTTCTAAACTCGTGTAAAATTGCAAAATTTACAACAGATTTATATATAAAAGACAAAATCTGTGCTATTTTTCTTATTATCTTCTATATGTGTGCGCGTGATTATCTCCTACCCTACCTGCAATCATTTTCTTCTTTATTCTTCTATCTATATTTTTAAACCAACGAAAAACAAATATTACATAATGGTGACATGTAGGTTTACTTCGAGAGTTTAAAAATTAATTATTGGTTCGGTTTGGTTTGATTCCACAAACTAGCAAGTCTGTTTGCAATAAATTCGGGAAAATTAGGTAGATCGGTGATTTTAGAGATAATTGACCCGTTCAAAATTTACAAATTACGTAAACATAAAATTGAGATAGAACACAATCTAATTAAATTAAATGCCAAGGAGAGAATATTATGTATAAACAAAATAGAGAGTATCAGTCACAATGTGATAAGACGTTTATTCTGTTTGTTAAAAATATCACGGGTAGGAGATAATGAGTAGTAGTTAATGGGTGGGGGATAATTGCGGGTAGGAGTCCATGGGTGGGAAATACCCGCAAATCACTTGCAGAACTTACTTAGGGAGAGAGGGTGGATCGCTGACAAATACGTATTCTGCAACTAATTTAATAGGTCGCGGTAAATAGAATAAGTAGCTCTGGCTCGGGCTTAGATAATTTAATGTACAATCTTTGGAAGCAAAATTTATTTAATAATAGAATCATAAATACATTCTCTTTAATACAGCATCGTACATTTTTTTCCAGTCCGCAGAATGTTTTTTAGTATGGACAACCTTCGTAATAATTCAAACTGTGAATTGTCTGGGGTAGGACAATCGATCCACTAATACCCAAATTTCACTTTCTCGAAGTTAATGCATTGCATAAGAAGCCAGTCACTGTTTTACAGTTGATCTACCTGAATTGACTTCATCTCGTAGCAAAATTTAAAATTCCTGTAGTCCACTATGTGGCACAAATATGGCATTCTCATCTTGAAACGGTTTATCCTCGCAATTCGACGAAATTCATGTTGCAAAGGATACTTTTTCGAGTGGGATGAAAAAACTGGTAGAGCTTATCCCTCGAGGGGTCGACACATGAAATACTTTAGGATTCACACGCTAATCATGACAATAATAGTTCAACCAATTTTGTTTTTTCGATGTTATCAACTGACCAGAAATATAAATTCAGATCTCGGCCTGGTGTATATACCGTTTGCCACCTCGGCCTTAACTATGGTGGCTTTGCCATTCATGTGGTACTTCACGCGGGAGGAGCGACCTAGCGAATTCATCAAGTGTTTCGAATCAGTCTGTAATTTAGAGAAAGGCATGGAAGGTAGGAACACAAATTAAAAGTAATAATAAAAATTCAAATTTTTATTTGCTGAGTAAGCTCAATTTTACAATTTCTTGTGCTGAATTTCATGAAATTTTATAACATTTTGGCGTTCAACCCAAAATTGTATAAAATTTAGTTTACAGGGAGCAATAAACTTAGAGAGTTTGACACTAATCGTAAAAAATACGAAAAATGTTCCTTATGCAATAATTTATTATGAGTATTATGGATTATGCATAATTGCTAATATTGATTAATTTTCATTTAAGTTATATAAATGTCTAGAATTTTAAATCACTGGTATTTTGAAAATTTTAATATTTCAACCCTAATTTTCCAGAAATCGTGCCCCCAAAAAAGAAATCTCAGAAATTCATTGCGACGGACCTCGCTGAAAAATTCTCGACATCTCTCATCTACGGTATGCCTTTTGCGACATCTTGTATTATCATTTTTGGCTGCGAGTACAACCCGTTTTATACTTTTGTCCGAGATTTTTCCAATTTTAAGTGTAGCATTATGAAATTGGCACTGTGGACCTTGATCACCATCTTTTCCTGCATTAGTGCCAATGTTGCATTTTTAGTCAACGCAATCGGCATATTCTCCGTGGCCAATGGCATCATCGTCTTGTACTTGTGGAGTTTCCGCATAAACGAGTTAATTATGGACCTCCGTTTCCACGTGGTGATCAAAATGTACAATAAACTCCGCATAATGAGCATAATTCAGGGAGGACTGGCAAGTGATCTAATTTCGCCATGTTTACACCATGCAATTTTAGTCAGTGAGTCGACCGTTGCCTTGTACTATTTTATAAAGCAGTTCATGCCAGGGGGCAAAATTTCCGTGATGGTCACCTTCACCGGAATGGTTATGATTTTGACGGGATTTGTCAATGAGACTTTTGCCATTCGATTTGTAGCGGAATCTTCGACTAGATCGAAAACTTTTAAGAGAAAAATGGCGACATTTTATGGGACGAGTAAATACAGGAGAAGGGTTGTTGGTGCACTTTTGCCAAACTGGATTAATTTAGAATTTGTAAGTTCGGTGGAATCGTTAAAGAATGGGATCGGGATGGACTACTTTCTCCGATATGTGGAAAGGGTTTTGTATCATACGATGAGTTTGTTGCTGGCAATGAAATAATGTGGAAACTAATTATCGCTACTGTGAAATTAAGAATCAAAATACTAATTGGTTAGATTTTCAGAAAAATTGGGATTTTATGGTAGAAAGTAAATGCAAGTGCCGAATTATGCAAATGGACATCCGTTTAAATATTTACATAGGTAGTTGTGGATTACATGCATTCGCCAGAAGTTTTTGTAAACTTGATCAATCCATGAAAGGTAGCCATGTAGCCAGACTAAACAATAAAAAATTTCATGATTAAACCTTCAACCTTGTAAAGTTTGTAAAATTACCAATGTACTGATGAATTAAATAAAAGGTTCCAGTTCCTTCGGCCACTTACAAGAGATGACCACGTACCTTATTAAGAATAATACCATGTTTAACATTTTAAGCGTTTACACATGTGCTGTTCACCAACGCGATGTGTGTGTGTAAATATGTCTTCTTTTTGTTTGTGTAAAGTCTAAGCAAACTAGTTTAGCCAGTACGATGTGAAAAATAATGGAAAATTAAAGTTAACCACGGCTTAAAGGAACTGATCCTGAGTAAATACTCTTAATGATATTGATATCTTTGTGTAACTAGTCAATTTACTGCATATTTACATGTTGCATACATCCCTATACATATAATTAAGTAAAGCTGCCGACAATTACGAATGTGCATATGTATGTACATTCCAACCGCACTTGTTTATAGCCATCTATACTTTGATGATGTCACATAATTCATCCAGCATCAATATTATTTTCATTGTAAATAGATATTAAAAATATTTGTTATCTACGTGTGCAAATCTCCATCCGCACTCACGAGATTGACCAAAATGAGTGATTTTTGTACATATGTACCCATGGGTACAAAACAAACCAGACCACGCAGTTGGAAGCTGAGCCGCCTCATCAAATCACAACAGATATCTATATATTTACAATTGTATTGGTGATCCAACTTCTTCTATAGTAAAAATATGTTTATATAGTGCCTGTTATGCAAATGCCTACTTTATATGCGACTATGTATGGAGTTATATATGTATGGTTTTATTCATTATCATGTCACGAAAAGTGGGGTCGTGCTGGTTCCATAGAAAATAAGTAAATCCTCCTCGTGACATAAAGTCTGTGGAAGTTGGGTGTGTGTGATTATCCAACTGTGATATGTTTATGTACTGGTCCAGCCCGTCGTGTCAGCACGTAGTATTTATGGATGTAGTTAAAGAATATGCATAATTACGGCTAAAAAGACTTGTAGACAAGTGAGTCCAATCCAGTCTAATTCAGTTCATTTATCTAAAACCATCCCATTAAGCGTACACTCACTCGTTCACTCACTGGATAAGCGTCAACTTCATACACAACTTTGTCCGTCAAATATAGTTGTTCAAGTAGAAATAATGTCTGCAATTGTGGAACACCCGATCCGGAGCGTGCTCGTCGCCAATCGGGGTGAGATTTTGGATGATTCAGAGTCTTAGAAAATTTTGTATTTCAAATTTCAGTGATATATTTAAATATATTTATAATAAATATGTAGGCGAAATCGCCGTCCGAGTCTTCCGAGCCTGCTCCGAGTTAGGAATCCGGTCCATTGCCATTTACTCTGAGCAGGATAAGATGCACATGCACCGACAAAAGGCGGATGAATCGTACCTCATAGGTCACGGGCTCGCCCCGGTCGCGGCTTATTTAAATATTCCTGAAATAATCAAGATCGCGAAGGAACACGATGTCGACGCGATCCATCCAGGGTACGGATTTCTGTCTGAGTCCGCCGAGTTTGCAGAAGCTTGTGTCAAAGCGGGGATTCGGTTTATCGGACCTACGCCCAAAGTGGTCAGAACGATGGGGGATAAAGTGGCGGCGAGAAAGGTTGCCATCGAGGCCAATGTCCCTGTCGTCCCTGGGACGGAACTTCCGGTATCAACGGCGGCAGATGCGGTCGAATTTTGTAAGACGCACGGACTTCCGGTCATGGTAAAGGCGGCTTTTGGCGGGGGCGGGAGGGGGATGCGGGTCGTGAGGAAGTTAGAGGATGTCGCGGACATGTTTAACCTTGCGAGTGGCGAGGCGAAAGCAGCGTTCGGCGATGGGTCCATGTTTATTGAAAAGTTTGTGGAGAAAGCGAGACACATTGAGGTTCAACTGCTTGGAGACGAGTATGGAAATGTGGTCCATTTATACGAGCGGGATTGCTCGGTGCAACGAAGACATCAAAAGTAATGTTATGTTTAGATATGAATAGGTATGAATTTATGGGGAGGGGATTCTAATTATAGTTTTATCTTTTAGGGTGGTTGAGGTCGCACCCGCTCCAAATTTGGATGAGGATGTGAGAGAGGAGATGGCCAGTGCGGCAGTTCGATTGGCGAAGCACGTGGGATACACGGGAGCGGGAACGGCCGAATTTTTATTAGAGCCCAGCGGGAAGTTTTACTTTATCGAGGTCAACGCCAGGATTCAGGTGGAGCATACGATCACGGAGGAGATTACGGGGTGAGCTGATGATAAATAAATATTATGTGTAACATTGTGGTATGTTGACATTTAAGAGCCTATTCATTATGAATTTTATTGATATTTCAGCGTGGATCTCGTACAATCTCAAATTCGCATAGCTGAGGGTGCCTCACTCCCATCGCTCGGCTTAACCCAAGAAAACATCCGCATCGATGGATTTGCTATTCAATGTCGTATCACGACAGAGGATCCCGCTGAAGGCTTCCGTCCAGATTCTGGCAGGATTGATGTATTTCGAAGCGGTAAATAACGATTTATTATGAGATATCCCTTGAATTAAGATACTGATATTTTCTCATTAAGGTAGTTACAAGAATGACCCACATTAAGATCATTTTTCAGGTGAAGGAATGGGCATCCGATTAGATGGCGCGTCCGCCTTCGCTGGTGCGATCATATCGCCATATTATGATTCCCTCTTGGTTAAGGTTATCTCCCATGCGAGAGATTTGTACTCCTCGGCCTCAAAGATGGACCGAGCGTTGAGAGAGTTCCGTGTTCGAGGAGTAAAGGTGAGCGAAAGTAATTGCTTGCAAAATTTGTGCCTAATAAATTTTGTCATTTTCTCCTCTTCTAGACCAACATCCCCTTCCTCCTCAATGTCCTCGAGCACGCACGTTTCCTCGCTGGCACGCTGGACACCAACTTTCTCGACGAGCACCCACAACTCTTCACCTTCCTCCCGCAGCAAAATCGCGCCCAAAAAATTCTAAATTACGTCGGCGAAGTCCTTGTTAACGGACCAACGACACCTTTAGCCACCAGTCTCAAACCCGCCGTTGTCGTTCCCGTTGTCCCATTGACCCCGCATACTGCCCCACATCCGACGTCAGGATGGCGAAAAATACTCCTCGATCATGGTCCCGCCGCTTTCGCCGCTGCGGTGAGGGCTCATCCAAAACTTTTGTTGATGGACACCACCCTCCGAGATGCACATCAAAGCCTGTTGGCCACTCGCGTGAGGACGTACGATTTGGTTAGAATCGCACCTTTCGTGGCGCACAAGTTGAGTCGCCTCTACTCGTTGGAAAACTGGGGAGGTGCGACGTTCGATGTTTCCATGAGATTTCTACACGAGTGCCCGTGGGAGAGGTTGATCGCGTTGAGGAAGTTGATTCCAAACGTGCCTTTTCAAATGTTATTGCGGGGGTGAGTAATTTTGACGGTTTATTAATTTGTTATTTTTTTATGTTGCGGTGCGAAGAAATTTAGTTTCGGTTAGCTGTTATATTCTGACAATCGACTTATATATTATTCATTTTAGCGCTAATGCAGTTGGGTACACAAACTATCCGGATAATGTGGTGTACAAGTGAGTATAAGAAATTTTAATTACTATTTCATTAATGAAAGCGGAAATTTTGAATTCCCACCGGGTTCGAAATGACGTGACATGCTTATTCATATGAATTTTTAGTATTGTATTTTCAGTTTATTTTCATGCATGTGAATGAATTAGATTCTGTGGAGTTTTACATTTGATAAAATTTTTCTACATTTTCAGATTCTGCGAATTAGCTGTTCGAAACGGTATGGATATCTTCAGGGTCTTCGACTCTCTCAACTACCTTCCAAACCTACTTTTGGGCATTGACGCCGTCGCCAAAGCCGGTGGCGTCGTAGAGGCCGCCATTTCTTACACTGGTGATGTATCCGACCCATCCAAGACCAAGTACGATCTAAACTACTACCTTCGCCTGGCGTCTGCCCTCGTTGACGCCGGCACTCACATTTTATGCGTAAAAGATATGGCGGGACTTTTGAAACCACAAGCTGCCCGACTATTGATTTCCGCATTGCGTGCCCAACACCCCACAATGCCAATTCATGTTCATACCCACGACACTTCTGGAGCAGGGGTCGCCTCCATGCTTGAAGCAGCCCGAGCTGGGGCAGATATTGTTGACGTGGCGGTAGATTCCATGTCTGGCATGACCTCTCAACCAAGCTTTGGTGCCATTGTGGCATCTCTTCAAGGAACGGAACAAGCAACGGAATTCGGTTTGGAGGAAGTTTCAGCATACTCAAGCTACTGGGAACAGGCCCGGACTTTGTATGCGCCGTTCGAGTGTACGACGACGTTGAAGAGTGGAACGGCGGATGTTTATCTGCACGAAGTACGTAAATTTTTTCGGATTCAAATGTAATTTATGTATGCAGCTCCAAAATATTAAAAATAATAAAATAATGTATATAGATTCCAGGAGGACAGTACACCAACCTTCAGTTCCAAGCTTATTCTCTAGGATTAGGGAGTCAGTTCCACAAGGTGAAAGCGGCCTATGCCGAGGCAAACATGCTTCTCGGGGATATCATCAAGGTGACACCGAGCAGTAAGGTGGTCGGCGACTTGGCCCAATTTATGGCGCAGAATAAACTTACTTCCAAAGAGGTCGAGGAACGGGCGGAAGAATTATCGTTTCCTAAAAGTGTGGTGGAATTTATGCGAGGTGAAATAGGACAACCGCATGGGGGGTTTCCGGAACCGTTGAGATCCAAGGTATTGCTCTGAAAATTTCCTTATCGATCGATACAAATATGCAAATGCTAATCTGAGTTGATTGCCCCCAGATTTTGAAAGGTCTACCTGGTATCGAAGGACGCCCTGGAGCTCAACTCGCCCCATTCGATTTCGAAGCGGCCACCATCGACTTAAAGGAGCGATTTGGGGGCCGCATTCGTGAAGAGGATGTCATGAGTTACGCCCTCTATCCGCAAGTGGCGTCAGACTTTTTCACCTTCCGTGAAAAGTTCGGTCCAGTTTGCAAATTGGAGACGAGGATATTTCTTGTTGGTCCAAAAACTGGGGAGGAATTTGAGGTAACGATTGAAAAAGGGAAAACCCTATCGTTCAAGACACTCGCGGTGGCGGTAGATTTGAATAAGCATGGAAGAAGGGAAGTCTTTTACGAGGTCAACGGGCAGTTGAGGTCGGTCTTTATCAGGGATCGAGGGGCAGCAAAGGTTAGATTTTACATTTACATTTTAAGTAAGGAATTTTATAATTTCATAATATATTATGTTCCTCAGGAGCACACTTTCCACCCGAAAGCTGAAAAGGGGATTAAAGGTCAAGTCGGAGCACCCATGCCGGGGTCAGTGATCGAGTTGAAAGTCGCTGAAGGTGAAAAAGTCCCAAAGGGAGCCGCACTTGTCGTTCTTTCCGCAATGAAAATGGAAATGATTGTGCAGGCTCCGATGGACGGCGTCGTGTCAAAAATTCATGTCACAAAAGATATGAAATTGGATGCGGAAGATTTGATCATCACAATCGTATAGATACGTAACTTATGTACGTATTTATACACATTTAGAATATAAAACATACTATGTAGGTAACGTAACATGTTTGTATTTAGTATTGGCCATTGGTTAGAAAATTAATAAAAATACGTGTTTGTAATCAAAAGTTGTACTAACTTATCGGATGAATGTTTAATATTTATATCGACTTTTGTATTCATCTCGTAGATTCGACATTTCTATATGGGGCACTTTTCTGCTGAAGATCATCATAAGCAGTGACCTTTAAATGCGTATTTGTAGCTCTGCTTATAGAAGATAATTTCGTAGATTATTGAAGTATTCTTACAATCTGTATCATACATATGCATATAAATACGTGTCCGGTTGCCTCAAACAGTTAAGAAACTAATCAAATTCACAAATATCTTTGTACATGCATGCATAAATACGTATGTAAGTCAAGATTGGATGAATTATGCAACGGGAAATGTGGTTGGTAACATATTTAATGCATTTCCATACACACATATTGTGTAGTGTAATATGTAGATCATGGTACTTGTACATGTGCATAATGAGATGCAGTTTTTTTATCCAGTTACTATACCAGTGGTGGTAAACAGGTTATACGTCAAGGTGACGATGATTCACCAATTTCTGTGTTTTAATAGGACGATCATGCCATAATTGCACCATTGCATCGTGCCAGTTTCATGCAATGTCAAATTCAAGTATGGTTTGCAATGTTTGCATCACGCTTTCGACTCCTGCAAAGTTCTTCTTGGTCGTTACCATGCAAAAATCCAGTACTTGGGTGGCTTGCTTGTCAGTTCGATTTGTGGAGCGTGTGCAGCACAAATTAGCAATCACGCTTGCATTTTTGCAAACTCAGCAGTAAGTTGTTACAAATTTGTATATCCAAGAACTTACAATGGAACCTTTTATCAGGCTACACCAGGATCGACTAGCGAGTTATGTCAAAAAATCAAGCCAAAAATTAGGAGTCACGTGACACTTATCTTTCCGTTGAATGGCCCCTTTGAAGAAAAATATTGGCGGTGAAGTTCAGTTTTTGAGCAAATTTTCTCTTGCGTTTTCTTCCACGGGGCGAAAACCAAGGCGCTCGTTTGAACTTTGACCTCCAATATTTTTCTTCAAAAGGGCCATTCAACGGAAAGAGAAGTGTCACGTGACTTCTATTTTTTTGCTTGATTTTTTGACATCACTCGCTAGTCGATCCTGGTGTAGCTTGAAAAAAGGTTCCATTGTTAGTTTGGGTTTTCATGGTTGTTAGCTATTCATATTTTTGCAAAATTAAGACGCAACTTTCATGTTAGGAAAATTTTTGCATAATTTGATTTTGCAAACTTTGTACCTTCACCAATTCATTTAATTTTGGGGCTCACTTTCACTTAAAATAATTTTTTATCCTTAAATTTGCATAGGTCAAAATGTCAAGGAAAGCTGGATTGACGCTGCTCTCCTCTCCAAATCTCCAAGTGATACGAAATTCACTCCAAACTGGAGCAAATCTCAAACCAGTCCTAATAATCAGAAGCTTAACATCCACAACGCACCTGTCACCTCGGGTGTCATTTATGTCGAATGGTGACACCACAGGGCTTCTCTCAAACCGACCTTCACTCACAAAATATCGCAGCGAAGGACGACCCCTCACAATACTCCTCCCATGGCTCATGGCCAACAGGAAAGCGGTGGAAAAGTATGCAAAGGTCTACTTGGACAAAGGTGCGTAAATATGCAAATGCATGACAAATTTTAAATATTTACGGCTAAAATTTGTTAAGATAGCGTTCATTCAAGTTCCACAAATTAATTTAACCTCAATTAACTTTCCTCTCGCTTTCACTCGATTTGCAGGATTCGACGTACTAACAATCGGCATGAGTGCGGCACACCTCCTTCTCCCCTCGCTGTACGAACCCATCACAACGAAAGAAATCCTGCCAACTTTATTGAGCTCGGATCACGATGAAAAAATTATCCACTCCTTTTCCGTGGGCGGATTCGTTTTTACCCGAATTCAAAAACATGCCGAGTTATCTCCTCATGGGGAGAAGTTTCTGGGGACGATCAAATCCCAAATTTATGACAGTATGGCTGATATTACATCGCTAAAGCTAGGAAGTAGTAAATCCATCTTTGTAAGAAGCCCACTGCTTCAAAAGGCATTTTCCAACTATGTCGATCTACATTTGAAAGTTTTCTCCGACTCGACGAAGACTTATCTAGAGTCGAAAAATATTTTCTACAATAAACCCGTCACGCATGCACCGGCTCTATTTTTGTCGTCTGAACTTGACCCAATCAGCCCTCCAAGTATGCACAGAGGGATGATCGACTGCTGGAGGGGGCAGGGGATAACTTGTGATCATAAAGTTTGGAACGATACGCCACACGTAGGGCATATGAAAGTATATCCCGAAGAGTACAAAGAGTTGGTGTGGAACCACTTGAAACGCAGTGGGATTAACGTTGCGGAAAAGGATGTAATTCGTAGAAGGGAAGAAACTGTGATAAACGGCGGTGACAATTTTACCAAGGGGGATAATAATCGAGTACCAAATATTGTACAGTACAAAACATTGTAAAATTGGATGGAATATACATAATAATGTTGATATTGAGCAACAAATTTATTTGTGATTAAGCTTGAAAAAGCTCCGACACAATGACCTGGGATGACTAAACTACACTAAATATTTAATAAGCATTTCAATAAAATAGTTTCATAAATGAGACAAACATTTTATCGAAGCATCGTCTTTATATGTGGTTACATGCTATTTATACATACATACCTATTTATGTAAGGGATCGTCCATATATTACGTCATCAAAATAGTGGGTGGGTGGTTTTGATCTTGATGACGTCAACTTATTTCTATTCTTATTTTTATTATTTCTTTCATATTTCCTTGTTGTTGGTCATTTTTTCAAAAGCTGCATAAATTTTCTATTTTACATAACAAATTTTTAAAACTCAAAAAATTGTCCGCAGCATTCTACATGTATTGGAGGTATGAATATTTTTGGCTTGTATCTAGCTTTCGTAAATATGTAACTCAAGGTCACATTTATTTTAAAATCTCTCGATATCACATAGATGTTAAAATGATAAAGTCGAATTATTTTACTCAAAGGTGAAATTATTGTCATTATTTTTGTTTTACATGATTAATTATAAGTAGTATTTGGAGTAGTCCAAAAGTTGACCGTTTTTTTGGATTTGTTAGTTATCCAATTTTATTCTCGAACAATAGATGATAGATGACATGCATGAAACCTTTGAGTGACAAAAATCGATCAAACGGTCCCCAGAAATTTTCGTTCGAAGCCAAACATCACAACCGCTTTTCCAAGGAAAGAATGTCACAAACGAAGATTGTGGACAAGCTGAAATTTTCCAAATATGGTGTTTCCTGTTCCACATGATCTTAGGTGCATAATTCCGTTGGAAATCGGAAGCAATGAAAATGCAACCTACCAGGCGTGCCATCGCATGTAAAGTACCGGCCCCCCAAAAAGATATCGCGTACAGTTTTTTCAAAAAATCGATACCATAACAAGTCGAGAAAACCACCCGAAATAAACTTAAAGTGGACAGGTTGTCAAAGTTTGTCGGCTGCATATGAGTTTGGTCATCGAAAACAAACTTCAAGAAAAGGTCAAGAAACAGTCCAAATTTCACACCTAAAATACCGTAAAAACTCAAAGAGTAGCCGTTGCTCTAATAGTAGCCTTGCTAAAATAGTAGCCGTGTCTATTTTCATAATTTTGTAAATAGTGACCGTGCTCAAATAGTAGCCCTGCCCAAATAGTAGCCTTATTCCAATAGGTGCCTCTCCATTTCCATACAACCACACTTCTTACCAGTTCATTTAGATAATTAAATTAGAATTCAATATAATCGCAGTTACACACTATCCAAGCGATGAATCGATGACAAACCACGAATTTAGCTCATCGAAGGAATCATCGAAGAGCTGGTCGAGCAGAATAACATTCTGATGGACTACAACTCTAAACGCAAAATTAGTGTTGTTACATATCTTAATTTAACTTGAGCTTGATTCATGGAATAAAAATAATAGTCATATGCAAATAGTAGCCGTGTCTCTCTTCATAATTTTATAAATAATAGTAACCTTGCCCAAATAGTAGCCTTGCCCAAATAGTAGCCTTGCTCAAATAGTACCCGGGTCCTACCCACCGATTTTATAAATATGTAGTAGCCCACGACTACTATTTGAGTTTTTACGGTAACTTAATTTCGAAAATCTTTCGGGAAACGACCCAGTACGTAGAAGACTTAGAACAAAAGCTTGGGATTTCAATCACTCCTATCTCCCTGGTACCCCTGCAAAGTCCTGATGCCAGTAATTTGAACTACTAAAACAATATCTTCATCTCAGGCGAAAGTAGTATTTTGGAAAAAATTTCAGGCATTGAAAAAGATTACCCAGCAAATACCCTACTCATCATTGGTTTTTACATTAGATAAAGGAACTACGTATTTCCCACCAAAATCATTAAAATCGATCTGAGATTTATGACGACTGTACGCTTTATTGTCGAACTTGCAGATTTTCAGTACATAATTTTAAAAATCGTAGTCCAAGTTATGGCTGAAGATATGGTAAGTCATCCTTGGATCACTTACCATATCTGGAAAGATGAATTGCGTCTTTAGATGGCTTCCAGTTCTTCCACAACTTGACGATGTCAGGGAAGAAAAAATCGAGCAATTTATGAAACGCATTCTCCTTCATCCAAACATGGGGTTATTTTCATAACTTTGTCCACAAATGAAGATCAATGTCTGAGGGAAAGTTTCAGAAAAAACTGATACCAGGAACACAACAAGAAAAAAGTTCCAGGAATTTCTTTGCGCAGGTAGTACGATTTTTGTGTGCTCAGAAACTTTATACATACACACTTGTATAGGAAAATTAATGAATTTGTGGAAACAGCGATATATGTAGACTTGTTAGCCAAGCGTCTGGGGAACACATTTAACAAGCGAAACAAATTCATCGACGCTTAATGCTGTTTTTGTTTTTTTAGGCTGCTCAAAATAGGGTAGATAATCCTTAGTATGTGTTGATGGTTACATTCCTGATTAAAATTCCAACAGGTTTGCAACCAGACATTTTCGATTCATTGTTGGGTACTCTCGAACAATTGTTTCCAAATAAACTTTCGGGAATTAAGCTTAAGTTTCAAGGGGTGGAAGTTATACAACATTCATTGAAACCCATTCCCTCTTGGGGATTCGTTGATTAGCTGTCAAAGTTTATCTTCAGAAATTTTATGTATTCTGTAATAACAGTGCACACGTTGGACATGATATTGTAAGATTTTAGTAATGGTAATTTTTAATTTAAGAGGACCAATTCTAGTTCGTGTCACTCAACAAATTTTTCACCATGACCGACTATTTAAAGTTTCGAACTTTGGGCCAATTATAGTCGAAAATACGTTGGATTAAAATTTAATGAGTTAAACGTGTGAGGCACAATTATGCCGTCTGACCAGTGTTTTAATTTACAATGCGTTAGCGTGAACTGATTTTCTCGGATTTTCGCCAGATTAGTTTGAAATTGTTAATTCACGGGAATGTTCCGACTGTATGTGTTTTCCTGAATGCGAGTATTGTCTACTATTTATGGCAGAAAGTTGACAAATTTTTAGCCCAAAACACCATTTTTACTAAAGGGTGTTGATTTAATTCGCCAACATCAATTTTTCGGCCCGACAATTATTGATGCCTTTAATATTTTTCCTTGAAATTTTTACCATGGTTAGAAGCAAGATATACAAGTGCTAATTTTAAGCATCATAGTATTGAGATACAGGTCTTAGAATCGGAGAATGCCAAACAAACATGAATTCCAGCAAAATTCGGATATACCGGAAACGTTTGTGGCAATGCGTGAACGAAAATTTTGTCAAGGATGAAAAACGGCCTGGACAACCCAAATTTGTCCCATCAATCAGGAGAACAAAGACTGCTGAAATTTATGCGAAAACTTGAAATTCTTTTCCAAATTGTTTAGGGGAGTTAAACACAAGAACACGGATTATGTGAAAATCAAATATAAATACCTAGTTCATTCTCGTGAAAAATATCGTCGAATCTTCACAATGTTGTCACAGAACTTTCAGGCTAACCCAAAAAAACATGTTTCCACCAAAAATATCGATGACCGAATTGCATTTACATAAATGCTCTGAGAAACTTGGTATTTGAGAAGATAAAAAATTTCGTCGTCACATCCTTGACACTGATGAATCTCAAATCGAGTTATACCCTAAATTACACTGACAAAATAGAGGATACAGAACAGCAAAAAAATTTGATTAATCAATAATGAGGGTCCACATATTTTTGATGCAAGTTATGGTAACTTGTGTTATTTGTGCTCGAATAATATCAAGTTACAACGAGCCTCAAACAAAGAGTTGAGAGCTTGATTAAAGCCAACCGTGGAATCACAAATTACTGAGGTAACTCACAAAAATAGTTGGCTTTCGTCATACTTTCACTTTTGAAAAGCAAGCGTTTTTCTTACGGTAAAGTATGTTGTCCAATTAAATCAACACCCTTTACATAAATTCTACAAATTCTAACCCAATCACAAAAATTCAACATATTTTCTAAAAAATTAGTTATGTGATTATCATGTTTCTAGAAGCTTTTAAAGGTTGGAACTATGTAACTATTTCTGAATTTTGAAAAATGCATGAAAATCTTAAAATTTTAAATTTCAAAGATAATGAGAAGTGGAGTTTTTTAATTACTCATCGTAGTTCTGAGCAAGGATACATATCATCATTCATATTATGGAAGAATGACTGACATGCCCATTTACTTCATGTATCTAGTAGTCAATACCAATTATAATTGCGTTAATGTTTTTGACTCAAACCTCAACATTTCTTATTAACGGAGTTATGTAATAAAGGTGTATTGGTAATAAAATTAAAGAACCAAATATTAGCTTCATAATATCGATTGATAATTTTAAGATTTAATATGTTGACGTCATCATCTGGGGTGGGTGGGTGCTTTTGAGAAGTGATGACGATTGATGATTTTGGGGTGGGTGGGTGGTTTTTTCAGGATTTTTTGATGACGTAATATATGGACGATCCCTAACTAGCTTATTGACAACACATTTTTGCATTTATGAAGCATTAGAAAATCTCATTGTAAAGTTGCGTATTACAATAGAATTGTTTTAGAAAATAACAAAAATGGGTGTGCAGACTTCATTTAGCCCGAGACAGAGTACGCTTTTAAATTTGTGTCAGAATTGACAAGACAATTACCACCCTACGTGGTAGTTAAATATTTGCCACTACGTGGCACACAAATTTTTTTTTTTCCCAAATAAGTATTTACAAATCCTATCCCGTGATTACCAGGACCAGTGGGGCTCTCTTTAAAAGCCTGAACTTCAATATGTATGTATTTGTTATGCATAAGTCAGTTTCCCATACCAAACTTAGCTGAACATAGGAACTTTTAAACTAAAAATGGTATGGGTCATCCCTTAGAGTCCCCCTGGTTGAAAGTTTTTCTAATTTCACCTCGGAAACTTTCATTATGAGCCAATGTCTGTGTGCAAAATTTCAGCTTCCTACCTAGCACTATTTCGAAGTTCTTGTGTTCAATGTCCCACCCACCTATATGATCGCTATGTCCCACCCACTTATATGACCGCTACCGGTCAACCACCGGACCGATTTGGTTCATCTTCCAACCTACATAACTACTAAACTTGCCTAATATACATGGGTACAAAATTTGAACTTAATCGGTTCAGCTATTTTGGCTAAATCTTTGGACAGGTAGGTCAACGCACCTCGCCGCCGATAAATCTGATTTTTTATTCCGTCAACATTGGGACATCGTGCCCCGTAGAAAAATCACAAAAAATTGGCCCTGCAGCCGTAAAATCGGTCCGCATCGACCTTTATTCCATACCTGACTCAGGCTAATTTGTACATTAAATTTATCAAGGCGGTAAGTAATAGTGGTGGCATGTAGTGATGCATAGTTGATCTGTTGAAGTGTAATGTATTGCTGTTCGATGTCTTTTAATATTCGCGTCTTCTTTGAGATTTTTGATTGTAACGATTTTGACGCCACAACCCGTCCTTATGTATGAAATAATCCTGTAAAAAAGGCAAAATAAAATTGTTTGAATTTTATAAAATTGATAAAAGATTTGTGCAAATAGTTTTAAATATTATCTAACATTGATGAGCTGAATGTCTATTCCCCAACAAACTGCGATCTTGTTGGTCTTCTCGCGCGAGGGAATCGTGTGCTTTTTATTGAAGATAGTGTCCAAAGTTCCTGTTTGTTTTGGAGTCAGGAATGGCGAATTCACAACCGGATTAGGCGGTTGATTACGAGAGCTCTGTTGTTCACCACGTTGTTGAGAAGGTTGTGGGTTGTGGTGCGTGGAGCCAGGTTGATTGGCGTTGAGAGGGGGGTGAGTTTGTCGGTACTGGATGGTTGATGGGGGTGGGCGACCACCTTGAAAGCGTGGACCAGTCCGTGGAGGTGGAAAGTGCTGGTCCCTTTGGACGATTTGAGTCTGTTGATTGGCATGGGCTGTAGAAAACAGATTTAATCTAATTAAATTGGCTCAATTTTTAATAATGCAATATCTATTATATTATTAATATAATTTGCTCACTTGGACGGAGAGAATTTTGTACAAATGGATTTCTATTGTTATGAGCTGGTCCTGGCTGTTGACTAGTTGTAGGAGCAGTTGGTCGAGACGGCTGGATGTAGTGGGATCTTCGTGGTTGTCCTCGCATTTGGCTTCCTACCCTGGTATGAGAAGGAGTATTATTCGTGCTTCTCCCATTATTTACTAGTTGGGGCGAGGCCTGTGGCTGTGTTCTTGGTGGAGGCAGACTTGGTCTTAAAGGGGCAGGATCGATGAGGATTGGACCTCCCCTTGGAGCTCGAGAGTTGACCGTTTGCATTTGCTCCTCGGGACAGAGGTGCACTTTCCCGATGTGCGTGTAAAGCCCCTCAAAGTTGAGGATACTTGGACAATTTGGAAATGGACAAGGGGTCATTTCCTGGCCTTCATTAATCGAATGATTTTCAATCATGTGATCTTTCCATACGTTCCCTTTGCATGAGAAGAGTTCGTAGCAGACGTGGCAGTATTTTAGGTTGTGTTTCTCCTTCTGGTGCTGGGTTCCCATGCCTCGAGTGCGGATAACAGCATCTGGACATTGTGAACATGACGTGAGCAAGCGGAGGAGGGCGGATTCTGGGTTGCTTGAGGCGAAGAGGGAATGTGGTTTTGAAGTCCTTGGTGGGGGTTGTTCCACCGTAATGGATTGCCGATGCGAATTGACCCTCAAGTAGGCCTCGTTTTGACGGGCGCGTCGAGTTGCTTCGTCGATTTGAGTGGTGAAGGAAGAAGGGTGGCGACTTCGTTCGCGTTCACGAGAGGGTTGGGGCGGCAGCGGAGGACGTGATCGTGATGGGGAATGACGATGACGTGTATGGTGATGGGTTCGTGAGCTTGATCTGCGTCGATCTGACCCGGAACGCAAACGATCCCGGGATTTGGAAGAAGAACGGTGCCGGGATTTGGAAGAAGAACGGTGCCGGGATTTAGAAGAAGAACGGTGCCGAGAGTTAGAACGCGAACGGTGCCGCGATTTATCTTTGTGGCGAGAATGTTTGGGGCGGGGTTCATGTAGATCAACTTTTGTATTGTCAGTCCGATTTACTGAATTTTCCTCAGTCGACTCCACGACTTGCGATGAGGTAGGAGGAGGTACTGAAGGTTGAGATGATGCAGGTGGCATGTTTATGGGTTTTTTAACCGTAACCGGAATCATGGAAGCACGGACTTCCACCCCGTTCATGGTATAAGTTTCCGTCGTCGTCACCATGCTGGGAGCTTCTTCTGGGCTTACACCGTAGAGAAAATTGATTATATTGTACCTGGCGGGCACATTGGCAGTTGGTTGGTTATGTGGGAGTGGAACTGACTCTCTCTGGGCACCATTTGTCTGTGGCGGAGCCGTGGTGTCTTCAAAGAAGATTTCGCTGCCGTCCATACTCTCATGAGAGGTGTTATTTGTCCGCGATGGCGTAGCGGCTTTACCGGGAAGAGTAGGAGGCAATGGTCCATCTGCATTTTGTCGACCTACAAAATACAAATGAGAAGTATAAATCTCGCGAATAATCTATAATTGAATTCACTCATATCAAGACATATTAACTTTTGGTAATTTAATAAAATAAATATATCTTGTTCTGATCTTCGTTTCTGAAGATAGGCAAGATCGGGTTTACTAAAGGATGCGGACATTGTTGCAGGGCTATATAATTTAAATTTTAGACCACCAAATACGACAAAAATTGCATGCAATTACTGAAATTATAATTCTTCCAATTTGTTATTTTAAAAATGTCCATCCTTGCATCAGTTACTTAGGAGAAACAACAGAAAGAGTTAATGTGCCTAGGCACTATCCATAATTTGTAGTTAACAGCATTCACTCATATGGGCATTATTATTACCTTGCGTTGGCAGTGGAAAAGTGGAGGTTGATGGGATAGCGGTGGCGGCCGAAGAATTTCCAAGTTGTTTTTTCTTCAGCTTCACTCGTTTCTGAACCTTCTCTAGTTTTCTCTTCTTCCTTAAAACTATTTCATGTCTCTCAAGTATTTGTTCACCGAGACATTGTATATCGTCATCATCATCATCGTCCTCAACGACTTCCGCTGGTTCTTCCTTCTTGATGGGGAGAAGTGGTTCTGGTTCCGGGTCGGAATCGATGATTTGGATGTCGTCGTCGTCTTCCTCTTCATCGGGATGTTCGTCCCTATCTTCCTTTCCTAATTTTTCTTCTTTTTTCTTAATTTTATCCTTGCCGAGTGGAAGATCGACGTGGATGGGCGGTGGAGCTTGGAAAAAAGAAGCAGGTGCTTGACGGATGTCCCTGACGGAGAGCAGGGAGGGCGACCTGGCACGAGGAGGAAGCTGTTGCTGGTACTGCCTCATCCGATTTTCCTGCTCCTGGTGGTCTTCTTCGTCGTCAGAATGAGCAGGCATTTTTCTTTTAAAAATTAAAGAGTTTATGATTAATTCGTACCCCACACTTGTAAACTAAAATCGTATATTGTTATTAGATATTACGAAATACAAAAGATGGGTCCTGCCGAGGGAAGATCAGGTTATCAGGTTCACATAAAAATCATCATCTCTTCTTGTGTCCTATAAATAAAAAACAAAATCAATGTTAGAAAATTATTATTTTCCTCCGCATATGACTTTCTTGGGGTGCAGGAAATTACAAACTAGTGGGGGGTGGGGGGGGGGCATACGTAACGTGTTACGTTACTATTTAGAGCATATTTTTCTACCATAACACTTAGAGAGTGTAATTTTCTTCGGATTAATTATTTTATATCTAACTTACTTGCACACTCAACGAACAACTTATAGACTACAATCATGGCAAACTGATTAGTAGTACCTGAACTAATGAATCGTTCTATTTCTCACGATAAAATAGCCACAGAAAATATTTTAAGTACCAAAAACAAGAAATTTTCACTTGGCACTTGGTGAAAGAAAATTTGCAAATTGATGGAAACATGTGTGATGTGATCTTGGCTCGAATTCCAGTTTTGTCAAATTCCACCAAAACATAATGGGCAGTTTTTAGTCGCTTGCTGCTGAAACTCTTTGTTCTACTTCAAGCAGACTGCTTTCATGCATGTAACTTGCTTGTTTGCTAACTTATTTAAATTATCTAGCATTATTTTCTTGTGATACTATTTATTGGATGGCAATAGTCTTATCATATTATATATAGGTAAAATACACTACAAGCAACATGATAAGTAATGAATCGAATGGCGCAACGAGTCTGTTTCATATTGATTTTTATGAACATGAAAATATTTAATTTCAGGAATGATAAATTAAAATTAAAATAGGCTGATTAAAAGCTTAACGTTTTTTTGATGGCTTGAGCATTCTATTTCTAAAATGGCAATCCTTAATGAACCGTACAATTTCGCGATACTCGCAGAAAAACAAACAGTCTTGCTGGATAGAACAAATATGCAAAAATGTAATTTAATATCTTCACATGACTCTACAAAATGAGCAATTATACAAAAATCATTTTTGAAAAATGTAATGTGTAGAACTTTCATATATTTCACCATTCACACTTTATACAAATAAATACAAGAAAAGTTGAAATCAGACTGCTCATTTAATGTGCATTTTACTAACTGAGCTTACTTTAAGGACAATTATGCAGGAGGGATGAAACGGCCAAAAAGACTATTCTTGTTCTTGGGGGGTCGTTTGGTGGAGGGATAATTAGCAACAAATTTCAACAAAGAAAGGTCAATGATCTCATTTCACCCACAGAGGCTGACGAGATAAAAAAAGAGTGAGATGTGAGAACGAGCAGCGCCGATTGTGTTTTTTATGGTCCTTGAGACGGACAGGCGAGCAAGAGCCAGTAATTAATTTTCCACGGAATTTTAATTATTTGCACGTCCGAATTGACCTTTAAGTTGAACTTTAATTATTAAATAGCTAATTGTTCTACCTAACCTCTTTTTTGACACGGGCACTTGTCACACGTTTAATTTTCTGTCCGTCCACTTTTCCCATTTTTTTATTCCATTTGACTAATTAGTTGGGTAAATCTTATAATAATACACGACATTTTTTTCAAAGTTCGACATAAAATTTTTGAAAGTAGCAAGGGCGAAATTCGTTCATACTTTTAGAGGTAATGTGATGAATTATAAATTAATTATTAATAACCGTTTGAGATTATGGTGGGTGGATTAAGGAAAAGTTCTACAAAATGTAGGACTGCATTATACTTATCGTTTATTCCAGGATTTTAGCTATTAAAATGCCACGCCCACCCCGAAAGCGAGGCCGATTCAACGTCTTTGAAACATTGTACAAGGAGTACGTCGCTGGAAGGAATGTCGACACGACGATAATGGTTGGGAAGGAAAAGTTGAATGTTCATCGAAACGCGTTGGTCGGAGTTTCCAAGGAATTCAAAAAGAAGTTGAACAAGCAACGTGGCGATGGTGGTAGGGGCCAGCAGAGCTTGATAACTTTGCCGGAGGGGACGTCGCTGGAAGCGGCAAAGGCTTTCATTAAAGTAATCAAACGAGTTGTAGATTTCATAAATATGAAAGTTACAGGACCATTATTATTAAATTACAGGTTCTGTACTTGAAGGACGAATCCCTGGAAATCGGTGTAGTCATGGATGTAGTGTATTTGTGCGACAAATATCTTGTCGAACAACGACTCGATGAGGTCATCTCGACCGTGATTAGAACGATTCACGTGGATAATTGTCTGGCAGTTTGTGAAGGCAGTGTGCACCTGTCAAGGTGTCAGAGACTGTTTGATGCAGCATGGAAATGTTTTATTCGGTATGAGTTGGTGTTTTTATTATGTAGGAAGTAACGTATTAATTAATTTTATATTTTATAGAAACTTTGACGAATTGCTGGGGGAGTTTGGAACCAAGTTAAGCTCAAAGTTATGGGAGAAAATTCTTCACCTGGAAGGAGAAGATGTAGAGATTTCGGAGATATTCTTGTTTGAAGAACTTTTAAAGTAAATTAAGAGCTTATATTTATTATTATTTATTACTTGCATGCATAAAATAATTACTGTTTGACAAACGGAACAATTATTTGTAGATGGCGAGACAGCTACGAATCTCGACAGGAAGAGTTTCAACGGCTTTTGGCTCTGGTTCGATTTCCATTAATGGACCTGGAAACAATTATGCATGTCGTAGAACCTGCTGGAGTCTTGTCAGATAAAGATTTGATGGACATTTCTGCATATATTGTTGGTGGTGGGCCGAAAGGGTATGAGAATAAATTGACTTACCAAGTTACCACGCATATCCATAGCAAGAAGTTTAAAACTTATACAATTCCTTCGTATGCTATCTGAAGGAAACGCATCCCGAGATTCGTCACGCATTCGCGGAAATACAAGTTCGTTACGGGTTTAGCTAACTTACAACATACGTTGGACGAGGCGAAACCCTACGATTTGATTAAGCTCGGACCGGGCATCTTTAGAACGTACTCGACTCTTGTAATTCCAGAGAAGGTGACTATCAAGGGAGCCGGCCCGTCCACCGTTATAGCGGGAGGTTACCCAGACTTCAACATTGAAATTCTGAATGAAGGACCGGATGACATTCACATTTCGGATCTGCAGATCGTTCGGAATTCATCCAATCAACAGGAAGGAGGAGGAGTTGGGTATCCAATCAATTCTGGTATCTCACTCTGGGGAGCAAGGAATATCGCGAAAAACATCACCTTTCAAGAATGTGCCTTAATCGTGGGAGGACGGAACTGCAAAATCGACGAGGTCACTTGCAATGGTGGCCCGGTTGGAATCTGTGTCATGCATCAAGGCTACAACGCTTTGTCTAACCTGACGTTCCGAAATCTCGCCTTTGGATTGTACGTTTCTCACGACAGTGGTGGAAATGTAATTGATAACATTTCCTGTCATAACGTCGACATCGGAGTCACCTTGGAGACAAATAATAACTCTTTAGCCAACTTAATCTATAACTTTTCAAGATTCGGGGTACGAGCAGACAGGAAAGGTGTCCAAGTATTGGGAGGTTCTTGGAACCGACTAAAGAACTTGCAATGTAGGGGTTATCAAGAGTTGCTGATGGGTGGGAATAATGGTCCTGCTGAACCAGTGGACATGGAAGACGTTTTCGCCATGGTCATAGAATCTCAGGGGACTCCAGACCCAGAATATAACCAAGTCGATCGATGCGTCGGTGGTCCGGTGAAATTGAGCGGAGTAAATAACACGTTGACCAATGTTGACGCCGGGAACCTGTTTCTGATTTCTGGAGTACGCCATAAGCTTGGACACTGTTTGGCTGAAAAATATTTCGAGTCGGATGATTCGACTGATGTAGACATGACCGATTGCGATTTATCCCTTTAAACAAATCTGGCTGTTAAAAGTATTTATTTCCACTGATTGATGATTGATTCATGAACATCTTTTGCTTAGTTTATTTATTTTTATATTTATATGACCTCATTGTGTACTTCTACGTGATTTCCAGTATTCTGGACTAAATTAAGTAATAATTGATAGTTTGTAAAATTCTATTAGTATGCTTAGTATAAAATGGACTATGTTTATGGTCCTTAAAAATAGTAATATCTATTAGTTGATGAGAAGTTAAACTTGCAAAATATCACTTGTAGCTTTTGTTGTTTCTATTTGTTGGAATAAGTTGCAGCTTGTTTTGTTCACAGAGTTCTCTAATAAATACATACCAAAATAATCTCGGTATTCTTCAAGGATTCCATTTATTTACAAAGTTGTTAATTTGGAAGTTTAACGAAGCTTTAATTGAATATCATATTTCTTTGGTCACCTTTCTTTGTGATGCATGCATAAAATTCATGCACTATTAATGAACCACAATAATGGCCATTTCACCCCATTTGCTCTTTCTCTGTTAAAAATCTCATTTCTGGGAGAACGTTGGAAATTCATTCACGTGCCGGCTGCGTGAAAGTTTGTTTATTTGCAGAAGCGAAATATTTATTAAATTAATTAATCGTTATCATAATTTTAATTATATTCGTTTCCAAAGTCATTATTTTTCAAGTTAGCCCACAACTATAGCCTATCTACTTGTCAAGTCAGGACAAAATCAATATGAATTCAGAAACCTGTGAGGAAGAGTGATACTTTTAATTATGAATTGAAAATTTAACAAAGTGGTAATTATTTTAAGTTACCAAGTTAAATTTATTTATTTTCCTTCTTACAGGCTGTCATGGTATCTCGGACGTGATCCACTCTGATTTGAAACTACCCGAAGCTTGTTACAAAATCATTGATACTTTTCAGTTCCAACGTCTTCGTCTTATCAAGCAGCTCGGAACCGGAAGTCGCGTATATCCAAGCGCATCCCACACTCGGTTTGAACATGCTATCGGGTAAACGATATTGTTTTAGATAAGTGCATATCTAATTAGTCATATTTTTGGCTTAATTGCACTTACTTTCTTTCACTAGAGCTTCTCATCTTGCTGGAAAGTATGGAAAAATGCTACAATCTAAGCAACCTGAACTACACATTACGGAAACTGACGTTACTTCCCTATATCTCGCCGGACTGACGCGTGACCTTGGCGGAGGACCTTTAGCCTCCGTCTGGACCGAGTTCATGACCAGGACCGGGCAGGTCAACTATTCCCCGGGTGTCATGTCCACCCGAATGTTGGATTACGTCATGGAACAGAACGATTTGACCGTGGAGATGCTAGGATTAAGGAGTGTAGAGGACATCGTCTTTGTAAAAGAGCTCGTCCTAGGGAAACCGCTCGACGGAGGGAACGAATTCAAGGGGAGGGGAAGGGATAAGTGGTTCCTGTATCAGGTGAGATGTTGTCACGTACAAAACCAAATTATTAAGTATCTACTGTGTTATATGTTGAATAAGTAGCCACTTTAGGCAACACATTGACACTGAATTTAATTCATTTCATTTCCCAGATCGTGACCAATTTAGCCACAACCATCGATACGGCCACATTCGACGCTACACTGCGAGATGCTAACTACCTCAACTTGAAAACAGCCTTTGATACGGATCTTATCATGAATAATACGTATGTTTCGAAAGCCAAAGAGGAAGCAGAGTCCACCCTAACATATGCACACTCCATTTTGGACAATCTTTTGGAATTTGGGCGAGCTCGAGAGCAGCTTTACTTCTTCCTGGGAGGGCGCAAGGTGGTCCGCGTCATTGAAGAAATGATGATTGATGTCCTCATCGCGGCAGATGAGCACTTTATCGTGACCGGAAAGGATGGACAGCGTTTTAAGCTGAGTAATGCGCACGAAGACCTGGCTGCCTTTTGCAAATTGACAGACACCATTGTCGACCAGATCTACAACTGGGGAAATGGGGGAGACCGGGCTAAGCGGTTGCTGGACGATATCATGCGGAGAAAGTTGTATCAATTTGTGAATTCTGTTACGGATCTGACGGCAGAGAGTATGGAAATGGTGGGTGCTAAATAACCATAATATAAATAACCCTCAACGTTTATGCTAAGTTGATGACTGTTTTTTCCATCCTAGTCCGCCTTCGTGGCTAAATTGCAAGCCATTAATCCGACCCAGGTCGTTATTATTAAAACTACGCGAGGCTTCTATCCAAATGACGAGGACAATCCTCTCAATAAAGCTTTGTTTTACGGCAAACAGAATAAGGAACACACATTCCGGGCCAGTTTTGCTACTACTCTGCGAAAGTGAGTGATTATTTAATTATTTAATTAATTAAGGGTGTATAATTAATTTGTTTATTTCTGACGTTGTTTTAGAGCACAAAACGGGCGACTCTACATAGTCTTGCGACCAGGGTACGCACTCACCCCGATGGGCGGCTGTGCCACCCCAACGGAACGAGGAGACTGTGGCGACGGTGAAGATCTGGATCTGTTGAAAGAACGGGTGAAGAAATACCTGGCGGAGTGTGGAACATGTATCAAAATCGGCCTGTAGATGCTGGAGAATAAGAAGGCTCAAAACATTTCACGATTTTATGTTGAATACAATTTGCTCAATTTATTTCAGATAAATTTCTCATTGATTGTGTGAATCGACAAGTTTATAAAGTATGTAAAAAATGTTTAAGGCAAATTCCACTAATGTTATTTACCCACATTAATCACTTAATCACGGGTAATTAATTTTCTATTCAGCAGCTTGCATCGTACAAAATTTGCAATTACAAAAGGCTGACTATAATATGAAGGCAACATATTCTAATTATAATTATACATAAGATTATTATAAATTTAAGGTACATACTAAAGATCTTGAGATATTACAAATATATATAGTCACCAATTTGACTAGTCATGTCACTCAAAAGTCAACCGTGAGTCTCGAAGTAACAATAATATTTAATTGTTATTATTATGCGTAAATATCACAGCAATTGGTTTAAATTATATGGAGGACCAAGTTCTTTTACAAATTGTAATATTTAACACAAATCAAAATGGAATATTTAAATGAATAAATAAATAACGATTACAACTATGAGTTTAATATGATTTTGTTGTTACCAGTAACAACAACATTAACAATAGCACTTTGTAATTAGCACCAGTTCGAACTCGGAGTAGTTATTAGGCTTCCTCCTCCTCCTCGTCATCATCACTGCCGTAAAATTCAAGATCCGGACCACTTTCAAATTCAGAGGAATTTAATGGTTTCAGATTCGAGAGGGCGAGTCGAAGCTCAGAATTGAGAGCGGAGGTCATATTAAAATGAGAGGGACCTGGCAGGTCTGGGTTTGGTTGGTCGCCGTTGTCAAGAGTGTGGAAGATTGGGGCTGCATAAGTTCAAATTTAGTACATACATTTATTTAGTACACTGAACAAACTAACACTTCGAAATTAATTGATAACTTACCAGGGTTAACTTTCTTTTCGAAATGGCGACTTTCCTGACTTTCACTCTCATCGCTAGAACTAGAATCATCAACATCTTCACCACCACCTGTAGACTTTTTGAGGGCTTGTTTCTCCCTCATGTCCATACTGACTTTGACCTCGGTTAACTTTGTCTTCAACTCTACAATGACATTGTTCAAGGAAACTTGAGCAAATTGAGTGGTGGGGTCGTTATCTTCGTGAACTGATTCATTTCCTTCATCGCCTAAATTTCCTCTCGCGAGAAAAAATTCATCTCGAGTGGTGTCTTCGTCATTATTATCACGACTTTGGTCGAGATCTTGGTCCGTATTTGCAAATACGGCAGGTTCATCGCCCCCTTCATGGTCGTGTGACTCTTGAGGTTGGACTAGTGTAGATGAGGATGACGGTCCAGGGAGTGGATCAGGCTCATTCGGGACAGGATTGTTGATGCCTGGTTGTGTCAGCAATACCTGGAAGAGGGACGAAAACATGTCGAGTTGGGATCTGACTCTCTCGACAGTAGGCGACAACAAGTCCCACTTCTGTTTAAGCACCTCTTTATCTAATACGAGATTTCGAGTAAGGCACTCTTCTACATTTGGAACCAAACTCCCCAGTTCTTCCAGCGACCTTCTGACTTCCCCTGTCATTCTGGCTAAACGATGAGCATTTGTAAATTGACGGTGGATGGAAGCGACATGTTCTGACGTGGTGGCGGCGGCATTGCTTTCCATCCGGGCCCTGTTTCGATACAAACAGCATTAACTTCAATAATTTCACAAAATTAGATTTAAATTATAAGTATTAATTTCATGCCTTAATTGTCTCCAAATCTTATCGACATATCGCTGACAATTGAAGATGTCAATAAATTGCTTAATACTTCTAGGAGAGAAGAATGATTTTGTATCGCTTTCGCTTTTGCACTTGAGCATCAAAGCAATAATTTGTCGGAAGAGAATTTCGACCACGGTGGACCTGGCAATCAACCATTGTTCCTGAGACCCAAATTAATAATTATCAATCAAATATGTAGATCCAAAATTTAAAAGCTTTTTTACTACTGCTACTGTTACCAGTAATATGTTGGCTCCCGATGCCCATAAAATAGCCCCTTTTAAAAGATTGTCATCCAAGAAAGGTAAACTGAAATTAGGAGAATTAAGGATATCCCGGTGTCCCTCTTCCACCCCATACTCTCGTAAAATGTGTCGAGTCTCACGACCCCAGTCTTCAATGGTGGCAAACAAGCCGGCCGCAGCATAACAAAAATATACCGTTTGAGGATTCAGCTCCCTAAATAATTATAAAACAAATTAAAACTGAATCTGAATTGAGCAAATAAGTTCCAAATTTATAAACTTACAAGAACCCATCTCTCCGAACAGAATTTGCAATTAGCGTCATGCCCGGAGCGATGGAGTCCATGGCCGCAACAATTGTGAGCATTAGTTCATCTAGAATCTCAATGTCGATAAGGTGTCGAGGCGAAAATTTTCTGAAGTCGTCAAGAGTCTTGACCGCCGCGACATTACGAAGGGTCAGTATCCTCGCGACCTGGTGCAACTGCCCAATAATGTTGAGGAGATGGGTGCTGGCCCAGTGGAAAGTGGGCGTTATGGCGTTGTAGAGAAGTGGGGACCTGAGAATTAGCGGAAATGAGATTTTTAACATTCATTCACATTAATTGTCATCATCATATTATTATTTAATTCAACCAATAAAATAAATTTCATTTTATCACTTGTGAATTGCATCGTCATCATGACCTTATTAATAATGCTACAACTAACTAAAATTGGTACTGGCCCTTACGTTTCCTCAACGTGTTTCCGCCACGCTTTCCCCTCTTCGTCGCCAATTTGACACAATTTTTTGTAGTTTCTTGTGATGCACATGCCAAGTGGGGTGATAGTGATTTCCTCCCACTCGTCGACCTTCTCCTCCCCCGTCAACCAGGGCTGCAAAACTTCCATGTAACGTTTCGACAGGAGATGAAGAGCTATTCGGCGGTGGTAGACGGGGTCGGTGTTATAGGAAAACATAATGATAAGCTGACTAGTCGTGGTCGTAAGTGTAAAATAAAGTTGTGGCCCACAACTTGTGGGAGTTACTTCAACTTAACTTGAAATTAATTATATTAATTTTAATTAACCAAGAGTAGAAAGAATGAGAAGCTGGGCAGCGTTTGCTGGCCGAATTTTTCTGGTGAGTGCAGTCGCGGTGAAAGTATGCATGGGCAACGTGATTGTTCATATTCATGAATGAAGTTAAATAGTTAAATTAAAGTATGTCAAATTTTAATTATTATCATTTATTAGTAAAATTCGGTATCTGGACCGGGTACAAAAATAACAAGTGACTATATATACGTACCAACAAAGAACAGAGATTATAACCAAAGAAAGATAATTGATAGAACAAGAAATTTGGTAGCACCAATTAACGAAATCATATTTCTGTCTCTAATAATAATGCCCTTTGCATGGGTAATCTGAATTTAATGCTACATTTAAACTAATTAGTTCTCGTCGACATCATCCGCCCCCAGCTGAATGACCCAGTCGCCACTCTTCTTCACCGTTTTCGCCAAGGGCGACAAATTACTCGCAGCGATGGCGTCTTCAACATTTTCATCGTCATTAATTCTGTCAGGTTTGGACCACACCCTTTTGTGAAGTGGCATAGAAGAAATTCTAGTGGAGCCGAATACTACGATACAAAATGCACAATTATTAATCTCCATTTCATTTCATAGATAATATTTTTAAAATGCGAAAAAATTGTGTAAATATAAAAACTGAAAATTTACACAGTTTACTTATTTCTCCAGTGGAGAATCTTCACTTACATGAAATATCAAGTTTCATTTCAATCTCAAATGCTGGATTAAACCCGTCATCCCGACTGAGTTCGCCTTCCTGTGAAAGGACAAGCTTCTTCATGGTGCCAATATGGGGGTAAAGCAGATAGAGGGTGGTTCCGACCCAGGTGATATCGACGGACGAGTGATCCATCGTTTCCTTTGTGACGAGACGGATTTTAGCATCTTCGATTTCTTCAGACAGCATTTTCGTCGTGTCAGGAGGTATGATTTCGAACACAACAAGTTCAGACAGCCTAAAAAATCACAGGAATTTAGTAATCCTAAAAACATTCTGAAACTAAGCATAAAATGATATTTATACCCGGTTATCATGATACAGACAAACACTCTCCCGTCTGGCAAATACGTCGATTTCATCTTCAAGAGTTCATGACTTGGTTTTGATTCCTCGATGGAAGGTTTGGATTTTGATGTGGGCGTTTCGGCGACAGTTTCGTTGGCAATTCCAAGCATTTCAAAAACGTCCCAAGCTTCAACCTTACGGAGGAGGACATCATTTAGGTGGTGGGGATGGCCAAGTTCGAACTCCATGTTACGAGGGTCGACTCCCCACAGGATGAGAGTACCATCCTGCCCAGTTATTAAAAAAATTGTCACACATTTAACCACATAACTACTTCATTAGTAATAAGTTAATTATTATAACTGCTCACGGTCGAGGCGGAAATGAGATAGTCGTCATTGTTGACCAATCCAAGATTAACCACAGCAGTCTTGTGAGCAAGGGCGTAATATCGAATTTCATACGCGAGAGGGAACTTGGCCACGCGAATTTTTTCGTCACGATCACAGGTAATGATGTGAGGAGAGGAGGAATCATTTGTGATGGTCTGGAAGTTAATTAATTAAACCTAAGTTCAAGGGAGATTAACTAATAAAATAATCATTAGTTAATCACCATAATTAATTACTCACCATGTCCATGACATAAGAAACATGACCCATAATTGTTCTGAACCTAGATATGGCCTCTGTTCCAAACATGGCAGCGTAAACGTCACCGGTTTTACCTGTAAGGATAAGCCAATGAGGAAATTTCTATGCAACGATAAATTTGTATCTTTTTACCTACCCAGCATAACGATATAATTTTCATCAGGGTCAAACATAATTTTCTCGATGCGTTGCGGCATCACCCAGCTTTGGCGTAAGGACCAGGCGGAATCCTTGAAATGGAAAATGTACACCGTTTTGACATTGTCGCATATGACGATGTGTTGAACAGGATTGCGACGCGTTATGTCGACCGCAACGCAGAAAATGGTTTCCGGTTTAGCCCTGGAAATGATATTTTAATTATAACTTAAATTTGAAATTAGAATGTGTATTTGTTAAAATTAGCCATGACTGTAAAAAAGAAAATACTCACGTGCTGGCTGGGGGACGGTTACCTGGCAAGGTGAGTGTGCACGGGATCATACCACTATCATCGGGAGCACTAGTAATCAAAATAGCGTTTATACGATAAGTACATCCTGGTGGCTTTTGTGGTAATCTTACCCAGTCGGTGAAAATATGTAAGCCGACTGTCTCCCCATGACAACGGCGATATTTGAGTTAACAGCAAACATGGTTTACGATGCTATAAGATTCGAAATAATTAATGATACAAGAGATAATCGCAGAGTTAATTAATTAAATCAAAATTATTACATTATAATTATTACAAATCATAAAGCAAATTTGAAATATTTTCTATTCCTACCTTACAACTATAGGCGACCAGAGTAAACCCAGTAGAGAAGACGGTTAAATATCATTAACACTTTTACTTCAATACCTAACTTTTCGATATTATGTATTATTGCGAAAGTTTGAAGTTAAAGAAATTTCCAGACCTGAAAACAACACGCGAAAACCAAGTCTGTGCGAAAACCGCTGCACGAGAACGAGGAGTTTGAAGAAAACGTGGCTTCATTTCCCGGATGCATGGGGTTTAATGAGATCAGTTCAGATGGAAATGGAAATATTACAAATTTTGATATTTTTGGTAGAATTTATTTCCTGAAAATTAAATTCGAGAATACATTTTCCAAACATTTGTACGGTTTTATAATTAAATGTTAGATTATTGAAGATAATGAAATCGTCTTTACATTTTGAACTATAAAATTGTAGAGGTAAAAATAATATTAGTAAATACGGATCAAAAAGACAATTTTACTGGTTGTAAAAATATCTTAACTAAAATAGAGTAAATATATTTAATATGCTAACATTCAATTAGAAATCCCACGGATAGAAAAATTACAAACGTATCATATCATAAATTGATAACCCATAATTTACGTAGGAATCTGAAGACAAGTTTGTCTTCATTACACACTGAAAGTAAGAAAATAATCGCCAAATTAAGAAAATGTGTGGCATCTTAAAATTCTGCGCCATCTTGCTCCGCATAATTATTTTACAACATTAACGTTTAGGGCATAGAAAACATTTATTAGTTTTGAATTGGTGCAGTCAGAGTGGTGGATGTGGCTGGCTACCACAATTCGCCTTCCTTCTCCTTGGCAGGAACTTCAATGACACGAGGTTTGTCAATGACTCTGGCTGTACGATTTCCTTTCTCGACAATACCAACGATCCACGCTTGATAACCTTCCGACTTTTCGATCTCTTTACAGAATGCTGCGGCTTGCTCTCTTGGTAAGCAAATCAAAAGCCCACCTGCATACACGACAAACACCAATGCAATTAATTACATATTCCAAACAATTTGAAAAAAATGAGAATCAATTCTAAATTATATAATATACCAGACGTCTCTGCCGATAATCCCTGCAAGATTGGAAACGTGGTTCCACAAGCCTTAGAAACAGCGGTCATTCTAGCTATTACTGGAAGGTTATGAATGACGAATGACACTTCCGCCTTTTGATTTCGAGCAAGGTTTTGTGCATGGCCCAGAAGTCCAAACCCACCAACGTCAGTAGCAGCATGAGCACCGTACTTGTGCATCAAAGTCGCAGCTAAATGGTTTAAAATTGTAATTATACTTGCACATTTTATATACTTATTTCTTATGGTAAAAAAATATATTACCAGTTCTATTAAGTCTCGACATGGAGTCCATTGCTCGATTGTATGCTTTACGAACTTCGTCTTGACTTATCACCAACTTGATGCGGTTCCATCGATCCGGCAAATCAGACCATTGGTGCACGGTCACTGCAACATGAGTACCTAATGGCTTTGTCAATACTAGAACGTCTCCAGGGAGAGCGCTTTCAGGCCTACATTTAAAAATGCAGTCAGAAAAAAATGATTAAAAGATTTGTCATAAAAAGTTATAGTTAACTATAAAAAAACTCGTACATAATCACTTCCGGACTTTGACAAATCGAGCTGGCAACCCCACCAACCGTCAGCCAGGGATTTAGAACGGTTTGTCCTCCACGAACATTTGTCCCAGCTTCCATAGCAGTATTCTATATATAAATTATTCTTATTGCTATCATCACATAAATATCACATCGCACTTTATTGCAAAATATGAACCTTAAACCCTCGCATTATTAGAGGAACGACAACATCTCTCTCCTTGTCAGTCAATTTGGTAGAGACGCCCATGAGCATCAACATGTTGTCACATTCAGTCACCCCCATGGCATACAAGCTACTCAGGACACCAGCACATGCAATTTTCCCTAAGAAAAAACAAACCACAATTTATTTCCTGCTTATCTATTCAAATTACAACGAATCTTCCATTAAATACCTTGAATGTAGGGATCATCAACCAAAGGATAGAACAAATCAACAGTTTGAACAGCACAGAAACCTTCATAACGAAGTGGACTGATGCAAGCATCCATACCAATGCAACCTAACGATAAATATTATTCATTATTTTGTACACCTTATTATTTACAGATTTCCACCCCCAGCAAGAAAGATTTTACGACTACCAACTCACCAACCCCTCCTTCAAGCTGCACATGATCTTGTGGGTTATCTTGAATTCCTTTCAGCAATTTGGCAATATCCTCCTGGGGGATTTTACATCCATTTCCTTTCAAATCCGCATACTTTGTGAGACGGAAAGTCGCATCCAGTTCGTGCGCGACTGGGTCGAACGACCGCCGCTCGAGAGATCCTGACCCACCCAATTCCAACGTCTCAACTTCCGATGGGGCTTCCACCGCCACCAAGTGAGCCTCGTGAACAACCGTACCGTTCACCTCTTCCATCTTTAAGGTAATGAATATGAATAAATTTATGACATATTTCATTTTTATTACAAAATTATGAGCATTGATTTATCAAATAAAAAACATCCACACAAGCTCATCTACTAAATTCAAAATTTGTTTATACAGAAAGAAAACATAATAAGCCCCCCCCCTTACGTTTACCACCACCAACATAATGCGAAAATGCGAAAAAGTAACTTTTAAACTCTCAACTCAAATATCCCCAGTTAAAATTTATTGTCTTTGTTATTAAACCTTGTCTCTAATGTTAAATAACCAACAATGCAAGTAAACAGGTCAGAAAATGAGTATTATCGTAGAAAAATTGTCCTCCGCTAATAATAATATGGAGGTTGCTTACCTTGAAGGGAGTGGTTTGCAATTTTTCAAAAATTTCTTAAAAATTTTCGTAAAAGAGTTCCGCTCACGGCTGGAGAGGAGGCAAAAAAGTGAGTGGAATTGCTCGCTTGCTTGCTGGTGTTGCCGGGAATTGAGTGAGCGGAATGAGACATGTGCGTACTTTGTTGCTTCGGCAAATCCACGCCACATGCAAAATCATGAAAGTAGCAGCTTTTTTATCCATCAAGATGAATGCGTAAAAATTTTCATGTTTATGTTTCTGAGCCACGAATTATTAACAAAACAGTATTGTTATTATTCAAATTCCACTAATTTTCTTAAAACTGAACGATACGGAAGAGTGCAAATAAATGACAAAAATATTAACGGTAATATCAATTACAATTTATTTACAATTTGTTTGCCGGCTCAACTAGGGTTATCTTACGATAAATTTTCCTTCTGAAGACTGAATAAACAATGTTGAGTAAATCAGTTCTAATTTCAATCAGCCAAACCAGCCCAGCCAAGAGGACGCCAGAATTCAATAGTATCCATAAAATTTGGAAATGTGCCGTCGTCAAGGGAACAGGACCCACGGGAAGGTCAATCGTTAACCGACCCACTCTTGACTTTATGCGTTGAAAGCGCTTCATATCTTTTCGTAAGGGATCTCTATGCTGAATCCCACCATCGTCAGCGTCGTCGTTGTAGTCCTCGTCCGAACTTTGGTCCGCAACGAATGAGGCGAAGTAAACTTTGAGCAGAATTTCGCCAATTGCATATTCCATGACTTCTTGGTGTAATCTGACAATTTCACTTTTTTAGGACAGCAAATTAATAAAAAATAGCATCAACTTACCGGAACAAATCGGTAATCCCGCCATTAACTAAACGCCCAATTACATTTGCAATGTCGTTAGTGTAATGACCGTATTTGACACTCCAAAACTCTTCGTTGACAATGGCATCTTTTCCCTTCCCGTAGTGATTGACACTGTAACGATTCCTCATTAGGGCGAGCATCCCGGTAATGATGGCTTCATCTTCGAGAACATTGATTTTCCCGCTTAGCGCTAAATCCGGTCTTCTCCCCTCCGTTGGTTCGTACCGTTGTATAAGTTGGGTCAGAATTCGACCTCTTTCCGAACCCTGGAACTTGGCTGCTTCTGTAGAAATGATTTCTAACAGGAGAGGATATTCGCCTGGCCGTCGACCCCCAAAACCGACGATTGGACGATCATCTTGTAGCAATTCAGAGAAGGTGCACGCGCTCAGGGTCGATGTCGGGGAGAGAAGTTGCTGTACAAGGTTGCTCTTGTAGGTCGTTGCGATCAGGAGGCAATAAAAGAGCCAAATCACGTAAAGGAATTGGAGGTCAATTTGGTCTCGCGTGAAGATTTTTCGTACCATGCCAGAACTGGTGCACTGGTCGATATGAGCGCGGAATAGTATTAGAGTTATTCGAGAAATAGTCGAGTATTGGACTGTGTTTCGGACATTTGAACGAGGTGATGTTTGAAATTCAAATTTTTGCGTTTTTAATGCTTCAAACGTCCCGCTTTTTGGTATTGTGAGATATTGAGGTTTTCTTATTTCGTTGGTTCTTTTACTGTACATTTTAACTTTGTTATACACTCCAAGAAGTAGTGTTATGCTTAATATTAAACCGGCAGAGCATGCAAACACACGCCATCCGACAGGTCTGATTAGAGCGACTAACATTGCCGCAAAATCATTTGTTTTTACGGCAGCGAATGAAATCACAAACTTCTCCCTAGAATGGATCAGAAGGGCGCTGTCAATTTTCTGTCTTTGCAGGTCGTACGACGAAATTGCAAAGTCAATGTCTCGATCGTCTCTATTTTCGGGAAATTGTGATGACCCGCACGAAGTAAAACTTAGATTTAGATGTGTCGCAATTACCTTCACGATCATGAGATGTCGGTTCTTTACACTTAGAATGGCTTCCATTTCGCTTTGGTACCACGTGTAGAAATCAAATATTACACTTTTCGTACGATAAAACCAATCATCCAGGTTGGACACGGAGCGTATATCGTGATTTGTTTTGAATAATTTTTCAGAAATTTTGAAGCACTGGTTTTGAATTTGAATCCTGATTTTTTAACTGTAAATTTTGTTGGACAATATTGAATTTAACGATGTGTCCCGATATCAAGCCGATGTGATGTAGTTGTATTATTTGAGACGCATCGATGCTTGTATTTTCACCATTAGCTCTGAGAACTCCTAATGTTTTATGAGATTTAGTGAATAAAATTCGCTTTTTGAACGTAAAGTTTTCCGAGAGAACTATTAAAGGTAGAAATTCAAAGAGGTCGATTTCTCTCTCATTTATTATTGGGTTGCCAAATAATTCGAATGGTTCGTCAGAAGAAAATCCTTCGTAAATATGGCTTCCAGTTAATTGTACCAAAATTAAATGAAAGATAAATGAGACAAAGGATAATGAAGTGTTTGGGAACATTTTGAAGTTTCGAATAAGTTCAGATTGATTTTGCATAGTATGTAGAACGATTTGCGTTCAAACACGAAGAATAATCTTGAACTTTGCCTTGCCTCTATAAATACTTCATTTTTGTTATTGGACATTGATATTCTTATTGATATTCATGATCATACATATTAGATATTCTATTGAGTTCAAAATGTTTTCAATTTTGTGCAATATTAAAACTAAATTTATTATCATGATATGTTTGGAGTTTATCCATATATGTATTTTTGCTAAATTTATTTAACAAATATATATACCATAGTATCAATGCGGATATGAGAATAAAGTAGTTTAAAATTAATTATGATGCCACATAATAATATGTATGTAGCCGAGTATGTGAATACTTACAGCAAAACCAATTTTCAGGGGTGGGCAAGATACTTTGATTGCAAGATACAAGATACAAAATAAGATACTCTCCCTGGTAAGATATAAGATAGAAGATACAAGATACTTCTGATTCACTTACACAAGATACAAGATACAAGATACTTTCCCACAAATTATTTATTCAAGATACAAGATACAAGATATATATCTTAAGATACTTTTTATATTAGATAAGATACTTTTTCAACTTTATTTTGCTTTAATTATTACAGTTTAGTATTCAAGACCAATAGTATAAAAAATGATATTCAGCAGTCCAGCTTAATAAATATTTACTTTAAGTAAAGTCGCTTTTTCAAAATTTTCGTCGGTCATTCCCCGACGTTGCGGACACATTACCATTTTAGCATAATTGAACAACCTTTCGTCAGGAGCTGAGGACGGAAGAGGAGTGTTATACTTCATAAAAGCCATTTTTATAGTAGGAAAATTGTGCAGCATTTCAATTTTGTCGGAAGGAGAACGAAAATATGCCTCACATTCTTCTTTTATTTTAGTCTCGTGAGACTTTTCTTCCTCACTGGGACCATCGAATTCTTCGAATTGGAAAAAGTTGTCATCAATTGCGTTTTCCTTCCTAGCATCTTGGATTCTCGTTGGCAAGCCATCTTTTGGAGGGATTTCAGTATTTACAATAGTGTTAGTGGGGGTTTCACTGCACAGTGTTTCAATAAAAAACAATTTTGTCTCATTCATTTTCTCCCGCGGAATCCAACGCAATTTGAAATATGGATGGCAAATAGATGCTAGTATGGCGTCCTTATGTACATCAGAAAACTCCAAGTACATTTGAAACCGCTTTCTGAATTCATCAAGTAGGTATGTAGGAAGACTTTCGCACAAATTTGGCTTGGATTCTAGTTGTTTCAATAATTGTTTCTCAATATTTAACAATGTTGGTAGTAATTCCCCATAGAAAGTTTTATTTTTGCCTTGAAGTCGATCCAACGCTATTGCGATGGGTGCGACGCACATCTTATACTGTTTAATGAACTCAATTTCTGTACCTTTGAGTTCGGGAATATCAGCTGCTTTACAGATTTCCGTAAGTTTGTCTTCAAATCTCAAAAGACATGAAATGGAATCGTAGAAAGAATTCCACCTTGTGGCAACTGGGGTGACCAGTGATATCCCACAAACCTCCTTTATCTTCTCTGCTGATTGTGTGGATCTCGAGGATTTGTTCCAAATTCCTTGACACTTCCCAAAGGTAGACCGTTGAAGTCTGGACGTATTTTTTGTCATATCCGATGAACATATTAAGTTCAATTGATGACTAGCGCATCTTTGGTGGGGTGGTAATTTGATAGCCTGATCTTTTGAATCTTTGGAAGTTTCTAAAATTGTTGACAAATCTAGAAATTCGCAGGAATTCAAATCACTTGAATTTTCGTCACCATCATTTTCATGGGTTGAATTTTCTTCTGGGTCGTATGCAAATTCTTTGAATGCTTTGAGAAAGTTTGAGCCTCCGTCGGTAACAGCTTTCACAACTATTTCTACTGGAATTTTGTATTCAGCTAAAATATTCCAAATCATATCTGCTATTTTATCATAGGTATGACTTCCTTTAAATCGTCGACACGCGAGTGCGACAGATTGGCGGGTAAGTTTTTCGGTAATCTACGCAATAAATTAAAACGACACCAGTAAATAAAAATAATGACAAAAATCCATATAAATATTCTCTACTGCTTATAATCTTATAAAAATATTCTTACCCAGTGAACCGTCATTCCTAAATAGCTGCGCTTTTTACCTTCACATGACCAAGCGTCTGTTGTTACGCATAAGTATTTTATGCCGTCAAGTCTCGATACCACAGATGCTCTCATAAAATTGTATCTGTCGTCGATCCTTCGAATAAGGGTTCGACGCGACATCGGCTTTACTTCAGAATTTAAGCCTATAAAGATAAGTATATATTGTGTGGGGTGAAGCTTCCTTGCAAATTGGTATTATCATTAATTAAATTACCTTGAACTAAATTACGGAACCCTTCTTCCTCTACTGTCGAAAAGGCGTGAAGTCCTTTGACAATAAAGTCGATAATTAACTTTTCGTGCTTAGGTGGGGCTTTCTGAGTGCTGACTGGGAGAATTTTGGTAATTTGTGGCTGAGTTTTATCATCCGGCTTTCTTGGTAAACATCTTTTTTTCTTCACACATTCTTTTACGTCTTCGTCATACTGGCGAGTAAGTTCTTTGTGAGATCGCTAGAAAAAAAATGCTGGTAAAATGTTTGCAAATTTTCAATCTATTAATTATTAACATTAATACAAAAAAACTTTATGCATACTTTTAAATGGTTGAGGAAGTTGGTAGTTGATGACAGCCCTCCTTTGAACTCTGCTTTTTTACTTTGCGGGGGACAATTTTTACATTTTGCAACAACAGATTTTCCATCTTTATCTTGACTTATAATTTCAAAATATTTTCCCGACAAGATAAACGGAATATTCGCACTGTCCTCAGCCATTTTACAATTGGAAATACTGTTGCCACAATGAAAAATGAAATGCTTATTACTTGTTAGACTAACGATAATAATTAAATACTAATTCACTAAAACATGCGTAAGTGCGAAAAGGCACGACAATGGGCATAATTTCATTGGCCGCGAGGTGGAATGCTCGATGCTTAAACGGAGTTGCGGAGACAGATGTCAGAATATGTAAAGTATCTTGTATCTTGTGTAAAAGTATCTTAAATACTTTTCACCCGTACACCAGGTAGATAAGATACATGCACAAGATACTACTTGATTGCCTAAAAGATACAAGATACAAGATACTAGATACTCTGCTAGTTAGGTGATGAAGATACAAGATAAAGATACTATCTTGTATCTTTTATCTTTTATCTTATATCTTAACAAAGTATCTTGCCCACCCCTGCCAATTTTACAAACAGTGGTTCATACATATTTTAGGTTTGGTTATTAGGTTATTTGGTTATTTGGTTAGGTTAGGTTATTTTAGAGTTGGTGGTGCTGAAATAAATTATTCATGCTGTACATTGTGCTAGAGCGAAATTTATTTATTATGTCAGTTGTTGTATATACTTAAAGAAACCCATAATACACATTCAGGTATCTATTCTTACTTCACCGATTACTCGTAGTGTCAAATTGCCATGCACAAAAAAATCGATGCAATATTTTAAACTCAACTACCTAACTTTAACTACTTAGAATTTCAGCACTTAACAAAAAGGGGATAATTACAACGCAACTCGGATCTGTCAAAAACGAGTAAATTTGGACATTTAAATGAATTTTTGACCCCATTCATGCAGCCGAAGAAAGTGTCACATTTCGTTGGATTCGGGTCTGCATAGATTCCATTCGGTTTGTTTTTGCAGGTGAAATTGCAGACGACCAAGTGAGGAAAGTTGCACTTTAATTTAGCCGGATCAAATAAGAGTTCTTTTGGACAAAGATAGTCTGACCCCTTCCCAGCCAAGCAGCCAAAAAATGCTTTGCAAAAATCTGGATCTGGGTAAAATCCGTCCGCCTTCTTCGCACAATCCGCACTTATCGGTATGGAAGTAGTGGGTGTTGTCGGTGTGGCGGTGGTGGGTGCGGTCGTCGTCTCAGTTGCATCCTGCCCCCGACGCAAATCAATATAATATATATCCTCCAGCACAGTAGTAGATTCCACTAGATCTGTGGTTGTATTAAACCGTGTGAGTAATCCTCCCAGAATGTAGATGCGATCCAATTTTGGAACAAAAACGGTCCCAGCTCGATTAAACACTGTCCCATTTTCCGCACCGGGAATATTTTGCACCGAGATGTTACAAACATGAAGCGTGGTATAGTTAACTTGCAAAATAGTTCCATTCGAATTATATCCGCCAACAATATACCCAACTCTTCGCTTATCATCCGATACAGGGGATGCCCGCATATACGACGTTATGCCGGGAAAGTTTGAAAAGTATACAATTTTCAAGGTATCCTTGTTTGGGTTGTACTCAACGATAGGGGCACCTGTTAATATGGGGGCTGCTGTATTATTTGACTGGCGTGGTTCACTACCAAATATGTAGGCGACTTCTCCAATTTTGTCGTAAAGGGCCGTTCCGGTATTGTAAGAAATTGGCAGGTCGCGCAGTTTGGTAATACTCGAAGTGACTCCGTTATAACTTTTAAAGGTTGTTGCATAAAGAATGTGACCGTTGTAAGGATGATTGATTACTCATTTTTAACGCTAGCCTAATATCAATCTATGCACACGTGTAGCGGTTAAAATGTTTCGTTCTTTATTTAATTTGTCCTGCAAATCAACCAAAATTAGGGAATCCGTCTAACGATATTGTGTTGAAAACTCAATAAATTCTATAACTTTTCGTATAAGCTAGAAATTTTCTATGAAGGCAAAAGTACGCATAAGAGTTGCCAAATAATTTTCATATCTTCGGTTATCCGCACTAGTCGTACTTGAATATCGAAATTATAATATATACAAAGGTGCGAGATGTAAATTTCAACTGATCAGTAAAAAAAAACTGTCACATTCTTTATGCACATGACCTGAATAGCAATCGATCGTCTCCATAACCACCCCAAAAGTATATCGTGCTAGAGTTAATTTGAAAATCTGCACTTTCATAAACTCGGAATGGAAGCAGTGTCCCCACAGTATTTACGGATTTGTTTGAAGGATGAAACTGATAGATTTTATTTGAAAAATATTCCGAAGCGCTATATTCGTAACCACCGAAGTAATAGAAAAATCCAGCCTGGTTATACATGGCAGTTCCGTAGATAAGATTTGGTGAAAACTTTGCGAAAGATTCGACTCGATCCGTTGAAATTGAGTAGCGTCGAATAACCTCTCGATCTTTGTCGTCAAAAAATGACCCAGTGCCACCAAAAATGTAAATAGAATCGTCTCCATCGTACGCGACGGAGAAGGCTTGCAGTTTACTGGGCAATTTTCCTTTACAAATTTCTGCAACAAATGTGGAAAATGTCTCCTGCACAAAGGTGTGGGTCAAAATTATGAAGAAAATGTTAAAAATATCCATCTTTAAATCTTACTTGTTACAAAGGAATTCTGTGTAATTGTATGTACTTATTTAGATTCATTAGTTGACTGCTTTGCTTCGCATTTTTGATTTTGTTGAGGGGCGACGCAGGTTTCGTAGCAAGTTGAGTGTTGCTGGATGATATGCATAATAATACAATATTTAATTTTAACAAACCAAGGACAACCGTATCTGATACAGAAGTCGCATATTTATAAATTTATTGCGAGGGTAGTTAATTGCACGAAGAGTTTTGTGTCCTGTAAATCCGGTAAAGATAATAGAAATTTGAATATGAATTGTTGTTTTCAGTGAACAACATAACCTCTTTATAGCTACATTGTATGGGTGAATGTACATACATATTCATACTGAAATATTATTCTTGTGTGTGTAATTATCCAACAGTATTACATGGCATGAATTTGTCAATTGGTATAGTGCTGAAAAATACTTATCCAACAAAGGAAAATGCTATTTTTACTGTGATGTGTGCATAAATATTTGTACGTGTACACACACTGGGTCGTGGAATTCAATTCTTTATCTTTACATAACATGCTCCTTCCTACATATTGGTACATACTTCTAGAGTATTTTGTTTGAATTAAATCGAAAATATCAATCTTCATTACAAATTAATACAACCGTTCAGGTATTCTTTTCAGCACTGCTAGCCTGAAAAATTAACAACAACCAATGAACATTACACTTAACGTATGTATCACGTATTCACGTATGTATATAACGTATGTATGTATTCCTTATTCACCATTTGTAAGAAAACTCAATATGTGCACTAGATAATAATTTAAATCATTAAGGTTTTCTATTTTGATGGGCATAATCGTCTAGAGGAAACTGCATTTAATCTTTCACGGCCATGAAAAAACCAATTTCTGCTTCTTGTAGGCTGTGCATAAAGCACGGATTGATTTGGGGGACCACTATACATTATACCCTTCCTAAATGTGTTACGTAATTATTTATAACATGGGAAATAATGTTTTTCCCCAAGGGTCAAAATTCTCCTAAAATCGACCAAATAATATATACATGATCCTTTAGTAAAAATGATAATTTGTATAGTTTCACATTCTACTTGAAAATCATACAAATATAAGTTCATTCATGATATGAATTTCATATTATCACTTTCATGGGGAAATCCAATCCTCATTAAATGGCATCATTAACTTCACACCGATAACGTTATAGGAATTTGTCAGTTGTTCCGGTAGTTTGGGTTCTGGAAAGTGTCGAGTCGAGTTCTTTTGGAAATTTGTTTCACAAAAAATTACCTTCTGCATTTTAGGGAGCTCAAGTTGTATACAATGCAACTTAATCAATTGGCTGTCATCACAGCCGTTTTGCTGTTATGCGTTCAGGATGGAGTGACCAAGTTTGTAAGATGGGATACGGTATGACCTCGTAATTTAAACCGAAAGATTTCTGGTACTAACAATTTGCTAATTTTTGCAGGATATCGGTGATCTCCCTCATGGTAAACGTCCTCCATATGGTGAATACCCTCCGCAGGGTCAACACCCTTCCCAGGGTCAATACCCTCCCCAGGGTCAATACCCTCCCCAGGGTCAATACCCTCCCCAGGGTCAATACCCTCCAAATGGTGAATACCCTCCCGAGGATGGTCTTGATTTTCCGGATGAAGGTGGTGACTGGGAACTTAATCCAGTGTTTTATCCAGGATGGTGCACTGATGATGAGGAGTGCGGAATTTGTAGCAGATGTAGCTTGCTTAGTGGGGAATGTTACCCCGATTATAACCAGGACCCACTGCAATGCGATTATATTTACTGATAAAAAATATGATATGCGACAAAGCATGTTTCCATAATTTCGGAATAAATTTAAAAGAATATTTAGCGATATCTACGTATATCTACATAGATTTCAAGTACTTACATACAATTCAAATTTTAAGCATTTATATAAATACTGCCATTTTTCTTAAATAAGATGATTATGACATTATATTCGCTTTCTAGCAATGTGTGCCCCAAGTAAATTTCTGAGCCGAGTTTAAGAAAAATATACACACATTTATTGCAATATTATAAATTAGTAGTAAAACTTACAAAATAAAATACAAATGAAATAATTAAGTAGCATATTGATTAAATACTGATAAAATAATTTACGTCGATTCTCTTCTCGTGAGTGCAAGCATGATTGGATTTAACGTTTGTAGAGTAAAATTCAATTTAAAAGCAGGCTCCTTATGATCGACTCCTCTTTGGCAGCTTGCCACCCTAAATTGACCAAGGATTTGAACCAACAATATTTTCGCTTCGTCCATGGCGTAACGATTGCCTGAAAAAGAAAATCTGATTAAACTGGTGACCAATGTGACGTTTGTTAAATTAACTACTTACCAACGCAATTTCTGGGTCCCATTGCAAACGGTATGTACGCGTAGGGATGTCTCGACGCACAATTTTCTGGAAGGAATCTGTCCGGGTCGAAGGTTTCAGGATTTGTGAAATAGTTAGGATTTTGATGAAGGAGACACATAAAGATTCGCACTTCGCATCCACTTTCGAGCTTCGTTCCATCATCTGATTAAACCAATTATTTATTGATTAATTTTTCCGACAATTTTTGTGCGACTAGGATTTGGTCAATTGCTACCAAAATTAAATTAGACTTATAAAGTCTATAAATGGCCAGTTTCAATTCTACGTGCCATTTTTCCAACTTCGCTTAACTTTTTGAGGTAAAAATACCGATAAACTCACCTAATACGATACCCTCCACTAATTTCCGGCTCGTCGTGGAAGCTGGCGGATAAAGTCGGAGGGTTTCTTTCATACACCTTTCCAATAGTTTAAGTTCAGCTAAATGTCCAGTTTCCACTTGGTGCATGGATTCCTTGTCCGAGAAGACAGCGTCCAGCTCGTCCAGAACGTCGGCTTGAATACTGGGGTTAAGTGCGAGTTGGTGAAGAGTGTGCACCACGAGGTTGGTCGTAGTATCGGAGCCCTGTATCAATTAATTAAATGAAGGAATTATGAAGAATTTGCATACTAAATGTGGGGCAATGTGAGACTTACGGCGATAAAAAGTGAGACGACGTGATGAAATAAAACCTCCAAGTTGGTCTCGGTCTTGAAAAATGCGTCACAAAGGAGACCACCATCCGCGTCAGGGTCTGTTTGCAGGAGTCTTTGTCGCTCAAGTATCCGCTGAAATGTTGGAGCAGAAATTCATTTTATATATTTTAATGATTAATTTTGATCGAAATTGATTTAATTTTATACCGGCATTAATAAATCCTTCACAGATTTCAATACAAATTCTTGTTTATCGGCATGACCGAAAAGTTTCCACAAAATGGGGACAGCTGAAATGTAGGGTTTCATTACTCTTACGCGAGTAACTTGATCCCCTCTAGAATATAAAAAGTGGGATCATTTTAGGCAAATGTAGATATTTTTGGTGTTTAAAAGATTCAAACTAAGTTTAATTCTGACTTACAGTTTCGACGCCGTAAAATATCTTTCAACAATATTTTCATCGGGTTCTGGCCGAATTCCAAAGATTGATTCAAACATGTTCGAAAATGTGGCCTCATTAACGAGTTGCTCGATATCGACAGAAATTGTTTCGTCACTATTTTCCATATTTTGTAAATTCGCCATCAGTGCTTCAGACCCCCGGTGAAAAATGGGGAGATGATTTGTTATCATTTTACTTCTGTGGAAACTTTGAGTTAACGTTTTCCTATCGGATTTCCAGACTTTTCCTATTTTATATTTTTTTATAAATTGGGGTAAAATGAATAAATTTTAATTTAAGGGGAAAAATATTTACCTTGAGAGGTCAGGAGGCCCTTGCCCACCATCCATTCGCACTCTTGCAGGCCATAGCGACCTCTTTCCAATTGGGAAGGTTGGCTGAGAATTTTCTATGGTGGACAAAATTAGAATATATTAAGAAATTCAGAGAACCACAAATTCAGAAAATTCTTACTTGAACGTTTGTTGCGTCTGCGACAAAAACGATGGGTTTATTCCAACGCCAAGCGATAAAGGTGGACCCCACATTTTCAAAGATGGAGGCTGCTGAGTGGAACTCGGTTTCTGTGATCAAATAAATAAATGCATAATTGAAGACAAAGGTACTTCACTAGTTTAAGAAAACTTGCGCCAACGTCATAGTTCAACTATGGCGCAAGTTATCAAGGAATGAAGTAAAACCCCAAATTAATTGTGATAGATAGTTACCAACCTGCTGAACCGGGGCGTCGCAAGCCCCATTTGTTTCCAAGCAGTGGAATTTTTACGAGGGTATAACATTTCGAGAAATGTGAAGGACGACGAACCAACCAGAGATAAATGTACGTGGCAAAGAGGAGTATTACACAGGCGAAAAGTAGCCAGGACTTGTCTAAAAAAAATGTAAAATTTCAGATAAAAATTAGTAATTATTAAAATCTTAGGTGTGTATCGCTACCCAAATTGCCATTGGTCGTGTCTACAAATTCGTAATAGTCTGTATTTTCCATGTTGTGTACTAATATTTTCCCAGTTTAGAAGTTGCAGCCAAGATGTCAAGATACTGCCAATTGTGTCCTCTTATATAGGAATGCATGAACCTCAACCATCATGTCAAACTATGACGTAAAAATTCAACCCTCAAAATTCCAGGTTAATGTAAATAAATAGTGTTACACTGCAAAATTAATTGAAAATCCGTGCATCCGTTTTATCCTTATAATTGTTAACGTAAGGACAATAACAAATACGCAATAACTGGATTGATAACGATTGATAAGAGCGAATAATTAGCATCAGGCGAGACTTTGCCCATTTCTCGGATGTTATGAAGATGCGCAGCGTGTGGATTGATGTGATGTAATTTATGCATGTTCGCCTCATTTCTTTCGTTCGTTGAATTTATTTTATCCCGCAAATCAATCGAACTTTGTTCTCACGGTGGGACGAGTAAAATCACGGGACGCCGTGATGCTTAGAAAATGTTGACCTAATGGGAGATTTGATTTATAAAGGAATTTCATCATCTTGTCCGAGGCGCAGTAACGTTTGATTCACCGTGGGTAATTTTAGGAGGCGCGTCTGGTAGGAAAAATCCGTTTGGTGCAAAAGCACTGGGAATTTGTGGGGGTACACACAACGTTAAAAGAATATCAATGACGAACAATTACCATTTCGTCATAGATACGTAGTTAATCGACTTGATCGGGTGCAAAAAAAACTTTCCGAGAGTACATTTAAATTATTTTAGGTTATTACGTTGGAGGTGTTTTTTATAGAAAACATGGTCACGTCAACCTCTGCATGTCTCGCAAATTAATTAATTAATTCGTAAAATCGACCAACATAGCGTAAGGTAGATAGCTTAAGTAAGTTCTTCAAATTAGATTCCAAGGTTATTTTGGGTTTTGGCTCCATATCTTGAGCGTTCTGCAGGGTTAATTCGGAGGTACGCGAGCCTGGAGTTTCATGCAACATGCTAAATTTTAAAATCCAAAAACTTTTGGTGGAGGTGGATTTGGGTGAGGGTGGGGGTGGAATTATAAATGCCGCAATGAAACCACTTGTATTATCCGCAAAGATGATTTATGTATATTCTCAAACCTTAAAAAATCAGTACATCCAGCAAATTAAATTTCAAGAATTTATTCAAGAATTTATTAAACTTGTTCCAAATAGTACATCAAATTAAAGCAGTGATACTTTGACTAGGTAAATATTTTCGTGCAGAACCATAACCATTTATCATTCAGTTTAACCCCTCAATACGGACATCCAGCCTCATTTGGCGATCCGGAAATCCTGAAGGCAGCAAAGACTTTGGTGTAATAGGCGTAACGCTGTCTTGATTTGTCAGCATTTTGCCCGTTTCCTTGGCACTCTTGAGTCTGACCGTTGATGGCTTTCGTGGTTCGGCCAAATTCGTTCGTACCGCCAAGAGCGGAGTGCACGTTGACCTTCCAGAACCAGGCGGACACACCCCACGACAAATCTTCAGTCTGAGCGACGGAGTCAGGATTGGTTTTGAGGGTGTCTCCCTTACCGAGGGCGCGCGATGCTTGAATGTAGTTTGAGCACCAGGTCAGCTGGAGATACCCACGCCCGTAATAACTGACACCGGATGGGCGGTTGCTACCCTGACATTCGGCGACCCACTCGCTCCATGCTGGGTATCGGTCGGCACACCCGTTCTGACCGGAGCAGCCCCATTCTCGCTTGGTGGTTAAACCGGCTGGCGGAAGTTTTAAAAATTTATATAAAATTCTGTCTAATTATGGGGTCACTCAGATGTTTAACCGTTGGGAAATTATAGGGGCAGGGTGAAATTATTCAACTTAACGAAACAAATGAGTTTGAAGGAACTTCACATCCACATCTTAATGATTAGATTGTTAATTAGATTATACATATTTACCAGACTCGTGGAGAGTTTGTGCCAAAAACATGGCAGCTTCCATTTTGGACGTAATTGTGCCGGCGGAGAGCGAATTAACAAAGCCTTGGTATTGGGCGCTGGTAGGTTTTGGATACCCGTTGGTCGTTACTCCAGCCTCGAATTCAGCTTGGGTAACCGACACTAAAATTGAGCAACAACTTCTTAGAATTTTTGTGTAAATTTCAGAAACTGGAAATCTCTTTAAAGTTTTAGTTCGTACCTTGCCCATTTGCGGAGAAAAAGATGGCCGATGCCACAACGAAAATGTGAAATAGTTGCATTTCAATATTTTCCTGTTAAAGCTCAATTATTGTTATGAATTGACTCTTCGGTTAAAGTTGGAATGATTTTGGTATGCTCCGAATTGCATTTTATATGAATTTCAAGTACTCGTCACGCCTATTATGCATTGTTCAGGTGTCAAAATTTCCGAAGCCAACAGTTGCAAATTTTTCATACCTTGGCCAATTTCGAACTACAAAAATATGACAATAAATCAAATTTAACAAATGAAACTAAATGGGCAGATGGTTAGGTTAGGTTAGGCAGAATGAGTGACTCTTATTTTATAATAGACATAAATTAATCAAACATTGACAAGTGACATCATTTCATAATTAATTTGCTCGCTATCTGCTTCTCATTCATTTCGTCAAATTCACCTAATACGTCAACATATAAATAATTTATGTGTACCAAACAACTCGTAGATACATACTTCGAAAATTCTGTGTTAGCAGGAGATTCATCAAGTAACGCTATGTAACGTTATGTTATGTAACAATAAGATTACAGATGTTCGTTCAAGTAGCAACTTAATATTCAATTTTTTTGTAGTAAGCTTCTTTAAATACCGACTTTGTTTATATAATTTTAGCACAAATTATTTATTTCATGTCATAGTTCATTCATAAGTTTTATTAAATTATTTAGCATTTTCTCATATTTACATACATATGTAAATATGTATAAATAGAGTATAAATATGCATTTAGATGATTCCGATATCTGTGGCAGAAATCTAATTTTTGAAGCATATGCATATAAGCATTATACATTTTTATTATGTGGTAAATTTTCCCTGCATCCGATTTCCGTACATTCTGTCAGTTTATTCAATTATTCAATTTATCATATTAAAATATTTTGTAGTGCATAATTGAATATTCAGATGCACTGATAAATGCTATAGCACAAGGCAGGATTATTGAAAAGAAATTGGAAAATAAAATTATTAATCCAAGGAAGAGACACACGTGTCATTGCTTTCAAGACGGTAAAGGTTAATTAACAATTTGCCTGTACAAGTTTGTCTCTTAAATTATTCAAGTGCAAAAAATTGCAATTTTCTCTAAAAAAAATTAAAAATACTACGAAATTTGTTGTCCATTAAACTCATTCTCATTAAATTTAAGTTCACATGTAAAAATACAACAAGAAAATCCTTGTAAATGCGTACGTGATAAATGACTTTAATGACTGCTGACAATTCTTTAAATGGTCTTCAAAGCCTCCCAGATAACAATTTGAGATTTCGCTGTGAATTCGCTATCGAATTCGCAGCGAAATGTCCGCCGATTCGCTAGCGAATTCGAGGAGAAATCGTGGAGTCGCTGCGACTTCGCTTCGAATTCGCCAGCGAATCGGCGGACATTTCGCTGCGAATTCGATAGCGAATTCACAGCGAAATCTCAAATTGTTATCTGGGCTGTAATCAATTTTTACATATTTTCGTTGATTATTACAAGACCACGACTTTTAACTGGTGAAATTGCTCTAAATCTTGTATGTACAGTTCCACTATGTATAATACATATAATATTTTTCCATTCATCTGGACTGAGACCGAAGCTATGATTGTACATAAATATGTACATCTAAAAAGGACACAAAATAAATCCTTTTCCCGAAAAAAATCCGTCGAATTGCCCATCGATTAAAGTTGGGGGAGTGAACCTAGCAATTTATTTATAGCATTTCATACGGAAGTTAATAAGCAGGTTTGTCTGAAAAAACTGCAATTTAATCAAGATTCTTTGATATCGTGTGGTCAAAACTTTTATTAAACATTTGCCCTTTTCTTTAATGCTACGCTACGCTCAAAGCAATAGGTTTAATTGAATATTTTACATGCCTCTACTGTATCAATACCTTTAATCTGGGTATTAGTTTTTGGATTTGGTTTTGCAAATAATTGGCGATATTTATTTCCTTGAAAACATCCATTCGTACATAAGCATATATGTTTACCTCAGTTTTTCTATGTAATTTAAGGTAGCGTTACTTGTAAAAAGCGTGTACTTCGATTTTGACATTGACCATAACCAAAGGGCAAACCCATTTCTAATAATAATCATATGTGTATCACAGCACGGTTTTAATTCAGTATGCAGAAAAAAATTCGATTAATCAGCGGCTACATCATGTCGCAGTTAGTTCGAGGATTACAGAGTTTTTCTAAATATTATCATTTTTCTGGTTCATTTTGTCCTAGAAAATCTAATCAGGTTAAAAATTCCGAGTTATTGCCGCATAAAATGGAGGTAGCAATTTTTAAGGTGGGAAATACTATACGAAAATGTGCAAAAGTGTACAAATTTCCGGAGATATTGATAGGAAATAGTGCCCTAAATATTTCTAGGAGCTGGATTCCATTCAAAATTATGTGTACTTTGAATTTTTTATACATCGTCGCTATCATGATTTTATTGCAACTTGATAATGATATGTTCGTGGAGGTGCAAGTTTACCAATTTATACTTGCCGTGAATGCAGCAAACATTATACCGCAGGGACACTGCTTGTTGCATGATTCGGAGAGATTAAACTGGATTTCGATGCAGTTGCGAAAACTATGTAAGTTTCTAAATAATTAGTAATCTGGGTGTTTTTTACTTGTCATATGAATACTAAACAAGGAGGAGAATAATGATGTTTGTAGCTCAATAAACTGTAAAATTTTTGCAAAATTATTGCGAAGTTTGTCAAAATACAATAACCCGCAGTAATCAGAGAAACTGTATTTCACCTGCTTTATATTATTGCCAATTTCCTGCAATAATATTAGCGTACCTATAAAATATTATTTAATTAGTTTTACTCATTAAATTTTGCTTTTTCTCCCGAATTAGACAAGTCTCCCCCGGTTTGCCCCCAGATATCAAAGCGGTATTCCTACTGGACACAATATTGGACCTACCTCCTCCATTACCTCTTCTTCAATATGGCTCAGAACTACGTTTCTGTCGCAACAACCCCTCTGGTTGGAGAGATTGACAGCTTTTACTACTTTCTTGACACCGTCATTTCCGCCGATTCGGTTTGGATTGACAAACTGCCCGGTAAAATATTGCGAACCGTGGCCACCTCGATTTTCTGCTATCATTGGCTCTTCGTCGGCTCGACGATGTTTCTGTGGACGTTTTCCACAATATTTCTCATCTCCGACATCCTCTCAGCCCTGGAGAAGCAACCTTTCGAAAATCGGCTGGGGTATAATTGTGTCCGAATTTTGGTCGCCGTGACCAACTCGGCGACCAGATGGATCATGGCGACCGGCTTTTGCGTCGTGTCAATCATATTTTTCGTGGCGTTGGACATCTCGGTGAAATTTTGTGGCAAAATTCCACACATGGTTTATTTCACTTTTGTGATTGTATCAATATTGATGATTGTGGTGGCTGGGATGATAGTTTCTTTTTCGGCAAGGGTATTAGATCGGAGTGGGAGGTATGTGAAAAAATGGGGGAGAAGGGTTGCCATGGTGACTAATGTGTGTGCATTTAGGAGAAGGTATTGGATCAGGGTGTGGAAAGCGGTGAGTCCGGTGGGGCTGGAGATGGGGTGTTTTGGGAAGGTCGATAAGATGAGTATCTTATGTTTGGGGGAGGTTTGGGTGGATTATACAATTGCGATATTGTTATTTTGAGAAAGTAAAATTAAGTTTATGTAGATCTTGATTTTGAGGTATTTCAAAATTATTTGTATTTTTTAAATGTCTGATATATGTAATTAATGATAAATAGTATAGGTTGAAATTTCGTTTAATGATAAGAAATACATTAGTATGTTGTGTGCAAACTAAATAATTTGTAGTCTAATTTAATAAATCGTGAGCAAATGTTTAGAAAAAAACTGGTACGTGTTCAATCCTCCGTTTCGAAACGAAATTGCCCACGCGTCCTGTAAAGTAAATACGTTATCGACTTGTTTAACTAATTACGTATTCACTTTTGGAATTTTTACAGAGTCTGTTAGGGAGCATGGCATATTTACTTTCTGGGTGTGAATTGTCCTGGCAGAACTGTTGCTGCGTCAGGTTTGCATGGCATGCATTGTCTAATTTTTCCATTGGTGAGAGGGGGAGGCAGGATACACCTACAAGCTTCCCATGTCCTTCCAGTTATCGTTTTAGCAAAGTAATCCACTACAATGGCATGGTCACAGGTTTCTCGTAGGTGAGATACATAAATACGTAAATAAATTTATATGCATGTAAATTGATGTAAAATTTTGAGCATAATCTCGATCATTGCATACTCACCGTGAATATCGTTGTCCGGACATCCTGGTTGTTTGACGCCACCATTCGCTATGATATAAATAATAGTGTGCGAAGATTGTTATCGAAACTCAAAGTTAGAAATTTGCAAACTTACGATAAAAGTCGACATGTCCATCAATGCTAAGCAAGATTAGTCAAAAATATGTTACAGAAGACCAGTCCTTATGCTGACATGTTACTTATGTTAGAAATATGTTGCATAATTGATGTACCTTGAGTCACCCTTCGTACTCATCGAGGTATGATAAACGTCTACAAACTCTCCATCATGTCGAATAAGCTTTCTCGAAAAGTTTTTCAAGTCAGGAATCCCGATGCTGAACTCGAATCCAGGCCCGGCTGGGTCAAGACCGCTAATTCTTTTGATGTGGCGACCAATTCTGTCCCAAATAATGGAACCAGCCATTCCCGCAGTGTGAGCACCGAGAGAGTGGCCGACAAGCTGGACCTTTTCGTATTTCAGGTGACCAAGTTTTTTTAGCCACATGACAAAATCTGCGATCCGTTGCGCCACGAGGGGAAAATTAGTGAGAGCGTCGAAGTAGGCGTGAACCTTATCTTTATCGTCGGATGATTTCGTGGTGACTAACTTGCCCCAATCGACGACGATAATGTTGGCCTCCACGGAACTCTCGAGGTATGCTAGGGATGAGAGAGTAAAATGTTATGGAGGCAATTGTGCGTTTTGATTAGACAAATCTGATATAAAATGTTAGATTTTGATTCAGTAATGCTAAATCAGCTACGTATTTCTGTACGTTAAATTTGGAATTGTCTAAAACTCATAGTTTCATGGATTGTAAAACCCGAGTAAATTTTACCTCGTCCTAATTTATAATACGGAAAGTACACTGTTGATATTTTCGAAAATATCGACATTGGAATAACCTTTTGTAAGCATTGTTGGCATCTCAGAGTCTTTGTCACTCCAAAATCCATGGATGATTAAAATTGTGAACTTCCTGGGTGAGAACTGGGCGTCAACTGATGATGCCTCTTTGAATTTGATCTCCTTAACCGTGCTATGGTAGTTAAAAATTATCATATTTCAATATATTTACTAATAAAATAAATAAAATTCTGTGGTAATGCAATACCTCTCATCACTGTGAAAGTAAAAGTGGACATCTTCCACGCTGTTGGAAATTGTGACAAATCCATGTAGAATCGCGATATTTCCCAGAGTAATGAAAACTATGGAGAATTGCATGCAACAAAGTGGTTGCATCTTGATTATTAACTAACAATCTGAGTCGTTAAATTGTAATTCATTTGTTACGACGTGTCCGGGTAAAAAAACTAAAAAAAGATTGAAGTTTTCTTTGCAAGGACCGCGACATTGCAGAATAGAATTCAATTTCAAAAACATATCAAGGCCAGACGAATGTATTTATTTAAATGTTGTACGATTTTCCCTTATAAATAGCTATGCATATACTTAACTGAACCTATTGTTTCTTCCAAATATGAAAACCTCAGGGTTAAATTAAGGCAAGTTACATACACATCTAGCATTACGAAGAGCGTGATTTTTATATTGCTTTGCTACAATCATAATATTTTATTACTACATACGTAAATATTAATACATTTATGTAATTCATAAATTGATTATAAATACGAAGGGAATAAACTTTTATAGCCACAGTTTTGACAGGCTGTTAAAATTGCAAGTGATTACATTCAATGCAAGACTTATTTTAAGCATTCCAAGTAGCGTTATCATAATCTCTGAGCTCAGCTATATTCCTTTCGAGTCGCATGTACCACCAATCTGCTCGCGAATAATACTCCTGTAAAACAAAATCAGGAATCTGAACAACTATCGTCCAATTTCGTAGTAATTTACTTTCCTAAATTTCTCAGAAACTTACCACTTTAAATATTCCCACGCCACATCAAATAATACTTGACATCTTGGCATGACGAAATGCGTCTCGCAAATTTCGGCACAATTATCCTTCGTAATATTTTCTACCACGTGGATCAAACACTGGTCCAAAAACTCGTCCCGCAAGAATTTGTCGCAGAGCGATAGCACCTCCAAGAGCAGGTTAATTTCGAGGGTGGTGTCAATTTCACAAAAGTAAATGACCTAAATGTGTCGAGAACAAGATTAATGTGTCATTTTAAAAATTGGACATGCAAAATCGGCATAATTTTTCATTCTCTTCGTACCACGATAAATTCCTTCACTGCTTCGAAGGACGTTCCCTCTAACTTGAAAGATTGTGTGACTAGATTAGGAGAAAGTGAGAGATATGGGAGATTTGAATAAGTCTGATTTATGGAATTGTACTTATAAATTTAAAAGTACCTGTATGCTCAAAATTGTAAAGAAATTAATCTATCCTTATTTGAAAATTTACGAAAGATATCAACGTTCGTTTGAAAAAAATCAGGAAGATACCACACCTTTAATCCTCTAAATCAATTTTTGGACGATATTGCAATAATAACTAAACTAATACACTAACCAATAACGTGTCGACAATCTAAAAAAACAATAAGTAGATAGCAATTTAGCTCGGAAATATATATTCAGTGACCAAATTTTAGACTGTTCAAATCAGTTTGACTTATGTAAATGTACAATAAATGCGACACTAACTATTGTTGCTTTGTGGAAGTATGTGAATAATAGACTGGGCAGTATTTTTATGAGACCCTTTTCTGTATCCCTCACTTTTACTCTGCTGGGTTTACATTCCAGGATATTGGAAGGTCTTATTTTACAAAAACAGAGTGTATTTATTGATTGTTTATATTTTCAACATAGGTTCGGCGCATTTCAAGCTATTGATTCAGCTACGTGTCCTCCATTGCATTTAGCGCAACAATGAAATAAATTGTGTGTAAATAAGTATGTATCGATATACATACATACGTGATGCATGTATATTTAGTATGTATGTATTCATTTATGTAGCTATAGCTACAGCTTTATACAGCTTTATGTATATGTGCATGCACCTATGTATACATACATGCACACACATACATAAGTATACCTTAAATCAAGATTCAGCAAACGTATGTATCCCCATTGTATGTACGAAAATTTTATACTCAAATGTGATAAAATTAGTAATGTTTTATTCCGATATGAAAGTGCCAAATTGTTCAAGAATAAATTAAGGTATGCATGCTTCTAAAAATTAACAACATTTTACAACAAGTTACAAATTCTACAGGTTAGATTATGTAATTTATAATTTATTTACGGAGATTCAAATGAAACATATTTCAATAATAAAATATTTTGCTATTTTTATAAAACTATTTACGTAGTAGGTGATAGAACTATAAAGGAGACAAATAACGAGTTTGGATTACGCCCTCAAAATGAAAATATTTCAAAAAAGTGAAATTTGAAAATTAAATATGCATGCAATTTAGTTATTTTACTAAATCTTATTTAGTTTCAGTAGTTAGATACAGTTATTAAATTAATTGAATAATAATTAATTGGGATTAAATGTTAGTTTTTCTTAAATCCAAGAGCTAATTTTTTATTCCATGCATTTCCATAGATCTTATATTGGCTGTTTTTCAGATTTGATTGAATGTTACTTCAAGTTATGGTTTCCAGCAAAGCATGCATACATAATTTTAGCGCAGATAAATGACAGTTTTTGATATCATTTCATTCCAGTTATTTTAAAACGTTTCACATTTGCAGTTTCCATCCGGCCAAATGCACTGCAGCCCTTTCCTGTTGCACTGGACATGACAGCTCAGCCGACGAAGGCCGTTACAAGCTGCGTCAACCTTTAGCATTTCAAATTGAATTTTATGTAGGTATGTACAAATGGGTAAATTCCAAAATATATGGTGGATTTCTTACTGATTACTTACCGTATTAACGTCAAGAATTGCAAGGATTATCAGGACCAAAATGGTCAACCAAAAGATTGCTTTCATTTTCGACGTTTTTTTCGTTTAAAAAAACTTCAGTTCAGGAGTTCAGGGGTATGTAATGGAATTTTATGTAGCATGGGCATACGGGTCTGCGGATCGTTCGCTTAAATACCCACCCAAGCATTGTATAATATTGAAATTTGAATTTATTTAAATTCAAGTTGATGAATAACATTCGTCAATTCTAAGAAATATCTCGAACCCCACGTGCCTTGTCATTAATTATATTTCCATGGAACAAGTCAAGGTTTGTTATAAGCTTGTTGCGCATTACTCAATAAATGCAGGGTTTATGATATCTACATCTTGTTTCATGAAACTTAAATTAAATGTTTGAAATTTTAGTATGTTCCAAAGTGACTTAATTATCCACTAGTTACCTCGAAGTATGGAGAAGCAAAAATAAATTGATTTGTTAATTACTAATTTAACATAAAACTTGAAAAATGACAAAAATCGCAGATGTTCTGAACTAAATTTTAGTAGATGCTTTAGCAATAGGAATGGACATCTATAAATCTCATATAGATACCCTGACTTATGACACCCTGGAGGAAATAGCAACTGGAACAATGAACATTTTTAAACGTGATACTTTAAATAGTTTATGTGCATCAATGTTTTCTTTTAATGACAACGTCACTATATGCGTATTACATACATAATATGTATGTATGTAGACGAAACATATAACGCCAATTAATACGTAATTTGTTATCTTCACTACAATTCCCACCATCAAGACCCATTTGTCCCGTTTGTCCCTATAAACTCTTCCTCTTTAGCATCATTACAGGAAATCGACAACCCCGACACATCCGCGACCAAGGAATCTAACGGATTCGTCACCAATTTTGGCATCCGTCGCATGAAGGCTTTTTTCACGCCCACATGAGGACCCTTTTCAAAGAAATACGGCTTAATCCCCCACTCCCCCGGGGGACATGCAAAGTTATGGATCAGCGATGGGAAATTTTGACCTTGGTTTACTTCGGTTTGTTCGTTGTCTGACGATACCGGTGGTTTTGCACTTCTTAACCGTTTTCTGCAACATTCCTTCTCTCCTCTAAAGTCTTCTCGACCTTGAAATGTCTTGTTATTCTCAAGTGATGAAGGGTTTACCACCCTCTGAAGTTCTAGCAAGTGCTGGTGCATTTTATCGACTTGGTGATCACTCAAGTTGAGGGGGGCGCCCTGATGAAAAAGCGAAGCCTGCGTGATTTCCATTAGGTGACAAAGGAGCTAGATAAATCAAATCAAGTTCAAGATTTCGTGTTCGTGATTGAATTTTCCAGTGCGTATAACTCAAATATGATTTTCTTCAAATTAATTTCAATGATAACCTCACCCTGGGAAATGCCAGACGCCCCTTTGTCTCCCCATGTACAAATTTCAAATATTTTTCTAGTAACGCTGCATAATGTTCTTGAGCTGCATTTATTGCGGGACTATCCTCAAACTCTGAGCAGGCCTCACCTCCCCCGTAATCAGAGAACAATACAACAACAATCAACAGCATTATGCTCGATTCGTCAGGGGCATGGGATTTAAGTCTTTTATAAATATTGTATCCAATTTCAAGTACATCTTCAGGCCATATACCCAAAAACTCATCGAACTAGGAATTGCACAAAATTATTTACGATTAATTAGTAATAAACAAGCTTGGGAACAAAATTGTCGCCAACCGTGGACACTGTAAGGTTCTATTTCTGTCGTGTTGGTACATATTAGCTATTCAAATTTTTCATCGCTGCCCATCGGTGAGAAATTGTTACCTGCCGTGTACATGTACTAATCCTAAGTTGAGTTGTACTGCATAAAATGCATGTTATCTCATGGTGACAAATCCTTATTTAAAATCTTAGACAATTTTCACTAGTGGTGTCCAAAACTGGTGACAATTTTGTTACTCAACGCTTAACCATTTAGCTTACGTGAACTATTGGGTGTTTTTCGGAACCAATTACATGACTCCAAGTCCGTTTTTCCACATCAAATAAAACTGCGTTTCGTAAAATATCCATTTCTGTGACAGACCGCCTCAATAAATTGGTTTGGTCGTGTAGTGAAAGTCTTTTAAATTCTGGAATCATATTCGCAAAGCAGACGAATCTATGTACATACAGAGTAATAAAAATATGAATAAATATCTGTAAATACGTATTCGTTTAAATCGTTTAATCAAAATACCTCCGAATTGAAACGGACATGCCACCAATCAGTAAAATTTGTAGTTTTTTGACCGTCAATTTTTCGTCTTTTGCTCTGATTGGAAAATTATATGGAATTAATTCGCACGCTGTATTATAATATTTCAACATATCAGCGATTTTTGCAGAATCTTCGTCGTTAAGTTTGTAGTCGGGTGAAGGAATTGACGAAAGTTTGCCCTGCTTAAGTTTCTCCGTCCTTTGGTAATCCGACACCACCCAAGCGGGTTCCATGCCAATTTTCACGCATTTATAAAATCTGCATATTGTACAGTTTCTTCTTGTTACTTGGTTAATTGCACAGTTTCCTTGAAATTTGCAATCGTTGATGGAATCCATGTTTTTGAAAATGATGAAATTTTTGAGTACGAAATGCTGGAAATTGAGTGAAATGAGATAAACTAAACTGAAATGAAATGAAATAAAGTAATGTGTTTTGTTTCACTTGGAAGAAGGATCGGCACGAGTTGCATGTAATTCCTCCGTAATTGTGTGACCTTGCTTTATCCCCGCAAACATTGCAGAGCTGAAAGTGATGGACATTACGTTTTATTCACAATTAAAATTTCAAACGAAATTATATGAACTGTTATTAAATACGTATTTACCATGTCTCGTATACTGTTTCGTTTGGACTTTTTTCCTGTGTAGTATCCTTGATGTTTTTCAATATTATTCCTCTGTAACCCTTTTTCCATTGTATCCTTATTGAATTCGGAATTCCACAAATGCAATAAATTACTTAATGATATTCACTTTATTTTGTTTGGGAAGATTTTATTTTTAAAGTGCTCAATTTTTTAAAATAAATAACATGTGTTGTATTCATTAACAATGTTTAAAATAACTTTTTAATATGCCATGTATGTATTTATTGTACAGACAGATGTAGTTGTAGAAAGCAGTGTTGAAATTAATTGACCACTTTACTCTGTTGCCCATGGCAACATTACGTAGTATTTACATGTGATAATGATAACGATTTTTTGTTCATTCCAGGATGCTGGACAGTTATTTAAGCTGTAAAGATTACTATGTAGGTACATACATAGCATTTTGTGTATGAAATACACAAAACAAAACTTCGACGAGTAAGCATTCTTAGCATGTGCATATATGTGGGTACTAAAATTTCATGGAATTTTAAAAATTCATGGAAATTATGTATGTATCTTTGTTTTCAAAATTTGCAGGCATTATTCCACAGTGAATAAATTAAGCTAAGTACTTACCTATGCCTCTAATGTAGTACTGCCCCCAATAACAATTCTATCTTAAATTTGCTCTTCACAACAATTAGCTCTAAATTATGCAAATTAATTATCCCCGTACAATTATACGATCCACCTTAAATAATTAAATGTATCTGCATTATTCGCAAAAAAAACCTTACTCAAATACATGTACATATGCCAATTACTAGGGTTTCTTCAATTCACTCGTTAGTTACGTTTTCTTTCCCGTCATGAGTAAAAGACTCGCCGTTTGTTCCACCGTCATCTGACTGGCCGAAAGTGGGGTGGTTTTATCGACGTAATTACCCGAATTACCCACCTGCGTCTTCATCTCGATGCACGAACCCGTCAATTTTTTCAAGTACTTGTTCCGCTGAAACGCTCTATTGTACTTCCAACATTTTTTAACCCCTTCGCTAAAAGTGTGCAAATCTGCGGCTGCCCCGTACATGAACATTTGGGCGAGAAGGACCGTCTCCACGGCCATGATGATGCTTAGTGCCAAAATTGGTGCAGAAACGACGTCATGTAACGCGATGGTGGAATAGAGCGATGTGACGCCAAGGAACGTCATGTCGGTCATGACGAGAATTAAATTTCCGCCCCTGTTGATGTTGTTGAATTGTCGTTCAAGGAGTTGGATTTCTTTGTAGGACCGAATATTTTGGATTGCGTGGTCCATGTCGGGAATGGCTCGAGCGGTAGTGCGGATTCTGGAAAAAATACAAACAATTTTGCGGTTTCTTGATAATATGTGGGCCAGGACTTTTCATTTTGTCACAGTATTCACCGTTTTAGCTGATCCCGAATGCACAACGCTGTCAAATAAAATACCGATCCGATCCCGATGCAACCTTGACCCCACGTGCAGAAGATGTAGTACACATCCAGCAGGACGATGATGGGTGCCAGGGTGGCCGGGAGTGACTCGAACCCATGATTTTGGCAGTCTGCCAACGTCGAACGTAGAAAAACTTGGGACGAACAGGGAGACTCGAGAAGGAAGAATAAGATCAAGAGTGGAAACACGACTTGACAAAAGGACGACGACATAATGATGAGACGCCCAGGCTCGCCGTGTTTCAAATCGGCGAGAATTAACTTGTTCAGGGACCACGCGGTGGAAGACAAGTTTCGCAAATTTTTCTTGGTAAATTTGATGACCGGAGCTTAAAATGAAAGAGAGTAAAATTAAGGGTGTGAGAATACTTAAGAGAATCTAGAGAATAATAATAAGAGAATTCTCTAATTTCAAGCAATGTGATTTCTTGGGGCTAATTCTATGCAAAAACTCATGTAAAATACTTTGGGTGAAATTAGGATTTATTTTATGAATATGTAAATGCATAAAATATATGTATAGCTGTGATGTTACTAGTGTAATATTCATGTGGTCTTAATTGACATGAAATGGTAAATATTATGTATGCATTATGCTAAATTCTGACAACAAAGAAAACTGTGCATCTTAATCATAACATTTGTTTTCCATTATTGATAACAAGCGGTGACAAAAATTCGTGCCATTAAATACCATTATATTCACACTCAAAGTCAATCCATATACTTAAATACATTTACCTGCTCCTGGATCCTCGGCTTTGACTTTTTCCTCAATTTGAATCAAACTATTGAAACACACCACGATTTCATCTGCCCTTAAAAACGCCACGATCCCCATAAAGTACGCCGTCGTGGTTCCAATGTATATCAGGAGAGAAGTGATGTGATGTATAATGGCACCCGCGCCTACAAGAACGGCACCTATCCTCATCGTCACAGTGACGAAAATCATAGCACAGGCGGAAATTGAGGCAAATGCAGAGTAGGATTTGAGTTCGCGAAGTTGGAACCGTTTGGTGTCAGAATTCCAGAAGAAGCTGTGCCCCCCACTGAGGCTGAGGAGCCACATGGCGGACCGCAGAAATGGGAGGTACTCCAAAATTGAGACGAACATGGTGGGTTAATCAGGTTCAAAAATTCGGATGTGTTCCGGAACAAGGGGTCTTTTATATGTTTCTCGTATTATCATGTTCATCTGTTAATTATTGGTTTAAGCTAGAAAAGTAAAAAGAGTTTTTTTGCATGGAATGGAATGTGCTAATTAGTCCTCTTTCTGGAGGGTTTTTGTAGCATTTTTTCGCCGACAACTTTAGTAATTATATGCAAATTTACAGATATATGCCCTACTATATAAGCTGTAGAGTAGCTATGTGGTTTTTTCCGAAGCGAGGAATTAAGAACATATGTAATTATATATGTACATATAAATCTCATTTGTGGTAATTACTCTGTAGTACTGAATATAAATAAATGACAGGCCACGGATATGGTTTAGGAGAAGACGAATTAATGTGAAGTTATTTCATGCATAAGAAATAAATATGAGACGGAGGTTAAAAAAAGCATATTGGCATTAGCATATTTTGTGAAATAATTATGTGCTTTGAAGGTTTACATACCTGCTGAATATTAGATTGCTTTTAGTTATATACATATAATCTGACCTTCATAATAGGAAACAGAGACACATGTACGGCAAAACTGGAATATTAATGACTTCCAATTTGCTTGTTTTCCAAGAGAAATTGTTCAATTTTATTAAATAGCTGGGTCATACGTACGAGTACATCGTTATTTAGAGACACGTTTTTTTTATGGGACATCAAGAACTTTGCATAAGATTGACATTGACATTGAAAGATCAGCATTTGATATGTATATATTTGTACACAAAGGAATAAAAGTGATATGAATTGGATCGTGAAAAGGTTCACGATCCAAAAGAGTCACCAACTTTTGACATCTTTATTTATTTCTGCTGATTTAAAATGATTTATAGTAAAAGTACAATAATAACATCCCGTACATACACACGTACGTATGCAAGTATGTAATGTTATGTAGACTATGACAATTCAATTCTAGAGTAAAATATTTTTTGCATGATAAATGTTTCACCAGGTTCGGAAAAACCTCAATATTTTCATCTCATCAGTGGAGATGGCAGAGCAGCATGATATTAACATACATTATACGTAACTATTAACACAGATTAGATAATATGCAAATACGTATGTGTATGTATGTACAGCAACATACGCTCCATGACTACAATGAAACTATGTATGTGTGCATGTTCCACCAATTATTTGTATATACGTGGGTGTTTTATTATTGATTTTCAAAAGGTATGTTCCGCACTGTTTCTGACCAAAATTTTGATGAAATAACAAACTTGAAATACATTTAGGAAGTCGTGATTTTTTTCAGCTCAATCGGTTAAAAGGAACACCCGCAATAAATCATCCAAATTTACCTCGCAAATATGCAAAAATTTACGACTTGATTCCATTATCATCCCAAAATCGTTTCCCCTTCATGCTTTTATTCAACGTTTGAAACGGATAATAATCACTAAGGGTCAAGGCTGGACTGTACGGGGGGTGGTTTATGACGGTGAAGCGTTTTTCGTCTGCAGCAGCCCTCGAAACCAGCGAGGTATTTGTTGGCGCGTTGTCGTCTAAAAAAAGGCCAACTCTTTATTTTGACCTCACGTTTCTCTTCAACCGCAGCACGCAGCTCCGTCGGGGTTCCTGCATAGGCTGCCCCATTTATCGTAGTATTTCCAGCAAGAAATTATGTAAGAAGGGGACCTTTTGTATCATTGTAAATAGTCATAATCAATTTTTTGGCAGATTTTTACGCTTTTGCTTTCATGGGCGGTGGCAACCCCCCGTGCTCCCATTGCATGAAGTATTGTTTAGTCTGCAGGTCATAATAGTAAACCCAAGTATCATATGCAACTACTAAAATATGAAGCAGGTTCCAGTTTTCATTTAATAGGTTAAAATTGGCATTGCAAAGGTCAACTCGATCTTGTTGTTGAGATGCCGAAAGCAATTTTGGTACCCAACGGGCGGAAGCCATTTTCATACCTAAGTCTTCAGTTAACGTGGAACAAATTGTTGGTTTTGGAACACCCATCTTATCTGCTAAATAGGACAGTTTCAATCGTGGATCTCTAATTATTGGTTCCTCTAGTTTCTGGAGCCTTTCTGTGGAAGAAACTGATTTTGGGCGTCCTGGCGACTTTTTGTCCGAGACCACTTTTCGCCATCATTTGAAGTTACTGACCCAATTTATATTGTGCTTTGTGTTGGGCAGTTTTCATCGTAAACTTTAAGCATGCGATCATAAATCTGCGACACCGATTGCCCTTCCAGCGTTAAAAGTTAAATCACACTACGATATTTAATTTGCAAATCTGACATTTTTTCCGTCGAGGTAAAGTTTGCTGATTTATTGCTAGTGGTGATGTTAACCTAAAGAGCTGAAAAAAATCACAGCATCCTAAATGTATCTGAAGTTTGTTATTTCATCAAAATTTTGGTCAGAAACAATGCGGAACATACGTTTTGAAAATCAATAATAAAACACCTACGTACATTACAGTAAAAAATGTTCTCTCATGTGAGGAATGATGATCATGCGATCGTTTAAGTTGTGGAGTTATTGGGCAGATTTGTGACAACACTTGTGCTGCTTTACGTAACCTCTTTTCCAGTAAGTTTGTGTATACGTTTAGTTGGAAAAGTTGTCTCAGGCACGACTACATACAGTAAGCTGACACACATTTGTTAACAAGATCATCACGAACTGCTTGCATATATGTACATTAAGACAATATCTTGCTAGTTACCACAAACTTGAGAATTGCGTGATTTTAATATTTACAAAAACTGTAATGGCATGAAAAATATTTAATCTGCCATTATATATTTAGGAAGCTTAAATAAACTATTGACTTGATTATTTGGTGGCACGGGCAGAAAATTTGACAAGCGGGCTATCCAGGTTAATGTCAATTAATTACGAATGAAGAGTGGAGTGAACGAAGTACTTTAAAGTGGAATATAAAGTACATAAAGTGTGTAACCCGTGATAAGTCAATGTTCAAATCGTTACCATGACAACGTTGTGAAGTGAGTCATGTAAAGTACATCAAATTTGCACATATGTACATAAAATTTACACTATGTGCGTATCCTTAACAAGTTGAGCTTAGGATTAGTACGTAATTAGGGTTTTAAAAAAATCATGGGTCTAGAGAAACGAAAAACGCGTACGAAACCCGGAAATGAAACTGACCTGGAATTTGTCAAACCGGAAAAGAGAAGAAAGTTGAGTCGACCAACAATTAGAAACGATAAGGTAAATACATAATTTTCATTGAATGTACATTGCGGTGCACATACAGATTTCATATGAATTATAATTGTTAACTTTCAATTTTTCCATGAAAAATCTACCACTACAATTCGAGTATTGACCCTCCTGAATAATTTTATTAGTTTGACCTTCACACGACAATTATCAATTGTGAATAGTTAAATATAATAAATACATATTTGCTAATTTCAGGATTGCGAAGTTTGCGGAGAAAAAGCACGATCACATAATTTCGGAGGCATCTCATGCAATTCTTGTCGTTCCTTCTTCCATCACTACAGTTTGAAAAATTTAAGACACAGTTTATCCACGAACCATCTTAAAAAAGATTGCAAGTTTAGAGGAAACTGTATAATTGACAAGGTGTCGAGAAAAAAGTGCCGAACATGTCGATTTTTCAAATGCATGAAAATTGGTATGGACCCCGCTTGGGTCATATCAGATTACGAAAGGACACAAAAGTTAAAAGGAAGCAAAGTGAGTGAATCTACTCCGTTGCAAGCTGAACAATCACTTGATTCCAAAACTGACCAAATTAGTGAAGAAGATGCCAAAAAGATTGCAGATATTTCTAAATATTATAAAACGGCGTGTGATTTGATGCCATATAATTACGTGTCGCGAGAGGAAACTGAGGTTTTGAGCGTGACTAAAATACGAATAATTTATATTGGAGTGATTTCCACTGCTATTCGGAGGTACATAAGTATTTACATTGCAAATTCTAAGAGAAACATATATATTTTAAATTATTTGTTAAATATTCACATAATTAAAAACTGTTTCACAGATTTGTCTGTTTTGCGAGAATGATTCCGGAATTTGAAAGACTTTCGTTACACGATAAAACCAATTTATTGAGGCGGTCGGTTGTTGAGATGGTAATTCTTCGCGATGTGGTCACCTTTGATTTCGAGAAACGCAATTTTTACGCATCCGAGTGTCCCGACAGATATCCTTATGTTCGAGTGAGTATTCTTAATAATTACTAGCAATCATTTAAGATAATAGAAACTTAATATTACTTGATATAACTTAATAATATGTTTAAGATAGAGATATGTAATTTTGTATCAGGTTTCCAAATAACCGATTTATCCATTTAATTATTAATAAAATGACTTTCGGTCTTTGGCATTGATTTGTGGTCAAGGTGTTTTCAGCCAATTCTTAAAAAAAATCTGAATGGTTTCCTGGCAGATTTTCCAAACACGAAATAAGCCTTTCAGAAAATTTCCAACGAATAGAGACTATTAATACTGGCTGAGCAGTTTCTACATATGTAGTAATACAACCCATTTTTGATTAAAATAAAAATTACACCATCCTCGCCACTGAAATTCGAAAGCCCAGATATTATTCTAATCTTGACTACTCAAATATTTTCTTAGATGGACGAATGCGTCGGACTATGGCCCACAGATATTGTCGACATGTATCTTCATCTTTACCGAAGAATTCGGACCCTGGCCCCAGACGAGGCAACCATAATGCTCATGATCCCTCTCGCCTTGTTTTCCGATTGTGGAGGAAACGACAGTTGTTCCGAGTTTGATGATAGACAGGAAATAAATAAAATACAAGAATTCTACGCTGGACTACTGGAGAAATATTTAAAGTGGCTGCATGGCGAGGAAAAGGGAAAGTTGGTTTTTCCCAGGGTAAGTTTAATTTATATTTACGAAAATTACATAATATTTTATGAATTAGGCGATTCATTTTTATGAAAATGAATTAATTTCCAATAATTTAAGTTCACAAAAAATACATATTTATTGATAAAATACCAGGAAATCCTTCACATGTTCGTACCAAAATCTTCCTTTTTCAGTATAACTAATGAAAATGTATTGCCATGAAAAATCAAACAAATGATCACTGATTTAATATTTACATCTATCCCAACTTGCTGCCATTAAAATGATATTAATCATTTTAATACATAGTTTATTTGATTGTTGCAGCTCTTGTCCCAAATGGTGGGAATAACCACCGTTAGCCAATTGCATCAGGGTCTTCCCCTCAACTTGACTGACGACCAAGTGGATAAAATGCACCTGCATTTATTAGAACTTCAAAAATTGGCAACGACGCCGAGTTCGAATGATACATACTTTCAAGACCAATCGAGTTTGCGACAAGAAGATCGGGGTCAAAAAGTAAATCAATGTTGCCAGAAAAAGTATACAACATCAATGTCAAATATTTCAAAAAGTTCCGAACCATCTGAAATCAATGAGCATGTCAACCACCCATCCCTGATCCACACATTCTCAAATCAGCCAGGGCAGTGGGGAATTAAACCATACTTCTTTGAAAGTGGTCCCCACCAGGGTATAGAAAAAGCCTTCATGCGTCGAATGACGGAACTGGTGGCAAACCCGTGGGATTCTTTAGTCAGCGATGTCTCAAGATTATCAATGTCTCCAACCGAGGATGAACTGTGTGAAAATAATATTTAGCGCATTTATAACCCAAGAAAGTATTTGTAAATACAAACTCAAGTATTTATGTTGTAATTTACATATTTGTGTGAGACGATAAATCTTGTTAAGATAAATCCACAAATCTCAGCAATTTTATTAACAAGTTAATGATATGCATATGCAGACACTAATTGGTATCTGAATTTGATGAAATGTGAAGTTTATGAAATTCTCAATAAAAATGCCTCCTCATGCAGCTTGTTTACTGTAAATGATGTGCAGATCTTAGCTGGGTTGTATACATAATTGTGCAGATAAATATAAATTCATGCATCATCAGTTCTAGGGCAGAGTTGTTATTAAATACTATGTACATATCTATGTACCATGCTTGATGCTCTTTATTATCTCGCCATTTAAGCGACTGAAGTGGCTTTAACTTTCGTAGGTATGTATATAAAGCTAACTAAACTGGCAAATTATCAATGACCATATCAAGCAAAGTATTATGCTGAATTAATGTCATGAAATACTCATCCACAAGTTTATATGGATGTCTATAATGTTGCAGAAAAACAATGTTCTGTACTTTATCAGTTGTGAAAACGTGATGCAAAAGTTGTCCAGTGAAATAATTTAATCAATTAAGTGCGTACTTATTTATACTTGATACAATTATTTTTCGAAAGTCAGAGAGGGTAACTATTTTAAGGTAGATAATTTACAGATGTGGATTTTCCTCATATTACGACACCAGCGTCTATCGTAGAAAACTTTATGCATACACTTTCTTAGTGGAAATTGGATATAGACGGCATCAAGGTCAGCCCATTATTCTGCTGTCATTGCGTAGATTGCAAAGTGAACAGAGTAAAATAATAGGTAAATTAGTGAATGATAAATGCACATTGCCACAATAACAGTTTGAAGTGGAACTTACGCTATCATAACAATAACTACATAAATTTAAATTTCTCGTAATTTGTGTAATTACAGAAACTCCTCGTGCGAGTCCAGTTTAAGAATTGAACTTCAAAAATGGGAAAAGCAAGACGGAAAACGGTTACAAAATCCAGAAAGAAGCCCCACAATAAAAAATGTGTTAGTGATAAAATGCAACGAATAATCATAAGAGATGACATGGTAACTAAAATGAAATTCAAGGATAATACGCGTCGATTTTATACTTTTCCATTAAAAAATTGAAATAAATTTCAGGACTGCGAAGTGTGCGGAGAAAAAGCACGATCACACAATTTCGGAGGGATTTCTTGCAATCCTTGCAGATCTTTCTTCCATCACTTTACTTTAACCAACTTGAGGCACAGTTTATCCACTAAGCATCTTAAAAACGATTGCAAATTCAGAGGAAAATGTAAAATTAACAAAGTAACAAGGAAAAAGTGCAAAACGTGTCGATTTTTCAAATGCATAAAAATTGGGATGTCACCCGCCTGGGTGATAGCAGAGCATGAAAAGAAATATAAATCTGTTGAACCATTGAAATTGAAACTTAGTGACGAAGAAACTGAAAAAATTGCCAGTCTTTCGAAATTTTACGAAACTGCGTGTGAATTAATCCCGTACACGTTTCTCTCTCGAGAAGAGAATGAAGTCGTCAGCGCTACAAAACTACATTTAATTATAATCGGATCATTATCCATAGGAATTAGAAGGTCCGTAATAAAAATTACTCTGTGAAATGTAACAATTCTAATTGGCTTTCTACTATTTAAAATGTAGATTTGCATGTTTTGCGAGGATGATTCCTGAATTTAAGAAGCTGTCTTTACACGACCAAACCAATTTACTCAAGCGGTCCGTCGTCGAGATGCTAGTGATAAGAGATATAATTATGTACGATATTGACAAAGGAGTATTCTACGCCCCTGGATTTCCCGAGAAATTTCCTATCGTTACGGTAAGTACATATTTAGGAGTGTTAGAAATGGACATGAAATTTTTCCGACTTTACGTAGAGATGCAAAATTATAATAAGTCTTTATTGTCAAAAGATATGTATCTTGATTAAGATTTACATAATTGTTATTTTAAATATGCACAGGAGGAAGAATGGTCAGTTTTAATGAAAAGTTACGATGATGGATTGACCGACCGATACATACATATTTACAAAAGAGTTCGCAGCATTGCACCCGACGAAGCAAGCATGATGCTGCTCATTCCTCTGGCCTTGTTTTCTGATTGTGGTGGAAACGATAGTTGCACCGATTTTGATGATAGACCAGCGATTAATGCGGCCCAAGAATTGTACACGAGATTGCTAGAAAAATATTTAAAGACTGTGCAGGGGGAGGAGACGGGGAAACTGATTTTTCCCAGGGTGAGTGGAGGACGTTATTTTTATAATAATATATATAAATTTTGTATTAGACACATTTTGCAAATCAAGTTAAGAAATGCGGTTAATTGGATGGACGGAAGATTTATTGATGTGCATAAGTTTAAAAATTATCGACTTTTTGGCCTCAGTCAGAACTTATGGAATCCTCATGTCCGTCCGTCCTTCCGGTCTATGATAACTCTCGTTAAACTCATCCTATCGACATGTGTACCTCTGATATTTTAAGCCCCCGTATAAATATTTTGATGCATATTTACATAATTAACAAACAATAGTTAATATATTCGATAATCATCTTAATGCATAATTTAATTCATTTATAATCCAGCTCCTCTCCTTCCTACCGGATATTACTCAATTAAGCCATCTCCAGCAAGGACTCCCCCTCAACTTGACGGAAGATCAAGTCAATAAAATGCATCAGCATTTACATTATTTGCAAAAGAAAACTGGTACTCCACAACCCTTGAATAATGACTATTTCAAGGACGACTTAATTCCACCAGAGGAGCTGGATAAACAATGGGAATGTTGTAAAAAACACGTTACACCTCCAAAATCTTTGTCAACATCAAATAGTTCCAAAGAGGCGCCGGTTTCGACGAGCTTAGGAGGCAATCGGTCAGCCTCTCCGTCGCTAATTCACGCATTTGCCAACTTTACTGGCGAGTGGGGAATTCAGCAGAAATTTTTTGAAAGGGCTCCCCACGTGGGCGTAGAAAAAGCCTTCATGCGTCGAATGCCGGAACTGGTGGCAAATCCCTGGGATACTTTGGTCAATGATGTCTCAAAGTTATCAATTTCCAACAGTGGGGCGTAAAACCATTAGATAATAAACTGGAAGATGTATATGCTTGCTATACTCCACCAGCTTTTTCTTATGTTTGAAGCGTATCTTTGGCGTATTACTGGTGCAGCTCCACAAAAACCGACGATATGGGAAATTACATAAATTAATTCATATAAACACATAAAACACATATATAAACACATGTATTTATTAGGTTTATTGAGTATAAATACTTGTTACGTACAATTTGCATTGTAATGCACAAATTAATCAAATAATAAAAATATAATAAATGTCCACCCGTGCGGGGCAGATAAGTAAATATGATTATTGCTGCAACAATTATTATTTACAAATAAACCGTCGTTAACGATAAATGCAGCGTCGCCACGAAAATTTTAACGTTAGTTCACAACAAAACAGAATCGTACAAAAAGATGACAATACCACAAATATCGTCATGGCCGACAATATATTTGACCCAAGTCCTGTTTTCTCAACCCCTTCATCCATGTCATCGTCTGGATCGAAGTGTTGAAATAATTTCATCGGGCGAAACCGCTTGTAGAGGGCATCCCATCTCGAATAAATTCCCGAAGAAACAATCATTTTCTGCATTTCGACCAATTTTCTTGTTTGACTCATGTCAAACACTATCATCCAAGACCAACCCGTCCAACTGGTCACCAGCTTATCCGTCCCTGCTACAAACTTTATACTTCTGTTTGCCCCGATACGATTCGCATAGGGCAGAATCGCCTCAATATTCTGAACATGATCCACGTAAACCTTTCCCGTACAGGATGGACGAGTCAAATTTCCATTGAAATGGGCTGGATGATTGTACGCGAGTGATTTGAGGTGAATAAATCCATCCAAAGTAGTTTGGGCGAGGGCGTTTCGCGCTAATTCTGTGATCCAATTGACATTCGAATTAAGCAAGTCTCGAAAGACGAAGAAAAGCTCAGGAATTGGTGTACCGATGGAGGGATCATCATAAAACGGGTGCTGCTCCATCCCAACAGAACTGTATAATGTGAAACTTAAAACGTTTTTGAACGTTTCGAATGGCGATACTAGTTTTGTAGGAGTAATCGTATCCGTTGTATAGGTTGCTTTCCATCCTGTCCCTAAAATCATGCAAGTAAAAATCCAGATTATGCAAAGTAACGGTTTTATCCCTAGGATATCAGCAGGAACACGATGGATTGGACGTTCCAACAATGCCCCGATCATAGAGAGAAGCATTCTGATGTATAATTCAGGACAATTTTCTGATTCCATTGGAAACGCGACATAAACCGTAGTAACAATTAAACTTGCAGCCATTAAAATCCAACACCATCCGTCTGCCGGTGATAGGTAGACGCCATACCCAATTCTTGCCGACGTAACGCCCGCGCAAGTCAAAAATTTGTACGCCTCTTCACCAACCAGGATGATGGAGCTGTCCCATTCCTCTGGAAAGGTGAATTCATGGATATGATTTGGATGTGGATAAGTGACGGCAGCGATATCCATTAAATTTTTCTTTTGGCGTATTGAAGCGCTGGAACTGAAAATAGGAGTTGTATGATTCCATTTTGGTATTTAATTAATATGATGCACAGGGTTGTTGATATTTTCAAGAACAAAATAAATAATGTGAAAAGTCATCACATATTTTATGCTTCACTGCGTAGTGAATGTGTATTTGTATTCGATGTGTATGTACATATGTGGTTCGGAATACATAAATGCATACAAAATTCTCAATGCATACATACATATTTATATCGACATAATAAGTAAGCCTAGCTGTGACTATGTATTACGTACGTACATAAATATGTGCATGCATATTTGTAGATGTTACAGGGCGTAATTACAGTTACATTATCTAATAGATGAGAACTTTCCAAATAAATACATATTTATCAATTATACTGATCCCTATACAGCGATTATAACATTCAGAACAATACCATCAGTACGTATTTCAAACTACCAGAAACTGATAGTGATGTAGTGGCGACTAAATGACTTTGGTGGAATTTTAACCCCTCTGCAATTTTTGTCGGTCTTGTAGTAGAAATTGTGAGATTTTTTACAATCATTCAATTTCATGGAGAATTTCACTCTCAGGCTTTCTAGTTTTTCGAACGGTATAGCAGTTGGTTCTGGGTCTTTTGTCATTCAAATGGTGGCTTGACTTCATTAATGGGAATAAAATCGAAAGAGCAGTGGTGGAAGTGGTGAATAAACAATTTTATCGGACAACCCAGAAATTATTATCAACGAAAGCTAAATTAAATGCTCAAGGCAAAATCTTAGCGAGATTTTGTGAGACACCATTGAAGAAGTACACACAATTTTTGCATAATAAGTATTTACAAACTCTTTCCTTTCTCCTATGCACTAGTACAAGGCAAGCTGAAAGATTACTGGTCAATGGAAAATATGATATAATCATGGGTAAAGAAAGCAACCGGGTTTTTTTAATTTCTAAATTCTTAAAATATTGGTAAAGACTTAAGCTATATTGATTGTAACTATCTATTTCAATTATTGAACTCTAGTACAAATACATACATATGACATATGTACATATATATATTATGTAAAATTGGAATAATAACTGCATATAGGTCATAAGTATTTTCGCACTATAATTTGTAAAACTTAAGACTTGCATAAGACCTCAAATCCAAGATAAAATGACCACGACTGTCCTCTGTGCAGAGGATGTGAATGGATTGAATGCACTTTTTCTTCTTTTCCAGATTCGAGAATTATTAGCTTGACTATATTTCTCTGGTGTCTTTGGTGACGTAATTTCTCCTGTTGAGAATATTTTTATGTTAATAATCAAAATAGAATAATTTCGTATTAAAAAGTATAAAATACGTTCTGTAATTACTCTGTGCTTTCCCTTTCGAGCTAGAGTTGTTTGCATTCAAATCTGTGGCTTCAATTCCTTTGGACTCTTTTCCCTTGTCCACAATAGTCCGTTCATGATAACTTTGTTTATACTGAGGAATTGGACTTTCACGCTTAAGAGTTCTCAAACTCAGATATATTATTTGTTCATTTTCACGAAGGCAGACATAAGTGGGGACATAGTGAAGCTTTGTAATCAAAGAAACGCCTCCAACCGCTTTTGGAAGTGATACAGCAGATTCAACGACACTTCGTTGCTTAATACCAATCTGCAAGTTATGTAAATCTTATATGTAAATATAAATATGTGGGGCTGGATAATGCTGATACTCAATATAAGTAAATTTTACCATGTCCAATTCGAGATTGAAACTGCACACAATTTCCTTAAGCCGTTTTTGTCTCAAACTATCGCAGCACATTTTACCCAATCTTGTCAATATTGAAGGATTTTTATCCAGGTAAAACTGTATTAGTGGCCGAACTTCATGATACGGGACGTGAAACCGTGTCGAAATATGGGTTGCGACTTGGTCAAACCGTTTAACGTCTTGGTGGCGAAGATGTTCCCTAATATGTTCTAGAATCCTGTCCTTCTGTCCCTCGTCACTGTCCCGGTGATAATGCCGCGTTTCTTGCATCTACGCAAAAAAACGGTTTAAAGCAAGCACACATATTGCAGAAATAGATAAAACATAAACCTACTCTCCACTCTTTCTGAACATTGTCCTCCGAATAAATGGGATGCGGTGGGTTTCGACCATATCGATAATCCGCCAATTCTTTCAACACGTGATGTTCGTCATTCTTAATTACGGAAAACATGTGCGGAAAGATTTCTTCAAGAGGAGCAATATCTGATGTGTGATGGTCCAAGGCATTCTTCAAGTTCTGAACGCATCTCCTTTTGTCAATCAGTATTTCACAAATGGCACAAAGCTTAGCAAGTTCTCGGAGACGGAGAAGAATTGGGTATTGTTTTCCTAAGGTATTTTTCTGATTAAAACAATTCATGACTTTCTGTGATGCAATATGTAAATGATATTAAAATGGTATACCGATATCTGAGAGATGTTCACTGAGGAACTTGGCAAATGGGGCATTGGCTTCCCCAGTGTTGGTTCTAATGTTAATATGCACTTCTCCAAATTGGTAGATGATTTCATCGTTAAATTCACGTCGATTGATTTCCACCTGCAGAATTCTCATGAAAATAAGTTTTAAAAATCGTACCCTATGTACATAAACACGGATTTAATAAAAAACGAAGATATGCTAACCTGTCCAACTTCAATAAAAAATGTGTCATCATTGCTCACGATTTCGCCCAAATTTTCAACCAAATTTGGAGGAAGCTGCTTTTTAAATTCATCCCCAGATTCCTTGAGCAACAATCCTTGCACCCAATGCAAGGTGTGCATCATCGTCACCAAGATGTCGGTATCCTGCAAGACAATGAAATTTTTAATAATGTATTGATGACTCCCCCGGGCACCTAACTCGCCTTCATCGTTGACGGCGTGTATGACACGGACCATGGTTCAACGGTGCTGGTCAAGCTTAAAACCGGGTGTTCGACATTGCCTCCGAGAATTTGGAGGACGTCTTCCCTCCGAAAAAGTGGGACGGCGCTGCCAAATTCCCTCACAGGTTCAAGTATTATGCGAATTGTTCCCGACTTTTGATTAATTTCTACTCCGTGACAGCAAGAAAATAGTTCGTTGGTTGGGGTTAAGCCAAAGTCGAGAAGGGGCACGCCATTGCTCCCCTGCTTCAGCAAATCCCAAGAATGAACATCGGAAATATTCTGAACGAAAATTTGGTTTTCCGGCATGATCCTCTTTTTCTAAATTGTGTAATTTTATAAATTGCAAGGAATTTCTAGACCGAACGATTCCATGAAAAGTCAACTTTGCCTCTGCGCTGGATTCCAGTTTTTTAATCAGTTTTATAAAGCGTTCCTGCGACGATACAAACGATGAATTTCTTAAGTTTATGGTAATCCTCAAGTGTTAATTAATCATACTTTTGTATTTCGACGTAATTAGATTATTGGTACTAAAATCACAAAAATAATGGAACAAATATATTAGGCAAACATTTATAAAGTAATTAGTACGCCTAAATTTATTTCAAAAACGTGTCCAGTCATAATTTGCAGAGTTTATGTGTCTTTGTCCGCAGTTTGACTATATAAAAAGAATAACAATAGGATCTCGCCCACAAGCAAAATATATACATATTTACATAAATGCCTATACGTACTTATATATAGTACTTGGTATTACCAAGCTGGTAAAGCTTTAAGTTGGAAAATCTCTATGCACACAAAATAGTGCAAATTACAACTTCCAGATCTCAATATTATTAAAAGTCTCGTATTCACATATTTCAAAATAAATATGAACGATGTGAATGATGTATGGATGAAGTTAACATATTAAAATGCACTGCTAATAAGTGATAATTTTGGTGTAATTCAATAACTTTAATTTTACAGGTATAAACTGGTTATGTGATAGCAAACTCAATTAACTATGTCCATAGATGTATTAAGAAATTAAGTAGAACATGCAGTGTTAATTGACTGGATTGTCATTCATATTTGTTTATATAGGTTTTTTTTTGCTTAATTTTATGTAAGTCACAGACGCGCACAAAATTATAAACATGGATCTTTTGTAGTTTTTTTTATTTCCAGTCTGAGGATGAGTCGTGTGACTAATGAAACCTGCATGTCATTATGAAGATGAGGTCAGTCAGGGTTCAGGTATATTTGTATGTAAATAACTAGTTGTCATGCTATTACTCATAAAATAAAATAAATTGTGCACACATAAAAATGGACGGGGACAAAAGAGATTATATAATTGCTCTGGATTTTTGTGCAATTAAAATATTTCTACTCAAATGTTCTGTTCCAATTGTCGAAAACTGGTATGATGGATGCACGAAGTGATTCCATGTTCCAACTTTCAATTCCAATTAGTAAGCTGGGTTGTTGTTTTTAGATTTTTAGATAAATACATAATTTGAGATCCATACACAATTCTATGCCCTGCCTCCTGGAGGAATTGCGATAAAAATCGTACGATATCCATAGTACGGATTCCGTACATATTATATGCAACAACGTTGTGTCGAGTTATTTCAGTTCCACTGAATTCATTTCTGATTATTATATTATGAGTGATAGGTTATTAGGTTGTTCTTGCAGACAAAGCTTTGTATGATGACATATTCCAGACAATACCCATCCAGAAACGGGAATGCAATGTACATAACTTGTACAATTGCATTCCTATTAATAGCCTAAAAAATTCCATTATTAAAAATCTGATGCCTTATTAAATCTGATTTTTTTTAACTTTTAAATACTTCAATTGATGCTGGAGTGGGAATTTTTGGGAGTCTGATATGAAATTAAATGCATGTAAATAAATTGCCATTTATTCAATGAATATTGATGTGTGCATGGCAAATATCATGGTAAGCCCACTGGCTAACCAAGGTCAGTCCACTAACTACACATCCACAACTTTTTGCGTGACGTTAAAGGGTAATAATTTGCTATGTCCAACTTGTGTCATGTGCGTGTTACCATGACTACTTGATACATACATGCATGTTATGTATTATCATTTAACTCTGCCTGTTAAACATATGGTTTTCTTGCGAGTATGCATACTCGATGAAAGTAGTATCAAAGTTTAATAAGTATACGACAAGTTCGCGTTATCAATTTAGCAGTAAAATTTAAAACTATGGGGGAAGATAACGTAAGAAAAAGGAAGCGTAAAACAAGCACAAAATCGGGCAACGTAGGCGAGAAAAATTGTGTACCTGCAAAAAAATTGGGAAGACGACCAGTTCGCGATGAAAATGAGGTACATAAATAAATACAGATAAATATATCATTACATGTATATAAAGTTTGAGAAATATATGTAAATTAATATTATGAACTTCCATAAATTAAAGCTCTGTCATGTTTGCGGAGAAAAGGCGAGATCTCACAACTTCGGAGGAATGACGTGCAACTGTTGTAAATCTTTCTTCCGACATTTTGTCTTAACCAATGTCAAGGATAATACATCCATCGAACGTTTCAAGAAGAATTGCAAGGTTAAAGGAGAGTGTGAAATTGATCAATTAACAAGAAAAAAGTGCAAAACTTGTAGATTTTTTAAATGCGTTAAGATTGGAATGGACCCCAAGTGGGTCTTGTCAGACTTTAAAAAGATGCAAAAAAATAAGGCTGCATCAACTAATAAAAAACCTAATTATACACAAAGAGATGCTATTTGTCCAACAATTGATCAGAAAATAAGTGACGAAGATGCCATAAAAATAGCCAGTATTTCCGAGTTCTACAATACCGCGTGTGAATTAATTCCGTACAATTTTCCTTCTCGAGACGATTCTTCTACAGTATTAACGACAAATAAGATCACAATTTTACTAATTGGAGTAATTTCAACAGCAATGAGAAGGTATATTAAGATCTGTTAGTGAACCAACGTGCATGTTTTTATTCATTGTTTTTATTGTTGTAGGTTCGTATACTTTGCGAGGATGCTTCCCGAATTTGAGAAACTTTCACTACATGACCAAACCAGTCTTTTAAGGGGGTCAGCTATACAGTTATTCATACTGAGGAGTGCAGTGACTTATGACTTGGAGAACAATATAGTTAATTCAAAAGCTGGGAACTTTCCCGAGAAATATCCAGAAATTACCGTAAAACAGATTAATCTAAACAGAATAATAAATTTGATAATTAAACATTTAAATAATAAAATATGGTCAATTTGTGTTAAATATTCAGTTGGAGGAATGTGCTGCTATATGCTCGGACGAAGTAGCAGATATGCATCTCAATGTATACAAAAGAATTCGGTCGCTTGCCCCCGACGAAGCCAGCATCATGTTGATGCTTCCACTCGTGTTGTTCTCAGATTCTGGGGGAAGTGGTGAAGTTTGTACGCAATTTGAGGATCGACCAATTATAAATGCAGCCCAAGAATTGTATGCAAGTCTGCTGGAAAAATATTTAAGATCCGTGTATGGAGTTGAAAAGGGACGGGTGGTTTATCCCAGGGTTAGATAACTAATTTAATTACCTTGATATTAGGTCAAAAGTTGTGACCCATCACAAGGATGGGTTATCGTTACGACTTAATGAGTATGGTTCATTAGTTCGTAAAAAAAATCCCAAGCTTTTTAAAACATTTTGCCTTAAACGTTCATTTGCGAACTTGTGCATCTCCAATTGTATTTATTTAGTTCGCATTTTTTTCAAAATTATTTTGCGATGCTAACCTGCGAATTCGTAATGAATACCTGCAATGCAATGCACTTTGATGAATGCAACCACGATTAGGTTGCATGATTAAGTTGCATATACATAATTAACAACAACCTAAGTAATTATGCAACTTATTGCAATTCCTTGTTACAACTATATCAAACAGATTTTTGCATAGATTTTTAGGTCACTACAGTAACCCATAGCCATGCCATACATATGTATATGTGATAGGTCACAACTGACTCAAGTGACACGTCATAATTGTCACTATCATAAGCTATCAAAATTAACTATAATTAATTCATCTGTTGTTTTCCGCAGCTCCTTTGTCAACTTATGGAACTTACTCAAATTTCTCAGCTCCATCAAGGTGTCCCCCTCAACATGACAGAAGACCAAGTCGACAAAATGCATAAGCACTTGCTAGCACTTCAGAGAAAAGCAAGTTTTCCAGTGTTACAAGAAACGGAGAGATGCACAAGGAGTAAGGAACAAAAGGAGTGTTGCTTGAAACAAGCTAAATCTGTCACGAGCAGGAAAGTGTCAAAATTGGAGTTAGCTAATCAATCCCAGCCTCAGGGAATAAGTGCGGACGCATTTCAAATAATTATTCACAGTTTTGCCAGTCTCACCAGTAATTGGGGCATCAAACCAGATTATTTTGCTAAAGGTGCGCACCTAGGCATACAGAACGCTTTCATGCGTCGAATTCCTGAGCTATTGAATAATCCGTGGGACTGCTTGGTAGATGAGGTGGAGGAAGATAAAGTTGCAAGTTAAATATGTACGTAAAATAAAGGGATCCAGATTTACATCTGTATAAGTACATACATATGTATGATTAAACATATAAGTATGTGTATACATTAATAAATAGAGATTTGCATTTCAGTATTAATACATATTTATTTGCATAGGACAAAATTTGCGCTGTCATTGTAAATAGCTGTAATATTTTCTGCTTTACTTGAACAATGTATTCATGCGACCTAATGAAGGATCTTAATTGAAGATATGGACTTAAGATGTACCTTAGAAAATTTCCAGTATGTAAGTGCTAATTATCGTAAACCTATGCACGAAGTTCTGTAACAAATGCCTGTATGTTAGTAAGTAGGTATATGTGCATGGGTATGTACATATACATGCTAATGTATGCACGTACGCAAATGTAATTTTGATAAATATGTGCTTATTAGGTAACGTGTAACCATATTTTAATAATACGCATCAGTGACACAAATCTAAGAAGTTCTTATTTTCGTAGTAAAATGTTCTTACCAAGAATTTAAGATGTGATTACGATGAAGCAAGTTGTGATAATTAAATGTATACCGAACTCTTTTCATTCCTTGAACTTTAAAATCTTCCATAGATGAAGAGAAAAGCAATTCTAATTAAGAGCATCCGAGATTTTTGCGCGACTGGTATGTATTTATTTATCTCACTTATTTACTTATGTTGTATTTACGAAATACGACACAGATTTCTCTGGATTTCTTGTAATCAAAAAGTTCAAGCCTGGGTTACCAATTCGGACAGTTACATAAGATATCTATGCACACACATAATACATAATAGTTTTTAATCACTAAATGTAAATACATATATTGAATTTATAAATGGAAATGCAAAACCAACCTGCGAAATCAGATGAAAGCAATCGTTATTTCTCTCCATGCCCTAATTACTAATTAATTCCTTACAGCGGCGTAGCCAGGATTGGGCCTTGGGGGGGCCAATCCAGCTAATCCAGCCAGCCCAAAAAATATTTCGATTACCATTTTTAGGCTTAAAATTTCTACGTTCACTCACTCACATTGCTTTTATACAGGGTGTAGATACATAGTTACAAATATCTTAGCTTTAAGCATCAAAAACCACTAACTTTAGCACGCCGTGTACAATGCCTGACCTATAAACGCCTCAAACATTTATTATATCTGTATCTGTAGTAAGTTGTGTGTATCTAATTCATCACAGTGGCTTTTTTATATGACAAAAAAATCGGATCACACATTAACGAGGGTCTGCAAATTTGGGTTAACCTTTGGTGGTACAAACTTTGTACTACAAAGTGGCTTTAGCGCAAATTGTGATACCTCAAATGGTATTGGCCCGTTAAAAAATCAACCTTATGTTCCTTTGATAGCCTGTTGTGCATTCAAAGAAAAATTGTACGAAAAAATCCGGGCCACATGAAAATTTTAATAACAAAATTTTAACTACTTAAATATCAAATCATTGCTAATCGAGACAAATTTGCTAAAAGTCATCAACAAAGAGCTTAGGGCATGATCGGCATAATTGGTCCAAAGAATAAGGACTAATACTGTATAAAGTGTGCAAATTTATTCCGGTAGCATTAATTTTTTTGGCGCCTGCTCGAGACAAGATTAGATATAACTAATGATCCTGTCAATATTTTTCCTTGACTTTCTTACCATGGGTGGAATGAAGATAAGTGCTGATTGATAGCACCATGCCTATATATGCAGGTCTTAGCAGCGCAAAATTCTAATTAAAATTTAAAATCACTCAAAATTCGGATGTAACGGAAAAATTTCTGGCAATACGAGAATAACAATTTTTCCAAGGATGTAAAATGACCTGAACAATTCAAAATAGAGGTGAGTCAACCAGCGGTTTACAAAAGCTCAGCTAACCCAAGCACGGTTCGTAAAAAGCTCCAAAAAAGCTATATTCAGAAAAAACTCGAAAAATCTCGGCTCGCTCAAGCTCAGTTTGAACCGAGCCGAGCACGAACAAGCTCGGTTCAATTGAGCATTTGGCTCACCTCTAATCCAAAATAGTCTCATCTACCAGAAAAAGACTGTCTATTCTCAAATTTCATGAGATACTAAGTTATCATAACTTAAATTTCTTGTACAAATTATGCAAGGGAGTATAACAACGTAAAACAGCCTAAATGAATATCATATCAAAGTAGCCCATCGTGGAGTAAACTATCGTCCAATAATCTGCATTACATGGTCGTAGAACACCTAATCGAAAAAAATCATGTGCCCCACAAAATATTGACAGCCGCGTTCCATTTAACTTAGAAAATACCCTTAGAAAAATTGAGAATTTGATGACATGAAGAATGACGTAACCTTAATTTTTTTAATGAGTTTTATAATACCTGCAGTTTAGAAAATAAACATTTTCTTCGTAGTGAATAATGTTACTGGATCAGATTTACACCATTTGCATGTCTAATAGAAACCTTGGCGACGAAGCTTATAATATCTTTTACTAAAAAATGTGTCGAACATTTGAAAGAAAAATTAAATACACACGCCTCATATTCAAAACCGGTATCCTGATTTCTCTTCGCATCCTTAGTATCGTAAAAAATAGCATAGAAATCACAAACGAAGCGTCAAGCTTCATAAAACCATGAGCTTACAATCCGGAGACCTGAAGTGGTTCTCTCCGATTTTGACCAAACAAATTTTAAACAGTTCGTGCGCAGAAATATCTAAGTGGGCGCATCCTTTTTAATTGTGTTTATTTAGTTTCTCTTTTCCAGAACTTTTAACCAAAATCAGAATTTTTCAAAACGCTGTAGCTTTTCCAATTTGAACCCGATTACAAACACTAAACAACATAAAAAATACTTTACTGGAAACTTTTAAAATTTGACACTTGCTTGCTACTTTGGAAGTTTGAAAAATGCAAAAAATATCAAACTTTTTAACATTACATGTTTTTTAAAGGTAATTTTTCTTATTAAGGTTCTTTAATATCTGAATATCAGTTATTCTTAATATCAGTTTAAAATTGAAAAAGTTATAAAATTTTGAATTATTTTGTTTTTGGTTAAAAATTCTGCTACAAAATCCACTCAAATACAAAAGTGTAGATATTTTAATTTTTGTTCGTTAAGGTACCAGAAGAAGAACTTCCCCTAGAAACGGGTTGCGTTTGTCCCCCCAATTTTGAAGGTTTGTGCAATTTTGAAAACTTTACTCCCGAAGCAAAGTTGGGGTATAACAAGTAAATATTTTTTTAAAGCAACACTAACTTGATCAGGTCAATGTTAGTCTGAAGATTTTAATGCAACCGAGGAAAGATTGAGTTTCGTTCACAAATTAGCCACTCATGAACCGATTATCCTAAAATTATAAAATTGTACATAAATTTTGCCCAGATAAATTACGCAGACATCGGTGGCAATCTTTTGTCGTGGGAATTAGCTTTAATGCCGTTTAGGTTTAATCATTATCAATTATAGGATTAATAATGATTTCTCCAGTTTGAATATTGTCTTTTATTTTTGATCGATAGACTCGATCACCATTCAAAACCCGATTGCCACCGAAGTCTGCGTTATTTATCTAGGCACAATTTAAGTACAATGTCATAATTTTAGGATAATCGGTTCGTGAGTGGTAATTTTTGAACGAAACTGTTGTGCGGTTGCAGTAAAATTTTCAGACTACCATTGACCTGATCAAGTTAGTGTTGCTTCTAAAAAAATATTTAATTATTTAATATTAATTTATTTAACTTTGCTCCTGGAGTAAAATTTTCGAAATTAAACAAACCGTCGAAATCGGGGGGGGGGGGGAAATCCAACCCGTTTCTAGGGGAAGTTTTTCTTCTGTACCAGAAGAAAAACTTAACAATTTAAAATTCGTCCGATTAAAATTGGGGAAAACAACTTGGTGCTTACATACCATAAAAACTCAATTAGTAGCCGGGGGCTACTATTTACAAAATCTGTGTCTGGGACCCGGCTACTATTTGAGCAAGGCTACTATTTTTGCAGGGTCACTATTTATTAAATGACGGAAAGATGTACGGCTACTATTTGCACACAGCTATTGAATTATGTTTCCAGAATCAAGCTCAAATTAAATTTTAATAACAGCACCAATTTCTCTCCTAGAATCGCAGTCTATGACAATTCTGTTGTTTAAACCTGCTCTTAATCAATTTCTTCGATGAGTCGAATCTCGTGTTTACTTCGATTTTTTGTATTTAGTTGCGATTAAATTGAATTATAATTGAATTAATTAAATGACCTGGCTAGGATATGTGTGGTTAAGTTGATGCACGGCTATAATTCGAATAAGGCTACTATTTGGGTAGGGCTACTATTTGGGTAGGGCTACTATTTGAGCAGGGCTACTATTTGGGCAAGGTCACTATTTATAAAATTATGAAAAAAGGCAGGGCTACTATTTGAGCACGGCTACTATTTGAGCAACGGCTACTATTTGAGTTTTTACGGTAAATATGTACATACGTACGTACGTGCTGATGTAACGTGATTTTTTAGTATAGTTTTACGAACGGAACGGTACGAAGTAATAACGAATTCCCTTAGTGTGTAACATTTAACTTCATACATAACTTAATTTTTAATTTTGTAATTTTTTGCAATTTTTTGTAATTTTTCAAGAATTTTTTTTATTTTTCCGGTCTCTGTGGGGGGCTCAAGCCCCCCTAGCCCCCCCCCTTGGCTACGCCGCTGATTCCTTATCAAAGGTCTTCTTCAGTCTACGACGAGCTTAGAATTCATGCACATTTTAATGTTCAGTTGGTAATTAATAAATATGCACATGCTGTAGACCATTACTTCATAATATTGACTTCTATAAATATGGCAAATCTGCATCCTAATTTGTGTCATTCCAAGTTTCACTGTCAAATGTGACCCATCACTGTAAAACTTTGTGTACACATTTGTCATTTCATAATAGAACTAAAGATGCGTCGATTTGCCTTATTTCTTACATTGCTGCTACTCGTATCCCTAAACTTGTCGCATGGGCAACGGAACAACAGTGTCGCTCATGGACGAAACCGAGTTATCGCGACCCAGCTAAATTCCATTTTTCAAAGACCCCCGTCCCCATCGTTCCAAATGCCTACGTTTCCAGGGACGCCAGGGTTTGATCCTGACCGTTCCACAACTACCCGACCCATGGCCGCCCAATGTCCAGCACTACCACCACAGCAAATACCTATGCCTCCACCAGTACAGCAGCCAAATTGCGTATCACGTCGTGAATCCGCATACTACTCCTCAGAAATAGACGCTTTCGTGACATCGATACACAACGAAACGAGGCGATTAGGTGTATCATTTATGGATCCGTTTGCTTCCGAATTACAAACTGAGTTTAGAAACATTCCGTCCAAAATTTCAGAAAAAATATTAAGTAATATATTTAAAATTAAATTTGGAACCATATTTATTATTAATTTTACTAAACCAAATTTGTTTTGGATTCTAAGAACTGACCAAGCATAAGTTTAGCAGTGAGAATTCCGAGTGGTCCTCGAGTGACGAAAGTGAGGAAAATTCGAGAAGTTTTGACAATTACGAAGGTCAATCTCCTCCTCAAAACGAAGAAGACGATAATGAATCATGCAAACTCATCACAATTTCGAACATGCTTCGGACACATCCAGGAATGAATTATAAGTTTTGGCTGAAAGGATTCTACTATATTGTTCTTACGAGACCAGAACTAAGGAACAGTTTGGACTCTGACAAGCTGAATACGTTGAGCGGTTTTTTCATTGCGCCAAGCACGTCGGCTCAGATGCCGCCGCCGGTATGAATTTTGACAAAATGCTAAATTATTGTATAAAATTTTTTAAAGTTTGGAGTGTTTTTAAGTCGAATCACTAATAGGCTAAAAAGTTCCGCATAAAATTAAATATTATTATTTATTTTAGCAAGCATGTCCGGCACCACCTCCACTTCAACCAGGTTTTGAATTTCCAAGCATGACCTGCACCGGTCAGCAAGGTTACACCACGTCGAAGGAGGAAAACAACCTCTGGTATTTTAGAGAAGATCTGGGTCTCAACTTGTACCACGCGGCGTGGCATTTGTTACACCCCTACGCAAAAGAGTGCAGTGGAGGAGGGACGTCATGTCACGCAGATCGGCGTGGTGAATTATTTTATAAATTTCATAGAAACCTTCTGGCCAGGTATAATTTAATTAAGGAGTAATTAAGGATTTTTTGTACAATGGTCTAATTTTTTGCAAGGTATGACACCGAGCGAATGACGCATGGTCTTCCACCTGTTAAGCCACTCCACTTAGGAAACGGTGCAGAAATTAATCCCGGTTACAGCCCAAATTATGAGACCTTTATGGATCGAATGTCCGGATCTGTTCTTCCTGTGAGATACAAAACGTTGAAAATTAGTAAAAATTAACACACTACGTACAACAATTCATTTTGTAACATAAATTTTTAGAATGCACTTTCATCAAGAGAGAAACCCGAATTTTTGCCTTTGCTAAATCAGATAGAAATAGTAGCCAGAACTGTTGAAAGTTATGATAAGGCTCGGACAAGATCCGGCCGAAATTCCGTTGACGAACTGGGAAATCTTATCGAGTCTTCATCGCTAAGCCCGAACCAAGCAAGTTTTGGGCAGATTCACAACCAAGGACACGTAATTCTTGGAGCGATTGGGTTAACGGTATTAAAAATTAAAATTTTTTCTATAATTTCGTATTTAGAAATTCAAGATTAATACATTTTTATTTGATAGACTTCTAGCCTCAGGACAGTCATTGCACATACGGAAACTGCCTTGCGAGACCCAATATTTTACCAGTGGCATCGCTATGTTGATTCCCTATTTCAAAAACATAAAAGCAAACTCGCTCCGTACCAATTGAATGGGGTAAGTTTTCTGAAATTCGTAATAAATCGGATTTGCATGGTTAAATATGCAGATCGATATTGCATATTATTCCTCAGGGGGATTTCCCATTAGCGTGGAATTTAGTAAATGTCGACGCATTATCTGTCAACACCCCAACAACAAGTGGGACCCCTATTCCAGTCAATACCTTAAACACATTTTGGAAGGAGCGGACTTATCATGTAGCTCCCAACAATCCGTACGCACAGTGCAGAAAGCATTTGGACCATGACGATTTCACTTTCAACCTGAAATTGGTGGGTACACATACAATTACTAAAATTGAAAAATTAAAACATTTCCATACTCATAATTAATACCTATAAAATTTCAGACAAATAATTACGCGTCGGGTATGACGAGCACCGTCCGGATATTCATTGCGCCCAGAAATGACCACAACGGAAAAACGTTGTCCCTTGAAAAGCAGCGTGATTTCGTCTTTATTTTAGACATTTTTAACCAATATCGTAAGTCTCAAAATGCTCAAAATGAAATCTTTGAAATATATTACACTTTGAAACTTGACACTTTTTTTGCGTGCATACGTTAGTTCGTCCCGGAGAAAACGTGATAACGCGAAAATCAGCCTGGCTCTCGACCGCAGGCCCTCGATGGGACGACAAAGACTTGTGGCGAAACCGGGGCAGTGATTCCCCATTTTTCTGCGGATGTGGACATCCTCACAATTTGCTTCTGCCGAAAGGAAAAGATTGCCATGGCGGGGAAGAATTTGATTTAATCGTGCTGGTTACGGACAGTGGGAAGTATCCGTTCACCTATAACGAACGGTCTGACGCGCAGTGTATCAATCCTCCCGTAGTTTGTGGGATTGACGGCACGACGGATAAATATCCCGACCTCGTGCTCCCAATGGGGTATCCGTTCGATAGAAAAATTTTGAATGAATATCAAAATCACCATGTGTCTCTTTTAGCGGGAAAAATTGGTAACATGATGGTCACCAAGGTATTGATAAGTAGTGTACAGATTAATCCTAAAAGTGCAAATATTTTAATTAAATAATGCAAATTTTGACTTAAAGATCAAAATTCTCCACCACGACGTTACCGTGCCGGAAGGCAAATCTTGGCGTGATATCCGGCACGAAGATGTCTCGACAAATCCTAAATGCCAGAAACCGGAGCCTATCTCATCTACGGAAACACCGATTACGACGACACCTTCTGGGACAGGTTGCTACATACAATTTGGATAATTGAAATATATTATTAGGCTTTTCTTAAATTTGTTGTTTTATTTAAAAGATTGCTGGTACTCTTATGCTGGAATTCAGTATTGCTATACTATTCCGCCGGGCTATGACTGCGAATATTTTTATGGGCTGAAGTACTGTAAACCATCAACGACCCTGACAACAACGCCAAGGCCACCTCATGGTAAATTTCCTGAATTTTTGGATTGTAAATATTTTTGTAGCATCCTGATTTTTTAAATTTCTAGAATGTTTTATACATCAAAATATGATTCGACATTGTCATCCCCCACCAGATGGGTACACTTGCGTCCAATACGGTACTGAAAAATATTGTCGTCTTATTTCAACCACCAGTTACACAACCACTGCAGCTCCGATAGGTTCGATTAAAATTTTGTTAAAGTGATATTTAAAAAAAAAATTAAGATTACTATTCAATTCGTAGAATGTTTTTATGATCACCAAAATTTTCGACATTGTCACGATCCACCGCCGGATTACTCTTGCAGGAAAAATTATTACGGGGTCAAGTACTGTTATCCGCCGACAACTACGCCGAGACCAACTACCTCAGGTAGGTGTTAACGAAATGAGCAATTTTTTTAGGTTTAATGAATTATGTAAATGACCACTTAAATAATAATAATGACAGGATGCACTTATGATTACTATGGCGGACTGAACTGTGGTACGGGTAGTGGTGGATATAGCTATCCGACCGGAAACGGGTATTCCCAATATTCCCAGTATAACTATGGGACAGGATATGGACAAGGAACAAGAGGTGGTCATGTGCACGGGTACAGGTCAGGGGGGCATAATCATGGATAATCTGAATAGTTAATTAGACAGGAAGAATCACAACTAAATTTTGTTTTTAATTCATTATTAAAATGTCGTTGTCACTCTTTGGTGAATAAATTAAACAAGTATATTTTGTTCCCAATACGTGCCTGTTTTGCATTGACACTAATTTTGGCACATGCCAAGCGTGCATCTCTGAAAAGTGTGGAAGAATCGTTACATATTTTAAATGACATGTTAATATCCCAGCTTACCCCGCCTATCCCACAGGAAACGCCATCTGGTGCCATCTGATTCAGCGTCACATCCCAATTACATACAAGATGTTCATTTGGTGGTTCACATGGAGCACGATACTTGCACCGTACATTTTGACACAGCTCGTCAGGGGTGTGGGTATCCGAAACGTATGCGTCGGGGCGATAAACCCGGCAGAAATCGTCCAAATTTATCAAATCGCCTGGTAAGAGGGGCGACGGTGTGTGCCAGGTTGGAGACTCTTGAGAATAGAGACAGTTGGCAGTTGCAGTTCTTCAGTACAAAATAATTAAAAATAGTCTATTAGATCAAGGATTTTGAAAATTAGATGATTTTAAACTTACCCAAAAAATGTGTTCATATTTGTCCTACTACAAGTCGAAAAGTTGTACCCATTTGGACCAAATCCTCCCGCTGTGCTCATTATGTATCGGTCCGCATTTGGACACGAATCCGTACCTGACGCGGCATCACCGTCATGCGGCGCGCCCAAACTACAAAGCAAATTTTTTATTACTAATGAGACAAATTTCGTAAACACAATAAGGAATTTCGTCTCACTTATGTCCCATTTCATGCGCTAGAACCCCAATCCCGCGAAATGTTGCTCCTTCATCTCGACTTATGGAAGCCCTCACAGTTTCCTGGCATGCTCCACCTAGATAAGCAATTCCCCCAGCGTACCCCATGTTAACACCAGTTAGCAATGCTCCCAAATCGTGAAGAGGGAAGGCACTTCCATTTGTGACTAGAAATCTCGCAAAGTCGGGTAGAATACCGAAGGGGTCGTAATTTCCGTTTAATTTCCGATGGTTTTCGATGAACGGTTGATTTTCAATGTTCTACGAATTTTCGATTGTTTCATTTTAGTGTATAATTATGATTTTCATGAAATTTCTGATTTAGTTACACGTGAATTGCGTTACCTGAATTACTACAATTCCAACGAGCTTAACGGTAACGCTGGGATCCGTGCTAGTTGCATATCGGTTGTTAACGCTTCTCACAGTTATAGCGTAATATTCTATAATCCTGTTAATATCTCCTCCCAAGAGTAAAGTGAGCATATTGTCGACAACGATGAGCAATTCTACGGTAACGACAGCGTCGGTGGATCTATTTACAGCGACGGGGGGATGAGCGAGTCTGATTTCATCAGGAATTTCCACTATTTGAAAGTTTACGGTGGTTATCGTACATATTTATCCGTGCAATTGATACAATTATGTATGATCTAAACACTTACGGTAGTCAGACACCTCCTCGGACAGATTCTCATCTGCTAATTTGTGGATATTTTCATCCTCGTGATAAGAAATCATGCGATTGTTGATATGTCCAAACTGAAAGAAAAATTTACTATCGGTATAACACCCAAGACGCCTGAAGAATACTGTTTTGAAAAAATGCCACACTATTTGCAAAATATTCAAATATGCAATGAAACATACCAATTTCGCCTGCCCGTTTACTTTGGTCAATCTGACAACGGCATTTGAGTCCGGATCAATATGAATTTGGTCGTCAAGTTGAGAAATTATTTCCTTCGATGGTGTTCCATCAAGCAGAATAGTTTCACCTAATTCACTTCGGGTTGACAAAATGACCTTGAAGTTATCATGGAAAATTGGGGTATCTAAATATGCAAGAAATCTTGTAATGGTTAGGATTTGTGTCGATTTACATTATGTAAATTACATATGATGAAACATGTACAAGTAGGATACCCGGTTTTCGAAGGTTTAATTGGATTTCGCCTTCGTTAGATGAAATGACGATGCGTACAAATTCAGATTTTGGGGCGGAATACGCCCCAGTAAGAAACACCATGACGATCAGGGTCCGTAGTAATTCCATCGTTTATTTTAGAGATAATTGTACGATAAACATGGTTATTTGGTCGCAAATTATCCGTTTTTATACGGGATTGAAACCTTTGATTGACATAATCTCTATTTATAACATAATCAATCATTGTAATCTCTTCAAAATAAAGTTCCCATAATTGGATATTTCCTAAAATTTCGTCCAAATTCCCGGACCAAGTATTTACTATACATAGATGCAGGGACGTGAAAATGGAAAATTGATTGGTTTAATGTTCACAGCTATGTTCACAGCTATAACTTGTGTATATGGATTTGTCAATAATAATTGATAAGCCGTAGCACAGCAAGTAATCAACAGATTGTTTGATATGCAACGAATTTCCACAATTGTTGTAAAAGCTGGGAATTCAGTGAGTTTACGTATGTATCCAGGAAATATCCCGGGCTGTGAATTTTAGAAGGATTATGTGAACCAATAATTGTTCAAATATGTCACAATGCCGTAGAATTAAGGGATAATTTGTTTTCAAATCAGCTTCTTATAAACGTCTCTGAAATACATAAATCATCTAGATTACTACTCATATCGAGTTTTTGTCAATACACTAAAATTTATTCTGCAGCTGAACATTTGATAAAGATCGATGTTTGTCTGATGATGAATAACTTCCAATGGAATAAACGCTATACTTTAATTAAATTTAAAAATGGTTCACACGTGTCACATTCCACATACTTAACAACTAAATTAGAACGCGTACAATTTAAGGTATACTTATTTATAATGTAAATATTTTAACAAGTTTCTAATCAGTTTGTCATATAATCAAATTTGTCGATCATCACTTTCACAAATTTAGTTCTTTATATAATATTACATGCCAAGCCATCATTAGCGCAGTTATGAATGTACTTTCGAGGTGGGTCGTATTTAGGATTACCAATAATTACCATTGCCATCAGATTTTCCCATACTCTTTGAGAGGAAGATCGTCCCAAAACTTCCAACTGTTCTCGAACCGTTCATCAGTCACAGTCATTCTTGGATACTCGTCAAGTTGCAAGTATTCCTGACGCTGTCCAGCTTTCAATGGGGTCCATTCAACAGGATTTCTACCCCACAAGTTACTCGGTGCTCTAGTTACAAAATTAAATATGATGTAAGAAAATCCTACAAGATTACAAAACATAAACACAAATGTTAACTTTTACCCATCTCTAGCGAAAGTTGTCCAGAGGGAGACAAAATAACGGGAAAAATAAAATCCGTTGCTATCTTCAGTAATTTTCGGCATGAAAGTGTCCAGTGGTGGTTTGGGGTAAAAGAGGTACTGGAGTTCTTCAGAATGTTCGGGAAATCGTGTAGGGGGATCTTGATAGTATATAGAAAATAAAAATGAGCATTTACTAATAGTACACATACAATTTAGCAGGACGGTCATTAAAGCCTGTCTGCCTTTGAAGGGTAATATCATAGTTAAATTAAACCAGCAAAATGGTTGCTTATATTGGACTCATGCTGCTCGCCAAATTATGACGCTTCCATTTTTCGAATTTACTTGTACATATGTACATATTTAGAAAATTTACAAGATATTAGTCATAGTTAAAGCCCGTTAATTTTTAAGCCAATGCATATGCATTATTGATCCAAGATTAAACGAAATACCTATTCATCTTGAAAGAATATGTGTATACACGTGTAAATGTGCATATACACGTGTAACTATAAATATATGCAAATATGTATCTAAAATAATGTTGCATGCACGGGTCTATGTCAAATATGTTCATAATCTCATGAAAACTTAGGGTAGATTGATGTAAATACACCTCCATGCCTAATTTCAGCCCGTTAAATACGACCGTCACGAAAATCAATTGCGGCTTAATTTTAGTTTGTTTTTTGGATTTCGAAGTCAAATCAGGAAGAAAAAACAACTCCTTATTGTGTCATAACCTATCAAACCAAACTCAATACCTGAAGAACTCAGTTCCAACTTGTCCACATCTGCGACCAGCTCTTTCTTCGTGTAATTGTAGGCATACACGGTGCTATAATTTGCATAGGCTGCAGCATACTTTCGCGTACAGTGAACAATTGATCTTTCCGAGAATAACCGTTCTAAATCGTCAACGTTGTGGGCATCCAGTTGTTCAGAACGATTAAAATAATATTGTTGCAACAATTTTGTAATGAGGGATGGATCCTCGGCCGTTTCATAGTATAGCAATGATGTTGAGAGTCGTAAAGACAAGTTCGAATTGAGGCGCTGAATTCTGGCAGGTGTTAGAAGCACTGAAAAGAAATGCATAAATGATTCACTAACAATGCAAAAATTTTTAATTGAATGCAGATTTCTTTCGAGCCGCTCAGACTTTTTAACCAAAAATTCATTACCGAGATTTATTATTTAGTTTGCCATTTGTGCAGATGGGCAAAATTTGTGATTTTGGAATTTACGAAAATGCTCTGGCTCTGAGAACGAGAGCAGAGAGATAAAAATGACTGATGTTTTTAAATGGTGCAACGTTTTTGTGAGTTTTGCGACTTTTCGCAAGTTTTTTCAGCTCAGATTTCATAGAATTATGCACCAATTTCAAGTCAAACATATATAATTATGTTGCAATAAGTCCAATAAAATCTACACTGGCCATTGTTCACTCGCATTTAACATTGTGCAAGTTTAAATTTATATACAGGCCTAAATTAACGTACAGGCCTCCACCATTCCCTTGGTTTCATGGGATGTCATTCCAATTATGACTGGAATTTTGATGAAGTGTCCACTTTGTAAAATACTCCAAGGATCTTTTGTGATAAAAGTGAGTCCATCATTTGGACGATACGTCTCTAACGTTGGGCCCATATGGATTACGGTGTCAGGATTGAATCCCTATTTACAACAAGCGTATGGGAAATGGACCAAGGGCTGACGTAATTACTTTAAAGTAAATTTTATCTCACAAATGGGCCAACAAAGTCGGTCGATTTTTCCAGTTTCTCTACATCTACGAGTTGCAAACATGCGACTAAATCCTCGTTAGTGCTTTTTGGGCACTGAAGTCTTTGACCCAGCCTTTTAGCGTATTTGATTCCTGTCCCGGCCCGAAAGACGTATGGACATGTTGCCGTCCCGCTTTGAATGATGGCACGATGGAACAACCCTAAAAACCGAGAATTCGGATGGTTAATAAATATTCATGATAAGTTTGTACTTGATAAAATTAATTTTATACCTCTCGCATTTTGGGACAACATCAACAACGATACGGCCACACCTCCAGAACTTTCTCCAAATATGGTGACCCTGATTAGATATGTACTTTCAAAGTAAATAACTGATATGTTTGTTTGGATTATATGCCTAACATTATTAAATGCTGCAACAATTTTCTTTGGCGAAATATGTGTCATTTAATGACAATTTTTGATAACGCTTGGATGTAAGTAATCGGCGTCAGGCATAAAATCTTGGTCAGGCATGCTGAGCCCGACACAGCGCTCTTAGTACGTTCCCCAACTCCCGCGACCACTGATCGAGCTACCATGCGGTTCAATAATTGTACAGAAAGGTCTTAAAACTATCGACTACGATTGGACATACCTATTTTTATCACCAGAGAAAACGTAAATATTTTGTTTCACCCATTTCAACGCAAGAATCATGTCTTTCAAGCCTTGATTGCCACGAGCAGATTTGACACGTTCAAAAATCCTATACAAATTATAAAGTTTAAATATTAGCAATTAATTACTATACATTCGTACTTTAGACGCGAAATACTGATATGCGTATCTTCACAAATATGCCAATTTTAACTTAAGGAGTTTTACCTAACGCCCCCAATCGATAATTTACGGTGACGAGGACAACGCTCTGGTCCATGAAATATTTTGCCCCGTACGAACCTCCAGTCCCGTCCACGAAGCCACCCCCGTGAAACCAAACCATGACGGGAAGAAAGATATTTGTTTCATTGTAGTCAGCGAGCCTAGAAAATGATTAAACAAATAAATATTTACGTAATTATTAAATATACTAATTCTAATTAAGTAAGTCATAAAGTTCAATATTTACATGAATTGAAGACACATCCAGTGTTAAGCAATCCTCTACTCCGTAAAATTGTCGATTGCTTAAAGCATATCGGGCACAGCCGGGTCCCGAATTTGTCGCAAACCTTGTTCCGTTCCAAGATTTGGCAGGCACTGAAATCTAAAAGTTTCCGTATTTTATGCATGCCGAAATATTTGTATATAAATCGCATGAAAATAATTTAGAATTTAGAGTCAATACATACATCGAATCTTTTTTCCACGTGGCCGTACGGAATGCCAAGGAATTGTTTAAATTTTCTGTTTTCTCTGGTAAACTCGAACGTGCCAACCAGTTTTCCAGAACTTATTTCCACACGTGGAGAGTCTGTTAGCACTTCGTCACAGATGGTAAAGTTAGACAATGAAGGAATAAGTATGAAAAATAAGACGCAAATTTGACGAGAATTAATCATTGTGTAGTATTTCGGGATATATCTTGTGTGCATCTTTGGTTGGTGACAGTTTGACTGAAAGTGAAAGAACAAAGAATGCCGATTATAGTGTCATTCGTCAGTTTTATTGTCTCGGTAATAATATGCAATCTAGTGCTTAGAAGGTGGTTTGATTAAGATGAGTCGTAGGCATAGATACATTTATATATAGACACATTACTACATATAAAGGGTGTTAATAAAGTCCGATCCCATTTTTCCTATAAAAAAGTGAAGGCTAGTATAAAAAAAACTACCCGTGATACTTACAAAAAATGTTCGACATATTTACCTTAGTATTTGGTCTTGTTACCATTTACTTTAACCATGCCCTCAACTCTTTGTTTAAGGCTCTGTGCTAATTTTTCCAATGTGTCTGTGGGAATCGAATTCCATACATCTTGAACTTTTTTTACTAGCTCTTCCCTCGTCCGGGGTTGTGGTTCTTTGTATACATTTTCCTTAAGTATGGACTACAGGTTCTCCAGGGGATTCAAATCTGGGCTGTTTCCGGGCCACACCCCCTTGCTCCAGACCGTTGAAACTTGCGTCTTGATGAGACTCAAACTCGCTTTTGCTGTATGGGCTGTAGCACCATCCTGCATGAAAACTATTTTTCTTTCATTCGGAAATATTTCCTTGTTCCCCATGCTATCGAAATAGATAGGTAATATTTTTTCCATATAATACTTTGCATTGACTGTTTGGCCTTTTGGTATGATATGTAGAGGAGTCACGCCACGTGCACAAAATCCACCCGCTACCATAACTTTAAGCCCGAATTTTGGGACTGCTCTTGATGGTACATCCGATTTGTTTTCTGTCCTGTAACGAACATTTTGTTGGTTCAATTTTGGATATAGCTCAATAATAGATTCGTCAGTCCAAAGGATGTGACTGCGCAATTCTTCACCAAGTCTTTTTTCACTCAAATGGCCACTTTTCTGAAGGAGTTCTCCAAATTTCAGACGGTCATCGATATTTTTTTGTGACATGAGAGGTTTTTTGGTTAGTTTGTAAGCTGTGTGACCCCACCTCGTAGATTTCACAAATTTTTGCACGGTCACATAGTTAATTTGCTTCTTCTTCTCTTTATAGCGTTTTGAGTCATTTAACTCCCTTGCACAATTACGTAATGAACTACCGGTTTTCTTGTAAAGTCTGTTTTTAATCATTCTCTTTGTGGTAGGTGACACCTTTCTGGGTCGCCCGGGTCGCTTTTTGTCGTGGACAAAATTTTTGTTCTTCCATTTACAAACAGTTCTGCGGCTGCAGCCCAATTTTTGCACAATTTCTGCAGGTTTAAACCCCTGCTGATGCAATGTTTGTATCTTAACTCTAAGATGCTCATGACTTACACGTTTAGTTGTTCCTCCCATGGTAAAAATTTGAAATAAATAACTTCACTGGTTCAAAAGTTCCAGCTGAATTTGTAACAACCGCGCTCCAAAAAATTCATGGGATCGGACTTTATTAACACCCTTTACATGTACATATGTATTTGTACATATATAGTGATCTGTGTACATGGATATGTGTGTGCATATTTCTGTGTATGCAGATATGTTGTAATTGATTGTAGGGTAAATACAGTATGCAGGGTATGCAGATAGTCAAAATAATAGAACTACTGAATAAAGTACTTCTTTAATTCTAATTTTCCCTAAAATCGTATACATTTGGCTATCTGTCGTTTTACGACATTCCGGTTAATCAATTAATGAAGTGTTAGTCCAATATGCACTTTCATGGACAAAAAATACTATTCACGTAAATAAAACGTATTATGTATATGTGCCAAACCCACAAATACTTAAAACACTCTGGTGAACTTGACTTTTGTATGACATGTCTAGATCTTATAAGTGTCATCTGAAGCAGAATTATATAAGTACATAAATATGCACATGTTATGGACACATGCTTTAGCATGCGTATGAATCGTGAATTCAGTAAATTCGAAATATTGCCATGTGAACTTAAGTAAAAGTCATTCAAGTTTAACCTAACCTTCTAATCCCCTTGATTTTGGTGGGTGTAATGAACTAATTTGCATACACAATTCAACCCCCAATGCATTGAATTGTCTCACAATATATTCCCAAGTATGTAAGTCGCCTTACCTCACCAGCGAGGAATAAGTTTTAATTATTTACATATGCGATATGGCGAATTAAAATATTAAACCTGTAAATATTCCTTCGCTTCTTCACGTCATATTAATAAAATCACTGTGTGAAAATGCTTAAAAAAGCGAATATTTATAAATTTAGCGTCCAAGTCCAACTTATCACCTCATTATTCATTGCCCTCCCGTTGAGATGAGGGGTAGCTTGAGGGTGAATAAACATGGTTTATTTTTTCATCTCATTGCACCTGACGGATTACGATTTCTTTTGTAAAGAAAGAATTGAATGAACGAATTGGTAGTAGTAACCATATCAACTAATTATGTACGTGTAGATATGTATGTAGATGCGGTGCCCGGCTGTGAAATTTCAAAGGTGGTGGAATGTATAGAAATAAATGGGATACAATTAAGGGTTTTTTATCTAATCTCTCCAACGCACAGGCATTTCATCCTGTCGGTGCTGGTAAGTAATGGGACAGGCAATTGTTGCCATTGCATTGCGTCTTCGGGTAGTTTGGCACATTTCTTTTGGCACAATGTGCACCGTTTGTTATTCCATAACGGTCAGCTAATGATTCTGCACAATGAGATGAAGTCATTTTGAAGAGGAAGGATTTCAAACTTTTTGAGTATATAGTTTACGATTCCTCTTGTGCTGTAAGTTAGTAAATTAGTGGAGGTGTGAGGCTAAACTTGGTGCTCGATTTTAGACTTTAATTAAGAAACGAAATAATATCTAGATATTCAAAATACGGTTTATGGAGCTGCTAAAAATATGCTTTTATTGGGTTAATTTCTAGTTCTGATTGTACAAAGCTTTTCAAGTTTATGTAGTTTACACTGAAATTTTTGTGCATTATAGTAACAATTTAATTAAACATGTGCATTGCAAAAATGCGAATTTCATGCGAATTAAAGAACTGCACATAATTTATTCGCATAAGTTCGTTATATATTTTTTTCGCCACAGGAATGTACAAATCTGCTTGCAATTTAATCCAACAATGTTCAAAACTACCTTAATTGTCATTACATTGCAATTTTTTGGTAAATACAAAGTAAGGAAGCTAATAAATTAATCTTATAGATCTGATCGAAAATTGATTGAAATTCATTTACATATTTTCAGGTAAACTGCCAGACCTTCATTCGAGACTGTAACGACCCTCTGATCCAGCAACACAGTAACAATGCTCAATTTGAACTCCATTCATTTTGTTACCACTCGTGCGGTTATGACCTCATGGTCGTGCCCCAACCTGACCAAGGCGTCTGCACAGCGGCTGGTCTTTGTCAGTGCAATTATCCGTGCGGTTCTGCGGTGAGATTAAAGTTTTAAAATATCATAAAAAACACTGATACAATTCCGAGGAATTTTTTAACCCAGTAAATTCTGCAAGCTGCGTAAACTTATAAACTTTACATAGAGGCAATTCACGCAGGTCCTGGTAGCATTGTGAAATCTATAAATTCTGTAAACCCTCAAACCTTTTAAATATTTCTAAGGAAAATTAGCTTACAAACTTTTATAAACTTACTCATAGTCAGATCAATGACGTTTCTTTATTTTGTAAAAATTTTTAAAATTATTTTACAAAACTTCCGGATTTTACAAGTTGCAAATGGCTGCGTGAATTGCCTCATAGATTTGAAATGAAACTGAGATTACAAATCTGCTATAAATTTACATAGATCAATTCAGGGACGTTTAATAGCTCAAAAATGTTTACTTATAAAAATTACACAGTTTACTACATTTAAAACATCTCATTGAATCGCCTCATTTCCAGATACGCGACTAATTTCACTAAGCTATTCATTATTTAAACAGCCACCCACCAATATTTTTGGTGATCAATGTCCTCCCCACGTCGTCGACCCTGCTGACCCGAACCCGAACGCGTTACCTGATTGCATAGCAGATTGTGGTCGCTTGTGTACCGGAGGAACTGGCAGAATTTGCGGAGAGGTGTACATGGCTCCAATTCCAGGCACGACAGATGGGTTCGCAAAAATTTGCACGTGTTACTGTCCTCCTCAACCGTGTGTGACAAGAGGGGTTGCCTTGGTACCGGTCGTACTTCCAAACAAGAAAGCCGTTCTAACCAAGAAAATTCTAAAGTTGACAAAGTTGGGCATTCTTTTGGCCAAGTTTTGTGCCATGTATTGGTTAAAGATTCTGCTGTGCTGTCTATATTTCTGTTTGACTCATTCTTGTCCTTCACCGTGGAAGGTGATGGACGGTGGGTGGGGGTGGGGGTATCAATGAGTACAAAATAAATGTAAGAATTTGGCTGAAGTTAAAATATTGTGTACTTTTACACACATACAAACGTACAAAATTTGTGCCTTTTAAGCAATTAATAAAAATTGCGATGACTTGGAATAATTCATGATTATTATTTGACTAATGGAGTGGTGACGACTTTGCATTATTATGAAATAATTTTACTTTGACAGATGACCGTACTATTACGTAGCTAATAATTGTAAGGGAAACTATAGAATTCTCATAACGATAGTGAGATGCTGTAAATATTTGTATTAGTATTTCATGTTTAGTTTTATAAAATCATGCAAAATTGTGAGTATTAGTACTTATTAGTAAAGCGGTTTCGTCTATCTAATAATTTACCATGACTTATGGCGCTCAATAATTGTGCAAAGAATAAATTTCGACCAACTATTTAAAACAATTAAATTAAATTATCTATTTACAAACTCAACTTTATTGTAAAAAACATTCTTCCCAACAACCATATAAATATAAATATACACAAATAAATAATATAAATATCAAAATATATTTTCCAGCTTCAAAATAAAGCGAAATAAATATGTACAACCGACTCAATCAATCAATTACTACTTGGGGGCAGGGGTTTCTGCAACCATTTTAAGGATTTCGTCGGTGTCAATGCCTAAAAAGTAGGTATCCAGCTCGCAAAGTACTTCGTCAATGAGACCAGGATCCAGCAAATCTAAATTGATCCCGGAGTTTTGTTGAGCCTCGTTGGCGTCATTTCGGAATGGTGCTAAAAACTCGTAGACGGCCTCGTCTTCAATGTTGGATATTCCAAAGCCGGGCGTATCATCACTTGCACGCTCTGGGACTGGTTCCTCTTGATCACCATTTTCGGAAACTGGTGGCGTATCGTCACTTGCAAGTTTTGAGGGTGGCTCCTTTTGATCACTATTTTCGGAAACGGGCGAGTTCTTTTTGGGAGTTTCCAGTATTTCCAGCTGTGGAGATGATGACGAACGAGTCTCGATGTCAACATCGCTGTCTTCTTCGCTATGTGATTCTGTTGACGGGGTTCTGTCGTTGTCATCTTGATCACCGGAGGATGAAGATGATGGCGAAGATGACGCTGACGATGGCGAATCAACTCCTTCTTCGTCTCCATATTGAGCATTCTAGAAAATCGAAATAAATAAATTAGCGTACATACAATGCAAATACGTAAATGTTCCTTCAAATGCATGGAAATTTGCATTCGTAACATATTTTTAATGCTTCTGGCAAACTAAGTTTTTTGCGGACGTTGTTAACGACGCGAACTTGTCATGAATCCCCAAATTTTTCTTGTCCAAGATAATTAATTTAGCCTTATGCTTCGAAACTCTTACCGCAAAGGTATCATAGAATTGTTGAAACCAAGACTTCACATTTTCCAGCCGAACGACTCCTGGCTCGTCGAGATGCTTGACTAACGACATGAACCACTGTTTCGATCCAAATGCTCCGAACTTTTTGGGATTAAATTTTGCAATGTCGATGAACAGGAAGGTCTTGCCTCGTCGTTTGGTTGTGAAGATGCGAGGCTTTATCTGCTCTCCTCCCGCGGTACTAAAAATCAATTGGCGTAATTTTAAATAAAATAAAAAAATTTTGTAAATAAATTATTTCTCTGGGGAATTATTTACGTACCTGTTTTTAGTACATGCAGTTTCTTTCTCGATTCCACCACTCTGAGACATTCGTGTTGCCATTATCGTGACACGACGTACTTTACTTTCAGAACGGAATAAAATTCAATGTACAAATTAAAATGGTGAGATGGACGAGTGTTTACGAGACGTCTGGTCTGGTCCTTAGCAAAAAGATGAGTGTTGAGACTTGGATTAGTTTTTGTTCTTTGAGTCTGAGCAAGAAGACGCTGTAAACAACTCGGGTTTGAGGGACGCCGTTCAAGATAAGGCCAACAACACGGCTGGAAGCCCTTTTCCTGCCCATAAAGCTGTGCAAGCTTGCTGATATTGGCAAAAGGAAATATGTACAGATTTCCATGCATATGTACATGTGTACAAATAGAAAATTCACTATATTAGTGATACAGTTGTAGGCAGGTGTTTGATAAATATATTTTACTCTAGATTTATAATAAATACATACATATGTAGACATATTTTAATTTTTAAATAAATATTTCTATAGTATTTTTGGACGCCTTGTATGTACATGTTATGCACGTCTTGGATGAATGCAATTTACATATTTATCTAGTACCTATGTATGTATGTTCCAATACACAGATGAACTTTTTGGACCCATTAGGACTTATTTCAACAATTTTAGTTCTATTGAGACAATGAAATTGGATACAACTCTTACACTGACAAAATTTCAAAGCTAAAATTATTAAATATCTCCTAATCTCAGGAATAAATCAACTAATTGTAAATGCACCATCTCATGATACATGTGACCTTTACATATATTAGACATACATTTCGCGATGTTATCGAATATGTCCATTTCTATTCAAGACTCATATTTTTTCAATTTGTTGCCGTGTTTGGTGCTGCAACAAATTGTATCATAATCAACGCTAGCGTAAGGCAGATGGTGACAGCCTGCAATAAAAAAAGAGACGCTTACTGTTGATGTATCTAATTTTTTCATACCATAGAGTTAAATAATATAAATAATATAGGTTCATACGTAGGTACTTGTGTACATAGTTTAACTTTTATTGTAACATACCGAGCCTAGAAATGAATACGTAATTGTAAAAAATTTGCCACCTCTAAGGCCCTCATCCCCATCAAAGTTGTTCATGGTAATGTCGATAAGCTGGAGTTCCGATATGTTGATCTCCTTCCAATCGTCGAATATTGAGTTTTCATTAGATTTTAACAGGTGAGATATTTTGACCCGTTTTATTAATGCAACCACCTAAGAATAATTAATTAACTATTAATCTGTTCCATAATTATGAAATATTAATATTAGTCTTACTCGATAATTTGCCTCCGCCGCAAATAAGAAGGGTATCACGTAAGCGATACTTTTAGAAATCAGTAACGTGCTCTCAAACCACGAGATTTTCTGAATTCTTCCCGATTCGTATGCAACTTGTCCAAGGAGATCAATAAATAATAGGAGAATTATATTCGACCCCATCTCGTTGACAGTTTTGATGGCTTCTTTCATTTGAAGTATTGCTCTCACTTTTTCCTAACAAGGAAATAAATATATATGTATATAAATACTGGTCTTTAAAAGGAAAATTGTACTTGTGCCTCAATGTCATGGTAATTTCAAGAACTGACAATGGAAGTCTCCCAGCGTATTATCTCAAATTTTTACTGAACTAGAGTCAATTGAATTAATACGAAATTTTCAAACGGCATTATCTGCCAATGCGCAGATTTGGCAGAGATATTTGCATCCGAAGAATAGAAAATCCCCCTAAAATTAATAAATTTGAATCTTTCCATATTTACTCAGTATTTTCTCCTCGTCAGATGCAAATATCTCTGCAAGCTGGCATTTGTAGATCGAGTCTTTAGCAAATTTCATATTGATCAAATTTATGATAGATTGACACTAATTTGATTAAAATCGCTGCGTACGCTGAGAGACCTCAATTATGAGTTTAGAAAATGTGAATTATACTTATATTCCTAAAATAGACTTTTATTGCTAAAAATTTGACACCTTAGTATTCGTCAGCGAAGCAACCCTTTCACCCGTCAATGACACAATCTCCCAGATCGCAAAAGTAGCAACAATTATAATTCCGTGCGTAGTTTCCATAAGAGCCACGCCATGATAGAGTGAAATAGTGTAGGAACAATATATCATTTTCTCTCCGATGTTACTACCAGCAAATGTTAGGTTTTGTGGATGCGTATAAAATACAGCGTCCAAAGAGGTTAGAAGCATCTCATCAGCAAACGTTTTAATAGTGTAAATCTCACCCGTGACGTCAGAAAAGATCCATCGAAGACCGAACAGTAGAACAACAATTAATCCGCATTTACCACAAAATACGTTCATTTTGGTGTACGGTGCCCTTTGCATATTGAAATTGAAAGAAAGCTCCATCACAGATTTAATTTGGTCTGAACGCAACCAGACTAATCTGTATTGAAGGATGATGAACATTATTACGTAAACAAAACTTAGCGATTCGTAAACCTGACCAGGGTTTTTGGTCAAATCGTTGAAACGAAAAAGGTACAAGAGGTACAAAATGTACGCCAATATGCCTGACGTGTGCAAAATGGCAGATATCACCTGCGAAAAATACGTATAAATTTAAAGGCAAACAAATTATGTAATTAAAATTTGATTTGAAGTGTCGATATATGCATTACCTTGTGAATCAAGAAGGACCTAAAAGTATAATTTGATGGGTTCTGATCTTCTTTAGTTGTTCTGGTCGATTCATCTTTTACTGTTTGAATATAAATTGGGGACATAAAAAAGAAAAAGTAAACGTTAAAGTGGAATGCCAAAAATGTAGGAAATATGCAACTGGGTGTGTGTGCATTTCCATCTTTTATACAAGTTTTAAATCTCGAATTGTCGTTTCTTCGGTAGAATACAGTCGGGCAGTTGGCAGTTCCGATTTTGGGAATCATTGGAATTATCAAGCTGGAATTATTTGGTTGATACTTTACCAATACTGAGCATATAGCAAACTATGAATATTTGTTCAATTTAGAATACTAAACTTGTATTTCTATTTTTGACAAAATTGCGTGACTTCTACACAGGAGCTTCTCGAATATTCGAAATCGACCCCTTATTAATGAATATCTAATTCAGTGAAACCTTCACTGACAGTGGCTGGTAGTAGGTAATGTTCATATTACTTAAATTATTATATCACATCGTAAATATGTAATATTTCTATTTTCTTATTTTTATTTGTTTGCGAATAGAGAATCTCATACATATATGTATGCATACACATGTATACATAAATGTACGTAAATATGAACTCATGTGTGTACTCGTATAGTGTGCTAGGAATAGCGACATATTGCACAATTACCAAAGTACACCTAAGGAAAGACATACATGTATATTTAAATACATAAATAAATATGCGTACATTGCCAAATTAGTTTTTGCAAGAAAATAGAAATATAGAGTACTGTAGACTAAATACTGAAATGCATACAAATTTTGTAACTATGTATTAGGATACTTGTATATATATCCATGTTCTCAAGCATAAAGTTTCGCCAATTTCTATGAGTTCGGTTATCTCCAAAAAATATCACAAGGCGAAAAATTATTGTGAAGTTAGATATTTTGAAAAAAAGAACATGATATGAAAAAAATCCCTAAGTCTAGTTGTTCAAATGCATGGAGAACATTTTCACTAGGAACAAGGTTATCCATAGTTTACCATATTTAAAAATAAGCTTCATTATTAAGTAGCGTCAGTTACTTCTTGTGATCGTTTTGTCCGTCCGTCTGTAAGCAGGATATCTCCAGAACGAGTTGTTAGGTATATGTATGCCTACGTAGATATGTATATGTAATTAGTTATGAATCTGTACATCACTCCAGCTTTAACTCTCTACTAATAAATACTCTCTTCTGTCTCCTCTCACTGTGTACCACTTATTTATGTATAATCATATATACATAACATTGGTGGACCGTCGAGTACTTTCTTTCGCTCCTCCCACTCACAATGGATTTTAAAATTTTCAAAATTCTTCGCAAGACATATCACCTACCAAATTTGCTACGACTGCGACGACTAAGCAGCTTGACCACCGCCCCTTAGAGCTTGTCATTTTGCTTCCGATAGGGAAACTTCCCAAATCTCTCTTCTCAAAACCTTGCGTAAACTGTGTGATTTTCCTGTGAAACTTTTTTTGTGAATTTTCGTCATCTGGTCTGTAAATTGGATTATCCTCCCGGATGCTATCAGGTCTGTAAATTGGTTCTAAACCACCCTGAAAATATTCCCCCATTCTTAAAATTTCCAAATCTCCAGTCCAAAATTTACATTTCATAATTCGAGCAAATATGCTAAATTCAAAATTCCGTTATTTGTTTTAAACACGTCAAAAAAATATATGCAAAATTGTCCTTAAAAATTGTAAAAAAATCGTAAAAGAAATGTAAAAAATTCCTTTTAATTTCTGAAAAATTTTCATCAAAATTCGTTCAAAATTTGCAAAACTTCTGCAAAATATATGCAAAAAACTCATTTTTATTCATTTCGTCTGGAAAATTGTCCCAATTCTTTATCAAATTTTGCTGCAAAAATGTAATCTGATTCACCTTGTCTCAAAATTCTGCTGAACTTTTATGCTCGATCTGCGTTGTCACCACTTTCCCAGGCTGAGAATGAAATATAACGCCTTGAGATTAATGTTTGTAATGAGCAACGTCTACATATTATTTGCGTGTTCAAGTATGGAAATCCACATTGTACATAGTTCCCCTTTTTTAACTAGTCACGGTTATGGGTCACCCACACAAAACCCTGCGTCTTCGAGTTGTCCGGTTATGGGTCACCCCCACAAAACCCTCACAAGTCCGCGTATTCCTCCGATGTCCCGATGGACCACATACCAAGACCACAACAATTTATTTCTCTTTGTTCATCGTTTTGTCCTAATCTGCAAGTTTTATATGAGTCAGCCACCACCACGCCTGAGACGATACAATTCTACCACCGATTGCGAGCCATACCATCTTCTCAAGTTCCAGCCCTGCATAACTACTACGTCATTCGATATGTGTATATTTATTAAATTGTTCAGTGTTATTCATGCAAAATCTTTGTTCATGTTTGTTTTCCGGAGTCATTTCATTTTTCATTTTTCCATGAATTTTTCATATGTAAACCATCAAAATTTCTAATTCAAATTGTGACTACTGAAATTGTTAGTTTGCAAACCTACACACTCTTTCCGACTATTTTTCAGGAGAAAAAATTTTTTCGTGAGAGGGTAGTGTTAGGTATATGTATGCCTACGTAGATATGTATATGTAATTAGTTATGAATCTGTACATCACTCCATCTTTAACTCTCCACTAATAAATACTCTCCTCTGTCTCTTCTCACTGTGTACCACTTATTTATGTATAATCATATATACATAACAGAGTCAACATAATCAAACCCCGTTTTCGCCATTGTGCTTCTAATTTTTAGTTGTCGGTCGAGTTCTAAAATGGGGTCAATCGGACGACACCCCGCAGCGCGAGGGGGTGTGTCCAAAATTCAACAAAGCTGACCACTTTATATTATTTGTATTATAGGTATAATTTATAAATTTGAGGATTTTGTCCGATGGTGATTTTGTTCACTGGTGAGTATTTCCATTGGAGATTCTTTCCGGGAGATATTTTCCGAGGTGATTTTTTCCGGTTACGCTAAAATACGTATACTTACTGGTTTCTTGAATCAAACATGTCTGTTCAAAAAATTCAGCTTTTTTAAATCATCTTAATCTAGATAAACGAGATCTTTATGAAAAGTAGAGAAGTTTTAATGTACGTATATATATATATAATTTTATTATGTACCGGGTGCAGATACAAACACATATGTACGAGTCGTATAAAAATAATACGACTTGCAAAAAATTCTGGTGCAAATTAAAATTGAGTCTTGTAATATATAAGTAAATTTTATCCTGGAACTGTAAATTGTTAATTGATTTATTTTAGTGAAATTGTATTGTATACTAGCACAGGTCTCTCTAATACAGATTTTCCAATTATGTGCATATGTGTTACAAATTAGAATCCCAATATCAGAATCCCACATCTCTGCGTATTTATACAAAATTCTGTATCCGATAATAAGATGTGAACTTCATCCCCCAATGAGCCAACTTGGGTTGAATTTATCAGCTAAAATAATTCATCATTAGTGAAAGTTTCATTTTTGAAACTAATTTTAAATGGATACTTACCCCAGGATGGTGGCCTAACCGTTGAAAATCCTGGGATTGGTCTCATAGTTGTCGTTGTAGTGGTTGGCTTAGTGGTTGGTTCAGGTTCCGGCTCGGGTTCAGGTTCAGGTTCGGGATTTGGTTCCGGTTCCGGTTCCGGCTCGGGCTCGGGATTTGGTTCCGGTTCGGGTTCCGGATCTGCACATTTTGCCACACCTATGACAACAAATAGAGCAAAAATCCCGACAACAAGCTTTAAACAGCACTTCATTCTGAAATTTTATGGTTACAATTTGGAAAACTAGAAAAGATCTTGTGTATAAGGGTGGATAGATAACAATCTCTTTATATATGGCTCCGCTCCGAGGTCAAATTTGTGCCCGTGACTGTGAATTTCGGTTGTCCTTGACGTCAATTTGAACAGCTTTACGAGCTATTCATAGTGTGTATGATCTTATGTGGTTTTGTATTAACCGTAAATTTCAGAATAGGATTTTTTGTTTAATCTACTTTTCTCTCATTGAATTTCCAATGAATCCCTGCCAGTATGAAGCGCACCTTCTGCAAATAGTTAATATTCGGGTCAATCTGCATTCATTTTGCGTTAACGGTTTACTGAGAACGCTTGAATGCCAGTAAATTATGAACATACGTCGGATATGAATGAAAAATGATTTCTTCCATTTATTAACCTACAGTCGCCAAACTTTCTGAGAATGTTTATGGCCACCAGTAGGTCACGTAGGTCAAAGCATATTTTCTCATATTGGTCATATTTTCGGGTTTTGGGACATATTCATTTTCCCGATCATATTTCGGGGGTTTTTCGTTCATTTTATCATTTTTGGCCAAATTCTTAGATTTGGCAACCAAATCGACAGAAAATGCAAAAAATTCAGTTTTCTCACAATGATTCACTGTGAGAAACTTTCAGAAATTTACGTTCACTTTCGCCTCCGGTGATTTAATTCATTGGGAATGCATTAAATCACCCCAGAACTTGTTTATTTGATAAAAAATCAGCATTACAAGAAAATATATCAAAAAATTAAGCCAAAAATTTAAAAAAAATAAAGTCATTTTTATGGTCATATTTTGGGGATTTTTACGATCATTTTTCATTCATATTTTGAGGTTTTATCATTCATTCATATCCGACGTCTGATTATGAACACTTGACTCGTGTACATATGTATGTATTTATGTATGTCTGGAACGATTCAGACTAACAATAAAATGTTGGCAAAGCGTGTCCCTAAACAAACATGTGAGACTAAAAATTAGAAACTGTTCTACATATGCTTATCTAACAATTACACCTTTTACTTAGGCTTCGAACGGTAGTACATGGATATGCAGATGTCTGTATGCCTATGCACATACATACATACATACCTACATCACAACCTGCAAGCATACTTATTGTCATACTATGTTTGTGCATACATATATACTAGATACACTAGCATGCAGAAAACTTTCTTCGAATATTCTGAAATATCCATAACTTGGTAATTAAACTAAAATCTTTCCTAATACACACTTAATATTAATCGTAAATCTATTTATTTGGAGATATTTCTTGTCTATAAGGGTATTCACGAGTTTGCATCATTCACATCGTTAACAAAAAATAAAGTTGACAAGTTCGCAAAAAATTGGCTTGACAATTTATTTACGAACTTGTCCATCTCCAAGGCTAGTATTTAGTGTCCAAATTATTTTCAAATGATGCGAACTCGCAATAAATCCCTCAAGATTGACCTTTAATAATTTTGTTTCATTCACAATGAGCCACGCATGTATTTGTTTACTTTACGTTTCGAATTAATTAAATACCTATGAAACTTGTCATCAACTATCTGTGTAAATAAATATGTTGGCATACATTAATTAAGATCTTAAGCGTTATAATTTGGCCAACGGAACTTATCACAGATATCTGATTTACAGATATCTGATCAACGATAATACTTACATAAAGCTTAAAGGTTGAGAATGTCATAAATTATAGTTGGTCGAACAAAGATATTATCATGAGCACGTGTACATCCGCAACAGCTTATATCTACGTATATTATACAACACCTATGTAATTTATGTATGCAAATACTTGTATACAATAGCCAGAACACAGCTATATACAAACCCATTGATTTCAACTTCCATAGGTTCCTACTTCTACAATTTGTTAAATATTAATATCTGGATCGACTAAATCTTTTACATCAAATTGCATGGATACATACATACGTTTTTTCAATAAAATAATCCCCTCGAGTTTTCAATTCATACTCCTCCCCGATTTAATCAAAGTAAGTGACATTGTCTGATTTATGCAGAACGTTTCCACAACGAGTGGTGTCCCACGGTCGATAAAATTCGATCCAAATTTGACCCTGAGAATGGCACAAGCTCTTAGTTGTCTTTTTGCAATAGATCGTCCCTGTCCGAACAGTGCCATCGATTTCCTCCCCAAGTTTCGCATGATTTTCAGTGACGAATTGTGAACTTGCGATGCCAAAGTGAAGACGACCAAATTGCATATGATGGCATCCATTCCCATAATGACTATTATTACAAGTCCAGACTTTGAGAGTTCTTCATGGAGATTTATGCATGCGTAAAGTGACATGATTTGCAGCCCGATCGTTCCCAGAATTACGGATGGGACGACTCGAATTCGGAGGAAGGTGTTGAATATAGTCTCCAGTATTTGGACGGATCGGTAGATATGGATGCACTTATCTTTCTCAACGGTATTTGTAATTGCGGCAATTTGTCTACAACCAAACAGTTTATATTTGAAAAATATTTTACAGAAAATGAAATATGGTAGTTATGCTTGTACCTGTCCAATATCTTGAAGTATCCCAAAATGCAGACAATTCCGACGAAGAGGACGTAAAATATCCACATGCTCGCAGAATACATGATATGCCAGCCCATCCAAGTTTCGAAGAGATGAACTCCAACCCTGGTGACAGATCCTATTGCTTTACAATTTGATGACATGGACAGAATGAAGGGTGGCGTGCAGGGAAGATATGTCAACAGGAGAAATTGCAAGACAGGAATTAACGGAATTGTGGTCACTTCACAAAGTCGGATCAATAGCTTGATTCCTTTCACTCCGAGGGAAAGTGGTGGTGAGGCGAATTCTAAAAAATGGATGCATTATAGTCAAAATCACGGTAAAATTCTTAGAATAAAATAGGGAATTATTTCCGAGAAATCATTATCTCAGAAAAATTAGAGACAAGAATTCCGGTTTTAAAGGCCGTGAAAACGGGGAAACCCGAAATTTACATATTTACTTTAACTAAAATTATACATACATACCCAAAAAGACAGAACTTAAAAACGTCATATACTGATAACTATCTGTATTTAGAGTAATAATATTAGAAAAAATGTGCAATAGAGTTTTACGGTTCGTAAGAGTAGCCTCAAATTCCAGGAAGGAATTAAGGGCTTGAATAGCTGTGTTGTCAAGGCTTACATTCCATCGAATAATGGTACAGAAGAAGTACAACATGAAAAATGATAAACCCTGAAATCTTTGTGTCGCCGATAATTCGGAGAGGATAAGGTTGAGACACATTTGCAAGACGTATAAGACGGATAAGATGCATTGGATTTGGAAGATACTAAGATGTTTTTTGGATTTTATTGCGACAAAACGTTGTATTGTTGGGTTGAATGCGAAAGGAATGCAGTTCAGAAATTGGCACGGGATAAGTCGCAGTTTTAAAATGGGTAGAAATTCGGTGGTGAACATTGTAAGGATTTCTGGCGAATGAAGAGAAAATGTACAAATAAATAGGTGGTGAGATTGATTTATGCGTCAATCGCGTGATAAGATTTTCGTTGAAATATTCTTATTATTTATTAAATAATAAGTGAATATTGCGTTGTTCGTTTCAGACCTATCAAAAATTAATGCTAAGAAGTGAGATTAATATGAAGTTAAGTTATGTTACTTACATAAATCCATAATAGGGTTTATAAAATGAAAATGCTAGCATTATTTGCGTAGGTGTACATATTTAATTGAATATGCATATATCTACATATGTGAAAGTAAGCATCAGACTCTAAAAGTCACAATAAATCACACAGTTAGAAAATTACATGGATCACTGCCACCGTATATGGAACTACCGAAGCGAGTCAGATTTCATCATTAATAAATAAAGTAATCAGAATTGTTAGTTTTAGGTTCCTAACTAATCAAGCAAAATCTGCGAATAATTTATTTAATTAGGAAATGCCTGCATAACCAATTTCATAATTCGAACAAAGGTATGTATGGTGATACATATTACAGTTTGATTAGAAATTTTGGCTTTACTAGTTTTATGGAAATGTGGTATGATCATGTTCAATACATTCATGAATTTTTTTGTGGAAATTAAGTCCAGAAATTAAATTACATACTTTATGTAAGGAAAAAAATAATTGAAGAATATGATATACGAGTTGACCTGATAATTATCACTATTGCATAAGTACGAAGCTTGTACTCAGAGAATGTCATAGGCATTTTTGGTTTCTACAATTGTAGGCTTCAATCTAAATTTCGAATATATTCGGAAAATTACATCGCGTGTGTAACAAGTAGTAATGGTGACATACTTAAATATGTATACATATATTTATATGATCTCATATAGCCGATGGGAAAAAATTATAAAATTTCTTTTGTATGTTTATGTACCAATCGATGATATGATAATTGTGTTAATATGAACAAGCGGGTAGAATGAAAGTTAAGTGATAGTACAAAGTTTCTCATACTTATATACATATTTATGTACGCTTAAGCTTACGCGGATACATGTATGCATACATAAATGCACACCAGGTTTAGTCGGATTTTGCCTTGGATTTAAACTAGGCAATTAAACTTGAATTTGTTTGTACTATGTATTTTATCACTACATATATAAATATTGCTAGAATAATTGAGAAACTCTAAATACACTTCCTTATTTTCCGAGTAAAAGCTAGTGGTATTGATTTCGCTTCTCGGTGAAAATGATAGAGTTAAGTATTTTTTGTATAAGTTCTTTTGGTTTTTGAGATATACTCTCCTAACTCTTTGCAAAATTAGGATTGGAAGAAAAACTATATAAGTATTGATTGCTTATGTACGTTTTAGCTGAAATTTGACAAAAGGATGTCTTGCGTGGGTGTTTGCCAATTCAAATAAAACGGCGAATATTCGTAAATAGTAATTTTAAATAATTTCCGTGCAAGCGGTGGATTAAGTACAACTTACCAAGTGACATAACTCTATCATTTCGTAATACATTATATCAAACAATATTTCTCTCAAAATATTTGTATTTCTTGGAATACTAAAAAGTACATTTTAGTTCAACAGAATTGTTGAACACTAATCTGAAACGCCTAGTGTCAGATACATAGTTATTTTCCACAGTTATTTTCCACGTGCCAAAAAGTTGCGTATAGAACTAAATATTCCTAAACACACAGCCTAACACACCATTCCCATTAAGGACGAAATCTACAATTTAGGAGTATATCGGATTTACGCATACCCCTTAAACCTCATGAATTTGTTTGCACTGGTTACGTAAAAGTATGACCCACACTACATATTTTTTAAATAAATCAATAAACAAACTAAAGTTTGCATCACTAAAGAAGAAATTGTGCGTACGTGTGTAAAGTATATACTTTACACATTTATATTTGTATGCACATACATAACTTCTGTATATGCATCTAGATAATATAAATAGATGACAGGGAATAATTTGGCTGTCGAATACCGATATCAAGTTCCTGCTGATTGCATGTCGTTGGTGATGACTCTGGTCAAGTAATTTATTAGCATCCCGAGCAGGTTTCATTTCAATTATCATGCCAATTACTATGTCCACCGGAAAGTAAGTAGTGTACGATGATTACTACAGAGTATCATAAGCGACTGTCCATTCCAGAACTCAAATTTATCCCCAATAATTCCCTCTGAATTGCTGATACGACTTTCACTAATTAGTTTAGCATTGATCTACTTGAGATAGCCAATCATCACTAAATATAAAAAATTAGATATTTAGACGAATACGTGCACTCATCTCCAGTGAAAGCTACCTACGTAACCAATGAGTATCGATTCTTACTGCAATAAATATTAAGGGTGCATTTCTATGTACTTGACTCGTTAGCAACTTACACCAAAGTTGCAGTTTAACTGTGGAGCAAGTTACCAAGCCGTGAAGTCTAATCGCAGCTTAATTCTTCAGCATTTTACACAGGTCAAAATTAAATTCCCGCGAGAACATGGACTACTCAATCCATCAGGTGTCGAATGACGACGACCAAGTGTCCCCCCAAGTATTAAAACTTCTCCGAAAGTGTACCATCCTACCGACCGTGGTCGCCCAAGGCACCGGATATTTCCCTTTCACGTGCAGCTCCGACAAGAATAAGCTGCACTTCTCCCCGAGAAATGTCCACTTTATCAACTTAATATTTCACTCGGTCGTTGGAACAATTTGCCCCTTGTTTTGCATTTACAACATGGACGTCCACGAACGTCTCGCGTCGGACTGGAGTACCACAGAAAAGTTTGCTTACGGAATGATTTTCAACATCATTTCCATAAGCAAAGGACTCATTCGAGGTTTCTCGTTGACGCAAAGAAGTGAAATCATGAAATTTCACACAAAATTCAACGCCACTTTGGTCCACATATTTTCGACGCATATCAAGCGACAAGCGTCATCAGAGGACAACTATTCTACCACTCGGTCATATGAAAGGAAGCAAAATCTCGCAATTTCCGCTTTGGAACGACTCTTATCACAAAAGGTGCAACAACCTCTTGGCTGCGTTTGGATTCTGCTGATTGTCTTGGAGTCTCTCGTATTTCCAATGATTGTCATTTTACTGGTGAGATTCGTAAATGATGGCGTCGCGTTGGATAAGAAGGATCTGAGCGTGGGAAAGGTAGCCATTTGCATGGGGGCGATGGCCCTCTGTATGCTGACAGGGGTGCTGTACTCGACATTTCTGTATTGGTTGGTGGCCATAATTCACTGTATGGAAGTGGGGTTTCTACTTCTGGGGGAGGATACAGGAATTTCCGAGGGAGGTGGCGCTGGCAGCACGCCGTCAACGTCCACGATTGCGATAACGTTTCCCTCGGAATGTCTGGATCTTGGAGTGGAAGAGGGAAACGTAACAACAGAGGCGGGAAATTTACTGGAACTTTGTCCAATTTCGAGTAACGAGACGACGATCAGGGGTCAAAAGAGATCTGAGGGACGTGGAGATTTGGCTATATTTGCGACCAATTTTTCCCTGCTGGAGGCACTGGTGAAAGAATTTAATGCAGTTTTCAAATATCACATCAGCGTGATTTTGCTGGGATGCTGTTGTTCTTGGGTACTTCACTCGTTCGTTCTGATAAATGCGGGGATGAAGGAGGGGATTCACTTTATGGGGACGCTGGTCCTCGCTCTGTGGACCATTTTGGATACTGTGGGGATCGTGTCGATTTGTAATGCATCGTCACAACTGGCACATCAGGTTTGTTGGGGATTTTTGGATTTTTTGGGGAAACATGAATCTAAAGCTAATTTTAAATTGATATTAATACAGGCGCAAAGGAGCATTGAGCTTATGAGGGATGAAGCAGTGAAACATTTGGACACCGATCTCGTAAATGCAATTCGGGTACTAATTTGGACAACTTTTGCAATTTTATAAATGAATGTAATCAATTTATGGCTTGTGATGATATCCAGGTGCAAATTCACCTCACGACCAGTCTGGCTAATCCGGTCTTCATTGTACCTGGAAACTACTTTGTGCTTAGAAGATCTACAATTATATCGGTAAGTTTATTTGTATCCGGTATACAATTAATGCCAAAAGTTGACAATTATACGTTGGAATTACTTTACAGATTTATGCCGTCATGGTTACATATGTGTTCGTAGTGCTCCAGTTCCAAGATGCGGAGAGGAAAAATCGACTCTAATCTATGATATTTTTAGCATGCTTTACCAATACGTATGCATAAATAGCTTACAATGAAGTTTCTCGAAGGGTCATATGCATTGCGTGAACTCGAATTTGTTTCATCTATTTATCAATAGAAATATATGTATATCTCATGCAAATTGAATTCAGTATTATTATATTAAAAACAAAACTGTATCTTTTTAGTAATAAACTCTACTAAATGGACGTAAGAAAGTATAGCTATATTGCAGTCTAATGAAAGTTCGACACACATCAGAAATTTCATTAGGATTTCAAAATTTGACTTTATACCACACCCTAATTGTCAAAGAAATATCACAGGATCAATGTGCTATTTACATAAAGTATGTACATTTGCTGCTTTTCCTGGGAACTCGCCCAGAAATAACTTCGGATATTGTGCAACAATGTTTTAAAGATCAATAAATAATTTGAGTCAAAAAATCCCATTTGAAACAGACAATTTAAGGAGAAAAGTCAACCCGTTTCTTTTAACTGTATATATATGCACATATGTAAGCAGGAATATTACTTAGAATGACTTATGTACATATGCCATGCATATGCAAATATATAGGTTGCAGTAATAAATAATCTATGAAAGTAAGGCGACCGAAATGAATTAAGTGAAATTAAAATTATTAGAAATTTAGGATTACTTGGAATACGTGCATACAATGTACATATGTACATAAGTAGACATGTATCTTGTCAAAAATTAGGCTATAAGTTAGTATTTTACTTGACTTCTTCGACTCTCTTAATAATAACCTTAATCTGTAATGTTAAAATGTGAGCACGTACATAGACTTGTGATTCTTCGTGCATTCTTAATTCACGTAATTTACTTCATTTCACATAATCATGTCATAACTACATAAATTCATCGATAAAGCCATATCTCAATTTATTTCGGAGCTTACATAACCAATTAACCACTAATGACAAATTATGTGTATCATATTATTGATGGATGAAACCGCATTATTTTATATTTGTACTGCTATCATATTTACATATGTGCATACTTTTCAACCTCCCAAGAAACGTATAAAATGAGGTCCTCCTACTATAATTTTAATTTAGTTAGTTGTACCGTCATCTAAACCATTTAGGCTACCCTAATTGGCTTGAGTTTTCTTTCATAAAATGGGCTTTCACGTTGTTCTCCGTGTTATTGCGGGTTTAATCCACTTGCTAAAAACGAATCGCAATATATTTATATTTCTTGGCTTGTACTCCGGAATCGACAAAGCGATTGACTCTTTAGATCTTGACGCGAGGCAAAAAGGTTATAAATCATTAACATTCTTCCATGTTAAGCTTTCATCAAAAAATCTGTGGAATATACTTCATAAAACTATCGTTTATTTGAAATGCTCTTATCAAGAACTTATCAAGGGAATCGTATACGTTGGGAATTATTGCAGCGTTGTCCAACTCGGAGCGTCCTTTACCGACATGTTAGACATGAACTGTATCCATGATTGTGACAAATACTTCCATTGCCAAGGAAACTACAATGCTGTATACAAATGCAAACCAGAAATTGATTTCATCGCGCAGAAGGACACGCGAGAGCTTACAGCCAAACTTGTCAGTGATTTACGTGAGTATAGTCAAATAAAAAGTGGTCGTCATGCAGAGGATTCGGCGGAAGATGAGGCCGCCAACATGTTCGGAAGAGGGGGTGGAAATTGTGCAGAAGCATATTTGAAACCGTTAAACTGCAGCTATGATCCAGAGACGGGATGGTGTGGGACGAAATCGCCTGAAATTACGAGTTTTATGGGGTTTCTGTACCGAGGAGCCAGTTTGTTTGGTAATTTTGTAACATTATTTTTTAATTAATCGTACCTAAGAGATAGCTTTGAGCAAAGAATTTTGCTGAATTTGGATTAATAGTAATAAATACGTGCATATTAAATTTGACAATGATTTCTGATAAAGTAGCCCTGTTATAGCTTGAATAAAAAATACCATACATATCACAACGTTTATTTTGCATATTAAGTGATTCATGACCAATTTTATTAGTACATTCTTCTTCATGAAAGTGTGAGTATATTTTTTTCATTGTCTTCAAAACTATTTCATTCTGCTGCTAAGATTTTAACACCAAAACCAGTACTTGTACTTGAATACTTGTATTTACACTTGTACTTTTACTCTTTGAAATTTAAAGAAAAACATTTCTATTTGTTAGTTACAGGCTCACAATTTGTATGCATTTACATGTTTATGACAAGACAGAAGTAATATGTACATGTAACATAAGTTACATTACGTATTTCTTTTGGAGTAATTTTTAAAATAATTTATGTAGGAATATCCAACCAAGTATATATCAGTAATTCCAATTAGCAGATTGTATTAAAAAATCGACAAACTTTCGTTATTAATTGTTTATCTATTATGAGTCAATTTTTCGCAGCAATCAACTCATTTAACTTAAGTAAAAAGGATAGAAATTATCATTTTATTCATCCCAATTATGACGTTCTAACTCAAAATCTTCACAAAATATGGAATTACATGCAACGGAGCTGAATAGCTTCGTAACAGGGTTGGACCACTATACGTCGTATTTGTCCTTTCATCCAGCCAAGTACCCATTGGGAGGTAAATATCTCGACTAGTGGCTCCTTCCTCTACCACTGGGGCCACGAGTATTCTATCGCCCAACAGAAAAACTGACCCATCAAGGTATGATATTATTAATAAATTAATCCTTTCGTGTCCAAAAATTAACAAATATATAACAATCACCTTGGTCCTCCGTAAAAGTCATCGCGTCAGTCGGGTCCAACCACCAAAGAGGACGAATAATTGGTCTGCCTTCGGTACGAGCTTGAAATGCGGCAGATAGCATATCTCCAGAGTATTGTTCACGAAGGAGGACACAATCCCTGACAATTTCGATAGTCTATAAATTAGAAAAAATTAGTCTGTATTTGAAATAAATTAAATACTACCACCGTATTTACTTCATCGTCAAAATTTGTGGCCCAAGGTGGAAGGCTAAATTGCATCGCCGGCATGAAAGTATTCACCTGAACCCAACTAGTTTAGAAGAAAATTCGCATATTTTCGTAAAATAAAAAACAATTTGTGTTTTCACAGTTACCGAATATAGAGTTCTTTTCCTGGTGGAATTAGTCCCTGGCCAGCCACAATTCCCGGAGTGGTGAAAGGATATCCAACAATTCCGAGTAAAAGTACTGTCGGAATTACAGACTTGAGACCGGTGTCATTCCCCCAGTGGCTGGCTCGATCACTGATTCTTGTAAAAATTGGATGTTCTTGTGACATTCTGGCAACACTTGTTTTTACCATGCCACCAAAAGATGCCGCCAAGTCGACGAATTTAGTCGTGTAAATATTCGGCTTAAATTCTGTCGGTAAGTTACTCGAGTGTGGAAGATATTGGACTTCGCCGCCGTCAAAGGTAAACGAAGTGATTCCATAGCGAGTTTGTAGGTGGGCAAGTCTTTCCTTATACCAGGTGGCGGATTGTGGGACAGTTACGTCAACCAGACTGGTAAGGTCTTCATTCTGCCAATCGCCAAAAGCAACGTTTCCTTTTTGGTCAACGATAAGTCGATGGTTTTCGAGTGCGTCGACAAAAACGGGACACTCTAAAATACGTTTGCAAGTTGTGAAATAAGCTTTTTATTTTTTTAGTTGAAAATTTACCAAGGTTAATGAAAGGATGAGTCCATAAAGTAATTTTGAGACCTAGGGAGAGTATTTCGTCCACCATTTCTACATATTCAGTGGAGACAAATTTTATAAAGTACTGATAAACAACGAAAAGGAGCAAAAACAGAATGGGTAACCTTTAGGATCAGGGAACTTATCTGGACCAAAATCCATTTCTCCGTGACAAGTTTCCCATCGGTCTTGAATTTCAATATGGCTACTCCCTTGGAAACCATGTTGAACAATTTGCCTTGCCAAAGAAACAACCTCGCTCTGATTTGGGGCTGCAGTGGTGGACCAAATTGGACGAAGAAGCATACCCTGGTCAAGCATGCCGGCAGGTTTTTTGTACCATTTTGGGAAATTAGTGACATGCACAGATTTCACGTCGGGACCAACGCACACGGTGTAATTAAGTGTGAGGACGGTTCTAGCGTCGTATGGGTATTGATCAGCTGAGATAAAACACAGCTGTCCAGGTCGGGTGGTGTTCCAGCCTGGAAATATTATTTAATAATGCATGGTTTCCAAATTTTAAGGATTTTTTTGAGAATTTTCCAAGAAACATTGCCCCAACTAATCCGGCCAACTTACTAAAACTTCAAGTCTTAATTTGGTCTTACATACTTAAGAAAAATGGAGTATTCTCCTCCACATGAATAGATGCTCCTTGTGAGAAAAGCCAATAATTTTCCGCAACGTTTCCAAAATCACTAAATCCCGTCTTAGCGTCAGACGTGATATATGCGGATTCCTGTTTTGGGTCTGGATTAACCGGCCAGTATTGCCAATGTGATTCTGCACCGCCGTAAAAGTGTTGGTCATCTCGGATCAGAAAACAGTCCTCCAGTCGGCGAGCGTTCGTAGAAGTCCACTCAATTTGGGTGCACATTTCATCAATATTTGTGACCTTGTAGGTTGCAAAATCCCCAAATTGATGACATGTGACTGATGCGTTGTCAGGTGCACAGTCACTACTCGGGTAGACTACGGCAGGTAAAGCTACACCCAGAAGGGCGGATAATCTGTGTTCTAAAAAATTGGAAGAAGCAAATTGAAAATATTTAGTGGGGAAATAGTAGAAATATTTGACATGAAATACCATGCATAGAAAGCTCTGCGCAAAGTGATAATTATTCTCTGCCCTGATTTTGATTTACCTCCATTAAACCTGAATTCGATTTCGGTTCCTTCGCCAGGTCGCTCTTGATAAGACTGATACAAGGGATGTGTTAAAGAATGGCTTCCAAGTACCAAGAAAACTAAAATCCAGATGATAATCGGTTTTTCGAAATGATTTTTCACATAACCCATTCTTTGCGTCAAATTAATTAATAATTTCTCCGAATCTGATCGCGTTGAGCATGTGATGAAAACAATGTCCCGTTTAATTTGTTTAATCGAGTATTATTTTATGTTAATCTTATCAAATCATATCTTATCAAGACATCATATTCAGCATCAAATATATTTGTCCTCTACATACAACATATTGAATAAATGAAAGCTATAATAGCAGTTTATATGCACATGCTTATATTACAGGGAAGCTGACATTACAAATAATTACACACATATATTATGTTAAATAGTTCAAGTTATTTAATTAAATTCTTCATCGAAATACGTATATATGTGCATATAAATATATACGCGTGCATGCACTGGTGAGTGGTGACTGGTGTTAGATGTATGCACATAATACACATGTACATATGTATGTACATATGGACATACCGGCATATGTACACTTTCACTATGTACATACGACTTACATGCAAAAGTTGGGAAATGCATGCTGCAAAAAAGGGGTCTAGGGTAGCTCGTCGAAAACATGGTCGTCGAAAGAGTAACTCGTCGAGGACGAGTCGTCTGAAGGGTAACTCGTCATTTGGGCAAGTGGTCGAAAATAATACTTGTCGACAGTATTTTTCTGAATAAAATACGATTCTAAATATAAATTATAATTTTATAAATTAACATTTACATGAGAACTCTCAGCAAGAACGCCAAACCGCCTGTTCCAGGCCTCCACTGCATTATTGGTTCTGAAAATATTATCTAATACACTTTGGTGCACATTCCAGAAGAGTATTGGAAACATTAGTGGATCGTATACTATACCGATGTAGGTTTTTTGAACATAACTAAAAAACCTACAGTGCAGACTTGATATAGCCCGAGTCAGGCGTAAATCTGTTTCCAAATTAAAATTTTTTAAACTTCGAATTGTTCAATTAAGAGCCTTTAGTAACCCATATACTAAAATTTATCCACTATCACTAAATTTTTGTTAGTGCACACATTTTTTTCCCTTGGTCACCAGTATCGACTGTGGCCATAACTTTGAAACGAGTGTATTGTTTTTCCTAAAACTCTCAGGATATTATCCTAGTAATATTAGACGCAACATATGCAAATTCCAGCCACGCGGGTGACTAGGTTCGTATACATTTGTTGGTGCACATATTTTTCTCCCTGGTCACCTGATTGGGTCGCCTAATAAGGTCCTCCAGGTGAAAATTTTTCTTATTTTACTTCATTAGGAGCTATTACCAACTTGTCTACCAAATTTCAGCTCGATTTGACGAATTTGAAAAATTGGTATGGGTCACCCCATAGGGTCTGTCCAGGTGAATATGTGTCCAATTTCAATTCATATTCTTCTATTGGTAGTCATTAACAACCTGTGTATCAAATTTCAGTTCGATTGGATAAGTTTTAAAAATCGGTATGGGTCACTAGGGTCCCTCCAGATAAAAATTTTTGCAATTTTACTTTGTATTCCTTCATTAGAAATCATTATCAACCTCTGCACCTAATTTCAGCTTTCTACGTCAATTTTGAAATTTTGATGCATAATACCCCACCCACCTATATGACCCCCACCGGTCAACCACTTGACCGATTTCGCCCATCTTCGAATTTAACTCCTCATTTGACCCAGACTACATTTGTGCAAAATCTCAAGTCGATCGGATTAGTTTAACGGCAGTTATCGCAAACCAGACAGACAGACAGACGTATACGTGTGAACTCATATAGGTAAAATCAGTAATAATGTTACATGAAATTCGACGAGTTTCATGCCACCTAAATTCGACGACTTGCCTTTCTGACGAGTTTTTCATTCGACAAGTTGATTTAGACGACTTACCTTTTCGACGACATAGGATTCGACAAGTAACCCGTATCCCGTAAAAAAGAGGATTCGCTATTCCTCCAGACTATGTAATAGTAAGTAAGAAGACGTTATGTATGATCATTACAATGTATTAAATACAAGTTGTACAGTAACACGCATACTTTCGTACATACATGCCAGCTCAAGTATGTAAGTTGTTTACCTGCATTAAGTATTATGTGTATCATCATCTGTTGTCAGAGAACTTATTAGCAAATTGGTGTTCCACATTAAACTTAAAATCAGCATTTGAATATGTTTAATATGGGTTGATAAGGATACCTTGATTAGAAAATACGGCCGGAGAAAATTAACGTTAAATGTGAAAGGTACAGTTTAATGCATATTCAGCTTTATCAGATACTTGTTTCCATGCAAATCCAATCCATACAAATAACACGTACTTAAAATACCCCATCTGGACTAAATCCTGGACTGAACAGTAACTTATTAATTTATTAAAATTTCCAGCTCAAAAAGGTTCAACACACTTGAAATGTCCTCCTTGCATGAAGAACAAGGTGAACAGAGACATGAATCACTGGACCTGCTCAAATCTGCAATCAGAGGTATTTATCCCCAGTTTTGAGTGCACATTAAATTTATCTACTAATTTTTACTTGCTTAACAATTTTCAGAGCATGATTACCTCTCAAGTTACCAGGATATTTTTGATGATGCTTTACTATTAGGATTCCTTCACGGTAAAAAATACAATGTGCCCTCAACTTTGGATTGTGTAAGTTTATTTGCTGCTCAAATTATGTATTTATGTGCATGGTTTGTGACTACTCATTTAAAATTATTTTCAGTTAAAGCAATACATGTATGTCCGCACAGAAAAGTACAAAAAGTTCACTAAAACGTATCTCCTTCCATCACGCGCAAGCATATTGGATATTCGATCAATGAATTTCTTGAAACAAATGGATCCCCAGAGAAGAACGGTGGTCTACGTGCAGTGTGGTACTCATATTTAACAAGAATGTTTTCATTTGAAAGTTATTTCACTATGTTTTGCGAATTGTTGCAGATTTGTGGGACGTTAATGTGCAGTGTTTATGAAACGATGGCTTATCACGCGTTCGTGATGGATGAAGCACTTCGAAGCTACTTGGGGGACACGGAAAGCAATGAGTTTGTCACCATTTTCAATTTTGACGGGTGGGTGTTACGTCAAGGACTTCAATTCACGCCGAGAGTGGCTCTCCAAATTGTAGACTTTGTTTTGGTGAGATTTTTTTAGTGTGGTCACAAAGTCGTATGTATGTAAATGAAGTGCTAAAGATGATCAGCTCCATTTGTGCCGTGTGTTAAAAATAGCGTCACCTGAGCGTTATAAAATTTCTATTTTCGAGTCACACCCTTTATGGAGCACATTTGTGAAAATTTAATGTTCATATTATATAAAAATTGCAGCCCTAGTGAAATGGTAGAATTATTTAATTTGCTTGATTTTGTCCGCTTCCAGAAAAGTGTTCCAATTCGACCTGCGGCATTTCATTTAGTTAACGCCGGCTCAATAATCGATTTCATGATGCGAATATTTAAGCATCTTTTGCCAACAAAGATACAAAATCGGGTAAGTGCGTTAAAATAAGTGACGCAGCAGCAGGATTTTTGATATGAAATTAAGTTATTTTTTTTACTACTCAGATTTTCATTGATTCTAATTGTGCCCAATTGCACGAACATTTGCCACCCGAAATTTTGCCAAAATCATTGGGAGGTGTGTTGGAAAATGAGGAGGCTTTCCGAACTGAGCTACCTGACAAGATTCGCAGTCAGGAAGAGTTTTACCAGAAACTAATCGAATTTTCGGATTAAATTAATATTTACTTTTTATGCAATTTTGAGTTTTGATTAGTTCAGTATTTGCATACCTAGAATTGTGATAACTCATATATAAATATTTATTATGTACACGTTTACACATGTCAAATATACTAGAAATACATACACATAATATACATGTAATATTTGGATTCTTTTGGATATGATTATCTATAGTTAAGTACTTAAGGTTGGATTGATGGAGAAAGTAAGATTTGTGGAAGAATTTTGGGATGACGTAGTACAGAGGTGTGGGACAGAAGAAGGAGCCACTTTGCCTAAATTTATTGCGGCCTTATTATTCGTTTGTGAAGTTTGGTAATTGGTTCAGTGTGAAGCCCTTTAGTTTATCTAACGAGCCTCAGTCGCTTTTTCCAACCAGTCATGACCTTTGACACAATTTTCAGAGTGATTCTGCACCACTCGTCCTGAACACTTTTCCAAAGTGCATCAAAACGTGCGCGTTTTCCTTTCAAGAAGGCTCCGTTTTAAGTACCCGAATCCAAAAAAAAACATCGGATTGATATCAGAGGAACTAACGAGAGTTTATATAGTAGGAATAATTGTTATACCCAAACTTTTTTAAAAATCCTTCGCGTAGGCTGCTATTTTGTGAGAAATAAGTTGGGTTGAGAGCATGATCTCGGGATTTCCTACGAGTCACTTGCTGTAGGTCATTGTGAATGACTCTAGAAATGTTCTCCTACTAACGTTTAACATTTTCGCCATGCAACTTTTAGTTGATGGATTTACCGTTTTGGCGAAAAATTGATTTTCCGGATAAACTTTTTGGTTCAAGCGGATCTTGGGTATCCTTTCCGTGGGGGTGGAGCTCTAACCGCTTTTTCCCTTCGCTTGATTCCAACGTTTTTAAGTACATTAGAAACGTACTTTCGATCGACGATAAATCCATTTGCAGCAAATTTTCTAACAATCGCTCTCTGGCTCAATATGTCTTTGGAAAACACTTTTATGCGTGCCTCGCACTCTGGGGGGTGCTGTAGGGGCATTTTTAACCGTAGGGAAAATCTGAATAGTGCTAAATTTTCGTTAACTATCTGGGTATGACATATGCAAATTTTGAAAATGCCGCGACTGTGCATCACACGCCACCCCTAAAATTCTAGTGGCTCCTTCTTCTGTCCCACCCCTGTACAAAATTGTTCAATAAAGCTAATATTGTGAACTTGGACAACTCCCCTAGAAAAGCCATTTATCCATACAAATTGTGCCATATAGTCAAAAATGTGACAGTTTTATATCATCGGGTGTTCCTTGAAGAATTAAAGCTGAAATTAGCTAAATTGCAGAAATTGAAGGCAATGAAGTCGAAGAAACTTCGGCTTCCTCTTTCTTGCTTTCAACCGATATTATGGAGTCGTCCAATTGACAACTAAACTTGGGTTTCTTAAACCTGAATTTGTCCAACTTCTTGCTAGTAATGCTGCTCATCTGTTATAAAGAAAGGCGAATTAATTCGTAAAACAATAGTAAAATGCATATCACGTTTGAAAATAATCTTCGAAAAACAAATATTGTTATGCTTACATCAAATGATTTAAAAGTACCATTTTCCGGCATGTTTTCAAATGCATATTGCGTAAATGGATACTCATTTTCTCCGTATCCAATTAATGTCGTGGTAAATTCGCAGTTATCATCATTCCACTGACAAGAACCAGCAGGTAGTCTCAGCTTTCTTGCAACGTGGGTGATATTAAACGTCTCTAATTTGTCTCTAAATTCATGTAAACCTGCGAAAGTTGCTTCATCTTCCTCTTGAGTGTCAAAGTACTCTGGCACATCAATGTTGTTCAGTTGGGCTTATTCCTTCCAAAAGGTGTACTCCTTCAAAATCTGAACCTGACGCATTTCTAATGGAGATTGAGGTTCGAGCCATGGATTTTTCAAGAAGCAGGAATTTAATGATGATGCAAAATCGAATCTTGTTTTCAACTCGAAATGTTTAAACGATTCCACGCCACTCATCACCTTGGCGAAGGCTCGAATTACTTTGACGGTGGGGAGATTGATGTAACATTTCTCGATGGAGGGAAAATATCTAGCGATTTGCGGAATGAAGGAAAAATCCTGAAAGAAGTCGGGAAGTTGGAGCTCCTTCAAATTTGGATATGTATTGTGTCTAGATTCAGCAAATGGGAAACTGACAATCAGATGCCATGGACTTGCGACGCGAAATACTTCCAGGATCGGCAAAATGATGGTCACTCAGATCATAGCATGATCCCAGGATGAGCGATTTTAGCTTGGGTAGTTCTGGTAGGTTGAGGGTAACACTGAAATACTGGCCAAGAATGTCCTCTTCTTGGTCCTCCTCCTGTGATGCTAATGATTTCGCTGGTGTCGGTGGATTCCTTCCTTGCTCAAAATTAATATTGCTCGTCTTCTTCGACTTTCGTTTTGCTGGGCGTTCATTGATTGACTCGATAACTGACACGAACTCATAGTTTCCCCCCAGGTCTAAAATTTCGAGGTGTGGCATCCGTGGGAAATTAATAAATAGCTTGGGCTCCTCTTTGTCCGTCGTGATAAAGGATCCGTGAACTTTCAGTTTTTTGAGAGTGCAAAAATTATTCAACAATGCCTCCAGCTCAGCTTTAGTGTCCCCCCAAAATCCAAATCCCAAGTCTAATTCTTCTAATTTGGCTGCTTTAATATTTCCCAATGTTGTAACCTCTGTGTCCAACAAGGCGACATGCTCTCCATCACGATGCTGAATCGACAGATATTTAAGTTTGGCCAAAACGTTGGGCTCCATGGCTTCGAGGATGTTTAGAAATCGATTGAGAGCGACTTCATCCTGGTATGCAAATTCAATACTTTCCAAATTTCCATTTGTCGCTATGATAATCTCAGCGAGTTGGTCGTGATATTTGAGAAGACCGTTGTGATCAATCTTCAAATGGGTCAGTTTGTCCAAATTAAGCCGTGGAAAAACCAAAACTTCTGGTTTGGTATTACACTCCGATAAAATAGACAATTGCTTCAGTTGGGGGCATACTTTGCTCAATATGTAGACCAAATTGAGGGGACACTTCGCTTGAACTGATTTCCATGTCCAATTGATACAATCTAACCGGTTAATATTGCTACCGACCTGCGAGAAAAGTTCATTCCACTTCCTCCACAAATATTGTCTTTTGTAATCCCTACCCAATTCAACATGATGTGGAGCGTTCTTTTTGCCGAGAAGTTCAATTGAGGTCTCTGACGGTCTAAGAGGAACCGGTCCCATGTCAATTTTTTGGCGAGTTTTGAGAACACGCGGGGTACGACGTCGTGAGGTGGATGCTGATGTCTAATATAAAAACAACCATTATGCAAAATCAAAGAATAGATACTAAATTTTACATCAGAGTTGTACCTCTGTTGGCGTTTTCTTTCTTTTCAAAGACTTCGTCGTCACTGGAGTCACATTGTGTGATTCTCCTTCAAGGGTGTCATTTGGTGAAGATGAACTATGCTGTTGAGGTGAAATTGAAATATCGGCTTCCATATTTATCTCAGATTCGTCTGTTTCCTGAGCACTGACACCATCATCGACTAGAGAAACTGTGGGAATGTCTCTCTTGTCTGAAGAAAGCTTGACGCTTACAATGGCTACGTCGTCGTCGTCATCACCGATATGAGCACGGGAACCTTCTTCTGTGTCCTCAATATGCTTTTCAACTTTTACTTGTAATAATCCTGCTTCCGGATTTTCTTGACTATCAGTTGAATCTACTTGCTGGTGTTGCTCCTCTTCCACAGCATCGTCATTTTTAAACAACTCAATCAACAGATTTTGGATAAAGTTTTCCCTATCGGGTTCTACTGGAAGAATGTGTCGCAATTTTGGGTTTAATTGTTTGATTGGCACCTTAGTTAAATCCTCTTTAGTATGTCCTGCAAGATAAGAAAGATCGGATTTAAACAAGGATAATCCTAATATACATATTTGGTTATATATACGATTTACCAACAAAGTATGTATAATTTTTGAGAGAATTGCATTTTGACAAAACTCGCAAGATTTCAAGATCCAAACGCACCACTACTGGGAAAGTTTCATCCTAAATAAAAACACATAAGTATGCTGTTAATTCTTAAAATGGTATATAAATCTTATATGCGAGTAAAAGTTATTTCTTTACATTATCATCATTAGGGTCATATCTCAAAATTTCAGCCATAATTTTCTCGCAGATTTGCCTTGGATTAGTTATGACTGGTTGCAAAATGTTGGCCAATTTCATTTTCAGGTCATTGCCTCCCATATCTGTCAACTCGTCCTTTGTTAAGGCTGAAATTTGAAATTTAGCATAATCAATATTTTATGGTATATGTGACCTGTTTTATTGATTGTCTACTTAAATAAATATGTTAACAATGTTACCAAAATATCGAAATATAATTATTACATATTTATTAGATACTGCTTGATTATCGTTTCAAATAGTTATGTTTTATACCTGCAAAATGCTGATAATACTCGAGACAATTTGCCTTGGATAGCACGTCCAATAATTGAACATCCATGGCTGAGGATAAGTGGTTTTATTTTTTATTGCTCACAGAACAATTAATTTCTTCTTGCCGTGGAAGTTCCAGTTTTACTTGTGGATTGTTTGTCGGCTTTTGTTTAGTCAAGGCACATTTGTGGCAATTTGGCAATTAATCCTCCATGTAAGCCTGAATGATGCATAGATCATGCACTCTTCCTGGGTATATACAGTCAATGGAACAAGTATAGGCACCACCCTCGCAAGCTACCTAAAATTGCCTATAACTTTGGAATGCATTATCAAATTAGCATGAAACCTTGTACACATTTAGCAAATCTAATGTAGTGTTTGATTTTATTGATTAAAATTGGATAAACACAGTTTTTAAATAATTTGTTGGAAAATATGTAAAATTAACCCGCAAAAAGTATTGGCACCCTATAACTTATAAAATCATAAATCAAAGAATCGCCAATTTTATTACGTCACACTGCTTCTAATGTTACGTGGCACCTCCCCTCGACGCAATAAGAGCATAAATAGGCCGTGGAATTGATTCGACAAGTTTCTTTATAACGCTTTTCTATATGTCTGCCAAAACTTCTTTCGAACTTTCGACAAGCTCGTTTTTCGACGAGTGGTTTCCCATCAGGCCCTCTTTTCTCAACCCGGACAATCAGAGTCACATCGGGAGACTACGTGGCCAACGAAAGAAGCTTAACTTTTTCGGTCTCCAAAAACTTGCACCGTTAATTTGACCACATGTTTGGGGTCACTCCATTTTGGGAATATGAAATTCCTTCCTAGGTCAGGTTTTTGTCAAATGATTTCAAATTATGGTTTGTAATGATTAATAAGACCTCCCTGGTCATGATTTTGTCGATAATTACCAGGTAACTACGCCGCGACCTAGTCATTCAACCCCAAACCACAATCGGTCCTACTCTGTGTTTAACTGCCATGTGCACATATTCGTTTTTGTGAGCCTTTTATTGCATCCGCCAGACTTGGACCATTCAATTGGCTCCGAATAACTAATACTGGCTTATGTCGAAGCAGCAGACCCTTCTTTACTCAATGAAAGTCTATTTAGGGTGATATTTACCCCATTCCAATTTATTGAGCTTCTTCGTTTTGAGGACCCTCGCATTTGTCGGGCAACTGGACCCTGAAACCCCATGGCATGATTTTTTATTGATCACCATATTGCATGATCTGTTGACCCCACAGCTCGTACTCAAATTCAACATGATTTTGGAGGTTGAAATATTCCGATCTCGAGTGATAGTTTACTTGATTAATCCGTTGATTTTAGGATTAGGCGGCATTTTTAGCCGGATCATAAGAAAGCACGAACTAAAATGATTGCTTCATGCTCTTTGGCTACATTTCGAATAGTAAATATCAAGGAGTATGTTTCCTGTCTGAGTTTTCGATATCCAAGCTTGTTTGAGAAGGAGGCAAGATTATTTCTCGCTACGCCAAAAATAGCTCGTTTGGTGTCGCAATTTTGGCTGTAGACAATACCAATCTGTGCTTACGAAGCAAATAAAGTTATATTTTGTGATCTGATTAACTAACCGTGACAAAAGGCAGAGGTTTATCGTTATAAAAATTTCGCTCAAATAAATAAGACATGAGGTGCCAATACTTTTTGCAGGTTCCAACCTGACGTGTTCATGTCAAAATCAGAATAACGTTACAGTTATATAATTTCAGTCGGGAACATGATTATAATCGAATACTACATTAGATTTGCTAAATGTGTACAAAGTTTCATGCTAATTTGATAATGCATTCCAAAGTTATAGGCAATTTTAGGTAGCTTGCGTGGGTGGTGCCTATACTTGTTCCATTGACTGTATGTAGGTATTACTCCACGCACGGAACCTATCACCGGCCTCACGACAAATTTACGGTAGGTTTCTTTATTTCCCGTAAGGTGAGACATGGTGAAAAAATCCATGGCCATTCGCCTCACTTCACCATGTCTCACCTTACGGGAAATAAAGAAACCTACCGTAAATTTGTCGTGAGGCCGGTGATAGGTTCCGTACGTGGAGTAATAGTCTATCTATAACTTGTAGAAATTTTGGGATTTTTTTAAAATAAAAATTCAAAACTGAAAATTGGATGATTTTTTCAGATATGTGAAATACAATGTAATCGCTTACTATAAACTGGGCAAATTTTATTAACATGGATAAAAAGACACTTATCGGCAATCTTGCCCATGCCTTGATACACTCGCACATACATATCTACATTCATTCAACAATTTATTAGGTATAGTTGATAATACGGCCAATTTATAATATGGATTTGCATAGATATGTGATAACAATTGTTATCCGTATCACATTTGCATTTGTATGTACCTATGCATGTTAACATGCGGAAAAGAGTGAAGTAGTTTATTTTACATGATGGTGTCTTTGATATTTACGAATTGCGACCAAAGTTAAATGATAATAACAATTTATGCAACAATTGTGACTGCATGGTTATTATCTCTAATTTATTTTACGGTTACTTAAAATACGATGGGAAAAGAAAGGATTTTTAAGACCAATACAAAACATAGAAATACCTGTGATTATCTTCCTGCGAAAAAGTTTAGGAAAAGTTGTGTACAGGATATGGTAAATTATTTGGATTTTGTAAATTCCAATTTATAGTCGTAAATAACTATGTAAAACATAATTCCCATCAATTTCAGCCCTGTCAAGTTTGTGGGGACAAAGCAAGATCACACAATTATGGAGGCATTTCATGCAATTGTTGTCGGTCCTTCTTCCAAGTGAAAAAAAATATTACTTGATTTCATATTTTTTTATTTCATTTCACGTCATTTAATTTAATTTCCAGCATTTCGTCCTCAAAAATGTGAGAAAATTGGACAGCTTGAGTTCCATAGACGACTGTAAATTTCAGGGAAACTGTACAATTGACATAACAACCAGGAGAAACTGCACATCATGTAGAATTTTTAAGTGTGTGAAGATTGGAATGGTGCCCGCTTGGGTGGTCTCTGCTTATCAAAAGACGCTAGAGCTTAAACAACAACAAATGGTCCGTGTAAAGTTAATTGCTTCGCCCAAACTGAACGCACAAGATTCCGAACAAATTGAAAACATCTTAAAATATTATAATACAGCGTGTGAACAAATTCCGTATAATTTTCCATCCAGAGAAAAAAATGAAGTCTTAACGACTACGAAATTACATATTTTGACGATTGGCGTCATGTCGATTGCGATTCGAAGGTGCTTACGCAAATGAATTGTGTAAATATGTGTGTGTACTTATCTAAAGTTACGTAGCCACTATTCTTTATGGTACTCTGCAGGTTCGTCTGTTTTGCGAGAATGATTCCAGAATTTAATAGACTTTCATTACACGACCAAACCAATTTGTTACGGCGGTCAGTCATAGAAATGACCATTCTACGAGACGTGGTTGTATTTGATGCCGAAAAACGAACCTGGAGTTCTGAAGGGCACGTAGCAGAAAAATATCCGGAAGTTCATGTAAGTGCTTAAATTGAGGTCGGGTACCGATTAAATAGTTTCAAAGTCTCGGTTGGATGGCGAATAATTAGATTATTTTAAATCACTAACCTTGACCACCTTCGTCTACAAATTTTAGACTAAACCTAGTGCAAATGATCCACTACAATTTTTAATATTCTCATAATTTGCACAGGCAGATGAGTGCACTGCTATCTGGCCGGCAGATCTAGTCGAATTGGGGATTCAATTTTACAAAAGAATTAAAATCAACGCTCCAGACGAATCGAGTGTCATGCTGCTGATTGTCGTTGTCTTGTTCTCGGATTACGGGGGAGGCGAGGCCTGCTCAGAATTTGAGGATAGTCCCGCAATAAATGCAGCTCAAGAACATTATGCAGCGTTACTTCAAAAATATTTAAACTTCGTACATGGAGAGAAAAAGGGACGCTTGGTATTTCCCAGGGTGAGGCCAACATTAAAAACGGCATATGCACAGATTTGAGTCATGTCCTGGAAAATGAGTTATAATCACGAAACCTTTAGACGAATAACTGATTTTATTTATCTAGCTCCTTTGCCAACTAATGGAAGTCACTGAAGCCGCACATTTGCATCAAGGTCCACCCATGGACTTGACCGAGCATCAAGTCAATAAAATGCACCTCCACTTGTTGGAACTTCAGAAAATAGCAAATCCCTCACTTGATGTGAATACTGCGTCAGTTCTGTATCCATCGACGCTCCGAGAAGATGCTGGGGCGGAGAAGGAATGTTGTAAGAAACGGTTAAGGGGTGCCAAACCTTCGGTAATGGCAAACAACCCGTCAACCGAAATACAACAAGGTCAAGATTTCCCATCATTAATTCATAACTTTGTCCGTAATCCTGGCGAATATGGGATTAAGCCGTATTACTTTGAAAAAGGTCCCCATACAGGCATAGAAAAAGCCTTCATGCGACGGATGCCAACATTAGTGACTAATCCATTAGATTCCTTGGTCGCGGATGTGTCGAAGTTGTCGATTTCCTGTAATGATGTAAAAACAGTTGAGTTTGTGAGAACATAAATCTGGAATTTGGGGAGCAAAGTTTTAAGTCGTATGAAAAGTTCAAAGTTGGTCAGTAGGAACAATATAAAGTGTTATTGTCAACGACTTTATTTACATGATTCTTGAATATATATATTTTTATAATTACTTTCCAGAGAATAATCATATTTATTTTTCCTTTGGCCACTCTAAATTAGAGACTTTTGCATACATGTAAATCATGAAAATTATATTGGTGATAATAACAGTAAATTTGAAATTATATATTGGTAGTTCATCCCATGTATGCATCTACATGCATGCATGCATGCATACTTATGTTAGTATACATAATAAATAATGCATCAATGTCATTGTGCGCCAATCTGCTACTTTATCCATATTTTTGTCTAACGTATTTTTATGTAATGTAATAAACGTAGGATTAGGACACATGTTCAAATTCAAAGTGATATAACGTCATTTTTTTACAATACCAGACAACTCCAATATCTACTGTTACATATGTTACATATGTACATATATCCTAATAAAATGCTCAAGTTGTGGATTTGAAGTCATATTCAACGGCGATATGCAATTTTTTATAAATGCTTTGTGAGCTACTGCGAGCCAATAATTTGGTGGTAAATATTTGTATGTACTATAACAGGAGATAATAAAGTTTATATACCATGAGTCAGTTAATCATCAAGGACAGTACGCTGCAACTTGCGAGCATACACAAGGATAATGAAGCTAAATAATTTATTGTCCAACCTCACGGATGATCCATCGTGCATGCATATTTACCTCGTAACCATGGCAACGATATACATAAGTGGTTGAACTCGAGACCATATGGTTATTAAACGGAGAACATTTAAGTTAATGATTTAAAATATTAGTTTTGCAAACGGCATAAATATCTTACATTAATTGATTAAGATGGGAGAAGAAACTAGGAGAAAAGGGAAAAGAAAAGCAAGCGAAAAATCAATTAAGGAAACAAAAAAAGCCAAAAAATGTGTTCCAGAAATGTCACAAAAATCTAGCAAACGAGCCATCGGAGAAAAAAATGTATGCAAATTACTTCTATTTTATGTTTCAAGTTTTATTTAAGCATGAGAGTTTAAAAATGAAAAACGATCATTATTTTCAGCCTTGCCATGTTTGCGGAGAGAAGGCGAGATCTTACAATTTTGGAGGCATGTCGTGCAACTGTTGTAAATCTTTCTTCCGACATTTTGTCTTAACCAATGTCAAGGATAATACATCCATCGAACGTTTTAAGAAGGATTGCAAGTTTAAAGGAGACTGTGAAATTGACCAATTGACAAGAAAAAAGTGCAAAACTTGTAGATTTTTTAAATGCGTTAAAATTGGAATGGACCCCAATTGGGTCTTGTCAGATTTTAAAAAGATACAAGAATTGAAGCAGAAATCCAGCGCTGGCCAAGTCGAAAAAGAGCCAATTCTTCCCATCACTAAAAGTCCAAATGATGAAAAATTGACTGACGAGGATGTCACAAGAGTTGAAAATATTTCGCAATATTATAAAACTGCGTGTGAACAAATTCCTTACATGTTTCCATCCCGAAAGAAAAATGAAGTCGTTAGTACCACAAAAACTCGAATATTACTGATTGGATTAATTTCCACTTCGATTCGAAGGTATGAAAAAGACATGTTCAAGGCATACATTTTGCCAAATATGTAAGTCTGCAACTGGGTTGAATATATTCTAGGTTCGTATATTTCGCGAAAATGATTCCCGAATTTGCTAATCTTTCTTTGCACGACCAAACCAATTTATTAAGACGGTCAGGAATGCAAATGGGAATGCTGAGGGGATCAGTGACATTCGATTTCGACAAACTTATGATCACCTCATTGGATAGCGGATTTCCAGAGAATTACCCTGATATCAGTGTAAGTAAAATTTATTTCATTTCATTTCAACTTTTATTCACGTGTAAATGGATATCAGTTAACAATAACTGGTTTGCAAACCATGACACAAAATGCTATAACTATATACGAAGCATATATCTAACTACATTGTTCTAACACATATTTCATAAATAATAATAATAGTCCTCAGAACGCTTATTAATTATATATTCACGACATGATTGTACAAATTTAACATAACTCATGTTGGGGTCCCAATCCCTAGGTAGTTTGTTCCAAAGTTTAACTGCTCGATAGTGTATCGATTTTTGTGCAAACGTATAAGATGGGACGGTCAATAGGGGCCAAGTACGCCTCCCTGAAGACGAACTAATAGAGTGCAAAAGTTTTTTAAACGCATATTTGTACAGAAATAAGTCACGACGTTCTTTAATTGACAGGAGATTGAACTGCGTTAATAAATCATTCACATTAATTGATTGCTTATTTATCTTAAACCGTGTGTTTTTTCGGTATCGATACTTTTTTGCTAGAGAAGGATAAAGGAATTTCACTAAAAATGAGTTTACTTTATGTTGAACTGCGTCTAATTGAGCGTCAGAATGGATTGCCCAGATGTCCAGACAAAAATCCATGACTGAATGTATATGGCTGTTGACCATAATTGCCATAACTTTATTAGTGAGGTGGCGTTTAACGCTATGTAAGTACCCGAGCTTATTAGATACCTTCTTTGTTACATGTTCGTAATGATTACTAAAACTCAGACTGGAATCTATGTACACACCTAAGTACTTGAAAACACTTACATTCTCTATCGATTCGCCATTACTTAACACTATGGGTTTACAGAAAGAAGAAGGTACATTACATCGCGGCTTACTAAAGATTTGAAATTTGGTTTTCGAATAGTTAATACTTAGGTTATTCATACTATACCACTCCTGAACAATATTTGCTTGCTCAGTCATTGCTTTCATTAACAATTCAAGGTCATTACCAGCTAAGTATATAACTAAGTCATCTACATACAAAAGGAACGGGATTGTTATAACTTTACAGATGTCATTCTGGTACGCAGAATAATACAGGAATTATTATTATTACAGGAATTAGTCGCAGTTTCATGAAATGCAAAAAAATACTAGCAAGAAAATTAATATTCATCTTTCAACCACCCCGTGACATTATTTTTATTTTACAGTTGGCCGAAATTAAAAATATCTGTCCCCACGACCTGACCGAAATGCATACTCAATTATACCGGAGGATTCGAACTATTGCCCCTGACGAGGCGAGCATCATGCTTTTGATTGCTGTCGTACTGTTCTCGGATTGTGGTTTAATAACCGATGGTTGCACAGAGTTTGAGGACCGAGCAGCAATCAATTCAGCACAAGAATTATACACTGCATTGTTAGAAAAATATGTAAAATTTAAACACGGCGATGCAAAAGGGAGACTTACATTTGCAAAGGTGAGTTATTTATTAGCTTAAAAATTTGAGGAAGCAATTACATAAATTTTTAAGTGCTGATCATCACTTAAAAATTGAGTTTTCTTAGATTGACAATTGTCTGCATTTAATATTTTAGCTCTTATCACAACTTGTGGAATTGACAACAGTTTGCCAGCTGCATCAGGGACTACCCCTCAATTTATCGGAGCACCAGGTCGATAAAATGCATAAACACCTCTTGGAACTTCAAAGAAAGTCGAATATTTCGCCACCTCCTAACCAGAAACATATCGTAGCGGAACGAAATCAGTTCAGAGAACTCAAGAAATACTACAGAAAAGAGACGTCCTGTAAAAGCAATCAGCCACCGAGAGTTGAGTCCCCTGAGATCTTGAAACCAAGTGAGACGGCCAGGAACTCGGAGGCATTTCAATTGCTAATTCGTACCTTTGTAAACGTTAGTGGGGAGTGGGGGATTAAACCTGCTAATTTTGCTCACGGTCCGCACATAGGCATTAATCGAGCCTTCATGCGAAGAATCCCAGAACTTTTGCTGGACCCATGGGATTGTTTGGTCAATGAAACGAACGATTATTAATTAATTATGAGATTTATGGTAGGGTATTGTTTTCGTATTAGATAAACTGAAATCAGTAGCGTTGAAATAAATATCTGTAAACTGTCGTAATTATATAAATCAACATCGTTTAAAACTGCTTACTCTATGTAAAAGCCACGTGTTTATAATTATTTGTGTGTTTATCTTCTCATATTTGTATAATGTTAAAAACTAAATCACCACAAGTGTATAAGTCAACAAATTTAAAGCTTGGGTGAGACTTAAGTAAATTACTTATGTGCAAAAAACATGTATTAACTAGTGATTTCACAAGGAGAAACTTTAGTCATGCTGTACGAAGAAAGATTGGTTTATTGCTTAAGGTCGGGCCCGGGCGTAGAACTACTTACTCTTACAGACCAGACAATTCATATAAATAGTTTATCAGGTTTTTAATTTTATAACTTAATATCGTATACTTTTTCATGTTACATTTATTAATCAGGTCACAGTTTGCAATAGCCATTTTGCATCACTTATAAATTTGCATATCTACCTTATAAATTATGTTTCCCTTCTCGACGAGTTTTCCATGCTGGGAGAAATACTTAACTTTTCTACATCGCGAACCAACGAATCCAACGGATTTTCAAGCAACTCTGGAATTCTGTGCATAAAAGCTTTACCGACGCCGATGTGTGCACCCTGAACGAAAGAGTCAAATTTTATCCCCTGCTCCCCCGGATTGGTCACCAACGTGTGAATCAATGACACTGGTTTCCCTGGTTCCAAATTCTCAGATTCCGTTATTGTTTGCGGTTTTACTGGCGTCATGTGCTTCTTGCAACATTCCTTCACTTTTGTACTTGGTTCTCGTGGGGTCAGTTTACTTTGGAAGATTGAATTGTAAATGGGTGGTTTCGTACTTGTCTTCTTTTGGAGCTCCAATACGTGTTCATGCATTTTGTCGACTTGCTGATCCGTCAATTTGAGAGGGAGGCCTTGATGCAATTGGCTCAATTCGGTAATATCGGGAAGTTGTGATAAGAGCTAAAGATAAATAACAAACCAAGTCATTATTTTGAAATATCTCGCAAAATTTCTGAAAAATCAAAAACTAAATAAAGTTTCTTTTTGTTTCTCAGCTTGACTCACCCGTGGAAAAACTATCCTTCCCCTTTCCTCTCCTAACTTGGACTTTAAATGCTTTTCTAGTAATCCGGCGTAAAAATCTTGAGCTGCATTAACAGCCGGTCGATTCTCTAATTCTTTGCAGACCTCGATTCCGCCCCCGGCGTCTGAGAACAAGGCGATGGGGATGAGCAGCATAATACTGGCTTCGTCGGGGGCGAGGGTTTTAATTCTACGGTAAACTTGTACTTTCGTTTCGAGCACAGGGTTTGGAGTGAAGCCAAAACTTTCTTCGGGCTAAGGTAAAAATAATTTTGACAGTTAAATTTCTTTTACTTACCAACATTCATAAAGATGAGCACATTCTGTGCATAGTGTCTATCTAACGAGTAACTCTTAACTAATGCAAATAAATTTTGTTTACTAAATCCATTATTAGTCAGAATTAAGACTTTCGAAATGTTAGATAACGTTCAATTATAAATAATTTTAAAATGGGGGTATTCACACCAGGATCTAGCATTGGATCTGTTCACACCAAAAATCATGGATTGTATTTGTAAATTGTCATTTATTTTTTTTTTGTCTCGCTATTACTCGCTATATTCAATTTGAGACGTTTACACACGTTTCCGTCAAATACATAACGTACATATACATAGTAATCACAGAGTTACACAAGTTGAATTAACATACACAAGCAACTCTCAATCTTATAGGCATGCAGGCTTACAAATTTTTCATTTATTGGTATTATTATGAAATTGCTAATTCACTATTGCACATGCACGTGTCGAACCAATTACCTACATTTATTTGTGGGTATTTATCCGGAAAGTCATCCGTATCGGAATTGTTGAGACCTTTTTCGAAGTTATAAGGTATTACTTGTCGCAGCAGGATCATTTCCACGATCGACCGTCTTATTAAATTAGTTTGGTCGTGTAAAGAGAGTTTTTCAAATTCGGGAAGCATCCTCGCAAAATATACGAACCTGTGTATAATTAATTGCAAATTATTCTATGACGATTCCAACAAATATTTACGTCATGTATATATGTAACCGTGTAAACCTCAAACGTGTACATATATTTAGACTTTGGTAACTTTGATTTTCTTTAAGAAAAATCTACACAGCTTACACCGTTACTAATTCCGCTGGTTATTAGACTTGTATTTTTATTAATCACCTTCTAATAGATGTCGACATGATCCCAATACTCATAGTTATCACTTTGGTCTTGCTCAAGATTTCATTATTTGCTCTGGTGAGGAAACTATATGGAATTAATTCGCACGCATTTTTATAAATTTTGGAAAGATTTTCGACTCTTTCGACATCCACATCACTCATTTGGTCAACTATGACATTGGTTGTAATGTTTGAACCTTTTGTTTTTTGTTGCTTGACTTGTTTAGTCTTTTCATGCTCGGAGATCGCCCATGCGGGTGACATCCCAATTTGCACGCATTTAAAAAATCTGCACGTTTTACACTTTCTTCTGGTAACTTTATCAATTTCACAATTTTGTTCAAATTTACAATTACTCCTGAGATGTTGAAAGCTCATGGGATCCTTCACTTTGTGGAGAGTGTAGTAGTGAAAAAATGACCTGCAGCAGTTGCAAGATATGCCTCCGTAATTTTGAGCTTTTGCTTTGTCCCCACAAACATCGCAGGGCTGAAATAAATTCAAAATGAAAATTTTTGTCATGAGATTAAATTTTGTAATTTTGTAAAAAAACGGCATACCAAGTCTTTTCGAATAATTCGTTTATCCAATTGTATAGATTTCCGAGGTTTTCTCTTTTGTGATTTATTGCAAGATTTTACTTTTATTCTTTGCTTAACTTTTGCCATTGTGTATGCATTTGACGAAGACTGTGTGTGATTTAGTTTGCAGAACTAAAATAATTTTTGCTGCTGGAGATGTCAACTAAGTTTACATGCGTGTAATGTATTGAAATATGACACATGTACAATGTATCTGTACGTTGTCATGGTTACCATTGCGCACACTTCATTTGTACAGCTGAGGATGAGACCTTGGATCATCAATGAGATGAGAGTGTAACAGTGAGTAAATGGATATCTCAACTTGCGCAAAAAATGGTCTGGTTCGCATAAAAGAGAAGAATAGAACTTATGTATTCCAGCTTCATTTGACGCAAGTTTTAAAACAAAAAGCTGCACTTTAAGTAAAAGCGTTGCATTTATTTGTAAAATACTGGAGAGATTGCTCTTTTTTTATTTTTTTTACACGGTGAGAGATGTCATGATTTGCGTAGGTTGAATGGCGTGGGAAAGTATGTACGTTGAGATAAAAAATAAAGCTGTATCCATACGATAAGAAAGAGAGAGCTTGAGCAAAGTCTCCTCAGTGGGGGTGATGAGACGGAGAATTTAATTAAGCCTGATTTAGGTTTACCATACTTCGGGTGCATGCATGGGAAGGAAGGATAAAAGCAGCAAATGCATTTCACGGATTTGTGTAGGAATCACAAAATGCAGTATGCATATCTGTACGACAGAATAAAGTGGAAACTGGTACGAATATAGTTCTCAGCATCCAACCTCGGGCAAAATTTGATTCCCGCGTTCGTATCCCTACCATACTAACAGTGTGGGAAGGATACGAGCACGTGATGGTCGAGGTTGCATGCTGACCATATTAACAACACACCGAAAGTATCAAATCTTGGTTCATCTGGATAACTGGAAGGCTTGGGCCGTGTGCAAATATCGTCTCAGTTGTGTAATATAAATATGAACAAGGCAAAAAGTATGAACTATACTCTCCACTTGCTGAGTAGTTTTGCAATGTAAATTTTGAAAAATTGAAAGAACATTCAGAACGTATGGGGAGATCATGGTCAGAATACTTTCGGGATAAAGTATTGGATATATGTAATTTTCGCCCATTTTCGTTTCTATTTTCGCCCAAGCTATTAAAACATTTTGTTAATAAACAAGGTCCCAAAAAAGGGGAAATCTTAGTGAGGTAGTGCAATCCCACACGATCAGTTATATATGGATAGATAGCTCAGCTCGCGGTGGTGGCTCTGAAATGTACGAATAACACATTTTGAGCATGCTTAAATTCGTTTTATCCCATTTCGGGGTCGTGGGTTCCAATACTAGTCGCGGCAATTGCTTTTTTCGCATTTTTGTTTACTGGCTTAGACAGTATTTGGGACAGAGGTTTCAAAAATGACCACTATTTTGACCAATGATTAACTGCTTCAAATTTGCTCATGTTTAATGCATATTAAGCATATATGCAAATTCATATGTACCTGTATGTATAAATACTTAAACTCATAAATTTTTTGGGGGGTAATGTAAGATTTCTAGCTTTTAACGAATGTTGAATGTCGATCATTTTGTTAGCTTCGCACAGTGCTAGGGAGCCATCCTAGCTACCAATCCTAGAATCTTAGCTAGCCATTCTAGGTAGCAATCCTAGCTAGCCATCCTAGGTAGCAATCCTAGCTAGCCATCCTAGCTAGCCATCCTAGCTAGCAATCCTAGCTAGCCATCCTAGCTAGCCATCCTAGCTAGCCATCCTAGGTAGCAATCCTAGCTAGCCATCCTAGCTAGCCATCCTAGGTAGCAATCCTAGGTAGCAATCCTAGCTAGCCATCCTAGCTAGCCATCCTAGGTAGCAATCCTAGGTAGCAATCCTAGCTAGCCATCCTAGCTAGCCATCCTAGGTAGCAATCCTAGCTAGCAATCCTAGCTAGCCATCCTAGGTAGCAATCCTAGCTAGCAATCCTACCTAGCCATCCTAAATATCTTTACTAGCTAGCAATCCTACCTAGCTACCACAATATGGAACATTATAAAACTTTCCGGCCCCAGCCAAACTTGGAATTCCACAAGGAATTTGGTTTTCACTTCATAGTCACGTTGATATTCCACATCGAGGGGTTGGCGGAGTGAAAAAAATTCAATCCTGTTGTCTCTGAGAGATCAACTTTGCCGTAATTCCCTTCATAAATATCGATAATTTTTAATGACATTTATCGACACTCTTTTTTATAATATTTTTGCACTCTGCTTTTTTGGTTGTTAACGCGCTTTGGGAGACTTTGTTTAATTTTCGTCGGAATGCTCAGTTTACGTACTTTAATGTTGCAGAACAAACATTTTGAAATTAGCAGTACCCGAGCAGCGCCACGAATTTACGTGCAACAGTTAATGCTTAAAATTGTTTCTATGTTATTCGAGTTTTGATGGGTGGCTATAAACAGAGGTGGCCTGGAAATTTTTAAAAATTGAACTTTTTGGCATCCTCATACTTCAAAATATAAAGGTAGGCTGCCGTTTTGTGACAGCTTTCCGCGTTGAAGTACTGTCACGTCATGTTCGAGTCACGTCAAGTGTCAATTTTGTAGTTGTGAAAAACTCGATTTGCAAATTTCTCACTTTGACCCCGATTTCTATTGAATTTCGTCGTTTTAATAAAAAAATGCTTTACCCCTGCTGAAAGCCCTTGAAATTGCATTTCAAAAAACCAAGATAGCTAAGCCACAATCTCCACTAATTGCGCAGTACACTATATGAACCAACTGTCTAACGAAACCTGGGACATGCCTTATCTCAGTTAATTTAACCCACTGCTCGTTCACTACATAGCAAAAATGCCTTCTTTCTCAATTTATTCAATAAAATTAAGAATTCATGCGTATGCAAAGAAAAATTTATACTGTATCCAGTAAAAATGGTACCGAGAGCGGTGATGCAAAAATTCTGCAATCTAATTTTATTTATTAATTAGGATTGCACTACCTCACTAAGATTTCCCCTTTTTTGGGACCTTGTTTATTTATAAGTTTTAATTGGAATTTGGAATGTCATGTCATGGGATGATTACATTGCACCACCCTCTTTCAATACTTGCATCCGGAATAATTTTATTAAATGATTCGTTTTCAAAATTGAATTATTTCGTTATTTGTTAACCGATTCGCGTTATTTTGGTCTTAAGATGTCTGGTCTAGATTACTAAATACCAAATGACCTGATCTGGACGTGGAACACTCACAACAACCCCTTTATGCATTTTACCAAGAGCGTTACAAGAGAGAGTATTTTGTACAGAATCAAATATTAGTTGTTCTTTTTACAGTTGTGAATATTTATTTTGTCTTAAATTTATTAGTCCTATGTCGTTGTCAATGACATTGATTCGTAGCACGTCTATGAATTTTATGGTCTTTGAATTGGAATAACTAAATCAATTCTGAACGGATTTTGATATATTTACAGTCGGTAACAAAAGTATAGCTACGATGACATATTTTTTATCTCGACATGATGCCGTAATATTTCAACTTTGAAACTCCGTACAAAAATGTCAAAACTATCTGCCGACAATTTCCTCGTCGCCGATTTTTAATGTCGCAGATAGGTCAAAGGTCAGGATTATTTTTTTTTTTAAATTGAGGCGTCGAAAAAAAACTTCGTGGATAATTTTTTTTGAACTTTGCAATATTTTTTACTGGATGCGGCATGCGTTTTGAAGAATAATGAGCTTTGGTCGGACCGTGTACGATTTTTTGGCGCCCACAGGAATTTTTCGCCCAGGACAGGTTGGAGGTCTAAAATCGCCGCCTTGGCAAAAATTAAAAAACTGAAATATACGTTTGCATATAGAGGGTCGGGATATTTGTTAGTAATTTGTTATTTGTTAGTAATTTTTTTCGTTGTATGTTTCGTTGTAGGTATTTGCCTCACTAAGAAAAAGGCATGAGAATTGTTCAGAGAAAAGTAAACGATACATAATTTCATACATATCTAATTAACAATCACGTTGTGAATACTGAAGTATGTTAATTGTATTATTTTCGCTTTAAATTGTTAATTTGGAAACATCATTGACCAAGGAATCCAAAGGATTCTCCAACAGTTCCGGAATTCTGCGCATGTAGGCCCGCTCTACGCCCAAATGAGGACCTCGTCCAAAAAAATCCGGCTTAATTCCCCACTCCCCAAATCCTGGATTTTGTGCAAATGTGTGAATCAGAGCGGGGAAGGAAGGTTTAGTTGGCGTTACTTTGGTCGTGATTGGCGGCCCCTTACAATGTCCAATGTTACTGCATTTCGGGGTTGGTGGCTTCATTTTCTCCCGAAAATAAGTGTCGTCTGGAGGGGGTGCTTTACTCGTCTTTTTCTGAAGGAGTAAAATATGCTCATGCATTTTATCCACTTGTTCGTCAGTCATGTTGAGTGGGAGCCCGTGATGTAATTGCGCCATTTGCGTAATATCCGGTAGCAAGGAGAGGAGCTGGATAAATAAAATCAAATGTGTAGTAGTTATTTATTTAAGTAGGAGCAGGATGAACTGAGAATGAGTCAATAATCGGATGACACATGTATAAATCAAATAGATAATTGTGAAATTCTGTGGGTGAGATTCTAACGACTTGCAAATTTTTGGTGGTAGCGTCATACGATTGTCGACTCATATGTAGTTGGTGTCTTCTGTTAGAAATAAATGATTTCACGGAAAAATTGACATTTCTCAGACCCCTCTTGCCACATGATATACCCACTTTTATCAGTGAACACAAGGGCCTAATCCCCCTAAAGCTATCTCCACTTCCGTGAGATCGTTTATTTATCAGCCTTAGAGCTTCACCAAAAATATAAAATAACTCACTCTGGGAAAAAACAACTTTCCCTTTTCTTCTCCATGAATGAACTTTAAATGCTTCTCCAGTAAACTCGAATAAAGTTCTTGTGCTGAATTTATTTCAGGTCTGTCATGAAACTTTAAGCAACTGTCGGTTGCACCACAGTCGGAGAACAGAACAACAGCAACCATCAACATGATACTGGCTTCATCCGGAGCATTGGTCCGAATTCTTTTGTGAAGTTGCATTTGCATCTCTTTCACCCCGTCGGCACAATTACAGGCACATTCGCCACCCTGCACAGAAAAATACACATATTCAAAAAGTGTACACAGATTTCTGAAATTACATATGTAACTTCTTAGTGGAAAACCAAAATGTGTATAAATTTTGAACCAAATTAAAAATTTTGAGGATATTCATCATGTTATAACATGAAATGTATATATTTCACATTTATCTTGCGAATTAAAAATGGTGTAAAAATTATTAATATGCATCTGCCCACAATTGATGTCTTATTAATTGCATAACTGATCAAATTTTTATCAATCCACTAAATCAACCAACCCGTATTTGTAAATGTTTTACGGCTGCTTACATAAATTTCTGGATATTTTTCGGGGAAGTTCTTTTCAGCAGAATGGCACACACTATTCTCGAAATCGAAGGTAATCACGTTCCTCAGCAAAATCATTTCCAAAATAGATCTGCGCAATAGACTGGTTTGATCGTGTAGAGAAAGCTTCTCAAATTCGGGTAACATCTTCGCAAAGCAGACAAACCTGGAAAAAATCCTTTATTAGAAAACCCTATCGTTAAGTATGCATTATTTTAAAAAAGGCACTGAAATATTTACCTTCGTATAGCTGTCGACATTACTCCAATGTTTATCACTTTTATTTTTGTAACGCTTAAAGGTTCACCAGTGTCCCGAGAGAGAAAGTTGTAAGGAATTAGTTCACAAGCTTTTTTATAATATTTTGAAATATGGGCAATTTTTTCAGTTTCTTCTTCGCTTAATATTTTATCCGGATAATAATTATCGGTCTGGAGGGGAAACTTGATCTCCTTTTTTTGCTGCTTAAGTTCTTGTGCCCTTTTAAAATCGGATATGACCCAATTGGGACACATACCAATTTCTATGCATTTAAAAAATCGGCATGTTTTACACTTTTTCCTTGTTATTTGGTTAATTACACATTTTCCTCCAAATTTGCAATTGCGTCGAAGATCTTTAGGCGACGGATTATCTTTGACGAACTGAAGAACGAAATAGTGAAAAAATGACCTGCAACAATTGCAGGAAATACCTCCATAATTATAAGACCGAGCTTTTGCTCCGCAGACATCACAAGGCTAAAAAATTGAAATTTGTGTTTAGTATAAAATTAGATTGATATATTTTTTAAATATATGTATAAATTCGGAAATAAATAATATACCGAGTCCTTTGGAAATGATCGCATCTCTAATTTCTCTGACAGACGAGGTTTTTTATCAGACCGTTTCGATTTGGGTGTAATTTTTCCCATCTTTAAGTAATTAAGTATTGATATGCGTATGCGTAAGTAAGTATAAAATTGAGAACTGTATTTTTATTCACCACCTCGGTTAATTTGAATGAACCAGTTTATGTTGTTGTCATGGTTACTGTTACATCATACTCAACTTACGTATTAGGCAAATGTAAATATTATGCCGATAAATATGTATGTACGAATTGCACACATTTGCAGCTGAGAAGACCGACCTTGATTTTTGATGATGAGTACATCTATCTATCTATCTATGCATGCAACAACTACACATCAATAATCATTACTAGTAAATTGTTATCTTTATTCAGCCGAAAAATGCTCACGAAGATGTGAATTTAATATTATGTGCGTTGCATATCATTCAGCATTGTGCTACGACAAACAGTGCTCTTGTACGGATACATAATATGAATTTCTTTCGTCAGATCAAAATTCCCTATACAACATTCACTACAAAATACTTATGTTAGAAATACGATGCTTCTTAACTTATACGAATCCTTGAAAATCACACATTCGTATGCGATATGACTTCAAAATTTAGCCAATGCACATATGTACTTACTTATATACGCATGTACGCATGTGTACATATGTACTTACTTTAAAGGATCAAACCGTCGTTATAAAATTTTGGTGTCGTTTTTTACTTTGAATCCAAAAACTTTAGACAAATGAGGTACGTGAAAAGTGTACAACTAGTGCGTGGTCTGGTGACAATATGAATATATTTGATTGCGATAATACATAGTCTTACCATAAGAAGTGATAGTAGAGCGTAGTTTTTGAACCGGTCAACATTAAATTAAAAGGTCAGTTGTGGTTTGTGCACACATTCAGTGCCTATCATTGGTGTTGACCGTTTTTACTTGACGTGACTAGGTCAAAAGTAGGAGGAGCTTATCTACGCGCGCGCGGCAATAATTTTTCACTTTTTGCACGAGAAAAAAAATGCACAATGTTTGATGTAGTGCAGCAGTCCGAGTACAGTTATGATCTGGTTACCCAAACTATTGAACTAACGCTAGGGACAGTGGCTATCTATGACATAAAAGTTCCGGTTGTCCAAGGTCAAGGAGGACTACAGTGAGGTCCGACGCTTTAAACACCAGAATGACACAAAATTTCTGTCCGACGCCGGAGACTTTGCCACACAAATGACCTTTCAACTTTATAAATCAGATGAGCACTGAAAAATGACCCCAAGATGGAGGCCTTTTCGAGTAGAAAGCGTCACATGCCACAGTTTGCCCAGACATAAGCTAAGGTCAAAAAATCTAACACCCTCTCCCAGCGGTACGGTAAAAAGCAAACAAAAAATAACCCGTCTGCAGATGAGAACTTCTTTAAGGCGGAGACATATTTCCACAAAAAAAGAAGCAGAATCTATGTTAAATATTCTTAGGGTTAGTTGATTGCGAAATGGAGATCGAAGGTTATCTTATCGGCCTAGATTCATGGTTTTGGCGGGAATCGGCGGAATTGGGCAAAAACCGCCCAATTTTCTGGATTATGGAGACGAGATAGTTTTAAAAAATATTTGATTAACGTCACAGTGAAGAAGGAACACCCCCTCAACTAGTCCATATGGGGTGAAAAGCCACCAACCTTTGTGAAGGGCTCCACACTAACAAATACAGCGAAATTCGTGAAAAACTGGATTAAAATCCATTTTTCTGACTTCATTCGCACTTTAGGTTTGACCTTGGCATTTTCGAACCGCAGTCAACTTCACCATCAAATATTGATTAAAGTTGCGGAAAGGGTCTGTTCTGAACCCCATATAAGTGTCAGGGTCACAAAAAAATTTCTGACCCGGGAATGATACACTTTGTCGATTAATTTCGTGCGTATTTTTGATAGAGCTTTCTCCTCTCGTGACCAATTTCTCAGTGCCACAAGAGGAATATATTTTCAAGTTTAATACACGTTTTCTACTTGAAATTTAACTGGCTTTTCAATGGAATATAAATAAATTTGAAATTCCTTAAAACATAAGCGATATGGTCGCCTACTCTACTATCACTTTTTAAGTTGAGACTATGTATATGAATGCTGAAAAGTGGTGGTCATGCAGTATATTTAAATGTCATCATACGGAGGAGAAACTTATACTACGATTATGATATAACTTTATACTAGCCATGTACATTGCACATTTCATACGGTGTGATGAACTATGTACATACTTGATTCAAGCACACATTATAGTAGGGGAAGCATAACTTCCATCAAAATTTGGCTCCCGCGTTCGTATCCCTACCATGCTAATAGTATGGGAAGGATACGAGCGCGGGATGATGGAGGTTATGCTTCCCCAGTATTAGTGTGTACTTTATTTCACAATTTTGAAGAAATTTTCATTCCATAATAATTCAAGTAAATTATTTTATTTCATCATTAATATATTTATAATACTGATATTGCACTTATATTTCACCCCTCTTTTTATGTTTATTCGAAATTGCCAATTTCTCTACATCATTAACCAACGAGTCCCACGGATTTGACAGCAATTCCGGAATTCTGCGCATGTAGGCCCGCTCTATACCACAATGCGGGCCTGCCTCGAAATACTCCGGCTTAATTCCCCACTCACCTGGATGACTGACAAAAGTATTGATTAAAGAGGGAAATGGGGACGAATTTTCGGTTTTATGACTTTCGGGTTTCAAAATACTTGACGCAGACGATTGTCTAGCCGCAGCAATAACTTTTTTGCAGCAATCCTTCTCACTATTCAAATATTCTCGTGGGGCTGGATCATCCCCGAAATAATTAGTACTCGAGGATTGACAAGTTTGGGTATTTGTTCCCCTCTGAAGACGGAGAAGATGCAGGTGCATCTTATTAACTTGGTCCTCCGTCATGTTAAGAGGAATTCCTTGGTGCAATTGAGATGCTTGTGTAACATCGGGAAGTTTGGAGAGGAGCTGAAATCAATTAAAAATTAAGTATGAAATCAAGTAAATTAATAAAAATTTTGAAATTTTTAGAGATTTTTTTGTAGTATCTCACCCGTGGAAAAATTTGCTTGCCTTTTTCATCACCGTAAACTTTCTTTAAATACTTTTCCAATAATCTTGAATAATATTCTTGTGCGGAATTAATAGCTGACCGGTCCTCAAACTCTGTGCAGCTATCGTTGCCACCGGAATCCGAAAAAAGGACCAAAGGCGTCAATAGCATGATGCTGGCTTCGTCTGGACAAAGGGTCTGGATTCTTGTGCAAAGTTGAACGTACATATCGGATATCTCCCCTGGCCATAACATGTCACATTCTTCCACCTAAAAATTTAGCAGATCAGTATCGTTCTAATTCCAATACATAATGCGACAATTAAAGCAGATATTCAGAGCATAGTAAACTACCCAAACTCTGTAATTTTATAGAAATTTGCCACATTTTACAAACATATGTAAAGACGAAAAATCAATTTATATCTAATTTGGCTGTAAACTTTCACAGATCAAAGGGACATTTCTGACTCGTAAAAAAATTGTTAGTAATTTCAACTTCGCTCATAATTTATTTACATGCAGTTTACTCGGTCACAAATATCAGAGGGAATTGTCTCCTTGAACTAAATACGACTTACAGTGACTTCGGGATATTGGTCAACATCGGAATTGCAGGTGTATGCATGTGCTGTAAAGTCATAAATTACAGAGTCTCGTAAAATTGCCATTTCCATTACGGATCGTCTCAACAAATTGGTTTGATCGTGCAAAGAAAGTCTCTGAAATTCCGGGATCATCCTCGCAAAGCAGACACACCTTCGAATAACGGTGGATATAATACCAATGTTTAAAATTTGTAGTTTAGTTGGGCTCAAGATTTCAGATTTTTCTCGAGAAACAAAATTGTACGGGATAAGTTGACACGCAGTTTTGTAATATTTTGCAATATTTGCGATTTTTTCAGCTTCTTCTTCGCTTAATGTGTTATCTTGAGGAAGGATTTGCTGTTGAACTTTGGATTGATTTGATTCTGAATTTTTTTCTTTCCTTAGTTTCTGTGGTTTTTCATAATCTGATAGCACCCATGAAGGATCCATTCCAATCGACACACATTTAAAAAATCTGCACGTCCTGCACTTTCTCCTTGTTACCTGATTGATTGTGCAATTTTCTTGAAATTTGCATTTCTTGACGTTACTTGTGGATGGGTAGTTTCTAACATTGTTGAGAACGAAATGCGAAAAGAAGGACCTGCAACAATTGCAGGAAATACCTCCATAATTGTGCGATCTTGCTTTATCCCCGCAAACCTCGCATGACTAAAATTAATTTGAGATCCAGTATCAACTATTTAGAGTTTTAAAATGAAAAGTATTCCAAGTTACCATGTCCCTTCCAATAAATCGCCTTTCTGATTTTTGATTATTTTCAGTCGCAAGATTTGATGCTTCTTTGTTTTTGGGTAATTTACTTTTTGCTATTCTTTTCATACTTGCTTTTCGCTTTTCCGATTTGTATTTATTTTTTAGAAAAATATCAAGTACAAATGTTTAAAATATATGTATGTAGTTGCACAATTAAAATCGTCCAGTTTACACTTCTGACATTTTATGCTACATACGTACATCACGAGTTGTTGAGTGTTTAATACGATTTACATATGCATTTGTACATAGTTTTTCGCTTATGTAATGTCAGCTGAATTGAGCCATCGGTGAATATGGTATCTTTATAACGTGAAGTAAAAAACTATATTTAGGATTAGTTGAACATGCATATATGTATGTACGTCATGCATAAGGAAGGATCATTACAACAAATACGCTTCAACATTTACATTGTTTAAACTTAAAATTATACAGAACCCTTTTTCCAAGAAAGTGGAAAGTTTGTACATGCACGACAACGGATTTTACATACCCTCATTTTACACAATGGAACACTATATTCGAAAAATATATAAATATTTAATTAATATGCATGAATGAAATAATTTCCTACCAAAATCAAGGCAAACACTCCACGAAGCTTGAGCAAAATAAAACTACGTGAAAAATGTCATCCTTGAACTCCACTAAAGAACTTGATAATTTTTATTACTCATTGCTAATCTCACTTTTCGTCAGTTTTAGAACAATTTTAGGAAATGTCTCGATGTTATTGACCAATGTATTCACCACCAGTTTAGTCATACGGCGCAGAAAAGCTGCTAAATATAATTGGCACACGGTTCATCTTCGTTTGGAGACATTGATAATCTTGAGACATTGCTGACTAAAGAATCCCACGGGTTTGCCACCAGTTCCGTCATTCGACGCATGAAGGCCCGCTCTATGCCGCAATGCGGCCCTGACTCGAAAAAGTATGGTTTAATTCCATATTCTCCTGGATGATTGGCAAATGTGTGAATTAGAGATGGGGAATTAATCAAATGATCAGATTTATAATTTTCGGCTAGATTTGGGTTCTTCGGATTTTGCGCTTTGGATGCCAGTAGACTTTTAGACGCCAGATTTTTCTTACAGCATTCCTTTTCCTTGGTAAGCTGGTCGAGTGGTATGGTTTTATCGTGGATAAACCCGTTTCTCGGAAGTGGCGAAGGACTTGCAATTATCTGAATTTGTAGGAGGTGTTCATGCATTTTATTGACTTGGTCTTCCGTCATGTTAACCGGTATGCCTTGGTGCAGCTGAGCCGTTTGAGTAATATGAGCAAGTTGGGAGAGTAGCTGAATAAAAGAGCATGCAAAATTTGCATATGATAAATGAGGTTCTGTGTATTTAGCTTATTGCATATTACACCACGGCGTTTAAACTTTTTCGTTGCTCGTGGTCTGTCCTAAGGGGGTGGTGCAAAGGTGGGAATTTCTAATACAAAATTTAACAAATTAAAGTTGAGGAATTGTATGGAATTTTGCCATGCATAACACATAATATATTTACATATTCCGTTGCCAACCACCTATCAAATTAACCCTAGTGTTCATATCTGAAGATGAGGAATCAAGTTCGAGGATTGATAAGTTCGGTCAAATGGTTGACGGATGTGGGTCAGCCAATGAGGTTATATAAGTCGGATGAGGTGCAAAATATTACAATTTGTAAAATTTAGTTGACAACCAAATAAATGCATGGCAAAGCAATTCCCCAACTTTTAAGTTTGAAATTTCTTCTATAAAAAAATTCATCCTTGCACCACCTCCTATGAAAAACTTTAATAAGCGTCCTGGTATTACATAACTCAGGCTATGTACTACAGATACTTATGTATGGGTAGTTTACCCTAGGGAAAATTAGTCTGCCTTTTTCATCACCGTGGAGATATTTTAAGTATTTCTGCAGTAATGTCGTGTAGTGCTCTTGTGCTGCATTAATTCCAGCTAGATCGTCAAACTCGGTACAATTCTCATTTCCTCCGCAGTCGGAGAACAAGGCCACGGAGATCACTAGCATAATACTTTCCTCATCGGTAGCAAGGTTTCGCATCCTTCTGCAGAGCTGGACATACGCGTCAGTCATGTCGTCGGACCATTGGCTAAAGCATTCGTCCATCTGTGACACAAGGTTAATGTGAAATGAATGAAATATGAGTAGGGAATTAAAATTATATCAAATCACAAAGGAGAATTATCTACCATACTTACTTTAAATTGAGGATATTGGTCTGCTTCAGAGGTGCTCAAGCCTGTTTCGAAATCATAAGTTACCACATCTCGCAGAATAATCAGTTCCATGACGGATCGTCTCAACAAATTGGTTTGATCGTGTAAAGAAAGTCTTTGAAATTCGGCAAGCATCCTCGCAAAGCAGACAAACCTAAATATTTATTTTGAATTCATAGTGTCATCAGAGTGGAGGCGATCGAATATTTAAAAAAAAACCTTCGAATTGCTGTAGATATCATGCCAAGTTGTAAAAGTCGTATTTTGGTTGGGCTCAAAATTTCACTTTTTTCTCGGGGGAGAAAATTGTAAGGAATTTGTTCACAAGCGGATTTGTACAATTTGGGAATTTCTGCAATTTTTGCGATATCATCATCGTCTAGGTTTGGCTTTTGGGGAGATATTACGTCTTCAGGGTGAGTTTGACTTGTTTTATTCTGTTTAAGTTTTTGTGTCCTTTCATAATCTGATATAACCCAATTTGGGTCCATTCCAATTTGTACACATTTAAAAAAGCGGCATGTTGGACATTTCTTTCTTGATAGTTTGTCAATTTTACAGTTTCCGGTAAATTTGCAATTTTTAATGTTATTAGTAGAAGCGTAACTTGTCATATTTCTAAGAACGTATTTGAAAAAGAAGGATCTACAACAATTGCATGAAATGCCTCCGTAATTGTGAGACCTAGCCCGTTCCCCGCATACATCGCAAGGCTGAAAGAGTTATATTTAATATAAATGTAATATGATGAATATTTGGAGAATACCTTGGGTCATAATTCTAATACAAGTACGGATTAAAAATACAAATCTGGAATCATGATTTACCCGTTCACTTAGCCGTAGAGTTTTGCGACATGTTTGTCCTTTTCCAGATTTGGAAGTCGTTCTCTGTCCCACTGTCGTCATTTTCACTGTCTCCAAGTGAAATTGATGGTTGAAATGAAGATCAATCGTCCACTTCAGATTATTGTCATGGTATTTAGCATAGAGACCACAATTATAAAATTCTTTGAATTACCACCGCTTTGAATTACTCCTTATAAACACGAACTGTTGGGTAAACCTTACAGGATGTAATAAAATTTTGATCTTTTTTATGATTTAATTTCCTATTCGTTGTTTATTTTAAATTGGAGAGTTAAATCGTGGAATGGTAAGGACGTGTTGAATAACATGCACGTTCGTAATGTGTATACATACTTTTGCAATAACGAACTGCGCAAACCAAGCAAAAAGCGAGATGATTATTACATGCATTGCCTTTTGCAGATGGAAGATAAATACTTTAATACGTATGAATTTATGTACATGGTCATTCAGAATGACTCATTCTCATTATGTATGTCCTACATGCATATCTTACACAGCTTGCAGATCGTGTTGTGCTTATATGTATTGTCCAGCGTCTGGTACATACCTATGTTGTAGTAGTTCTGCAATTTGTCTGGCAATTTATCAGACAAAATTGCTAAGCCAAAAATTAATGGCGAATCACTTTTAGCCGAGTTATTTATAGGTACATATTTATATAGATATACAGTGAAATAGTGTTTTTCACACTCTAATAATTTTATGTATCATAGCTTAAAATTTGTATAATTTTTAGTAGATAAATAATCTATAATCAAATTACGGGGGGCGTTTAGTTAGTAAGTTTTTGAGATACAAGTCAAACTATGCCAATTTTCATAAATTTAATTATTGACCAAAAGTATGCCAAAGTGGGTTAAATATCACTAGAAATGATTGCTGAAGTTATTTTGGACTAGTAATAATTTATGTTAAAGCTGAAAATTTCCAAGAATTGGAGTAGCCGAGAAGGTAATTTGAGTATCGGGCTGGTACTGCTCAAAGATCGTAATCTAAAGTATAACAAAGTGACCATTAGTTATGTAATCTTACTAATATTTTATAACCCTGTATTTATTTATACCGTATTTGTCCCGATTTTAAGTAGTGGTGCTGGCACATAAAGCGTGTGTGGAGGTCCAATTTTAAAATACCTCCCAAGGTTGAAGCCATTCAAAAATACGATTCCCTTATGCCAACCACGCATATTGAGCCAAGTATCCGTCGGGTTGTCCACTTCAAATGTAGACTGAATAAGCACCGGGCCAGTCACCGCCCCCTCGATTGGCGTCCATCCAGTCAAACTATGCAAGCAATTCTATCTATTTGTATCAAGTTTGTTGAATTATTGACCAAATATCAAACAACCAACCTTTTCACCCAGTCTGACTTGAACTCTAGAGCCATCGTTTCGATCTGTGTCATTAATTGACCATCAATCACTATGTTTCCTTCCTGTAGACCTTTCTGATACTCAAAGTTGGAAGGGTCCCCGAAATTAACTCGGCCCATATTTTCCACCAAAAGATCAACATTTCTCACAGTGACGCTGTCCAGTCTTAAAGTTTGTTGCTGCGTGGCACGTGTCCAATAGCCGAAATCAGTCGCCAACTGGGCTACATTATTTGGGGGGTTGCTTTGTACTTGACCGTTGACAGTGGCGCATTGTAATCTGAGAGGAGATGAGATCAGAGGGAGACATAAAAGTGACGCTGGCATGAGATGTGCATAAAGTGAAAGTAAGAATTTTTAAGGTGAGCCTAACCGTAGGAGGACACATCTGGCAGATAGTTTGGAAAGAAGGGGATCACATTGGCTCCAGCGAGAAAGCCGAAACTGGTCCCCCCATGATACATATAATAGTTTACAGACCCGTTGAAATTGTTAAAGATGACTTCTAGATTTTCTTGGAAAACTGTAAGCAACCAAGACATCCAAAAAAGTTAACCCTTAGCCGAGGAGAAACGGTAACTATGTTTGGCGTTGCTGCGGGGCGTTTCGTTGACCACAATTGTGATCATTCGGGAAGCCGAAAAATAATAAAAATCTTTCAAGTTCTAAATCTGGAAACTTCAAGCATATTGAGTTGCTTAGATTCGGGAGAATTTTTTTAAATGCTCAATTCGGGAGAACGGCAAAACGCGTTAGGTGAAAATGATTGCTGCGGGACAACGTCAATAAACGACATGTATTTAAAATAATGAATATCAACATTTAACAATTTGACATTGTAAAGCAAAATTCCATAACTTATGAGAATTATGACGACCACAATATAACACTTTAAAATTTAACATTTAAGGTAACAAGAATTAAAAGTTTTGAACAGTGTGGTACAATTCAAAGCACGCAGTTGGACACAGAGCAACCTTACACTGCTTGCACTGGAAAACGGTCTCTTTCCGTGGTTTCTTAGTATTTGGGGGTCCGGCTTGTTGTTTATTGGCACAAACGTGACAAATACGTCCGCCATGCTGTCGAGACTTAGTTGATGGGTTGTATTCCAAAAAATGACGCTCCGTTAATCTGTTTGGTTGGCCAGAAGAACTTATTGCGCAAATAGCTTGTGTTGGTTGCATTGATCCAATGATTTGGCGAATTAGATTTAGCCGGAATGATAGAAATTTGGTCTTCGTGCCTGGGTGTATCGACTTGAAAATGACGAAGGAGTTGAATATACATAGATCCACCAAGTAAAAGAAAAGAGTTTTATACCATTTCATGGATTTGCGTCGAATGTTGTAAAATTTCTTCATGTCACTGTAATCGGTTCCTCGAGCATATTTATTATAATCCAACACTGTTTTGGGCTTCATAACTACACCTCCGCCATAACGCTGCGGAACGGATACCATTGAATGGTCATGACTTGTGGAGATCATGGAGACAACCTTCTTATCCCTCCAGTATTCTGTCATTACTCCTTGACATGATTTAACGATTATTTCTCCTGGTTTCATTTTGTTCGGACCTCGTACTGGTGGTGGGTCAGTGTGCTTCCTATTCTTTCGAAGTGTTCCACATATGTAAGTTGTTCTCTCCAATAGATATTTCGCCAAATTGGGAGATGTGAAGTAATTGTCACAGTAGAGATGATGACCATTATTTAAATACGGTTCCAGTAATTTAAGGACTATTGCACCACCGTATCCAAACGTTCTGATATCCGGAAGAAGTCGATCATCCTTTCCAACATAGATCATGCAGAATAGTACAAATCCTGTTGTTTCGTCCACTATAGAGAAAATTTTGACTCCAAATCGCGACCTCTTACTTGGTATGTACTGCTTGAAGGACAATCTTCCTTTATAGAGCATGAGACTTTCATCGATTGATATGTTCTTGTGAGCCCGGAGAGTATTTTGAAAGTTCTGCATACAAAGGTCCCAAATCTTCCCCATTTTTTGCAATTTGTCTCCATTTGGCTGAGTATTATCCGAAAAGTGTAAATACTTCAATATTTCGAAGTAACGATCTTGCTTCATAATTCTCGTAATGATGGGATATTGTAGAAGTGGATCCCTAGACCAATATTACTTCATTTCAGGAAGTCTAGTAACTCCCATCAGCATTCGCACAGCTATTAGTTTCAATAAGTCTTGCTCGTCAAGCTCTCTCCAGTTGCTCCATCGTCGTGTGCTGCAATCTCCAGTCTGGTCCGCATACGTGTTGGTTTGTTGGATCACTTCTTGCCTAATTTCTTTGGTAAATAGTTTGAGGAAGAGGTCCAGTTCCGTTTCTGTTCTTGAAAATGGAATTGTCCAACCGCTTATCGTGTCGTCAAAATCGGAAACATCTGCTTTAAAATTCGGATCAGTTTGCCATTGCCAAGGCGCAGTGCATCCCGTCAATCCAAATGGAGTACCGGCAGTGAGTGCTAGGTGTCAAAAATTTCAATATATTAATATGCAAACGGGAAAGTAAAATCAAAATTTCGTACCTGGTGACGCCAAGGCAGGGTCAGCAGATTCATCATCGTCCTCGCCAGGGTCACTTTCGTCGCTCGTGTCTTCATTTTGCAGGTCACTAATTGTGAATAGTGGACCTGAAAATTCGGATGTGATCTGTGAAGTTTGTTTGAATATGACGATTAGTGCATACTTACTATTTTCACAGTCTTCGTCACTGCTTACTGGATCTTCTTCAACATCTGCGAACATGTCCGGTGACCCCACTTGTTCTTCCGAATTGACATCGCGATCCATCAGCATATTGTATAAGTAATTTTCGTTATTTGGATCCATTTTCCACAAATAAGGATGTTTGTGATGTGTGAATTCGTTTTGAATTTATTAATTTAAATTAATTTAATTAATTTACTAATTTATTTTAGTTTAATTTTTAGTGCCAACGTGTTTTGACGTTTCCCGAATCTGCTAAAAAAATTTTATCACGGAAATATCCGTTGTCCCGCATCTGACATGGAAACGTGAAAAGCCGTTGACCCCGAAGGCAGACACTTTTTTTATGAACGGCTTTTCACGGCTTTCCGCATTAAAACAAAAACTCCAAAACGTTTTTAAACGGTCTCCCATGGCTAAGGGTTAAACCAAAATATAAAATCACACCATTTCCATACCTGCTACTGGACGCGCATTGTGAAACGGTTCGTACCAATGGTCAAACCATCCACTAAAATAGCGAGAATTATGTATCTAATTCTTTAGAAAAGATCTTTGAGACGAGAATGAATCAATGAGAGAATTCATTACGAGTTAGCACCGTTAGCAAAAAAAACAAAGTTTGCAAGTTCGCAAAAAAAATTATCTAGAAATTCATTTGCGAATCTCCGAATCTCCAATGCTAATATTTAGTTCCCATTTTTGTTTCAAAATTAGGCTGCGATGTGGACATGCAAGCTCGTAATGAATACCCCCAATACATGTGGCTATGATGCATACCTCCAATATTCCATCACCAGAACAGGTTTGTCTGGTTGCAATTCCAATAAAGCGGCAAGTTGACCGGATGCATCGTCATAAAAGTTTGCAGATTGAAGTACACCAGGCAAAGCTCCTTTATCCCCCGCGGTAAGAGGAGAGTCTGACGTTACGAATAATTCATTAATTCCTGCCTGCTCCATGAGGGATTTCAAATACTCGAGATGTGGGTAATCTTCCGTTCCAAATGCACCATATTCATTTTCAATCTGCACATTCGTATAGAAATTTCTTTACATTTTGTCTCAATGTATATGTATGTATATCGAAATAAATTGTATTATATTCTAACTTGAACCATCATAATTGGTCCTCCGTTCGACCATAGCAAGTCCGTTACGAGGGGAAGTAATGCATCAAAGTATATTTTAACTCGGGCTTCATAAGCTGCGTTTGAACTTCGAACTTTGAGTTCAGGATCACCCAAGAGCCAACTTGGAAGGCCTATAAATTATTATAAAAGCAAGAAAACCTAATTATTATACTCACTCGCACACTATTCGAAACTCTGGATTATGTGGAGCATATGTACATACCTCCAAAATCAAATTCACTACATATGTAAGGGCCCGGTCGAAAAATTACTAAAAGGTCTTCGTCGCGTGCCATTTGAATGAAGCGTCTCACATCCAGAAATTGAGACATGTCAAAGGTCCCATTACCAAAGTCGAACACTCCACGTTGAGGTTCTAAGAGTTAAAGGTTCTTTAAAATTAATTACAATTTTGGTGAGTACGGCATCAAACCATGCAGATTCCAAGGGACATAGGTCTCCAAAGTATTGGCCCCTGACGCTCTCAACTATAAAAGTAAATCACACATAACTGACTTTCATTTTCCTAAAAATGGGAAAAAACTACAACTACCTTTTTGATACGATCTGACCAGTACTGGGGATGCACGCGGAAGTAGCCCCAGATACGATTCGAATTGGTTTTCCATTCAGTCTAAAAACAAGTAGTCTTAATTAAAATATGAGACTCTAAACAATAAAAATTTATGTAGTTATGCAGCCACTCTTAAACTCTTAGAAATCCAGTATTCAAATAATATATGACACGGTATATGGATCTACCAATGTGGTATTGATTAGTAATAGCTCGGTATTAAAGTTTTACCATATAGGAATCGAATTTTTACGGGCAGATATTATTGCAAGTAATACCAAGCGGTAGCAACTTTAATACCGAGAAATCACTACCGGCGTGATTATACGAGATTTCTAAAAGTGTAAAATTACTTGAATCCATCAGGTTCCGCAGCAAGGCCCGAAATTCTCCCGTCGCCTTCATAGTACTCGTACACAGTGGGGAGTTGTTGACCAAGGAGAATGGGGACCAGAATGGAAATAATGGAAATTATAAAAAATTTCATTATGGCAGACTCAACCTTCTTCGTAAAATTTCAAGAGTCAATTGTACCCAAGCCATGTAACCATGCATTAAGCTGCCCTGACAACTGTAAAAGCTGCATTGATACCATTATCTATTATGATAAGAAGTTACACATGATGGACATTCCAATCTCATAAAAAATTGTGGAAATACTGCTAATGTATTTTATACGTAGTTGTTTCTCACATATGTAGGATTGAATCGACATTTTTTCTCAATATTATTAAGACATTTAACCAATATTACCAGGTTCATGTATGTACATAACAATATAAATGGGCAACTTATTACCTACATAGATGCTGATTATGATGACCGAATAGGATAGTAGGATAGGTCTGAAATTCTCGGCAACTTGCTGACCCAATGTGTGAAAATTTGGGTTTTAAGTCCTTTAGAATTTGAATGGAAAGTGAGAAAGAAAGATGTGTACAAATGCATACATATGTTTAATTTATATGCAAATTGTACATATTAAATCTTGCTACTACTGCGGAATATTGCATGCTTCAGTTTGAGTTAAACATACATTTAAATAGCGTCATTTATTCCGATCATGACAAACATATGAATATATGTAACTATGCATACATTTGCACCTACAATACTTGACAATTAAAAATAACTACTACTTCGCACACAAATTTAAACAAACGTTTTGGAATCAATACAAGTTTACTTTCCCTCCCGTTTGATCAGAATTAAGAAATCCGTAATTCCGACACATGCTTAACCAGAGAGTCCAACGGATTTTCTACAAGTTCTGGCATTCTACGCATTAAAGCCCGTTCCACGCCCTTGTGAGGCCCCTGAAGAAAATAGTACGGTTGTACTCCCCACTGGCCTGGATTACTAGCAAATACGTGAATCAGGAATGGAAAGGCGGGTGCATTTTTGTCGTGTTCGACAGTTTTTTCATGTCTTAGAGCATCTAGAATTTTAGCTGAGGACATGTATTTCTTGCAACAATCTTTTTGTTTGATTAGTTTTTCTTCGGGTAAATTATTTCTATCCCAAAAGTACTTGTTATCTGTAAGTGGTGACGTACTTGTCACACGCTGAAGTTCCAGCAAGTGTTTGTGCATTTTATCCACTTGATCTTCAGTCAATTTGAGGGGGAAGCCTTGATAGAGCTGCCCTACTTGTGTAATATCGACGAGTTTGGCGAGTAGCTAAGTAAATAAACAAATGTATTGGTAATATATTTCTCAAACAAAATTGATTTAACAATGCGATGGCGCCAGCGGTCTCGCTCCAATTTTGATGATACCACGATAATTATGTAGAATTAAGCACATGTTTCAGGATTTTTCATATTCCCAAGTTTGATACAAAATTATGCTGGAATCCGTTAGCTAGAATTTGTATTTTTCTCCCTCGTGAAAATTTAACGGTAAAAATGCAGACTCTCGTACATACATATACAATTATAATTTCGTTGAAACTGAACATTATGAAAAATCCTGAAACATGTGTTTAATTCTGCATAATTAAGTCTACATAATTATCGTAGTTTTCTCAAAATCGGAACCAGACCGCTGGCGTCATCGCATTGTATGTAAGTAGTACCCTTGGAAATTCAAGTCTCCCCCTTTTCTCCCCGAACACATGTTTCAAGTATTTTTGCAATAATCCAGTATAAAATTCCTGGGCAGCGTTTATCCCCGGCCGGTCATCAAACTCGGTGCAGCTATCGTTTCCACCAAAGTCGGAAAACAAGACGAGAGGAATAAGAAGCATAATGCTTGCTTCGTCGGGCGCATGGCTTCGAATTCTTCGGAAAAGTTGAATATTCATTTCTGTGAGTTCCTCTGGATACAAACCGGCGCACTCGTCTAGCTGAATTAAAAAGACATTATCTTAAACGTAAAAATTAAATAATTTAAGTGGAAAACTTAAACTGAACAAAAATTGATCGTAAAATTACAAAAAACGTACGACTTTTTTATTTTAACTTACATGAACTTCGGGGTATTTTTCTGGTAGGTTGTCCGCATCATAAAAGCATCCACGTTTCTCGATATTAAAGGTAAATACGCCACGTATCATGCCCATTTCCAACACGGATCGTCTCAACAAATTGGCCTGGTCGTGTAAAGAAAGTCGTTCAAATTCTGGGAGCATTCTTGCAAAACATACAAATCTGAAATAGAAGAAGAAGAAGAATTTGGAAAAATTTAATAAACAGCAAGTTGTTTTTTGTTAATTTAACTAGTCAGATTAATACCTCCGGATGCTTGTAGATATCATTCCAATATTTAGAATGTGGATTTTTGTCTTTGTTAAAACTTCAGTTTTTGATCGAGAAACGTAATTGTATGGAATTAATTCGCAAGCTTTTTTATAAAATTTTGGAATATTGTTAATGATTTCGGCTTCTTCAGCGCTCAATCCTTGAGCTGAAGGAGGAATGGATACCTCAATTCTAATGTCTTTAACTGCCTCAATTTTTTGATTCTCAACTGCTTTTGTATTTTTTGAGCTTTCTTTTGTCCTGTTATAATCAGAGATGACCCAAGCGGGTTCCATTCCAATGCTTAGACACTTAAAAAATCGACACGTAGTACAATTCCTTCGTGTAAGTAAATTAATTTCGCAGTTTCCATCATTCTTGCAACTTTCCTTAAGATTTGAGTAAGTGGCCGTGTAATTATCCTTAAGATTTTTAAGGACAAAATGCTGGAAGCAATTTAAATGTTTAAACTCTGAATAAATTTGTGCCAACATTTGACGTTTTAAATACGTACGTGAAAGAAAGATCGGCAACAATTGCATGAAATGCCTCCATAATTGTGAGACCGGGCTTTATCGTGGCAGACATCGCAAGGCTATGCAATTATAGAATGGCAAATTAATTTCGAAGTTGTGGGATACTAAATACGTGGTAAAAAAATATGTACTTTACCCGATCTCGTTCAATCACTCGTAGTCGAGGCTTCCTCTTTCGTGGGGCAAGTTCACTGGTAAGATTTCCCGATTTGGAAATTACTACGTTACGATTCTCTTTTCCCATTATCTTTTAATGCACATGACTTAAAACTGATCAGCGTTGTATCGGAAAAAATTTTTTTTTCTGAAAATAAGTATGTTCGAAAATTAATCCATAAAGTTGGTATAATAAATAACTGTGCACGTTGATACGAGAAACGTAAAACTTTTACACATTCGCCATATGATCGTCGTGTTAATAAGTGTGGATGAAGAATAAGTGCATAAAATGATCCAATAAACTTCAGACTGTTGTCTGTCATGTAATATTTACCAGGCACAGTAACGATTATGCCATGAAGTGCAGATCTCATCAACTCTTAGTTTTGGCTGACCTTGATGAATGACTGGACATATTAGTAATGAATTGTGTACATATTTGCGTACGTATGTACGTATCTAATGGAATGAATATTTATTGGTGTACATACATATTTATGTATGTACTTACATATGGTTACTATAACGAGGTTTCGGTAAAAACCATTAGATTTTAATTCATAGAATATACATATTTATATAATGTGTCTGTCTACTAAAATAATCTGCCAAAAGTGGTCGGTGTTATGAAATAAAATTATTTTTTAAGCAAAAATATTCTGATTTCAATAACTTTTTGTATAGTAATTCAGTTATCAGACAAAAGCAATTCTAATACGAAATACACTGGGAAACTGACAATGCAAGTCTTTTACGTGTACAACTCAGATCTGGTTGGGACCAATTTTATTTTGTTCACCACAAAAAATAAGCATACCCCTATTTTTTCATTTTTCATAATGCTCTAATTTGAGCGCGGGGCGGGAATTTTAAAACATTTTTCAGCCAAAACCTCGCTTTTTAAAAATTCTGTAAATTTTCGAATTTTAGCGCGAATCCAAAAATTCGAAAACATGTCTCTTTAGAATGACTTACCTGACTTATGAAAAATTTAATTGTCTCAAAATTTGAATTTCAAAATTTTTTGCCAGTTTTTGAAATTCATTAAAGTTGTAAACTCTTTCAAATTTTTAATTTTTCAAAAAATAATGCATTTGGATTTTTTACAAGTCAAGTAAGTCATTCTGGAGAGACATGTTTTCGAATTTTTGGATTCGCGCTAAAATTCGAAAATTTACAGAATTTTAAAAAGCCGAGGTTTTGGCTGAAAAATGTTTTAAAATTCCCGCCTCGCGCTCAAATTAGCGCATTATGAAAAATGAAAAAATACGGGTAAGCTTATTTTTTGTGGTGAACAAAATAAAATTGGTCCCAACCAGATCTGAGTTGTACACGTAAAAGACTTGCATTGTGAGTTGAGTTCAACATTCTAAATATTTTATTTGGCATAAAAATATAGATTCCGTCCACTGCTTACAATCAAATTTGTCTAGAAACATGCCATATAATTTAGTCTTATATATAGCTATAAATTTCCTTGTATGGGTACATATTTCAATAAATATAAAATAACCAAGTACCTTGATACCAATGTCACTCAATTATAAGTTTATCTTTAGCTTCGGAGATAATACTTGCTCAAGAAAAATAAATTGGTGCACATTACAACTTATTTATTACCGCAAAACATATCCGCAAAAAGTCGTAATCATAATGCACCCAGCGAATTGCATGCAGCGAAATGTTTTCTCCTTCAGTTGTCTGCCTAGAACAATAATCCTCAATTCTTTGACCGTCCACCTATCTGAAATCATTCCAAATGGGCCACATTCCATTCATCAAGCATTTTAAAATTGATAGTTCACTCTCAATTGCATCAGAATTATGAAATCCGTAATTCCGACACATTCTTAACCAAAGAGTCCCACGGGTTTTCTACAAGTTCTGGCATTCTCCGCATGAAAGCGCGCTCCACGCCAAGATGAGGTCCTTGAATGAAGTAGTCCGGTTTTACTCCCCACTGGCCAGGATTACTAGCAAATATGTGAATCAGGAGTGGAAAGGTTGGTGCATTTTTGTCGTGTTCGGCAGTTTTTTCGCGTCTTAGAGCATCTAGAATTTTAGCTGAGGACATGTATTTCTTGCAACAATCCTTTCGTTTTACAAGTTTTTCTTCAGGTAAATCAGTTCTGTCCCAAAAGTATTGGTTATCAGTAAGTGGTGACGTACTCGTCACTCGCTGAAGTTCCAACAAGTGTTTGTGCATTTTATCCACTTGATCTTCAGTCAATTTGAGGGGGAAGCCCTGATAAAGCTGAGCAGCTTGTGTAATATCGACGAGTTTGGCGAGTAACTATGTAAATAAGTAAATTTATTGCTAATCAATTCCGCAAAAAAGTAAACAAATTAAAGTACTATGTACTTACCCTTGGAAATTCAAGTCTCCCTTTTTGTTCTCCCCACACGTGTTTCAAGTATTTTTGTAATAATCCGGTGTAAAATTCTTGGGCGGCGTTGATCCCGGCAAGATCATCAAACTCGGTGCAGCTATCGTTTCCACCACAATCGGAAAACAAGGCTAGAGGAATAAGAAGCATGATGCTTGCTTCATCGGGGGCAAGAGATCTAATTTTTCTGTAATCTTGAATATGCATTTCTGTGAGTTCTTCTGGGTACATCCCTGCGCACTCATCCAGCTAAGGTAAACATGAGCTAATACATAATTTAAACTTAAATACATTTCTTATGTGAAAAATTGAAAAAAACGTTGATTGCTGATTTTGTGAAATGTGCAACAAAAAACTTATTTATCAGTAATTGGACTTACATGAACTTCGGGGTATTTTTCTGGTAGGTTGTCATCATCAAAATAGCATCCACCTTTCTCGAAATTGAAGGTAAATGCGCCTCGTATAATGAACATTTCCAGTACAGATCGTCTCAGTAAATTTGCCTGGTCGTGTAAAGAAAGTCGTTCAAATTCTGAAAGCATCCTTGCAAAACATACGAATCTGAAATTAAAGCAAGATAATTTGCGTATTTTATTATATTCTTATATTATTTTATTTAGTTGAAATACTATTTATTTATTTCTTTTTTGAAATTTATCGAATCAGATTAATAAATACCTCCGGATGCTTGTAGATATCACTCCAATATTTAGAATGTGGAGTTTTGTCGTTGTCAAAACTTCGGTTTTCGATCGAGAAACGTAATTGTATGGAATTAATTCGCATGCTTTATTATAAAATTTAGGAATATTCTCAATGATTTTAGCTTCTTCAGGGCTCAATCCTTGAACTGGAGGAGGAGTGGATGGCTCAATTTTAATATTATTCTCCACCGATGCTATATGTTTTCTTTGTTTTGTCCTATTAAAATCAGAGATGACCCAAGCGGGTTCCATCCCAATGCTTAGACACTTAAAAAATCGACACGTTTTACAATTCCTTCGCGTTAGGAGATTAATTTCGCAATTTCCGTCATTCTTGCATCCTTTGATAAGATTTGAGTAAGTGGCCGAGTAATTATCCTTGATATTTTTAAGAACGAAATGCTGAAAGCGATTAAAATATTGAAACATTGAAAATTTGTGCTAACATTTGCAGTTTTAAATACCTACGTGAAAGAAAGATCGGCAACAATTGCATGATACTCCTCCATAATTGTGGGACCGGGCTTTATCGTAGCAGACCTCGCAAGGCTAGAAATTTTTAGAAGGACAAATTATTTCCTAAGTTTTGGGGAACTAAAGAAATGCATGGAAAAAATATATCTGCATATTTTACCCGATCTCGTGCAATCACTTGTAGCCGAGACTTCTTCTTTCGTGGGACAAGTTCACTGGTAGAATTTCCCAATTTGGGAATTATGACGTTACGGTTCTCTTTTCCCATTATGTTTTAATGCACGTGAGCTAAAACTGATCAACTTTTTTGAGGATAAATATGCTCGAAAATTAATCCATCAACTTGATATTTATAATAATAAATAATTGTGCACATTGATAAAACTTTTACACATTGGCCAGATGATCGTGGTGTAAATATCTGTAATTGTGCGTGGAGTCTGGAGAGTAAGTGCATAAAATGATTCAATCAGCTTCAAACTACTGTCATGGAATATTTACCAGTACGATAACGAGTATGGATGCTAAGTACGGATCTCATAATCTCTTGGCTTGGTATTGGATGACCTTGATGAATGACTGGACATTTTACCAATGAATTGTGTACACACATATGGACATACATAGGTAAGTGAGAATAACATTCTAATTGAATTATTATGTATGTATATACATATCTATTCGTACAGATATTTATGTACGAACTTACGGTTCTTATAATGTGGTTTCGGTAACAAATATTGTATTAAAATTCATGACATATTTACAGTTTTATGTAATTCATGACATGTTGTCTATCGATTTGTCTACCAAAATTATCTACCACAATAGTCTTCCGAAATTGGTCGATGTCATGTAAACAATAACTAAAATTATTGTTTAAAAAAAATATTTCGATTTCAAAAATATGGTACATATGTATGTATTTGTATTTCCATAAATATAAAATGGTCAAGTATCTACGTAGCCCCGAATGCCAATTCTACTATAAAATCCTGGTTATCTTTAGCTACTTATACAAGATTAAATAAATTGGTGCCAATTTACTCATTACAACACTACATCCTAAAAACGTCGTAATCATAATCCACTCGACTTTCATGCGTCCGAATTTATTCCATGCAATTTTTTTGTAACCCGGAATAATATCTTAGGCAGATTCAAAATGTAAGCAGCAATGTTATCGTGTGATTTAATATGATATCCATCACTTTAAGTGTCCAAATATTTGAAATCATCCCAATCGGGCCACATTCCACCCCAATCGGCGTCAATGAATGGATCATTTTCTTCCACTGCTTTCTCACAACGAGTCGTCTCGCACCAGCCAAAAAAAGTCGACCGACCTAAACGTATGAGCACACATTGAATATGCAAATTGTGCATACTACGTAACTGTTGATATTACTATTAAAATTTATTGTACATATGGCTCAGTTTAACTTATATATTTCGGATAATTTATTCCTCACATGCATTAGCAGACAATTTTGCAAAAAAATGTTTTAATTCTCACTCATCAAGCATTTTGAAATCAATACCGTCACTCTCAATTGCATCATAATTAAAAAATCCGTAATTCTGAAACATTCTTGACCAAAGAGTCCCATGGGTTTTCTAAAAGTTCTGGCATTCTCCGCATTAAAGCGCGTTCCACGCCCAAATGTGGACCATTAATAAAGTAGTCCGGTTGTACTCCCCACTGGCCTGGATTACTAGCAAATATGTGAATCAGGAATGGAAAGGCGGGTGCATTTTTGTCGTGTTCGACATCGTTTTCGTGTATTAGACCATCATGGATTTTCGACGAGGACATGTATTTCTTGCAACAATCCTTTTGCTTTATAAGTTTTTCTCGAGGTATATTATTTCTGTCCCAGTGGAATTTGTTATCAGTAAGTGGTGAAGTTTTCGTCATTCGCTGAAGGTCTAGCAAGTGTTTATGCATTTTATCAACTTGGTCTTCAGTCAGTTTAAGAGGAAATCCTTGATACAGATGACTAGCCTGAGTAATATCGACGAGTTTGCCGAGTAGCTGTATAAATAAAGAAGCTTATAGGTGATAAATTTAGCAAGACGTAAACTGTATCATGATTAATGATGGGGCATGGGGCTTGTCCGTGTCAAGCCGATATATGTCAATTTGACCATACTATTTGTCACAATAACAATGTGACCGGCATTTATGACAAATATGACGGACAAATTGGACATTTCTTACATACGGCGCATTTCTAATCATGATTAAAGTAAACCAATCTACCCTTGGAAATTCAAGTCTCCCTCTTTGTTCTCCCCACACGTGTTTCAAGTATTTTTGTAATAATCCAGTATAAAATTCCTGGGCGGCGTTGATCCCTTCACGATCGTCAAACTCGGTACAGCTATCGTTTCCACCAGAATCGGAAAACAATACGAGAGGAATGAGCAACATGATGCTTGCTTCATCGGGGGCAAGCGACCGAATTCTTCTGTAAAGTTCGACATGCATTTCTGTGAGTTCCTCCGGATACATACCTGCCCACTCGTCTATCTAAATTATAAAAAAATTAAAAGACTTAAAAGACTTTATTAATTATGCGAAAATGAAATACCTTTCCTAAGTGAAAATTTGAAAATGCAAAAAAAATGTTAATCGAAGATTTTTGGAGACGTGACACAAAAAAGTACAATTATTTATTTCAACATACACAAACGTCGGGGTATTGTTCTGGTAAGTTATCCGCATCAAAATAGCATAAGCGCTTCTCGAAATCGAAGGTAAATGCGCCTCGAATAACGAACATTTCTATCACGGATCGTCTCAACAAATTGGCCTGGTCGTGTAAAGAAAGGCGTTCAAATTCTGGGAGCATCCTTGCAAAACATACAAACCTGAAATTAAAGTAGATTTAATCAGATACAATTTATTTAATTTTTACTAATTCAACGAATAATACCTACGAATACTTGTAGATTTTACTCCAATATTTAGAAGGTGAAGTTTTGTTGTCGTCAAAACTTCGGTTTTCGATCGAGAAACGTAATTATAAGGAATTAATTCGCAAGCTTTTTTGTAAAATTTAGGAATATTGTCAATGATTTCGGCTTCTTCGAGGCTCAATCCTTGAACTGGAGGAGGAGTTGATGTCCCAATTTTAATATCCTCATGTGCCTCAATTTTTTGATTCTCACTGGGTGTTGAATTTTGTGTACTTTGTTTTGTCCTTTTAAAATCAGAAATTACCCAGTCGGGTTCCATCCCAATGCTTAGACATTTAAAAAATCGACACGTTTTACACTTTCTTCGTGTAAGTAGATCAATTTTGCAGTTTCCGTTGTTCTTGCAACTTTTCATAAGATTTGAGTAATTGGCGGAGTAATTATCCTTAATGCTTTTGAGTACGAAATGCTGGAAGACATTTATTTAGACTTTGAATAAATTTTGTGCCAGCATTCAATTCACACTTATTTTGTATTTATTTTGTATTTTACGTGAAAGAAAGATCGGCAACAATTGCATGATACTCCTCCATAATTGTGAGAAACAGCTTTATCGTAGCAGACATCACAAGGCTAAAAATTGATAGAATGGCAAATTAGTTAAACTTCTTAAGTTTTGGGGCACTAAATACATAGTAAAGAAGAATATTTGTACTTATATAAAATTTACCCGATCTCGTGCAATCACTCGTAGTCGAGGCTTTTTCTTTCGTGGGACAAGTTTACTTGTAATATGTCCCAATTTAGGATTTTTTACATTATGATTCTCTTTTCCCATTGTGTTATTTTGTGTGTTACTTCAAACTGGTCAGTTTTTTTACGATAAGAATGTTCGAAAATAAACCCATAAATTTGATACAATAGTGGTTCAGCGTTGGGAGATCTTTTATGCATTCACCATATGATATTGGTGTTAAGTATGTATGTAGAAGAATAAGTGCATAAAATGGTTCAATCAGCTTCAGACTGTTGTCATGGAACATTTACCTGGTACGATAACGAGTAAGTGCAGATCATCTCTTAGTTTTGGCTGACCTTGATGAATGGGCATACTTCTTATCAATTAATTATGTACAAATGTACGTACGTTAGTGAGAATAAAATTCGAAATGAATAAATATGTTTGTACGTATTCGCATACATACATATTTATGTACTCACAGTTACGATAACGTGGTTTTGGTAAGAAAACGAACTTGAGTTTATTCATTATTTCTTTGCAGCTTTAGTATCGTAAAATAGTTTACAAAGAAAAAACAAGGGGTCAAGCTTCATACAAATCGTAAGCTTAGTAACCCGATTTTTAATTACGAAATCTTACGACGCTTACAAAATCTCGTAAGTGTCGTAAGTGTCGTGAGTTATTTTAAGATACGAAGAATACTAAGGATGCAAAAGAAATAATGAAGGTAATCCTTATTTCTTCGTATCGTAAAATAACTCACGACACTTACGAGATTTTGTAAGCGTCGTAAGATTTTGCCATTGAAAAACTCGTTACTACGCTTACGATTTTTACGAAACCTGACCCCTTGTTGTATCTTCGTAAATTATTTTACGATACTAAGGATACGAAGAAATAACGAATACCCTCAATGAATATCCTGATTGTATTTAAGTAAATGCATAACATATCTATGTAGTCTACCAATTAGTCTACCAAAATTGGTCGGTGTTATGTAAACATAAAATAAAATTATTGCTACATATATATATACAAAAATACTTCGAATTCAGTACATTTTTGTCGAACAATTCAGTTAAGTAGTTATCAGGACAAAAGCGATTGAAATACAAAATGCGCTGAAAAATTGAAGTGAGCTAAACATTCCATTTGGCATAACAATATACATTTCGTCCAGTGCATACAATAAAGTTTATCTAGGAGCTTTGCTATATAATTTAGTCCTCCTTTCCTCATTTAAGTACATACATATTTCAATAAATATAAAATAGCCAAGTACTTACATTGATACGAATCCTACTCAATTATACAACCCCGGTTATCTTTAACTGCTGAGATAAGGTTTAACCGTGCAAAAATAAATTGGTGCACACTTGACAATTTATTTATTACAACAATAAATATCCTCAAATTGTCGTAATCACATAATGCATGCTGCGCAGTTTTTTCCAATTAATTTTTCCACCAGAATAATAATCTCTAACTCTGTTCAGTATAGTATTGGACGTAAATTCAAAATGTAAGCAGCAATGTTATCGTGTGATTCAATATGGTTTCCACCACCTTGACTTGACCGTCCACCTATTTGAAATCATCCCAAAGAGGCCACATTCCACCTCCCACCCCGATTGGCGTCGATGAATGGACCACCTTCTTCCACAGCTTTCTCACCAAACCTGTCTCGCACAAGCCAAAAAGTCGACCGACTTTTCATACGCTTTTGCAGATTCTGGTAAAAGTATGATCATAAAGACGAGGGCTGTCATATTGGCTAGTGGAAGGGCTGGATAGACTAAATCGGGAAGAATTCCATACATCCACCTTGTATCTAAATACATCCAGTTTTCATACATATTTAAACAATATAGAAGCGCATGGCACAGAATTAACTCAAACTAAAAATTTCTGAATCATGACCAGAGGCCAAGTTAATCGATTAAAAATGAATCTGAATAATTATGGGGTTGCTTAATAATAATATTTTAGCGGTAATAATTTATTGGTTCTCTTTATTCTGCACAAAGGTAATAATTATATACATGCACATGTAAATATGCCATCGAATAGCTAATACATGTGTATCTGTCACCTGCATACTTTCAAACAAAATTCCATGCCCTGATAAATATTTCATAAGCCTATTTATTCTAAAAACCACAATATATTCAAATCCCTATTAAAATGTAAGCAACAACGTAACAGAATAGTTCAATATGACCTCCATCACCTTTCCCGCCCATTTATTAGATATCATCCCAACCGGGCCACACGCTATTCCAATCGGTCGTAACGACTTAGCCACCCGTTTCTCGTACTTTGACACGAACTGCTTTCTCAACGTAGAAAACAATTTGCTCGAGTTTTCTTTCGCCCTTGCCGCCTGGGGCAATAGGATAACGAGAAAGATGAGTGCGACCGCATTACAAAATGGGATTAAGGGGTAGATCATCCCAGGAGTGGTGTCATACAATCTAATCGTCCCGTAATTGACCAGAATCACCAAAGCAGTTCCAAAGAAAAATATTGGTGGGATAGCGAAATAGCAGAACGATTCATTCGTAAATTGATTCCAAAGTTGGAGCTCTTGATAGAGTTTAATTATCAGTCTCGTCTTGCCCCGTAGTCTGAACGAGTCTGCGCTGCTTCTCACCAAGCCGTGGAGTTGCGACGTGGCTTCAATTGTCGCACTCATTACGATAAAGCCAATTATCATTAATCCTAAGGAGGATCTTCCCGTCTCCACGAAATACTGGGTGAGAAGGATAATTCGGGCAAATGGGAATGTAATTGACCATTTTGTGGGGAGAAGATATCCAAGAGGATCTAAATTCAGAGTGACTGCTATTGCTGCCACAAATACTGGACCACAAGTAGCGGGGAAAATTACCGATTTAAAAATCAGTTCCAAATGTCGGGAAGAAAATTTAGTTTTCATGAATCCCATAGCTGTAAGGGTAAGAGAATAGGACGGATTTCAATTAATAAGGCATACGGTGTTAACACGGGCATACTCACGACAACCTACAACATATCAACATTTGTAAATTTTTGCGAAATTCACGAGATTTCGCATAACTTTTTCCCCTAAAATATCATGGGATTTTTGTTAGAATTTACTCATCCTCAGTAAATCGATGTCTTTATTGCTCAAGATTATTCGAAAAATATCTGCAAAATGGGGTATTATTTATACGGCATAAAACATTAACGTGTGACTATGCCCAGTATAAAAATAGCAATAAGTAACTTATTACAATTAAATTTCTCCTCGAATTTAATCGTAGCGTTGAGAACTTTGGAACACACACTCGGCGTGAAACTTGTCGTCACACTGACCCCGATCATGGCTGAGGAATACATCGATAGAGTGAATAGAACGAAGGATCGCAGCTCTTGGAATTGGTGATCATTTTTAGATCCTTGGACCACATCAATTTCTACCCTTGTAAATTTAAGAATTGCAAAACAATAGCATAGCAAAGTGTGGGAAATCATCCATACTGTGGACGCTTTAAGGAGGAATTTCTTCCATTTTGGTAAGTCCAGTAGCACGACGATGTTTCGTCCTAACCAGAAATCGAAGGAGTATGGGACGATGGATACTTTTTGATATTGTTTAAGAAATATGTTAAACAGCTTCCACATGCCACGAGGGACTAAAATGTCCCCCATTTCTAGAATTGTGAGAAGTTTAAGTTGGTTAAGAAAACTTTGAGTTTTTTGGAACGCGTTAAAATTAGCAAAAGAATATAGGACCAAGTTAACTTTATGAATGATCAGGATTACGATTGGTAAAAAGTTGTTGGTTCGAAAAATGTTTCCACTTCCGACTGGTTCTATAAATTGCAGACACATTATGCGTTATTTGACTATAATGTGTCTACATTGGTCTTGAGAAATTTGTTTTTAGCAATTTGTGTTTTAGGTTGGTTATAAATATGTGATATGTGGAGGTAAGTGTAATTGGGTGGATATTAAATAGGTACATATATGCACAGTAAAAATAAAAAAAGCCTTTATATACATAACTCTAATTGGTCAATTGATGCATGTATCACTGCACTGTGAGCATGGAATACAGTTATTTGAACCGAGAAGTTGCAACCTGGAAATATGATGTAATCACAAAATGACTGGTCAATTTAAAAATGCTGGTCCGAGTTTTATATTGCACTGGAATGCATACATACATATGTATGCATGTACATAAACATAAAAAAATACATAAGTATAGCGAATGATCATTTACTCGATAGCAATAATTTTCTTAATCATTTTCACCGGCATCGTATAGTTATTAGCAATGCAACTACAAATTAATTGAGGCAACAAAGAGAAATAGAATGGTTAATTACAGCAGAGCTTTATTGTCAAATGACTAAATATACAGTAATTTATAATCGTTCGTTCAAATGCTCATTTTTTAATCGCTCGTGAGTTCCGTTCATTATTTTTTTACACGTGTCCGCAAATATATAATGGATCTAATAACATACAACAACTTTACATGCATATGTACCAATGTACGTAAGTAGACATCTGTATATACCTATATCAACTTAGGTACTGGAATGAAGTACCTATGTGCATAATCCTGAACTACATTGTATATACATACACACATGCATAGATACATATACAATTAAATATGTATAATGTGTGGGTCGGAAAAAGCATTTTGGTTTCAAAATTTCCTCTACTAAAATTTTTGGTCATATTTGGTTTCTTTATTACCATATTCGCCCAACTATTCAAATGTTAACAACGCAGTCACTGTGTAATTAAAAATTATGTCTACGACCGTTGTCGTCCACTTACTCGTAATCCGGCCGAACGCCCCGCATTCTGTCCCTACTTCTCTTAAAGATCGGCTCACCTCTTCTCATATTTTCCAATCAAACGACTCCTCACACTTGATAGAAATTTGTTCGAGTTTTCATACACATTTGCCGCCTCGGGGAGAAGATTCATGATAAATACTATTCCCGCCAAGCTAGTCCCTGGGGCGATGGAATACACCCAGCCTGAAAGTTTTCCGAGTAACCTCACCGTCGCATAATTTGTCACGATTATGACACAAATTCCAAAAAAGATGAGTGGAGGAACAACATCGTAGCATACATTTATATTCGTATACTGATTCCAGATCTGAATTTCCTTGTATAGCTTGATCACCGGAAGCTTGGAAACTGTCTGAAATGTGGGTTTAGAATTTACATACTTGTCAAGTTTGTCTGCACTTGTGGCCGTTGCGGACAACATGATGACAGCGATGACAAGGATAGCTATTGCTGTCTTGAGAATTTCGAAGGCGATTATATTTAGCAGAAGTGTACGGACCAGCCAGGATGTGACCTTTCGTAAACTCCAAACATTTTCGGCTTTAGTTGACCACCAGACACTAAGTGGATCTAGATTTAGCAAAACTGTTACTGGTACAACCGTCACAGTGGCCACGGGAGCGAGGTACATTACGAGTTTAACTGCACTTTCTAAGCGTGGGTTGCAAATTTTGGGCGTTTTTACGCCGAAAGTGTTGCCAACATCTGTGAAAAACATTAACTTTTATGACAACATTGTAAGGCAGAAATATGCAAGTTGCAAGTTCAAGACCTTGAAAAGTTGGAAGTAAACTGAAAATAAATTTTAGTGAGCAGGAAATTGCACAATTACACTGGATTTTTTTATAGGTGAAGCAGAGAGTGAATTATGACCACTATGATAATCTTGGCTGACAATGAGTATTAGATTATTTTGTTTAAATTAACGTGTATACTTCATTGCTGCACAAATACCATGATCATCACGGTAATTAGTAGTTAATAATTTTGATAACCCAATAGATTTGTTTTTACAAACAATTCTGTTATTTCCCTATCTGCCCGCCTCAGTGCTCCGAATTTGATTTGATTCGAACCTATCCTACTCATGTTTAAGGTTTTTTTTCAACTCGAGTAGGATAGTTCGAATCGAATCGAATTCGGAGCACTGACCGCCTAGAAAAAATTTATTCTGCACAATCATACAAATTTCCATATATTGAACTAACAATGGAGGTCTCCCAACGTATGCTCACAGATTTGGATCAAACTAGCGTCAATCCATCACAAACATAATTAGTATGAAATTTGCAAATAGAACTATCTGCCAATGCGCAGATTTGGCAGAGATAATTGCGTCCAAAGTGGATAAAATGCGCAGCAAATTTGGAAAAATTTGCCAGCCATGGGGTGCGGTTTCTCCTGTTTTTATGCAAATATTTTCTCCAAACTTGAGCATTGGCACATAGTTCCATTTGCAAATTTCATACTAATTATGTTTGTGATCGATTGACGCTAGTTTGATTCAAATCTGTGAGCATACGTTGGGAGACCTCCATTGTTAGTAAAATTCTACTAAAAACTTCAGTATTTTACTTTTCGAGAATTTGAGCATCTGAAAAATTACATACATATAAAAAATAAGCAATAATGAGTGTAACCTACCAATGAATTTTCTTTCGAAGTCCTGAATAGGATTGATCAGACTTGGAACATTTTCCGAGCAAAATGAGATGATGTAACTAATTCCTGTAACGACGAGGGGAAGAAATCCCACGTAGAGGAGGACTAAAGGTCTCACATAACTTAGGACGCCATCCGCATAATCGTCGAGCTGGTGGGGGTTCTTCCCTGTGCTCATTAAAAAGTAGAAACATAGCACGGAATGAAATGGTCCCCACAATGACCAGATTTTCATAATGAAACGGGTCCCATTTTTCAGCTGAACCACATGAATGGATCTGTCCGCTAAGGAATACGGAAGTATTGAAAATTTTCCATACCAGTTCAGATATGAATTTAGAATGATCCACATTCCTGCAGATACTAACTCTCCACCTTGGTCCTCGTTTGTATGTTGGGTGCGAAAACGAGCCAGAAAAGTTGTAGTTTTTGTTTTAAAATATTTTGTCATTTTGATAGAAATGAGAATAATTGTGAATTTTGAGACAACTGGGATTGCTTTTAGGAGAATTCAAACTACGAATTTCCACATTTATAGACGATTATTTAAGTGGTAGTATCATTTATAACTTTATTACTATAATACACTTCTGAAAATTGCAACCCTTTATTTTCAATTACATTGCAATAAAATTTTTATATCTTGGGTATGCATGTATAAGATTCGGCAAAATAAGAAATAATTCTAAGACTAAACCTAAACCAAAACTAGTCCTCCAAAGCATGTGCCAAATGTTAAACTTTTTGTATTACAAATGTATATGTATATCTAACGATAAATATGTATGGTCACATTATCTCATATTTTATTTCATAGCCCTACCCCATTTATTATTATGAGTCTTCAGAAGTACATACATAAATATCTATAAATCGATGCTTAGATGTTATAATTTTTCCTAGCAAATGGCCTGGATGTGCATAAACTATGTATGTATGAAAGTCGAACGTTTTCTTATTATGCATGATTTACCCAGTATGTGCACACATAAATATATTGACCGCCTCTGCTCCAGTAGTAAAGTTTAAAATAGATACTCGCATATAAAGAGTAATAAACCGTCACAAACGAAACTTGAAAGGGTGAAACCAAATGAGATATCAAGAATACCAAATGAGCATGAACGTCGTCTTAAGGACTAAGTCGCCATAGATAGAATTCCAATATTTTTCTTCGTCCACACGGTCGAAGGGTCATCGTACATCGAAATTATTCGATTTTTACGTCATTTTATTCCTACGTCAATTTATGAGGTCCCCACCCCAGCACAAACTCTGAAACGGTGGAAACTAAATTTTTTTGTCCAATCCGTCTGAGAGTTATTTTGGATACGAGCAGACAGACAGACGGCCAGACAAGGCATTTCCTTAAAGGGAATCATCCTTCAATGAGCCATTTTTTATTTAAGTTCGGCAACACAAGAATTCCTTAGAAATCGACCTGACTACGTGCGCTCATGCATATATTCAGAAACAGACAATATGGTTTTATATCGTCATTATTCGGATTAATGATCAGCAATTTAATAAGCATACACACTTTCCGTAAGTTCAATTTTATATTCATATTTCAATTTTTTTATGCATAAATCAAAATGTATGCTATGAATACAGGTATTTGCCCTAGCTACACTTTTTGTCGACGATACTTCAGCAAACCGTTCGAAATATGATCCGACTCCAATGTTGTTAGAAATTGAATCAAGCATCGGTACTTTGACTTTCACTAATGACAGTTGTGTGAACGATGTCGCTTTTCCAGATCCGGACGATACGTAAGCCAACTTATCATTCAAACGTATTTAATATCGCATAATAAATACAAGCAATCGAATACGCATATTTAGAACCTCCTATTATCAGTGTTTTTCGATCGATGATGGTACTGGGAATTCTTATTGGAACTTGTACCACGGGCAATGTCCACCTGGGGGTTACTTTGACCCTACACTACTTATTTGTATGGAAAGTCCAGGTTAGTTTCAACTTATTCACAAATTGTGTTGCTCAACTACAATTTCTAAAAGTAGAATTTTAAATTGTCAACAGTTTTACCCAGTACGATAACTATGACCCCTGCAGTATTCACGTGCACAACAGAAGGCACATTCCCAAGTGAGGATTGTAGCAAATATTATAGGTGCATCACACTTGATGGCGTACTACGAAAATACATCATGACTTGTCCAGAAAATACTTTCTTCAACGCTACAAGTTTACTATGCACTATTGGAACCTGTAGCTCAACGACAACTCTGGCCCCGCCAACTACTATAGGGCCCGGAGGAACAACAACACTAGCAACTACGACGCCGCCACCAACTACCGTACCAAGTACGGTTCCAACAACAATCCCAACTACAGTTCCAACTACCGCACCAACTACAGTTCCAATGACAGTTTCAACTACCATATTAACCACCACAACCCTGGCCCCATTCCAATGCAAGGTTCCAGGTACTTTCCCGGACCCTTCAAGCTGCAGAAAATACATCAGGTGCGTCTTGATTTCAGGAATATTGCGAACATATTTTTACACTTGTCCCCAAGGATCATACTTTAATTCAATCCAGACGTTGTGTGTGCTTGGGACATGTTAAAACCCTTGTGTGAATTTGATTATACAAATTTCAATTTGTATCATCAATCTCTCCCGCGCGCCCGTGTTGGCAGCATGGGAGAAAAACCTGCTCTCCTCATATTTTATATAATTTTAAGTTTTCTACCATTTAAATTAATTCATTGAGCGAATTTTCCATCAAAGGTTGTTTTAATTTAATAGTATAAAGTGCTCTATACATTACACTACTAATTAATTGCTGATTCCGCCAACGACATGGGTTTATCTGGCTGGATTTCTTGTTCCTGTTCCTGTTCTCATATCATTATAAATGAACGGAGGGGCAGTTTGGCGAGCTAACTGCCCCTTTATTGGCAAGTCTCCTCCCCCTGATTTTTACAACTTGTACAAAGAGAAAATTGCGTGTCATAAGTTCAATGATATCTCACAAAGGATTAACTTATTCAGGCAGCTGGAAAATCATTCTTCTGGGATTTCGTCATCATTATGGAACCAAATTGAGGACTTCAATTATTATTACTCCACCTCCACTTATCGTTCAAAAAAGAAGAAGAAAAAGAAAGGCGCTAAACGAGGAAGACGGTTTGAAGCGAAGAAATCTTTTACTAAATATTTAAATAACATCCCTCGTGGTCTAGTTTTGAATAATTTAATTAATATTGGAATATCGGAGTGTAAAAAATCGTCCCCTCTCAAATTTAATTTACCCAGATTTTTTTACACAAACCCAACGTCTCTATCCGTAGCAAAATTGGACATTTTTGAAGGTTTACTGGTTGACCATGATTTAGGGCTTTTCTGTGAGACATGGTGGAAAAATGACCAGGTTAAAAATATCCCGCATTTTAATACTTTCGCTAGGAACAGAAATTATACTGATATTAAGGGGCGTATAAAAAAGGGTGGTGGATTAGCTATCTTTCTCAGGGACACATTTAGAGGTAGAATATATAATCCTAATGTCAAAGTCGACGAACGTATTGAGTTTCTTGTAATATCTGTTAAACTTGATTTGTTGCCTTACTCACTTTCAAATGTAATTATTATATTAATTTATATTCCGCCCCAATATGTAACGGAACTAAGTCAAGAGCTTAACGAGTTTTTAAGTAATGTGGTAACCAATGTAAAAACCAAATTTTCTAAGCCTGGTATATTTTTGTTTGGCGATTTTAACCGGTGGGATTATGGCCAATTTGTCGAAACTTCTAAATTAGATTTAGTAGTACGTTTCCCTACGTTTTTTAATTCTAGATCACATAGTATGAGTAACCTTGACTTAATTTTTACTAATTTAAAATCATATTATTGCGAGCCTGTTCCACTGCCCCCCTGTTAAAGGAACGGCAAGAAATAGAGTACATGCTTGTATCACCTTTTCACCTTGTCCATGGTTTGAATTACGTAAGCCTTTAAAAATCATTAAATGTAAACCCCAACTTAATCAATTAGCTATTCCCTTTGTCGAAGAATTAAATAATTTAGATATTGATATCCAAAAATTTGAATGGTTACCAATCAATACCAAAGTCAATGAGTTAAATTCTTTATTACTCTCAATACAAACTAAAGTATCGTGTCCTTATGACAAGGACGATGGTGAACCCATTTGGATGAATATTACATTGAAAAGGTTATTCGAAGCTAAGCGCAAAGCAAAAAAGAGTAATAATGTCAAGCTAGTTTTCGAGTTACAAAGCGAAATTAAAACGCAAATTTCCTTTGCTCAGTCTGAAGTGCGTAAAAAATTCAAAGATAAGATACCTGGTATGAATTCATCCGAATGGTATCATTTAATTCGTAAAGTTTGTGGTCTAAATCCCGTGTCTGCCATCGACAAAATTAAATTAATAGATCTGAAATTTAGTCAGCTAACTGATAAAGAGCTAGCCGATGTTGTAAATTCACATTTCTCACTAATTTGTAACACTTTTGATGAATGTGAATCTATTTCGCTGTGTCCACTCCCTCTAGACTCTTCCCCTATTAAAGTCAGTGCTCATGAGGTAGCGAGAGTAATTAGAAAACTAAATAAGAAAAAGTCTAACTGTCCGAATTTAGTCCCTACTGAGCTTATAAAGTACGCTTCGAATTTCTTGGGCCCTTTAATAGCCATTATCCTCAATGAATCTTTTGCAACTTTTACTGTCCCTGATTGTTGGAAAATCGGTTTCGTCACCCCCTTACTCAAGAAAGTAACTTGTTCATCACTTGATGACGTCCGTGCGATAACTCAAACTGACGTATTTTCAAAAATTGCAGAGAGTTTTATGTTTGACAGGATTTATTCTCAAATAATTGATAAAATCAACGTTAACCAATTTGGTGCTTTAAAAAAATCGTCTACTGCGCATTATTTAATTCAAATTAACCATTTTATTTTAAAATCAATCGAAATTCCTGGCGCTACAGTTTTAATTGCTGCTATTGATAGTCTCAAAGCATTCGATTTAGTTGACCACTCGTTGTTGGCCGCACTTCTTGTTGATCTTGGTGTACACGACATTGATATTTTATGGTTATTATCCTTCTTAAAATTTCGTAAGCAGATTGTTAAGTTTGAAAAGTCGTTTTCAAATCCCAAGAGATTAACATGCGGTACACCAGCCGGTACCAAACTAGCTGCTCTTCTGTTTATTATCTTAATTAATCCGATTCTGAATGCATTAAAAATCAAATTACTTGATATTAACCCCAATTTTTGTATAGCTGGATACATTGATGATTTGGTTATTGCTGAAAGAGTTATTGGTAATGCACCCAAATTGCAATCTGCACTCAATATTTTGAGTGAAGAGTGTAAGGCAGTTAAAATAACGCCCAATCCTCGTAAATGTGAAATATTGGTAGTTAATTTTGGTGGAAGAAGAGTTAATTTTCCTACTAAGTCCTTTTGTATTGATTCAGTTCCTATACCCGTTGTTGAGCTTAAAAATTTTAGGGGTGACTTTTTGCCCAAATTTTAGTTGGGATAGTCATATAAAAAACATTGTTGCGAAAGCAAACTCTAAATTATTTCAGTTAAGAAAATTATTCAATGCTGGCTTCTCCAGTAAAGAATTATTAATAGCTTACGGTGCATATATTCGGTGTAATCTTGAGTATTGTTCAGTTGTGTTTGGCTCTGGCTTGAACCAGAAATTAGTTTACAAAATTGAAAGTGTTCAGAAAAAAGCTTTAAGTATAATTTTCCGAAAACGAGTTGATCATTTAAATTATGTTGAATGCATGCAGGAAGCTGAGTTGATAACTTTAAATGAAAGGAGAGAATTGGCTCTTAATAAATTTGCTTACAAGTTAGTTTTTGGTAGGTATAGGCACTTTTTGCCGCAATTCCAGCGTGCTTCGTGCAGTGGTGTGTCATTGAGGTCAAACAAGGATTTACTATTTCAACCGGTAATTAAGTCGTCAAAATTTAAAAATTCCCCCATTAATATGATAATCAGCAAAATTAATGACGAATGGAAATCAAAATCCACGGTTTTTGGCTTGTCATTTGAAGCTCTAACAAATTTGATAGATTATAGCTAACTTTATACAAACTAAGAGTAGATAATATCTTACGTACATATATATTGTTAAGTTAAATATAGTAATTTAGCCCTTAGTTATTGTTATTTAATCATTTAAAGTAAGTTATTTCTGTTTGTAAGCTCACGAAAATAGGCTAGTGTGCTATGCTAAAATTTCATTTTGTGCATTCCCTAGTACTAGTAAATGAGGGTAATAAAGGCTATTACTATTATTATTATATTATTAAATTTAATGGCATTTGTACAATTAACATGGCTGTACGAACTAACAAATTTTACATGCATTGCAATTAGCAAATGCTTATTTCATTCTGCAATATTCGCATTTCTACATGTCGACCAAATTGTAAATCGAATCATCAAATCGAATAGAATCATGTTTACTGACATGCATAATATCTATAATACTGATGTAAATATACATATGTATAATGACTCTTCTAACCAACGATCAATCATAATGAATGAGACAAGCTGCATGGTTTTAAAGCGTAAATTTCATTCCTTGAGGACAAATAAATATTAATCTTATATCTGTAAATACTGGGTGTATCGAAATATGTAAATAAAGCAAAGAATTTAAATATGGACAAAGCGAATAATTTACTGGTTCATGATTTTTATTCAGAAAACCAGCCACCTATTCATCTGTACAAATGCCTTTGCTCAAGTATTCCGTATTGGTTAGGATGACACATTTAAGTCCTGCCATGCAATGGACTTCACGATCAGTGGGGACGGCAACATTTATATTTATACTTTCCGGTAAAATATTATTACTTCTCATGAAACAGGTTCGCCCCTTTTCCACGGCACATCGTTCGTTGACCGAATCCCATTTGTGGTCACGATCTACGTCGCAAGAACATCTCCCCGCCACGCATGTCAAGAGGGAGGTCGAATTGCACACGTTTCTGATCCGACTAGGGCTCAATCCGTCGTGACATGAGTCATTGTGTGTGTGAACTAAAAAAAATGGAATGGTGTGTAATATACATGCATTTAGAAATCCAGTACTAAAATATTACCACACGGTATCAATAAATGATTCTACCAAAGTGGCATTGGTAAATGATACCATGCAGTAATAAGTAGCTCGGTATTAAAGTTTTGCCATATCCGTAAGACATTTTTACAGACCAGTATAATTCTTGTACCAAGCGGTAGCAATTTTAATATCAAATTTCAACAGTGTAGCAAGCAACATGCGACAAAAATAATGCATTACCTCTCAAACAAGTTGGATAACTGTTACGAGAACTAGAAGATTTATACCCGAAAAAACTGTCTGATGGGGTCGGATACGTCGAATTGCACTGACACCAAGAAAAATTTTGCAATTCTGGATTAGGAATTGGAACGCAGTTTGCATCAGTTGGACACTGCAGTCCATCATTAGCCTGCTGACACACCGACCCGATACGAACTCGACACAGCGATGTGTCATGATGATAATAGGTTTCGGTCTGGTTCGGACATGCGCAGACGCCGGAGACGCATCTTAGCCGGGAGATAGTATCGCAGTTGGAATCATTTGAGCAAATTTCACCAAATCTTTTCAAACATGACCGTCCATCGGAAGCGAGACGTTGGCCAGGGTGGCATTGGCACCTTCTTCTTCTGTTACAATATCCGGTTGCACATTCGGTTGCGCCGTCGCATTCGGACCCGAGCGAGGCGACGCAAGAATGACGGGTTGTGTCGAAACTGCTGTTCGTCAATCTGCACTGACAAGTTCCAGAGGTGCAGGTGAGACCAAGCCAGTCCCTGCAGGGCTGGAGGTTGAAGTTGTAATAATTTGAGGGGCGACAAGGTTGCCCGTAGTCTTGGTAGGCAAGCGTCTCCTGGAGTAGGTGAAGCTGCAAGAAAAATACAAGAGATAGTGTTAGTAGGTTGAGCTGCTTCATGATTCAAATACTTGAATTTATGATAAATCTTCTAAAAAATGACAGGTTTTTATATGATTTTTTTACATTAAAGTCCAAGGTGAAATGATAATTCGAAAAGCATGGAAATGTGAACAATTGTACATATGTACAAATCATTTTGCATGTAAATAATAAATCTCATGAGATTCAAATAAATTTTTAAAAAATTGGTTTTGATATTCAAATTGGTATAGGATTTCATGTCTTTTTATGAACCAACGAACTGGGTTGCATGTTGCATAACATTCTTACGTGTCACATTTTTTGACATAGTTAATACTAAAACACATTGTAATTATATACGTATGTACGTAATGAGGGTATTCATTATTCCTTCGTACATAATTGTATGTACTGTTAGCATTCTACGTATCACAGATAAAACTTGTTACGACATATACGAGATTTTGTAAGCGTCGTAAGGATTTGCCATAAAAAATTACATGCTACTTATCTTTCGATTTTAATGGAGCTTGACCCTTTATTTTTCCTTTGAAACTGTTTTACGATACTACGGATAAAAATACGAAGCAATAATGATTACCCTCAGTTTATCGCACAAATAACTTTGGGTGGCATGCTATGCAATTGACGGTACGTATTCTTAGCCAATGAGAACAAGCCAAGTATGTAGAAAATAAATATCTACTTTTCGAGCCTTTCCTTCATCGAATTCATGAGACCAGTTCATGAGATGAAATTAAATCATACAATTTTAAATTATATAATTATTAAAGTGTTAAATTATGCCATTTTTAATTTTCATGAATAAATAATTTTTGCAGCCGGGGTTACGAATTAATTTCGAATCCATTTCATATCAAACATCAAAACCCATCAGTTAAAAACTCACATGGTGAAAGCATGTGGTTCTCTTGTTCTTTTATGCAATCAGAATTTTTGCAAATGATTTGCGTCACAGGTGAACCTTTTATTTCACCACAGTATAAAACCGGGCTTTAGTAGCACTAAGGATAAGCGAAGAACATAGAACTCCGGTTTTGGTTCCTATTTTAAAGCTGAACTTTCCATAAATCAAAAATTCTCAAAAATTCGTGGATACCTAAATTTGAAGGAAAATGAAGCTTCTCCTACCCTCCTTGATTTTCGTTTTCGCCATGGTGCTGGTAATTATAAATTTTAAGTTAACATTTTTTTTACTGTTTGTCTAGTATTATTAGTCGCAAAAAATTCTGAAAGGTTACCTGGCAGGTAAAATAAAATTAAGATTCGAAATTCTACAACATTTTCGCTATTGTTCTCAGTGGCGAAATTATTGACGAAAGTAATTTTAAATTGAATATATGGCCAAATAACTTCTCAGAAACATTATCAGACTTTTGCGATTAATAACAATGAATGAACATTAGGTTACAATTTTTAACGTGTTCTTTGTTTGAAAATAAATTATATAAAAAATAACCTAAATTTCAGGGAGATACACGTGGCCAAGGTGTAATTGGTGGGGATGGGGAGACATTTCTAAATGATACAGATTCAGATTTGGTGGATGAAGACGAGCTTCAGATGCACCCCGCCGTGGTCAACGGTACGAATATGCGGCTTTATGAGTGCGTCTATTGTGGGGGATATACTAAAGCAAACTGCAGATATAGGTGTAGGTGCGCAAAATATCCATGCTATACATGCGAAGAGTACGATTGTAACTGCCACTCAGACTGTCATTACATTCGCTAAATTTCAGCTTTGATTATGTATGTATGGTTATCATAAAAACCCGTATTGGACGAATTGGTATAATCTTAATTAGGCCTAACAAAATTTTGTAATATAATTTGAGAAATAAAAGAAAATTTGTAATCTAACTTTTTACTGTCATTAAATCTGCTATTTATTAAAGAATATTTCATACAAAAATATTGGTATTTAAATGTTCAGAACTCAGCGTTCAGAAATTTTGTCGCAAGTCATCCATGAATGTGTTGCCGTGGAATTATCACACCGAGAAGTTTTATCATGCATTTGGCTAAAATATTTATCAGACGTAAATACATACATACCTCATTGCACTTAAGGATAGAAATTTTAAATTAGAATTCTACCTAACCAAACCCCTTTTATTTTCGTACTTCACTGGTTTTGCTTGATTCTGGGCTGGATGGTATCCCATGGCGTAATGTGGAACCAATTTTGCCTGACTAGTTAAACTCCAGTATGCGTCGTTTAAATGGTCCACTTTGGGCCAATGCGGAGGAACATCATGACCAAGAAGTGCGTTCTGTTCCCCGTCACCGTTAGGATTTCTAATATTGAAGGTACATAGATCTCTCATTAAATGAATAAAATATGTTGTGGGTCATGGGTCACGTTTGACATACCCTGAAAGCATAAAATTGTAGAAAATGCCGCACAAGATTCTGCTCACGTTGTGTTCTTCCTTAGTAAATTCGCCACCGTATTCTGCTCCAAAGTCGAAGAGAAAATGTAATTCGTCCGTATGGGTCACACCTTGCAATTAAAAAAGTGTTATATATAAGTACATATTTATGCAGGGTAACAAAATAAAGTTAAGATCAAACACCTTTTGGGACTAGGTGATCTCCGCCCATTTCTTCATAGAAAGTTCGACGCCTTAAAATCAAAAGATAAGCAAAATTGAAAAATACCGAGGACTGAGTTAAATGTTAAATAAACATTAATTGATAAGACTAACTCGGTATGGTAGTCGAATGAGTAGAGGTACGACGGTGTGGACGTAGTAGCGACCGATTTTGCCTTTAACAAGGTCGGAATTTTGAAGTAGAAGGCGGAATATAACTATGGATTCCAAATTAGATAATTCATAACTAAATCACTGTAAAAGGTCATTATTATTTGTGTAAAAGATGACTTACATCAACCACGTGGGGTGCAATTTGCGTGAAATTCTGCGACCATCTACTATCACCCAGATACAAGGTTATTAGCGAATCAATCGAGCCCACCGGTGTGTCCTTCATTTCACCTGTGGACACATTTTCATTTATTAAAAGACGGCCGTATTGGATGCATTTGCATATATATCGTCCATACCAAAGTGAACCGACTGAAGAAGCCTTTGGACAAATTCGTTCTGCAAATAAGTGCCATCGAGATGAGCTTTTTTTGGTTTCAGAGCTGTTTTCAGGTATCGTGAGAGGAGGAAACTCCCATCGTGTAAATTACTTCCTAGAAGATAAGGAACTTGACGCCGATTTTTGGGAAGCACATTACTCGGATCGTCCGGGACTACGATGTACTTTGGTGAAATTTTAGCACGAGATTGAATACTTGGGGCTGACTGAAAATGTTTAATATTTAGGTTTGTCCTAAGTGGGCATATTAAAAAATAACGGCGGAAGAGGTAATTACATAGAAATTTGCACCGATTCCGTCATAAATTTGGGAGGTGGTCCGGGTTCTAAGACAGGCGAGTAACTCTGATTCGTCAGATTGATTACAGTGCAGTCGCTGAGTGAATTGTTTGCTTTCATAGAATGCATTTTTGTTTAGAGTCCAACCGGCTAAGTTGTCGCCTTAAATTAATTAGCGGGAAAATTCAATACTTTTGTCGAAACAAATAGGTTAACATTTACATGTACCCGTACCACTGGCACCAATGCTGCGATGAAAGTTGAGCTTGAAAGGCTCATCAATCGGGTCGACGTAATCTGTAAGTAACCCAACCGAAGAACCACCTGCAGAACCTCCATAAATGGTAATGAGGTTTGGATCCCCACCAAAATTGGAAATGTATTTTTGCACCCATTTAATGGCCGTGATTTGATCTAAAAGGCCCAGGTTTCCGGGTGCCTGGTCCGACTCGAGGGTGAAGAAACCTTAAAGTTTTCAATTTTATTGGTTTTGAGAAAGCATAGTTATTATTTAGTGGAATGAATTAATACCAAATACGTTGAGCCTATAATTAATCGAGACAAGGACGATGTCATGCTCTAGGAGACGATGACCTGATAACATTGCGCCATGCCACCAGATAAATGATCCTCCTTTAAAAAGACAAATTTTGGTTTCATAATTTCTTTGAAACTAGTAAAATAGTGTCTCGACATATTTCAGCACGAAATTGATTTCTAAAATGATAAAATTTGCTTGTATGTAGGTCAACTAAAAGTACGTATCTTTTAAAGGGTTAAAATTTGAATATTATTCTACGAAATTTGTACACTTTGTAAATCTCAAGGTTATGACTTTCTTAATTAATTATGATACGTTCATAATTTAAAAAAATGTCTACCGTGAATAGCAACCAGAACTGGGACAGGGTGTGGGCGAGATCCCTAAAATAAATATTCGACGTGAATACCAAATTACATACAAATAATTAATTTTTCATTCATATAAAACCACTAACCGCCCTCTTAAAAATATTTAGCACGAGACAATCCTCCCTTTGCATGGCTGCAGGGACCATTGTGCTATCTCTTTGGATGCAGGCAATCTTCTCGTCCGCGCTAAAATTTCCTAACGTTCTCGGCCAGGAAGTTATCGGTGCAAATCGAAGTGGTTGTTGGGCATACGGAATTCCATAAAAGGACGCCATTTCCACGCCGAAATGAGGCAGTTCTTCTATCTTGCCCGTAATTGTTCCAACGTCTGGAATTGTGACTGATTCCTGTGCCAGGATCAGATTGCCCCTTTAAATATAGATCAGTAAATTACACGTATTTAAAATGGAAACAATTTTTTAGCTTATGTTATATAAACCCACAAGAAAGGTTGGACAACTGTGAAAACAAATAGTAAATAGTTCTTCATTTTTAAATTTTATTTCTCTAAGAATTGAAAATCGAGGATTTTTTGTGATAAAATGCGAATTTTTCTTGCCACAATTAGTTGATTTAAAACTGGGCGACTGACTGAATATCGCTTCCATTTTAGGTCGCCTTAAATAAAAAAATTTTAAAATAATGTCATCATGACGTATCTCAATATTTATTTACACACAATGGGACAAATCCACTTGACATGGTTCCGTCCTAACTTTGATTCACTCCTTCCATGCGGAAAAACCAGTTAAATCATGATTTTGCAGAAAGGGTGCATATTTCACACGAGGTGCGAGCATGATCTGTATTTCCAGTTGATAAGAGGAAAGTCCCGTTTAGTCAGAGCGATGAGGAAATTTAGGCGAGACAATATGCATCCAGTTCCAAGGGTCGATTATGTAGTCGTGATTTTTAATTATTATTATTGATTTGTTCATCTTGGCCGAGTGCAAGGTTTATATGCTGCGTGAATTATCTATAATTTTGGTGCAAGTTGGGAATATCCAAAATATTTTGGCGTGTACCTCACATTTACAGGATAGATATGGTACGTATGTAATTTAGGTTTTCATTTGTGAGAGCTGAAAGTATTTAAGGAACGGGTGGTATTCAGCTATCCCATTGATAACCAAGCATGGCGTACAATCAATTGCTTTGTGTATGTACTCGTGGTTTAGTAGGTAATTCATAACTCTGATTTTATACAAACCATATGAAAAATGAATTTTTAAAAGCGACGTGATGAATTAGTAAATTGATAAATTGAAATGTTTAAGGTGTGCATTTGTAATCCTGGAGAATTTTGTGGAAATTGAGGAAATGAAAAATATTTGATAGGAATACGTAAATATCATTGTACTTGTCGCAAACAACAGAGAAAATTTTACTAATTATACCCACGAATGTTGTGCGTAAATAAACCTTGTAATAATCCCAATTGTTTATTCTCAAATAGTCAGATACACTGTTACATTACATGCCTAAACTCGATGAGTACACAGAATACAAATCCGCCATTTATCCATAATTTCGAATTATCCTGGTTTAAATTGCTACGCCAATCGACGTTGAATTTTTCATTTATGATACTAAATAAATATGTACATAACAAGCTCGGAAAATAGTAATAAACGTGTTCGAGATGTTTAAGGTATTGAGTAAATGAAAGTTAGGGAGAAATTTTACAAGACACAATTCAGGCATGACTTTTCTTCCATGTATTATGCCTGATAACTTACTCTCATCTTTTTCTCCATTTGAGTAGAATGGATGATGGCAGCATCCAAAATCCTGGGATAAGGTGCCATATCCGTCCGATCGTACATAATACTTATCGCCCCAGTCATCCCCCTTCTGAGAGCATATGCCTCAGGATAGTAATGTGAGTCAATGTAGGCCTTATCCAACCGGACGTGATTTTCGACAAGCTGTTTCGCCACCATTGTTGGTGGCATGTCACCTCCCGCAGCACGAAGCGTCTTCCATGCCGCCTCCACCGCTGTGACGCACTGCTTGATCATGTATTCTGGTACCTTGTCGCCTGCGCAGATAGACACAATCTCTCCAAAAAACCCATCCATCGTCTTGTCGCCATTCAAATGTACCGCTTTCTTCACTAATTTTCTCAGAGCGGCCTCCTTTCCTCTCCGATCGTCTCGATACAAGCAGCGATTGACCACCCAAGCGCAAATGGCCTCACAGTGCTCACATTCTCCCGCCACGTACGGCTCAAGATGCGTTATCGTCGCCATGGGTTTCCACTGGTCGTCATGCAGCGTTCCAAGTTCTCCTGAGTGAGCTAATTCGCACGTTATGAAAGGCCCGTGATTCGATTTCGCTACAAGCGTCGCATATTTTTCATGGGTCAAATGCCTCGTTTCCGCAAGCTGGGTGTATCCCCGATAATGCGGGACGTGGGCATACCATGCACACGAGCCGGTCGCTATGTCCGTCGCATAGTCGTGACCAGCATCTCCCGCGATACATTGACAAGTCGCGACCTCATCGACAGTTGCGGCGCATGCGATGGCATAATCCTTGACAGCCTCAACTCCGCCATA